GTATGTCGTTTCCATATAGTTCAGTTTCTGTAACTTTCTTCAAAACGCTAAGAACATACGTGTAACTACATGTACATAGATGAGTAAACATATATAGCAGTTCAAATACAACTCAACAGTAAACTAACCGTTCGCCTTTGCTAGGCATATCGACTATAGCAATAGGGTAGCCATGGTGTCCACAGGTGCACGCAAAGGCACCGGTTTGATCGAGACCCTTCGTTGAGCCGCCCTGTTTTTCAAGCGCGCTGAAGGATGCGCACCCATCCTTGGCCTTATCATATATGTAAAGGTATGAGCGCTCTAGACACTGTTGAATAATGGTAGGAATAAACACCTTACCGATTCATTATAAGGGATGAGGTCAGTTTCGTTGACCCAGATGGTGTTGACCTCATCTTCTCCTTCAAATTCCACGCCGTCTACATCTTTGATATGTGCAAAGCGTCGCAGCTGGAAGTTACCGTCCAATGCTACGGTCTTGGCATGGCTCTACCAAATATTATAGAGCACATAAATATATGGGTACAAGATCAAAAAGAAGAGGAAGGAGAAATATATGATTCTGTAAGCAATAGGAAGAACTGGAATAGACATGTTTAAATGTTTTATATCTAAACCCGAAACAACAAATGTATTTGAACCAGTACCACGTATCTGCAACCGGGACAATCATTGTTCTGAATGCCGTGTTGCTCTCTCAACTGCTTTTTCAAGCTGAGAAGTATTCTGCCAAAAACAGAAAGTGCATCGTTTATGCGACGCTTGAACGAAGCAGGAACCTAAATATAGAACAGAGCAGGTTTAAAATGATAGACGCAAAATCTGTCTAATTAGAAGTAGTACCTCTTGCTCAAGATCTGCTTCGGCCCATTTAGCAATGCTATGAATCGACACGCGGCAAATGTAATGCAAGTTGTCATCAATTTCACGTGCACTGCGTGGCCGGGCTCTTTTGGTGTCAAAGGAAACATATGACGGCGCATCAAAACAAGGGACAAAGAATAGCCAGGGCATACTTTGCAGTACTCGAGATGTTGTACTGTCGAATGCCTAAACAGACGATCATACTTATTTGATTGTTTGTTTCTAAGAGAAGAAAAAGCAAAACTAATGCCTACCACACTTAAAAATACAAGCAACATTGTTGTTGCCCTTCTTCTCAGCGCCGCAACCACAGATCCTTCCGTCGATAGGCTCGAGCGGCCTCTGGAACCGGTGCTTGCTTATAGCCTTCTTTGTAGGCCTTGAGTAATTCAGGAAAAAGGCTGGCCCAGCGAGCTGCACATTTGGAAGCCGCCGTCTGACGACTTGGCAGATTACCGGCTTCGTCCTCTTTCATCATCAGTTTCCCATTCCGAAGGAGGAACATCAACGTTCGCCGATTGGGACTGACGGGATGCAAATGGAGTTGTGCTATCATTGGTAGTCACCGTAGCTAGAGTTCTCGAGACCCTGGAGAGCTTAGATCGCCTTGTCCGAGACTCTATGCATTGTTGTTGTTTGCTTGCGCTTTTGACGTGTGTTTGAAGAATTCAATAATTAGAAATGTGAAAAGTTATTCAGGCACACTCAGCCACTTTCTGCATAAGCGGAAAACCGATTAGCCGTACACGCATAATTTGCGGCGCGAATTTGCGGTTTGCGGCCGTATCAGAATACTGGGGCACCGCAAATTTTAGCTCAGTATAACTTTTTATTGCGGAACCATATTCCTAGGACGAGGTTACCGTTGTTGGCTCGCCGATAGTTGGAGTAACGCGTGCATTAGAGCCTATCGCATCAATACTTTTTTTTTGTATGCTATCGCATCAATACTATTTTGCTAATTACTAGGTTATTACTCAATCGCGCCTTAACCATTGTTTTGAATGATTGAGGGAGAACAGTCATGATAGCTTATCCTTTCTTAATTTCTTGTCGTTGTGTATATGACACAGAGACACAAAAAAGTTCATTTTCTTCCGATAATGATGATATCTCCCCAAGATAAGGTTTAGGTGGATAATAAAAGTGGGAACAAGACGATATCCGTGTGCGATCTCCGAGAAACCTTAAAGTTTGGTTCCCTCTCTGCTTTTCACAATTTTTAAAGTAAAATAAAATGTGTGCTAGTGAGCTATTATATGACCAGCTTGCATAGCCTTACCGGCAGTCGTCTTTTTTAAGAAGAATATCCAACAAGAGATGATGGAGAAAAACATATTCGATTGGACTTTTTCATATCTGTTGCGTTTTATGCGCATTTCGTTTAGCGTGGGGTTTAGGTTGTTAAGCAGCGGTGGATGAAAGCCAGTCTATTTCAATGAGCGTGATCTCCCCCCACGAGTTTTCTCATTTTCACCAACCCTCCTCCCCGCGCTTTTTCGGTTCGAGAATTACAAAATCATGTTAGCAGCAGAACAAATGCAAACGGTCAAAGTAGCACTGATCTTGTGCTCATGCTTCTTTGCATACGGAGTAAGTTTTATTTTCTTTAGCCAAGCAGTTTTGCTTGTGGTATTTTTTTTATATACGTTGCATTTCTCGGCCGGGTGATTCACTCTTTTGCTTTTTCAACTGTATTTGCAATTAAAAATCCACACGAAATGCAAAATTAAACCCCAAATTTCTTCTCAACATTTGTAGACATATTGGTCTGATTGGGCATTTGATTATTATCTCTTGTGGGCCAACCCTGCTGACCATCCCAGTGCAATTCCTCGAGCCATTGTAAGTTTTTTTTTTCTTCTTATTATACATGGGCGAGGTGTTTCTTCATGTTGTCAATATGTTTTGGTAGTGGCAGTAGTGATGGTACTAGTAGCGTTAGTGCGTGTGTATATGCGTAAGTGCGGGAGAGTACACATCTATAGGAGACAAAGAACTTATAATTTTTGATCCAAATTTCCTCAGCTGTACTACACGACGCAAACGCAAGCACCCAACATTCTCAAATATATTCCATTTGTCAACCTCATTATTGGTGCTATTGGTTTCTCGGCTGGTCTTGCTCATTTCACTGAAGGCAATATCTTGTTTGATGGTGCATCATTGGGTAAAGTATCATTTATATGTGATGGAGGGTGAAGGAAAGGAGGCGCTACAATACATCTCAATGATTGATTTACCTCGACCGGCTTTTCTTTGTTGTGTATGATATGCAGTTTTGATGCTGTTTGGATTGTCCACACACGCTACATCTGTGCGACCAGGTATGAGGACGTTGTTCATTCGCGGCTGTTTTCTATTGATGTGATTATATGGACTAACAGCGGATCATTAGGCTTGGAAGTGATCGTTGCGGCTGCTGGAGAAACAGAGGAGGTGGTTGCTGCATTAAAGAACATTGCTGCTGCTCACTTTATCATTGTGCTGGCGATCACCGGTAAGATTCTACTTTATATATTTCTTAAATCTCAAAACAAATAGAGTACGGAAATCTAACATGTTCTGTGTAATTGGAAAAAAAAAAGGTATCATCGGCCTCCAGATTGCTCATTACTTTGTCATGAAGAAGTCTGCCAAATCCGAACGGGAGACGGGCAATGCTGCCAAAAAGAACAGATAATCTCACCAACTTGACTATTATTGTACTACTGCCACATCTCACACTAGTATATATATCTCTGCTCCTCACAACCTGTGTTTTCCTCCTTTCAGCTTCTACCTCTCTCCTGACGCGAACGCTCCTACTTTCATATGCTTCTCTAACCCCCCCCCCACATCTGAGAAACAAAAAAAAAAAAAACTGAAAAACGAACAGTATACATGCCGAACAACTCTCTTTGTAACACATATTCTTCTTATAATATATATTTCAAGATTAATGTACATGCATGGTATCTCATTTAAGCGAGAAATGTAACTTGAAGCGAAAACGTGGGAAGATGTAGGCAGAAAAGGGAAAGAAATGATGCATCCAATGCGAAAAAAGAAAGCGAAAGCGAGAGAATAGCACACACATACATATCAGCATAATACTAAAAGGGTTGTGTGTGTGTATGTCGTGCATGCACCCAAATATGCAAGTACCATGCTCTACACATAAAGTTGTTCCAAAAAGAGTAAATTTACGAGAGCCTGTCAGATTCATGCTCACGTACCCACAAGCAGCACATGACAGGAAACAACAGAGTGATGAATTCTGTCAACGTGATAAATTAAAACGAAGCACACATACACACATACATATATGAGTGAGAAAGAATAAACTCGTGCCCATCAATCTACTACAGTACAGTATACGGGAGCTGTTGTCGCAAATGTCTTTATTTAGCTGTTATATCCATGAGCAACACTAAATAACAACGAAACAATGAATATGTCAACTCCGTGTTTGATTGAGTAAAAAAAGAACACATTGAAGCAAAGCATATTAGCACAACGAGCATAAATGTCTGTATGTACTAGCATGCTTATAATAATGAAAAGTGAGTGTGTGTTATATTGTTCCTTCACTACAGTACTATACAACTCCTCCCTCGATTTCTCCTCTTCCTATCTACTGTATCAAATCCCGAGATGTATGCACAGCATCAGAAACTCCCGCTTTACGACTACATGCACGCAAAGTTCCTTATTTTTTGTGTGTTCCCAAAGGGTTTTTCTTTCTTTCTTCCTTTCCTTCTTTTTTACGTCTGATCATTTTCTTATTGTGCTCGCTTCCTCTCCATGTCCTGTCCTTTATTTCATCCGTAAACTTGATATACGAAATGGATGCACGTTAACCCTTTTGCATACATTATAATTCTTATTGGGGGTGGGGGGGGTTCCGAGATAACACATTGTGTAAACATATTAACTAACTCGATATGTCTTTGATGAAATAGGTAGTTGCTACTGTAATAGGGGGGTTTCCCGTATGTCTATGTACTGTACAGAGTAGAACTACTATTACTACTAGCATGTTCCCGGTTCATTGGCATGGCAAGCGTATATATTTTCTCTTGCGCATGTAAATGCATCGCGGGTCACACGTTGTTTATTGATAGTTTGTTTCAGATCCAAGTGCTGATGATTAAAGAGGATCTGTCAAACCACCACGCTGTATATTTATGTTCATATGACTTCTCGTGTCGATCGGCGTATCAAGTAGTAGTAGTAGTAGTTTAATAGTATGACTACACTCTATGTAATCATTGAAAACAATAAAACGGAAAACTCTTGATAACAGTGGGTTGGGTGGCGATATTTGATTTTACGAAAAACAATTCCGCTTAGCATACATGGGTGTCCATTTCTCTCTATATATGGTCAGATATATGGTATTGGAATGATGTCAGTTCTTTTTTTTTTTGACTATTCACTGAAACATTGCTCTCCTTCTTCTTCAGACAAGTGTCCCCCCCCCCTCGAGGAACAATCTGAGCCAAAGGTTTGGAAGGGGGGGGAAAGAGAAGAGGAGTTCAAACAGTTTTTCATGTTGATTGCATGAGAACGTAAGAAGGAGCAGTGCGTTGTAATCTTTAGAAATCAGAGCGCAATCAACCCTTGTTGAGAGAGGATTTTCTCCTTATCCACAGATAATCAGCACACTCTCTGTGTGTGTGTCTCTCTCTTTCTGGATAAGTCTTCTCTCTCTGCTTGGCCTCTCCTTGAAGGCTGAGTGCAGAGATACAGTAACGTAGCAGTAAATGGTAAATATGTTTCTCGGGAGCGAATAACTTCCTATCCCGGGAAGAAAAGAAAGGAGGGTGGGGTGGATCTACTGTTTGAGTGAGAGACGGGGCCAGTTAAAAAACGAAAAGGAGATAATTATTATTCAGCAGCAGCCTGTCAGCCAGCCAGCAGCCAGGCCATGTCCCGGGTGGATGGGATTGAAGGAGCACATTGATCTGCATGAATTGGATGGGACGGCTGTGATGGGCCCACACCCCCCAACCCTTCGTATAATGTATACACTCAAATATATATATATATATATACATATATATATACTTTAAATTTATATAATCTTCCCTACTTCTTTTCTTCTTGTATCATCCAAGCAATCCAACTTCTTCATTACAACCCCATGTGTGACCAGGTTCGTTGTTGTTATTGAGTTGTTTAGGCTGTGTCACACCGACAACAACCGACCACTTCTTGTATTCTTTGGTTGACAGCAAAGACAAACTCACACATGCACCCATCTTTTCATAGTACTATTCCAAGTTTGACAGACCTGTCGAAACCCATGCCGTCTCTGAAGAGGTATCACTTTTTCTTCTTCCTCAACAATGCACACTGCCGTTTTTTTTTGAACTTGTATTTATTTATTTTACGTCATGTTTGCATATCAGGTCATTCGATCGTTACAATCAGTCAAGCAGGATTGCCTTATTGCACTTGATTCAATGCTAAAGTGCATTGTCGTGACACTGCCTACTCCAACCACAACAGCCGATCAACCACCACCCACGTATGATGGAAGCGTTCGCCGCAAATCGGATTCTGCGCTCATGCCCAATAGTCAGTTGCTGGGATCGATCGCGCACAGTACTAAACGGATAAGCCAATTAAGCGGCTCACCAGCAGCAGTAGCCACAAGTCCTATGGTGCGCAGCGAGTCTTCGCCCCTACTGGATATGATGACCATGTCAGACGTTCGCCGGGTATTGCATTCTCAGCAGCAAGTGTTTTCACTCCTTGACCGGAGCAAGGAGTATCACTTGTGCTATGCCTTGGCTGCGTTGCTGTGCAACGTTTACCGTGTGCTTGAATTGACTTGTGGTCACACTGACAACAGCAGCAACTATGACAACGAAGATGAAGAAGAATTCGACCTTCTTGGAAACAACAACAACAGCAGCAACCCGAATGTATACCAGCGTCTACGCGAAAAAGTATCAGCATTTCGTGCACGCGAGCAACTGCAACAACAACAGCCGACTCATGCTGCAGCAATAAACCATAACGACGATGCAGAATTAACAGATCTTTGGAAAGAAATGGATCAGTTAATGGATGCCGTCTATTGCCTTGGCTACGAAAAGTGCAACGCACCGCCTGCTTATCATACACGCGACGAAGAAGAAGAAGACGAAGACGACGATGATGATTTCTTGAACGTACCACCACCGCCACCTTACGTATCAGAAAAGACACAGTTGGATCTGGACAATTTGTTCACAGCCATTGACCGTCTGAGCCAGGTAGCGCCACGTCTGAACAACCAACGCGTGGAGATGACCGAGCGCCAAGCCAATGAACTGGCAGCTGCCTCGATAGGCAAGATCGTCGACCGACTTGCATTAGGCCGCATGAACGACCAACGCGCCACGTTACCAACAGCAGCAAAACCGAAAGATGCTATGCTGAGGGAGTTGGTTGTCCAGATATGTCACACAGCGTCTAGGTCATTTGACAACCAGCGTGTGTCAGTAGACTCGCGGTTACAGAAAAAGATGCACACGGCGTCAATGCATGGTTTATTTGATCGCATGGATCGCGGACGAATGGCTGATCAGGTAAATAGCAATTTAAATAATCCAGTCTTTTCCTTTTTTTTTAATTGAAATGTGAACTTTTTTTTCATTAATGATGCCTTGTAATCTAGGAATGGACAAAGAAGACACCGGACGAACGTTTTAGAGAAATGTCTGGTATGATGGATACATTGGTCAAGTCGCTGCACAGACCACGTTTTTCCAAGCAGCGATTCCAGATGACAGCCACCAAGGAACGCAACATGTTCATGTCTGACCTGTTCAGCAAGGTGGACAAGATGGAAGGACGACGACTGGATAACCAAGATGCACAGATCCGTCCGCGTAGCAGGAGTCCAACAGGAATGATGCCTTCACCTCCCCCTTCACCGCGCATTCTGGAAGAAGAAGAAAAGGAACAAGACATTTTTGATTTGTTTGACCATATGGCACGATCACAGTTTTCCAATCAACGGGCAGTATACCGAGGACCGGTCCATACTGGTAGCAGCAACAACAGCAGCAACAAACCATCTTCATTTTCATCGCCTTGTGCTGCATAATTAGCATAAGCCCCCTTTTTGGTTTTGTTGTTTACCGTATCAACCTACTAGTACCTTTGCCTTTTCATTTCATAATCTCTATTTATAGCTCTCCGTCTACTACTTGACCTTCTGTACAGTAAAGTATTCGCTTTTTAGCATAATATACATAACTTTTTTTTATACTATTATAAAAACCCCCCATCCAACCAAAAGCAAGCAACAACAGCAAACAATGAATTTCCTAGCGGAGTGGCGTCTCTTTCAAGGGCGATTTTGCCCTTCAGGCGCCCCTCTTTATATTTTCTTTTCCTTTCACTCTACCCTATCTTACGTCCTCATGGCTTCTTTATTTCGACCCGTCTCCATTTCCACAAAATTTGCTAGGGTAAATAGTTATGCTTGAAAGCAGCTTTAACTCTCTCCCTCTCTCTTGAAATTCTCACTCTTGTGTTGCGCACATTCTTTAGGCATTTTCGTCGTCAAGTGCTCGTTTGGACTGTAAGTTCTTTCACTGGGGGATCCAATCGATTTGATCTTTTTTTTTTGGTTGCCTTTTTTAAAGAGAATACTATCAAAAAAAAAGGCGTTGACTAATTCATATGGGATTGTAGTGAACAAGGTTCAACTCATTGGACGCGTTGGTGCAGATCCCACAGTGACTGAATTTGCACAAGATCGTCGTGTTGTCAACTATACTGTAGCAACTTCTGAAACCCGACCTGACAAAGAAGGTAACCTGTTCAAGCAGAAAGCTTATGATGGCTGGGAGAGAGAAAGAAGAAACACACAAAGAGATAGAGAGTATCCTCTGTATTAAAATATTGGGTTGATTATCAGGTAACCTGGTTAAGCGAACACAATGGCACCGTATCACGTCTTGGACCGCGGCAGACTGGCTTCCTGAAAAGGTCAAGAAAGGGTAATAAGACAAGAGGAGAAAGGGAAAAGTGGGACCATTGCTTGCCGCTTTCTTTTATATAGAGCTGACACGATGTATGGGGATTGTTTGTTTTTAGTGACCTCGTCTATGTGGAAGGAAGCCTTCGTTATAACGACTATACGGATCGGGAAGGTGTTTCGCGCACCAAGGCAGAGATCCATCAATGTAAGAAAATAATGACAAGCGGCGTGTGTGTGTGTGTGTGTGTGTGTGTCGTTCACCTTTGCTAATTACTCTATGTTTTTGGGGTTAAAATAGCAACATTCAGATTGCTTGGCCGACCTTCCTCTTCGCGTGACGAGGAATAAGACGCGTTGACACCGGATAAAATCAACTCCCGTCCCCGTCAATTTTTTTTTTTTTTAGTCGGAGAGCATTTCCATAAAACGTGACCGCATAATCATTTTGTCTATAAAACAAAAGGCGAATGTTTGGTCCTTTTTCTTTCCCTTTCTTTCTTCTCGATTGTATTTCAGTCTCTTTCCATTCAGGTATGTATCGGCTATATAGATTGTGTGTGGTGTTGCTTTATTTAGCAGTCGTGGGAGGTAGAAAGAGAGAGGCAAGAAAAGAAAACGGTGATGATAGCAAATATTTTTCGAGCACCATCAGTTGTCCTCCGTTCTGGAGGACCAGGTGCAATGAATTTTATTTTCAATCTTTTTTGAGTTCATAGTTACACTGAGTTTTCTTTTCTTGTGCGGTTCTCTCTCTCTTTTGTGGGGATTCCTCTCTCAGGAAATATGGACGGGGAAAGGGAAAACAGAAAGGCTGATTTCATTTTATTTTTCTCTATTGGCAGATTTTTTTTTCACCTCCCCTGGACAAAAATCTTGGATGGATAGAAACTAGCTTCATTTTCATTGTCAATAAAAAGAAACCTTGTTTTTTACAGTAAATATTTGTTCATTGGGCTTGGGGATTTCGATATTGATTGCAAGCTTTGGTTGGGAGAAGGGGAGTGGGGTGCTTTATGTTTTTTTCATAATCCAGGTAACAACGTTGGGAGGAGGCTTAGGGCGTTTGTTCAAAAAAAAGGAAAAAAAAATTCTCGGTTGCTGTTGACAACAAATTTGACGGGGATACTCTTTGCGAGAATCATACCCAAAGCAGCTAACATATAAGCCATCATTTCCTTTTGTTTTCAGTGATCAAGCGTATACAGCACATGACTACCGAATACATAGCAAGGTTTTTTGTAGAAGAGTGGTCGATACTTCCACATGGAGTTGAGGAGGTCGCCATGATAATTTTTGGTGGGCCAACGAACCGGACAGCTCATAAATCCTAACAAACTCGTTTCTGGATGCTGTCCGTAGGCAATTTTTCGTACGTGATGCGACAAAAGGCTGTTTACTCGTATAGTGACAGTCCTTTGAATGAAGCTGCTTGTGATAGAATATTAACGAACATAATGAAACTGAATACCTGGATCCGTTTACTCGTTTTCAAAACATACATAAATATAGCCGATCACCCTTAATTACGTATTTATCTCTATGCTCAAGGCGCATGCTTAGATATTAGGAAGCGTCTGGCAAGGATGTTGATGTTCGCACTACATTTGGAAGAAGCATACGAATATCATAAGAAGGTGACTTTGTATGCACACATTGTATTGTACTAACCTCTATATTTTCGTTTAACAATATGATACTTTGAAAATCAAAGCGCTCAATCGATGGATGATCTTGGATAAGAGGGATGAAATGTACCATCATGAGTATATGCGTAAGCGCACCAGTTTATGCCCTACGATTATTTGCTTTCCTCTCATGCTCTGTGCTCGCCATTTTCTACAGTAAGTCCCTGCTTTTTGCAATATGATGGGATTCCCTAGAAAAAGACGCGGACAGCGGGCTTTTGCAAGAATCGAGAGCAGGCATTGTTCTGAAGTACTGTATAATGTCTGCTTTTAAGCTAATGAGTATAGTATGACACTAGAGGTCGTGTATATATCGAGTTATGTTAATAGCCTGCAGAGAGATCAATCCGTGTATTATATATGGCATTCAATTGACAACGCCCATTGATTATGTACTACATAATAAAGTGAGCTATGTAAAAAGGAAACAGCATATGTCATGCTCTACTATGAGTTTATATATCATAGAAACGTATCAACTACAACTGCACAATAATTGGCACATTCAAGTAAGGGGATATAATAGACACATTGAAGCGATCATTTTGCAGGTGTTGTAGCGTCCACAATTATGCGTAGTTCTGTAACCTCCTGGGCTGAGAGCTTAACCTGACCAGCGTTGACATTTTGCTCCAAGCAGTTGATTTTCTTGGTACCGGGGATAACGATGATTTCATTTTCTTGAGCAAGCATCCAAGGCAAAACAAATTCTGATGGAAGCACGCCCTTCTTATCTGCAAGGCTCTTGATCTTGTTTACAAGTTCCAAATTCTTTGCAAAGTTCTCGGGGGAAAAGCGAGAGTTTGTCTTTCGGAAATCCGTATTCACGAGCTCGTCGGGAGACTTGATCGCTTCAGTCAAGAAGCCCAATCCAAGGGGAGAACTAATTTTGGTGTTTACCAAAGTTGTTTGTTTTGTGTTAGATTGCAATAATCGTCAAGCTAATATGTATGATAGCTAAAAAAAAATAAGCCTATCGCACTTACTAAGCTACAACAGACACCCCAAGGTCTCTAGCAGCATCAAGCAGGCCATTCTTTTCAATATCCAGGATCCAAGGAGAATATTCTTCCTGAATGACGGCGATTGGATGCACTTTGTGTGCACGTCGAAGGAGATCCGCATCAACACCCGACAGTCCCAAATACCGCACCTTGCCTTCCTTCACCAACTCTGCCATGGCCTTGACAGTCTCTTCGATAGGACTGAATCATCATATTTTGCAAAAGACTTTAGTGGAGCGCTTGTAACACGAAAAAAATAAAAGGCTGCGGCTTTAAAAAAAAGTCGACGAATGAACAAGAACTACTGCTTACGTTGTAGGATCACGGCGGTGCATGTAGAACAAATCGATAGTGTCTACACCAAGACGTTTGAGACTGGCATTACATGCTTGGTGAACATACTCTGGTTTTCCCGATAATCCCAAGAACTGCTTGGTCTTTTCATCACGGATGACACCAAATTTTGTCCCCAGGAACACTTTTACGCGATTTCCTCTCTCGGCAAAGTATTTTCCTTATAAGCGTTCATTGTCACCAGCCGCATACATGTCGGCCGTGTCCCAAAAGGTACATCCAAGTTCCAACGCACGATCCAGAACGGCCATGTTTGTTTCCTCATCAAACGTGTCGCCGTAAAATTCGGTCATTCTATTTGTGTACATGTGAATACAACAACCATCAGTATGATTTAGCATGCGCGCTAACGGTTACACCATAAATATGCACGCTCAGTTACCACTCTTACATAGATAATGACAGCAATACTTTACATCACATTTTACCTACCCCATGCATCCAAGACCAAGCGGGTTAATAAAAGCTCCGGATCCTTTGCCAAGTTCACGTTGTAGAGGTGCCATGATACTTTTAAGGGAGAATAAGGGTTCTCGTTGGTATAATTTCTGTTTGATCCTCTCAAAATTTACCCTTTATATAAGTAATATCGAAGCAATCTTATAACTAAATTTGTTTAAAAGCTTACGCGTATTGTTTGGCCTAATCAATAAAAGTTCTTTATGAGAGTAGTTATAATGCAGCGAACAACACATTACTCGATCTGTTTACCATAAATGTCTTTGGCCACGTGATAATGATGAATGGATGTGCTTGCTTTAAATGGAAAAAGGCGGCCTACATAGCTGCTGTTACACAGCGCATAATGCATTGCGCTTCAATTACTAAGCAACCGCTAAAGTTGCACATTGTACATTATGGTTTACCGAGAGCGGCTCTCCCTTTTCCCAGCAACTATTTATTTATTGATTTTTTGGTTTCTGATTTAGAGATCCAAGTTAAGGTCAGGTACATAACCAATCTTGTTGAAATGGTTTATAGCGAGCTTTGCTTTCTTGACGAGCGCATCGGCGGTGATATTGAATTTTTCGTACAACTGTTTATACGGTGCCGAAGCCCCAAAGCGATTGCGCATACCGACGCGTACGTGAGCATACCGTTCCCAGCCCCAAGTTCCCAAGGCTTCAATCGAAATGACTGGAACACCTGGCGTAAAGACTGATTTTTTATACTCGTCCGACTGTTCATCGTACAGCTCGGTGCATGGCATGGAAACAACGCGTGTGGCTATACCCTCGTCGCCCAAAGTCTTGGCCGCTTCCACTGCAATGGACGTTTCAGAACCAGTGCCAAGTAGAATGACCTGAGCGTTTTCTTGATCTTCGAGTATATAGGCTCCTTTACGAGTTCCTTCAGCCGATGAGCCTTTGAGGTTGGGCAATGCATGGCGGGACAGCGATAGCACCGAAGGGCGATGGAGTTCGTTCATGGCAGCCCAATAAGAACCACAGACTTCGTTGGCATCAGATGGTCGGAACGTTAGCAGGTTTGGTGTACTGCGGGTTAAGGCCAAGCTCTCAATTGGCTGGTGAGTAGGACCATCTTCACCCAGACCGATCGAGTCGTGCGTCATAATGTAGATGGCTCGCTTTTCCATCAATGCTGCGAGGCGAATAGAACCCCAGCCATATCTACATGTTGAAAGAAGCATTCCAAAAAATACAAATTGAGAACGTTTGAAAGCAATAAATATACAATTTCTAAATACTTTACGTCATGAATTGAAGATATGTTCCACCCAATGGAACGATCCCGCCATAACAAGCCATTCCATTCATGATAGCAAACATCGCATGTTCACGCACGCCGTATAATATGTAGCGACCGGAGAAATCTCCTAGTTCGGTTGAGGGCTGATACATGATGAGTAAAAGGACAAGTGAAAGGGATTAGCGATCATCAAAAGATATAAATAGGGGTCCAATTCTTACATGCTGAAAGGTGGTAGCTGTCTTCCAACGTGTCAAATTTGACGGAGTGACATCGGCAGAACCACACATGATATCAGGAATAACGTCGGACAATGCATTGAGGACAATTTCGGATGCTTTGCGGGTTGGCATGGCCGGATCATTGGGCGAAAATGTCGGTAGCACCTCATGCCATCCTTCTGGCATGGCACCGCTGAAACGTCGTTGGATTTCTGCGGCCTCTGTGGGGAATCTTTTGCTATAGCTGTCGAACAATGCGTTCCACGATTTTTCCTGTTCCTCAAGCTGTTTTAATCTAGCATCGTACAAGTCGCGCACCTATGGAGAAATTATCATACTCGTAAGTGATCCCTCTATACAAACAGTAAAAAAGACCTATAAAATACGAGTGATATTACATACCTCTTGAGGAACAACAAAGGTTTCGTCGGGATTGAATCCGAATTTCTCCTTCAGCTGCTTGATATCGTCGACTAATGAAAAAAGGTATTTAGTCGGTATGTTGTAAGCCTGAAAACCGATTAGGATATATCTTAACATTGAAGAAAAGAAGCTGACTTTGCTTAAACTTACCTGAAAGAGGAGCTCCGTGCACTTTGGGCTCGTTTTGTATGAGGGATCCAAAGCCTTTAAATTGATCATACATTGAGTAATTGTTAAGCTCACTCTTAATATATATATGTGAATCGTATACCCCAGCGATAATCCATATGAATATTTCTGTTACCGATAGTTGTCTTGATTTTGATCATGGTTGGCTTATCCTTCACAGCCTTCGCTTCTTCGATTGCTTTTTCAACAGCCTCTAGATCGTTATTTCCATCCTCTACCACCAAGATATGCCATCCACAAGCTTCTAATCGCAACATGGCATCCTCGCTGAATTGGACCTTGAGTTCGCCATCAATCGTAATGTTATTGGCGTCATACAAGCAGATCAGTTTGCCCAGCTTCCAATGACTATTTGAGTACCGTTATTATTAATTTTTAAGTATAAACAGAGCAAAACATTGTCATTTTCGGGTGAAATAAATGTATAACTTGTTATACGTACCCTGCCAATGAAACAGCTTCCAACGCAACACCTTCCATTAGACATCCATCACCAAGAATGACATAGGTATAGTTGTTGAATATCTCGTAATCTGGTCTATTGTATACAGCTTCCAAGTGTGCCTGCGCTGCTGCGAGTCCCACAGCGTTCGAGATACCTGCATGTTTCGAGCTGGTGTTAGTATACCCAGCCCATGGTGCTCAACGAATTAAAAAGAGGACTGCTCTGATGAAATACCTTGACCAAGCGGACCCGTTGTCACCTCAAGACCTGGTGTCTCTGTAGCTTCAGGGTGCCCAGGTGTCCTAGACAAATAAAAAGGTATTTATAACATCCTCCCTTATTTACAAGCTACCATATCATGTTAGAATTATTCTCGAAGAACGTACTTGCTACCGAGCTGTCGAAAATTTTTCAAGTCTTGCATTGACAAATCATAACCCAGGAGATGCAATAGAATGTATTGCAGGGCACTGCAATGACCGTTCGATAACACGAAACGATCGCGGTTTATGAACTTGGTGTTCCGAGGGCTGACGTTCAGGAATTTGCTGAAGAGTACATGGCCCATTAGTGCTCCACCCATGGGTCCTCCTACACACATGTATTGCGAATAGCAATGTTGGCATCAAATTAGAAAACGGTATCTTGTTTCAACATCACAAAGAAAATGGGTATGCATTTGAAAGATATTATCGCTTACCAGGATGGCCAGAGTTAGCAGCGCGGGTCATATCGGCTGCAAGTACACGGACTGTGTTCACTGCTCGTTGGTCGACTGTCTGTACCATATTTTTTCAAAGAGGTTGACGATTCTACGTTGTAATGGAACTTAAAGAAGAGAATTGAAAAAGCTTTTCAAATTGATCAGCTGCTTCATTTGCATTTATAGCTTAGCAATTGAGCGTGTAAAAAGAGTCAACTGATGGTTTATGTGATACTTGCTATGCAGCCATTTAGATTTACATTAACAAAGAAGCTTCATGTTTTTCCCGAAGCAGAGTGCAACAGGAGCATCTTGTTGTCCGCGTATACAGTACGTAGTATCGGTGCAATCATGCTCTCGTGGTGACCCATTTAACCGTTAACAAAGCTGACATCTTATAGGTTCATTATTAGCTTCATTTTTAAAAAAACCTTGTTTTCTCGAGTTCTTTAGCTCTGATTAGATGCACGGGTTTTCATGTCTCCACGGAAGTAGTTTAGGCAGGAGAGAAAACCTTGAGAAAGGCTTTTATTGCTTCCGTGGAATTCAATTCATGCGAAAAAAGTCAGAAACTTTATTTTTTTTATCACAGAATGTGGAGAACGTGAGAGGATTTCTTGCATAATAGAAGTAGGCTTGTTGATGATACATTCCCATCTCACATACAAATGATCAAGTTTCTCTTTGATAATTGTAAACATATACATATCCTCATGGTATGACGCGTGTTATTACGATAGTTGGCCAATGTTCAGTGATTTATAACAAAGTAGTATGATTATTTGCTCAGCATCCGAGCAATCTCTATCAGGCACCAAATCGTATACTAGCGCGTTATATAAATCGCCAAAAAGTGAGCTCTAATAAAAGATCAATAAATTGATAATTTGCTTATTTGTTATTTAAATAGCATTCTTTAGCATCTTTAGAATAGTTAGTAGACTCGGGTTTACCTATTTTGTATGTGAAAAAAAAAGTTATCAGCCATCAAAGTTGGCCGCTTTTGCCGGTTTTTGGCTGAAGCTGTATAAATTCGAAACACTGAACTTTATGCCGGATTCGAAGCCAGGATCGTTCTCAGCCAAAAGAATTGCGTGCCGTATTTGGTTTCTTTGCTAGTTACTAGTCGATAATGCACAGGTGACTCTGCCAGAAAATTTGGCTGTACATTTTGTGACCCAAGTGACCGGTAGGGCAGATACATTGAGGCATACAGCCGCAATATGTCCGGGGAAGAAACAGATAAAGAGGTATTTTTAAACAATGAAGTCGCATAGACGCATAGGCGCATAGGCGTAGCAATACAAAGCGGACGTTTAAAGCATAAAAAAAATGAAACATTGGCGATTATAAACGGGATGCATCATAGCCGGAACCTGCAGAATCTTCTCTAAGTATATATAATAGTATTAGTCTTCTGGGTCAAACGCCGGAAGTATACTTAATCTTAATACCAACAATACGGCGATGATGATGATGGTCGAGACCGCGCTCACATATCGCTGTTGTGCTTGTCTCCCCACATTAAAAAGTATCAATTACACTTTCTACAACCTATGCAAACAGTATAAGAAGTCCTTTTGCGCATAATGCAGAAAAGAAGAGTAAAAAAGAGGAGGATGGCAAAAAAAGAAAGATATATACATCTTTAATGTAGAAATTGTTGGTTTTAATGCATTGTGAAAGTGGTTGTAAGACGATTCACACGACATGTACAGACCTTGAGAACGGTTAAATTGTTATGCAGCAACGTATACATACTGAGTGTGTGATACCAGGATTAAGTAAGGATCGGAAAGGCTTAATACTCTAATTCATGCTTCGGTTACATGTTGTTATAGGTTCACCCGTTACTACAGTACAGTAGTACTATGCACTACTGCTTAAGACCTGCTGCATTAATGTATAAATATCATATAAAGTATTGACCCTTTTGACTCTTTTCCTTCTCACTGTATAGTTTTTCTCCCTTTCTTTTTTTTATCACCTCAACAAAATAACTTTATCACGATGACTGCCACAAAATCGCCCAATGTCTTTGACTTAATGTCTCTTAAAGGAAAGGTTGCAGTTGGTAAGTATTTGGAAGAATTAAGTGATGCCAAAATCGCGAACTGATAACGCTTAATCAAAAGAAAAACGCTCATTCAAAGTTAATGCTTTGTTTAGTGACCGGAGGTGCCCGCGGCCTTGGATACGAAATGATGCTCGCGTTGGCTGAAGCCGGTGCGGATGTAGCATGCATCGATATCCTTGGTGATACGGCAGTGGTATCTGCACAAGTTGTGGCAGCCGAATGCAAGGTCAAATCAAGTGGTTGGGAATGCGATGTAGCCGATGAGGAGCAGGTTGCGTCCGTGTTTCAAAAGATTGTCGAGCACCATGGTCAAATTGATGTACTGGTTACCGCCGCTGGTATCAACAAGAATGGTAAAGCTTTTGAGTTTACGGGCAAGGATGTACGCAAGATCTTTGATGTCAATGTCACTGGCACATTCTTCTGCATGCAACAAGCCGCCAAGTATGGACTTTGATCTTTATCATCTTTACGTGGAGTGTCATAAGTATGAGAGCGCTAACATGGTATACATGTCGAATTTGGCTATATGATAACCTGATAGACATATGATCGATGCTGGACGAGGTGGATCCATTGTCACAGTGGCATCCTTGGCAGCTCATGTCTTCAACAACCCGCAGATTCATGCACCATACAATGCTAGCAAGGCGGCCGTACTACAACTGTCAAGATGTCTGGCCTGTGAGTGGGGACCCCACAACATTCGTGTAACCACCATCTCCCCCGGCTACTTTGCGACGGAAATGACAAACAAGCTTATTGGTGAGATGGGCATGAGTGTAGAGGATACAGTGAAAACCTGGAAATCGGAAGCTCCACTGGGTCGCGTCGGCACGCCACACGAGTTGAAAGGAACCGTCGTGTTTTTGGCATCAGAGGCATCGGCTTTCTGTACCGGTACTGAAATTTTGGTTGATGGTGGCGCAACCGTTTGGTAGTGGTAGGCGCCTGATCAGTTCAAATTATACGCACCGCATTACAATAAACACACATACTTGACATCAACACGCAAGATCATCATGAAACTGAAGAATAAGATATGATGTATTGATTGGATGCTTTTTTGTGGGGTAACAAACATAATAGTCAGAACAACAAAATAAGAAATGTGTGATAAGGGAATAATGTAACAGAAGAAAGTTGATATGTAAAGAAATACTGATGCGATAGCAGATATGGACAGATATGGGGGGGGAAAGAAATGATAGCATGTATAAAGTGTGAAGAAATAAAATGCCCTGTTTTGTGCAATGAGAATGAGAAATATAGTAAAACGCGCCCGGTTTGGTGTGTTGTTATCGTTATTGTGGTTGTTGTTGCTGGTGCTCAACAAACAGTGATCCTTGCTCGACATCATTCGTTTCAAATAAGCGTTCCCATTGATCTGGTGGAACCAAGGACCCAAATAGACGCGTCATGCTTTCTCCCAGCTAACAATAAAACAAAACGTTGCTTAGTGAAGCAAACACAGCAAGGTCCTTTGTTTGATCATTTCCCTCTCTGTTATTTCTTACCTTGTCCAGATCTCGAACGATATCCTCCATCATGGTAACGTACGCATAATAAAGGACATAAACATGTTCCTTTTCCAGCAATTGTTGGGACTGAACTACCGGTAGTTGCCTTAAACGGGAGATCAGCGACTGCCATGCACTGCGCGCAGGTGGGAAGTACGGCGGTAGCGGGGTCTTGAGGCGGAGCGCCGAGGCTAGTAAATAAAAGTAGAGAAGGACATTGCCGACCATCTCACGCGATTCTCGACTCACAGGCATGATGAAATCGCGCTGGACATCGTCAAACCATGCATCCTTGAGAATGATGGCGCGCATGGATAAGAACTTGTCGACAATGTTTTGGCACGACATGAGCATGTCCTTGTACGTGGACACCGGGAAAGAGCCCTTGAGACGCGGCTCATTGGGCGTTTGAGCCAATAATGCCTGGAGATCCAATAACGTTCGCTGCAGCCCGAGTTCCATCTCTTGAAACATTTGCTTTGCCTGTTGCCGCTGACCCACCAATGTTTCGGTTGAATCGCTATCCTTGATGAGGGTGGTGGTACCATCAGCAGCAGCATATGACATCACACGGCGTTCTTCATCGGGCCGTTCGGAATACATGGACACTAGTTTTTGATACAGCCATGCCATGCGTAACAGAAAGTCTGAGAGCTGTTTGCGTAATTCGGATCGCGCTTCAAAGGGCCAAACATAGTTGGTTGCAAAGAGACCAAAGACGACGCCGATAAGGATGGCGACGCACCGTTGGAATGCCAGGCGCCACACCTCCACTGTGTTTGTCTCACGGTCGTTGTATTTGTTGAGCAGCACGAGATTAAATGCAAGGAGCGTGAATTGTCCAAACTTGCCATGCTTGTGGTTGAGAATGAGCCAAAAGTTGGGTATCGAAAAGAGCCACGCTAGGATGGGCAGGACGTACATGTTGGCCGGGAACACCATGTAGAAGGCCATGGCCATGAAGCAGCCCAGCGCGGTCGAGAAGATACGGTAGATCGAAGTCAAGTTGGTGAGGCCGCTTGTAGGTGTCATTACTACCATGAGCTTATAAACAAAAAAAATGGGGGCTTTAGTCAATCTCATTACCCATAGCCAGACAGAGATATGCAAGGTCTTTTGAATTTAGTTACCGTGATGAGGGCCCATTCCATCCGCCACTCTCTAAACCAGTTTGCAGTTGACTCTAAAAATGCGGGCAATGCGAGGAGAACGGTTGCAACGGTTGCCTTGGTAGCGTACCGGACTTTCTGTAGCTTAAAGAGCGAGAATGTTCGCCAGACTCGCAAGAAGATTTTGCGCCAGGTCGTTGTGGGTTCGGGTGTATGCAGCGTATTCATCGTGTTGCTCTCGTTGGGAACAAAGCCGCCAAACGAAGATCTTCTCCGTGGCTTCTTCTCATGCACTAGAATGAGAGAGAACCCAGTCTTTTAGTCAAGATAGCTTCCCGCGTACGGGTAAATGAATGAAGAACATTTACCATTATCTCTGTTCTTTTTCCAAGCAAACAACTGCCACCAGTGCATTGACTTTACAATTTCTCCCGTCTCAGACCATTCCCGGACGACCTGCACCAAAGTAATAAGCTCGCGTGCGAATTCAATCATGTTGAACACAAAGAAATAGACGAGGAACACATCTTCGCCAGGTGCATAGCCAGCCTCTTCGTTCCGTTCTCCTCGATGCATATGCCTGGTTCGACGTTGATGGAGTCGCTGCACCGCCTGTCGCTGCGAGACCTCAAAGAGTGCAATCGCCTTTTCCAAATTGGCTTCCAAGGTATCGTACGTCGGTATCGCCTTTTTGACGCGAGCAGATGGGGTCACTGGTACAAAGCTGAACTGGATGTTGTAAATTGTCTGCTTGCACGTATACGCAAGCGACTTTAGGGGTTGGCGGATGGTGCGGATAAACTCGATCAAAGCTGTCCCATCGTCGGTCTCGTAATGGTCGCTCGATTCGCTCATGCTGGTAGCGGCAGCAACATCAGCGTCTGCAACGACTTGCATCGTCTTTTGCCTGCGCATTTCGCTTTCGAGTCGTCGTCGACGATAACTGGCGCGGATATTCCACTCGTCTTCGGCCGCACTCTTGGTCTTCTTTCTGTTGGACGATCGTCGAAGCCTGCTCTTGGCTTTGCGCGACCCATCTTGTTGTTGCTGCGTGGACATTCTTTCGAATTGTAGACCACAGCTGCTTCGGAGACCTCCGACATGCTGAGCAAGACGCTGCATACTCTTTACGATTTGCTCGTATTCACCGGTCCGACCACGCACTTGTCTGTTCCACATGACCTCGAGTTTCGCCTCGGAAAGGGATTTCTGAAGCGCTGTGAAACTGGACCGGTGCGATTCGATGGCAGTTTGAAGAGATTTGTTTGCTGTAAACTCGGGAAGATCCTCATCCAGAAGGAACGTTTTTGTCAGCAATTTCAAAAGGACTCGGTATGAAGTGAGTGTAGCATCAAGGTCTTTGCTGGTTTTTCGGATGGTGGATTAGCTTATCACTTGACGGAAAGAACCTTAAAGTATAAAGGAATTAAAGCTGCCAAACGACGACAGGGTAACCTACTTTAGCTTTTTGGCAGCAGAAGAGGGCCAGATTAAAATGCAAGCAGATACGGTGATCACGGTGCCAGTGGCCACGGCTGATGTAATTTGCTCGATGCGAGTCGTATTAAAGTCACCGTGGTTGGCCGAACCTTCTCGTACGACAATGATAAAAATGATGATGAAGCAAAGACTTGACGCTGTTGTTGTTGTTGTCATGACGAAAGTATGTTAACCTTAAAGTCCTATTTCATTCTGCATATGAATGTACCCCCATCCATTCCATTTGTGTACAGTACCTGTTGCAACCGGCGGCTTGTTCCAGTGCGCTTTCAAAAAGGCAACGACAAAGGTGGGACCGGCTAGCCAGATGAACAGGGACAGGGTATGCGCAATATCAAAATAGCCCCGATCGATAAAGAAATCAGTGGTGATCATGGAACCAAGGCAGGTGGTCAGTGCGAAAAGGGTATAGCCCCAGCCATATGCGGCAGCCTCGACCATGCCACCCAGGGATTTGGCTGGATTGAAAAACACTGTTGCCGTGGCAACCAGGTGACTCGATACACGGTTGTTGCCAATGAGCGAGTTGAGCGCAGGCACAAACGTAAAGAGCGAGCCGAAAAAGTAAGCAAAGCTGCATTTGAGAACGTTCCGTTGAGCGTTGGTCAGCTTGAAGGACCGACAAGCATGCCATCTGCGCCTTAAACGGGCCCGAAGCGAGCTATCAACGTCGTCTGGATCACGACCATCTTTGCTTACGATGGGTCGGTATCGCTTTTTTCTGCTGTTGCTGCTGTTGTTGCTGCTGCTGCCGGCTGGGAAAAAGGGCGTATCGGACGAATCTGTATCTGAAGTGGTTGTAGATGACGATGACGAAGATAAACCTGAAACACCATAGCAGGGTCGTCGAGCACTAGATGCGTCGCGTAACAATGGGGTTGTCTCTCTGCTATTGCTATTGCTTGCAACACACAAACAAATAAGCCCCTCATATTACTTGCAACATAAACAAACAAAACACCTCTCCTCTTTGCTTTTACCTATTGAAGCCTGGGTTCTTCAGTGGCTCCTGCGGCGGCCGCTGCTGTTGATGTTGTTGTTGTTCGCTGTGTCTACCAGCGGCATTCTCATCGCTGCCCTCCATTGTGGAATCCTCATCGCTATGCAGTTGTGGTTCGGGTATGGTGGATAGCGACACGGTGCGTTTCTGGATCATGCCGTCTTCAAGGACGACTTCTATTTCGCTGTAAGACGACGGGGATCGTGTCGGGATATCAGACACCTGCTCACCCCATTGTGCCAGGGTTGAATGACGATCGCTCGCGTAGGATCCGGGCGATGTTGACAAGACAGTTTGTTGGCCCCGAAGAACGGTGGGGAAGGGTATAGGGGCAGCGTTGCGTGGCAAGCGCTTAGCCATAGTGTTGTGGGTGTTATATATTATTTTTTTTGACAGCGGAGAAGAAGAGTGCGTAAAAAAACAAAAAGTACGCCGTCAAACAAACTCCCTCCTTTTTATCTGAATCCGACGCTACACCAAAGACACAAAAAAAGGGCTAAAGAAGAAACACGCATACACTACACACATGGTGGTACTTTATTTTCTTTCTTCCTTTTTTATACATTTCAATGATGAAACGGGTTTCAATCCCACTGCCAGAAGAAGCAGAAGAAGAAACCGACGACAATAAGCAATCTTGAAAAGCGCGGGACCCCCCCCCCTCTCCTCTCCCCTCAAGTTTCTTCACACCACCTCCCCTTTTCTTCGTCTTGTTTGATAACTCCCCAAAGTCTTACCACAATTCTTTCGGGCATGTCCTTGTTGCTGTCCGCTTGGAGCGGGTTTTGGCGTTTCTGGTCCGCCAGCTGCTTGCTTAGCTTGCCGTCTTGTTTCACCACGCCACGATTTTCAGCCTTTTTCCATACGTTTGTCCATAGTCATTATTTCCTTCTTTTCCTTGGCATATAATAAAAGCTGTGGGGTGTTCTTTCTTTTTACCTTGAGTCGACGTTGCTCCGCTGCTGCAAGCATAGCTTCTCTATCGCTGCCTGGACCACTGCCACTACCACCACCAGCAGAAGGAGAAGAGGCAGACGAGCCCAAAGCGTTTCCACCACCACCACCTAATGGTGCATTTGGCCGCTGTGCATTACCGTCGGCGGATCCCAATCGCTGTCCCTGATTATTCTTTCTTGTGCCTAGACAATTTCCCTTTTGATGGAAACCAAAAAAAAAACCAGACATTAAGTTTTTGAAATTGTACACACATTCACGTTAAGCCATGGTACGGCGTCCTGTTTTTGAAAAGAGTCCCAACAGAATGTTACCATAGACTGTATGTAATATTTATTGTAAGACCTCAAGGAAGCTCAGTTTTTGGAAACGATGGAAGGCACGCCCCCACAACCCAAAATGGCTCGGAGAAAGAATTATGCGAATATGTTGCATAGTAACGGGTGCGTGCCCATTATCTCATAGCTACTTTATAGTACGTGCGTAACAACGTCTTGCAACAACCAAACTTGAAACGCCATCTTTTTTCTCTTCCTTGAAAGGATGGTATCATTGTTTGTCTTTTTTCTAAAACCCACATTCCATCGCTGTGCCAACTGTTTGTGTGCCCCGGCCAGCAACAACAACCGATCATTTGTAATAGGGTTAGCCAGAAATGGGTTGTCTTTACAGTCTATTTTTTAGCTTATCTTTTTTTATATAGCTTATGCATCAATTAATACACATGCATTTCGAATGGGGACACCCGATCGAACACAGCATTAGCGCTGAAATAGATAAAATGGAAAAGAAGATGTTTCTTTTTTTTTCCAATTCAGCCAGCAGACGATAGAGGTCCATTCATATCAAAGATCCACAGCAACTGTTGTGTATACAGCCGCGCACCCCTCCCCTTAATGATGTCTACTTGCGTCAATGATGGGTAAATAGAAGATTCCTATGTATGATTATACAGTTATACATTGAATCGATTTCCGATCATGCAAGTTACCAGGGCCTGACTATACAGTATATGCTTTTTTCGGTGAACAAGCAGCAGGAAGGAGGGAGGAAGGGGGAATGTTTATTCGTCTCAGAAAAAGCATCGCCAACCGGCGCTAAAGGAACACATGCATCATGATCTTGCCGTCTGATACACTCATAGTAATGATAATAAAGAAATTGATCTCGATCAAATAAGCTTTTCTTCTACCTATATTCAGAGTGTAAGATCCCCGAGCAGTGTTGTTGTTTCGGGTGATGCGCATGCTGTTGTCTCCTCAATTACTTTGATATTCCTTTTTGTTTCTAATTTGTTAATTGGATTAAAGAATTGGTATGTAATTTCTTCCTTAGTCGACTCGGATACGCTATTTTCTTATCATCAATTACGTACAATTACATTTGTCACCAGGCAATGGCAATGATGGAAAAAGGAGCCCTGACAAGGGTAGCCTTCATTATATCAAATTATTATCAGAGCTGATGGAAAAAAGAGCTTTTTTCATCCAAGCACTTGCGTCTTGGGTCCAACGTCTGTTGCTAACATTTGCTATTTCGAATCAAGACATTTTGAAGTATATCACCGGCGCTTAGTAGTATAATGTAGTATTCACCTGCCTACTATACACCTTCGACAGAAAACTCTACATACATTTTATGTTTAGTAATAAAAGAGCACAAAAGTCTTTCCACTGTCGCTTCCGCCCACCTTTAAAAAGATTGTCTTAGATTAAAGAGATATGGTAGACCTCAAGAAGATCTTGCCACAAAGAATTTATGTACAGTAGTACCCTATTGAAGCAAAACCTGGGATCTAAAAATTTGGACTCTTTTGAAGAATAGATATTTAGCTACCTGCTATCACTGCGGCTACCTGCAAATACATCCGAGTCAGATTGCCTGCGTTGTATCCCTATATTTTGCTGCAGCATATCTCCAACCCTTCTAGGAGGGTTGGTGAAGAGAGGCTTACTTGATACCGATATAAAACGAGGTCCTCAGCTTGAAGATCATTCAGAGATGTATTACTATTATCATCGGTAGAAAACTTGGATTGCACTGCTGCCCTTATTGAACTTACCCTCTACGTCATATAATTGAATGTTTTAAAATCTAATAGAAGATAGTGGGGATGTCTGTCATAGTACTTTATGGTTTCTACTCATTAGCTTATGAGTTATTCTAACGCTCCAGTATACCGACGGCGTAACTTTTTTTTTATGATTTTTGAATGAGTAGTATACATGTATCGTACTCATCGTCCGATCGACCTCTGTCCAGCCTCGACAAAGCATTCCTGAAGAACCGCTTCTCGGGTGTCACTTTGCCATGCTCCAACACTGATGCCGTTGTCGATGCTGCTGTTTCATGTGTATATAGTATTCTACGATGCCCGGACCCACGAAAGCATGATTGCTGATGCATGTATACCAGAGCAAATCGGTTATACGTTTCTGCAAGTGTCAAAACAAGGGTATAAAACATAACTTTGTTGTGGATCTATTCACTGGATGGATTTCGGAAATGTAAATATCTGTTAACTTTGGTTGTCTTGGAAAAAGCGAGTAGGACGCCAACAAAATTAACGCACATGTGGATTTTACTTGCTGCTGTATAAGAAATGTTTCATAGTCGCCCTTCTTAAACGCACAAAGCCGCCGTAATGATATCATGCTCTTGCTCTTGGCTGCTGCTTCTCAGCAGGAACTAACACTCTAATACTTTACTCCAATGAAAACAGTATGCATATCGCACGAGATTAGCAATGTTATTTATTTAAGTTTTCAGCGATCTGTGCCACCGATTAGACGAAACTTGAAATTGAAAGGTGTCAGTTAAGAGTATTTAGTATTTTCTGCTTATTTTTCAAACCATACAATGACTCATAATAAATTTTGGTAAAATGCACTTTGAAACCTGTGAACGCTATTAAGGATATGTCATTTGCGTATTTTTATGGTAACACTGCAGTACAGTGGACGAGGTAGATCATATATCTCTTCTATCATTTTGCATTATTGAGAGCTACAGTAATCTTTTTTGCAATTATCATAATACTGTTTAAATGTTAATGAGCTTTAAATCCTTATGATGTAATCTATGGCTGTAATAGCTTATGGTTTACAAAGGCTTTTAGAGTCAAACAAGTATATCTTGATTGAATAATAGTCACTTTGACTGCATGATTATTTACCACATTATATTAGCGATAGTGAGTTGCATAAGCAAGAAGCTGCTGTGGTTTTTTTATTCACCAGTACAGTAGTTGAAACCATGCAGGTATAGTATCATATCGGCTTCTACTTCTTTCTAGCACTAACACTTGAATCCCTCCTAAACAACGCTGGACTAAATCTTCAAGCCGACAACAACATATAACCGTAAATGAACGACGCTGTCGTAATATGTCTGTATTATTGTACATTGTCATTGTATTTGCACATGCATATACGCAAAAAGTCCAACCTAAGCTCCTAAAAGTGCAATTCCTTGTATGTATCTCTTACACCCTTATTGCCTTGTTGAATATCTTCAACACGTAATATCCGCTCCTAGCCGCGCCATTCTCTTTCTCAATGCAAATCTCTCGTAATTTCCATTAACAAGACTCAATCATACTGTTTTTTCGTAACCTCTTTTAAGATCAGCCTTTCTATTTCAACCAAGCTCTTATTCCTTCGCGTACCTAGAGCAAATGCGTGTATCTATCCCACAAGGAGTTACTTGCTCACACAAATCAGGCCCTAAATTTTTTTATTGAGGTCACATTTCAGCAGCCGATCGTAGCACGAAGCCCGGATTCCCGGAATGCCTCAGGTGGTACAGCAGCACTTTTTTTTCTTTTGTTTTATGTCAATGCCTTCATTACATGCATATATATACTTCTTTAGCTCATGGAACACAAAGTCTTCCACTAAAGTATATTGAAAAACTTATACCACTTTAAATGTCAAATATACATCCTAATAATCACATGATTTTTCCACATTTATACTTCTTTTTCTCGATCGCTAATTATTTTCCAGTCGCGTACAATATATTTTGATAATCATCTTGGGTACACACAGTCATTTTTACTTTTGTGTACAGATTATCATCAGAGCAACATCGTCAAATAGTTCACAGAAAGCCGTCAAGTAAAAGGGAAAAGAAACCATCACAGTGCTAGGTGGCAGTAGCGTCATGAAAACTCCGACAAGCGTTTTTTTTTAATCCAAAAAGGATCGATCAAGAAGTACAAAGCAAAAGAAGCAGACATCGTTTAAAAGGGGTTAGGAGTAGTAGAGCCATTAGCTACTATAAGCCGAGGCGAAGAGGGTGATAATTAGCAGCATACAAGTCTAGTTGACGTGTATGTGACGGAAGGTTTTCTAGAATGTACAAATCCAGTATTCATGCGGGTTGCCAAAAAAAATGGCAAATATGGCTCGGTAACAAAAAAAAATTATACGAAATGCTTAATGGTGCTTGTTCGTATTGACAATGTGAAACAAGGATAGAAGATCATAAAAGTGGGCAATGATGTTGTGTATTGATACCATAGATGTCCAAAACAAAACAACTAGCATGCAGTGTGCATTTGGATCAGATCCATGATGAAAACCTTAAGATTGTTAGGTTTCTGCGGTTCACCTTGAATATCTCTCTTTCCCCCACCCCCAGCCTTTCAGCTTGAGTGCTCGATCATTTAGCTCCCAAACGCACCAGCAACTTTCGGTCCTTTTGTTAACTTGTGCGCTGCCCTGACCTTTCGAGACAAATGACTGCCTTTTTTTAAGGGAAATCCCCATAATTCGCCTTTAAACACTTCACGCACTTCTCCCAACCCACCTTAACACCCCTCCCCCCAAAAACGTAACGTACTACGCGGGCAAAACGCGCGACCTACCCTAATCCCGATGATCATTTTCAAACCAAGTTGGATCACTCATTCAGGTTTGCCTTCCCCATTTAACTTTCCTTTTAAAACGTTTCATACCTTACACTTTTTTTTTTCTCTCCTTTTGCATTTACAGATCGTGCCAAAGGCGTTAAGCCTTGCGTATATTCTATTCATGTCCATCCTGACGGAAAACGATTAGCTACAGGCGGATTAGGTAAACACGCTGCAAAAACAAAAAAAAAACAGAAAAAAATGATAGAAACTTGTTACGAACAACAACAGCCCTTTCGTTATTCTTCAAACTTTAAAAAATGATTATGTTAACGCCAATCGACGAAATATACATTCTGCATAGATGCCACTGTTAAAATATGGAGCACGGAACCCCTTTTTGACGAAGTAGCAGAACAGAATCCCGATTGCCATCAATTGCTGTGTACCATGCAACGACACAGTGGTAAGATATCAGTTAATAGATAAGCAAAAATTAGCTAATATGCTTTTGCCCATACAAAAAAGCACTGGATTATATATCTGATGGTAACTGATATACAATGATAATGATGGGTAATTAATTATTGCTAGGTGCGGTGCTTTGCGTTCGGTGGTCTAACAATGATGGACGCTACCTTGCGTCTAGTTCGGATAATGATAACGTTATCATTGTATGGGAACTCGACAGGTAATATTATTATACAGACACCTGATTTTCTCCTTGATTTTATTTTGATAACTTTTCGTTGTCTCGTACACGCTGATACATACTAATGTTACGTACAAAATATACCTGTTGACCATTACGCCCGTATCCGTTCTATCAATATAGAGATGCAAGTTCAGAAGTAGTGTTTGGCAGTGCCGCAGTAAACCACGAGCCTTGGCGACCTGTCAAATATCTTCGAGCACACGAATCTGGTAGATTATCATTTCTTCTTATTACCCACAATGCAACGCGGTGGGAGGTGGACACGGGTTACAGTTATTAGTATCGTTCAGCTGGACTTATATTGCTTTTATCATGTAGACGTTCAAGATTTAGCGTGGTCCAAGGATAATCAATACTTGGCTTCTTGTGGCGTCGATGGTGTAGTAGTAGTATGGAATGGGTCGGATTTCTGTAAGTTATACATACATTGGTGTGTCTTTCCAATGGATCGTCATAAGCAACATATTTTATAATGCATGTCCTGGTTTAATTAACTCGCTTATCTTTTGTTATGATGATTATAGCACAAGTCACAAAAATCGATCAGAATGGAGGATTTGTTAAAGGAGTAACATGGGATCCTGTGGGCAAATACTTGGCATGCCAGTCCGATGATAAAATGCTGAAAATATGGCGCACATCTGACTGGGGACTTGAGCAAGAGATTAAAGCACCCTTCATCAATGCACCCGGCACAACACTATTTCGACGGTTGAGGTACGTAATTGGTTGCGCTTTGTCAAGATATGATAACGTACACGATTTTTGTCCCCTCATAACTAAATGAACTTGTTTTTCTCGCACACATAGTTGGTCACCGAACGGTTCGCATATTGTCGCATCCAATGCAGTGAATGGTGTACATTGTATTGCCGCGGTAGTGTCTCGAGAGGATTGGGCTACGGATGTATCTCTAGTTGGCCACCAGCTTCCGATTGAAGTAGCAGTAAGTCTTTTTTCTATTAGTGCCGTGTTTTGGATATATATTGAAGAAACGAGACTGGGCGAAAGTTGTTAAACTCTCAATGTGATGTAAACGCATGTTTTTACTTAGTGCTTCAATCCAAAATTGTTCTATCTCCCTAATGAAGAAGACGGCACCAACAGCAACGACAACAATGAAGCATCGAAATCTAACTCCCGGGAAGCTCCTGCCACAGTGTGCGCGTTGGCCGGTCAAGATCGCGGCGTATCCATATGGGTGACTAAATACTGCAGACCTATTATTGTAGCAACAGACATTTTCGATGGCAACGTATATGATTTAGCTTGGTGTGTAAATCGTGAAAGAATGTTGAAACTTGATTACAGAATTTCAGTGATTATGCTAACCAGACGTAATCATATATGGATAGGTTCCCTGACGGACGCACACTATTAGCATGCTCTCATGATGGCACGGTGGCTTGTTTGCGACTGGACGATACATTTTCTCAAAGTGCATCTGATGAAGAGGTGCTAGAACAGTTAACACAGTACGGTTATAGAGGTGCAAATGGAACGGCTGCCAACGGCATATATCCAGAAAGCGCTGAGCAACTCGCACGTGAAGAACAAAATGCAATTGCGTCTAAAACGAAGCGCATAGCAGATATCATGGGATCAACAGCAGCAACTTCTACTACTACTGCTACAACAACGCAAGCGACAACAGAAGTACCAATACCAGTCACCAATATCAGCACTAGCAGCGATATCAATCGAACGACTGACAATAATGTCATGGCCACTCCTAACAACAGTAATAATAATATTAGCATCAATAATACTCATGCATCCGCAGCACTTCCATCATCATCAGCATCAGCATCAACACGAAACGGCCTAGTTATCGATTCACATAAAGCAAACCAACAAGCAGCCGTAGTAGCATCATCACAACCAACCGACGCAGATTTCACCTCCTCTTCAGAAAAGCTAAACACCATCACAGAGCAAACCGTAACCATTGGCAAGGATGGGAAACGAAGGATAAAACCGGTGACTATTCGAACCAAAACCTCCATGTCCCCACGACCTAGTGGTTTACGATCTAACTCACCGCAAACCAAGGTAAAGCACTTTTTGAAACTTTATCCATCTCCTAAAGCATGTACATATCGGTTGTCAATACATATATATATGCACAATAACTCAAGAAACACATTACTTTCCTTTCTCAACAACCAGATCCAGTTTCAGGATGAAGCGAGACCAGCGGCATTAATCATGACGCGCAATGATCCAACCACTGTATATGAATTCCCTTCGGCCAATATACCAAGTACGACTGGCGTAAGATCCATTGCAACGGGTACAAAGCGACCTCCGGGATCGGAAACGCAAATGGACGTGGATGATATTGAACGGACTCGCAAACGGCCTGTATGGCTGGATTCAGCAATGTTACCACCGGCTGCTTTGAAGAGCAAAATCCGATTAGGCGTGCCCAAAGTCAAATCCACAGTGATCCGACCATTACGGGATGACGCGACAAAGGCCGTAGTCATGGAGTGTGATAATCCAGCTAGAGCTGAAGACGATTCCGACGGCGAATCCGATAATGAACAGAAATGCGCCCGGTTAACTGTCACTTTGAAAGGCCAGACAATGTGGCAGGATTATTTACCGAGTGCTGTCATGCTGATGACCGGCAATGGTCGATTTTCAGCTGCCGCTTGTGAAGATGCGAGCATTCATGTCTACTCGAGCGCGGGTCGAAGGATACTCCCACCCATGGTGCTTGAAAGCACGCCTGTTATTTTACACTGCACTGATCAATGGCTTTTATGTTTAACGTGTACTGGACTTTTGTATACATGGTAAGCGTTCTCTTTGACTTGTACAAGTGCAAAATTCTAATTCTTTATATCATCCAGGGATGTCATCAAAATGACTAGCTGTCTAGATGGCGTATCTATTGCTCCGGTACTCAACGTTGCCCGTTTACCAGAAAGCACAGATGATGATGGCTCAGACGAGCGTCAAGACGCGCCTAGTATCAAAGATGTTCGGATCCAAAAGAACGGCATCCCATTGCTTATTACGAATTATCGACAAGCATTTGCATATCATTTGGGCATGAAAGTTTGGATGCGCATCAGCGATGCGTGGTACATTATCTCTGAGTTCTGGAACTCGGGCATGGGTGCACCCACCGATTATCCCCTGGGCTGGCTCTCAACGGCCATGTCATTGAATACAGGCTTGGATCCACTCGGACCAGCCATGTTGTCATTGTTGGAGGGTAAAAAGGAGGCTGCAAGTGCGATCACTCTAAGCCATCTGGAGGTACAATACGTTTTCATGAGGAGGTCAGGATATACACTTGGATTAGAAGATTTCTAAATCTGGCTCTGGTTTTATTTTTTATCCAATATTAGATACAAATTGCAGTAGCTGCGCTATTGGAATCACCTGTAGAGTATCGAGATTGGCTCAAACAATATGCAACACGATTGTCCCGTGAAAACGCACAAGAAAAGGTCAAGGAATTGTGTCGTTGGCTAGTTGGACCACCGTTTATGTAAGTTATCATGTCCTTTATCGGCAGTGTGATCCGTTATCACTGACCCAGAAAATTGTTTCCTTTTCAAATAGATCCAAGGATGATCAACCGTGGGAGCCTTCAGTGCTGGTACAAGTTTTTCCAACAGTTTCCCTTGCCTCTTATACATTTTTTCCATGCTAGCATGATTTTGCTTACATGATTGTGTTTTCTCTTTTCAATCATAGGGTTCGCTGTCAAAACATGAACTCCTCAAAGAGATACTCCCGCTACTAGGTAACATCTCTTTTTTAGTAATCCACTTCACGTGAGAAAAAGGAAAGACAAAGTTTTTTACTTGGCATTAATGCATGGCCCCACCCCCACTTTTATAGGCTCAAACCGCCGACTTCAACGAACCGTGGATGAGTTCAGCGCCTATCTTCTTTAATTTTCTGTACATGTTTTAAAACTTTTACATAAAAAAAAGGCCGTCTCCTTTTTCTTTGAACGGGCTAACCGAAATACTACGTGAAGAAGCTATACAAGGATTTTTTTTTCTTTTGGCGTGTATGTATGTATCTCTTTTGTACAAAAGTTGTCTCTCCATACTTTTGGGAAAAAATCTATTATAAAAGTCGTGTAGCAAAAAAGTTCAGGCCCGAAGAGCCGCTTTTACTGCTTCCTTTTTGTGCGGGGATGGTAGTAACAGTCGAATCCAGCGACTCGGTATTGCTCGGCACCAGCCGACAATAATAGTAACCATCCTCTCCTGGACGAGCCTCCTGTTTGAGCAGCGTGTCCTCCTCAGAAGACTGTTGATGATCATGTCGTGCAGCACCAGCAATAAGTCTTTGCATGTCAGAAGCATAAGCATCCACAACGCCATCCGGCATAACCTGACGACATCCAAAAGTATAGAGCAGACGATCCTCCTCGGTCGTCCAATGCAGGGAGCACAATCTGTATTCTATTGCTATCGACGTCCCGGATCGATCGACCATGCGATGATGACGCACACACGCATCAAAGTAGGGGCCCTTGCAGACCGAGCAAGTTTTAGCGGTTGCCAGATAAGGCGCTATTTCTCGTGGAATATTGCGTGGTTGTAGCTGTTGGTGCAGTAGTCGCCTGGTGCTGCTGCTACTGCTGCTGCCGGTGGCGTTGCTATACCTCAGTTTGATCAATTGCCTGGCACATGTTTCTACGAGTGATGGGGGATCGTGTGGTAGCCTCAATGGTACTGTCTCGGGAAACCCGCAATGATCGGCCATGAGTTTTCTTATGGAGGGCATGTCGGCTATCTCGGCCGGCAAAGAGGTCAATAACGGGTTGTCCCCGATATGGAATGTTGCTAGCCGTTTGAGACGACCCAGCTGATAGGGTAAATGGACAAGTGAGTTATTGTTGACAATCAGAACACAAAGGTCGTCCAAAGTGCACATGGATGCCGGTAACGTGTGGAGTTGGTTATGGCTCACGTTGACAGCGCGTAGTCGGTTGAGTCGATGAATGGAATTCGGAAGAGCGACAATACGATTGTATGAAAGGTTCAAGACGCGCAAGTGTGTAAGGTTTCCCAGTTCGTTGGGTAGCGTTCGGATCTGGTTATGCGACCTGTTTGCTCCGGTAAGAAGACACCGTAATAGCAAACACAATGCATGTAAATAATCAAGCTCTTTTATGATTATTGTAGAATAGGATACCTAGGTTTTTCTGTTGTCCCTTTTTTTTCTTTCTTTTCCCTTACAAGTTGAGTTGAGTAAGACTCACGAGTGAACCAATACCGGCGCCTAATCGAACGAGTCCTCTACCCGTCAAATCCATCGCGACCGAGGGCATGGTTCGATGATCGACAGTGACTTCTTGAAGTCCTTCGGCGCGTACTTCTTCTGATTGTCGTCGCCGCCGACGCCAAGTCGCACTTTCTGGATCATCATCGTCTGCGTCTTCATAATACTTTTGGTCGATATAGGCCAAGTCCTCGGCAAGTTTGGTATATTCCAGACGGTAAAAGTCGGGATTGTCAAGGACAAGGTCTTGGTCTTCTTCTTCTTCTATTTGTCGTTTTCCGCCGCCATGCAGCGGGTCATGGACTTGCAATGCCATAGTACTGAGAACATTGTTGCCGGTAAATGCAAATGGCTCATTGTGCTTGCTGTTTTGTTGACCCATATTGTTGTCATTCAGTTTCCCCAAAATATAATAAACCAAGCAACAACCTTGGCTCAAGTAACGATAATAATAGCAGGGAAAAAAAAGCACGCAACAGATTCTTTTTGGTAACCCACGCCTTATATAATGCTTGCTCGGGAAAACTCTTTTGCCTTAAAGTAGAGAGTTTAAAACGATAGTGATTGCTTCTTGTTATTGTTGTGCATACAAAAACTTCCCTTTTATTCCGAATCTGTAAATTTCGGGTCTTTCGAACTTGTAGAAATTCTTGAACGTTCAACGATCTTCCTCTTATTAAGCAACTACTATGCAAGCAGGTGAGATCGTTTCTAAGATATCTTACCAATAGCAGTATCATCGAGGGAAAATAGAAAATGAGGATGGTCCTCTTCTTCTCATCAAAGTCCTTTTTCCACCACCGCCAATACGATGACTAGTAGGATACTTTCTCGTAATGTATTAGTACTTTGCTTTTAAAATATAAAAATTCTTGAGCTCCATCTCTTATCTGTATCATATACGGATAGGCGTCGTCAACTTATTTCGCATCTAGACTTAACAAATATAGCATACTAGTACTATCATTAACCCAACACAAGAAGTAGAAAAGTAGTACCTTCCTTCGGCCATTCCCCCGGTCCATATGATTTTTCGTTGCGTCACAATATCAATATCATCAACACCATGCTCTGCATGCACGGATCACATCTTTTTTTTTTCCACAGCCCGGCAAGTGCGGGTTCCATTTTTCCGATAAGGTTTTGACTAAAAGTAATACACAGTTTCCTGGGAAAGTTATAGTAGACGAACGGCGAGAATCGTAACGTGTCATTATCTTTCTTAAACGCTGTCTAGATTCTAGTACTTATATTCTGATCATATCAAGAATAAGAGGTAAGGAGCTTAGTAGGTCGTCGTCATTATTATTATTTAGCCTTTAAAGAAACAGCAAGCTATACATCATCGGTAATCCAAACCAAAATGCACTGACAGGGATATGACAGTGCTTGAAATTGGATATCAAGCCCCTCCGTTGAGCCAAAATGCTTCTGCGAACAGCTTGTTTCTAAATAAAGACCTTGTCAGAAGGCTTTTAGAAGCATTCTATCAACATGATCCCATCAATCCAACACAACAGCTCGTGATTGGCTTCTTTGTAATCATGATAGGACACTTGTACGAAAAACGTTGTGAACAGAAACCACACTGCAAATGTCCTTTAACTACAGTACATGAAATTTATACGTACAATTAAGATTCATACTAATTTGCTTAGCTGTACTAAAATGACAGCTATAGTTAATTGTTTCTTGACGGAACAGAAAGTGAGAGAATTGATACGAGACTACGTTATGACCAAAAAACAAATCAGAAAGGTAGTCTAAGTATAGTCTTCAGCTAAATGGTTTTAACAATCCTCTTGGTATCTTTTTACTCTAGTATGTACGGTACATAGAACATGTGGAAGTTATATACCCAATTACTTTGCGTGCTTCATTAAGGTTTATCAGTGGTTGTTTTCGGCTTCATTGGATGAAGGCCGCCGGAATAATACTGGTGACCAGAGACTACCCCAAGAGATGAGCTTTTACAGTGACGATGAAAATAGCTCGCGGTACAGTACTTGACAGCACGCACTCAACAACAGATATTGACCTTGCTCTCTCTCCTGAAAGGACTGTCCTTGTTGGACAGTTTGACGGATATATAACGACAGCCTGCCTGGTCAACTTTGGTGCTACATATTCATGGTATTATTTTAAAAGGCTGGCGAATAGGCAGAGGTTTCCTATGATATAAGTCCAAGAAACCCCAGAAACGCCTTCTTACTATAATGGAGTAACCAAAAGAGCATGAAAGCACCGGTGAGTCATTTGAGTTGGCCAATGATCGGACAGCTAGAACTTGTTTCTCGATGCTGTTCATGAGCAGTTTTTTTCCTACGTAATGCCACAAACGGCTGTCTACATACTCGTATACTATGTTTTGAGTCATGCAGCATTAACGAACATAGTAAAAAAGAATACTTGATTCTGTTGCCTCGTTTTTTAAAGCATACATAAACAAAACCGATCCCCTTAATAACGAATATAGTTAAAAAGTATATACTTTATTGCGGAAGACTTATAGATCTTTTCCTATACGGTTAGGATCACTTCCTAGCGGTAATGTGGATGTTTGGAACTGTAAGTATGGTTTGGCCCCATGTCTGAAAACCCCCTATTAAGAAAAAGACAGGTCTGTGCGCTAATATTATATATATGTATACAAAAAGTACGGAATTTATGCGCAAAGGTAATGCTACCAGAGTGATGTTTTTCTGCTGTTGTTGATGCGCTGCCGTGTAGGGCTTCATCGGACGCTGTCGTCGTATATACTACTCATCCTTATGGGATCGATCTTCCACGTAGTTGTGCTCACCATGTCTTTTTCCATTTGCCCGCGGTTCGTGGGAGCATGGGCAGGCTGTTCAAGATGTTGTTAGTCGAGCTCTCTCTCTCTTGTTCCTTCGTTTTCGGAGGTTAGGTGTGTCGCTCCAAATGCATCGAGTAACTTTTGTAAAAATCTGCGGGTGGCGTAATGTTCCTAGCGCGCCCCCGTGACAGCACCCCATTGACAGCCCTTCAACGGGTATGACGGGTGCATTTCGCCATTTGATCATTCCGGGTGTCGTTCATCCATGGAAAGCCGCTAAGTTTTGAACCAGTCCACCCTACGCTGTGGTCGAAGACACACTGGATTGTCTTGAGCTTGAGATATTTATGGATTAAACTGTTTGGTTCATAAGGCATGTGCACGTCTGGGAAGGCCGTTGATGTTCGCACTACGTTTTAAAAGACTTGGAAGCATATATCGAGTAAAAAGCTAATTTGGTATGTATTGATGTTTAACCAAATGTTTTATCATATGATAATGTATCTTAGGCAGAGTGTAATAATGTGGTTCACCACAATGTACGTATATGTTTGCGCTCTAACACTCCCCCACACACAACTAGCATCATACAAATCACAGAACGCGGTCGATAGCTTTAGACACAATCTCTATGTGGCGCAAGCATAACAACGAACGCCATATCAGTATGTAGTGTTGTCATCGGCACTGACAGCAAAGCAGTTTCTTCAAACCCATTGATATACACAGAGAGAGACGACTGTACTGACTAGAACTACAACACGGACGACACTACATCAGATCGATGACTACGATTGCAACGCGCTTTTAGACAGAGGAAACAAAAGAGATTGTGGTATGCAGTCGAGGAAGCGAATCCGGAACGCAGCACTTAGCACCTATACCAAAACAAAATATACACCTTCTATCGATGATGTTGAGGATGAATTTAGGGTATTTAATACATATCACGTCTAGACTTTGTTTTTGCGTATGATACACACATAGTTTTTTTTATTCTTGAGGACGCTTTATGTGGTTTTGAGCAAAAGTTTAATTATAGCTAGTGCACATGACATTGGCAGGATGGAAGAGACAAAATCAGGGAAAGGTAGAATTATATGTAGTTGAAGACACTGAAAGAAGCTACTCATTTGTAGAAGGCTGCCAAATATGATATCAAAATAGGATTGGATTTTAGGCCAATTTAATAGTTTTTTTGCTATACATACATAACCGGGACAACTTTCTCTTTATTAAAGAGATGTACTATATGATCGTACATAAGACTCTAGTATGATATACATTGTGATTATAATTACATAGTATAGTACGTTTAGTTTCATCACAATGAAAGGCTAAAAAAAAGTGTGCCGTGGTGTGAGTCATTAGGCCTGCAGTCCGCTTCCTTATGGCACGATATGATGATTGATGTTGCTTTTGTCTGTCAAACTTTACATTTACCACAGAATATAAGCAAGTCGATACACATATACATTTACACACAACAAAGAAAAAGTTACTACTGTAAGTTTGGAGATGACGTTAGTCACCCCACCCCACCATCCCGATTGATCCTCTTTTCAATTATAGAATTTCGGATGATGCCCGGATCTCGTCGAGTCCAAACTGGGCGGAAATGTGTTACAAGACACACACACATTACTTGTGTACCACATGTAACAGCTGCAAGGCCGGGGGCCTTGGTTAAAAAGCCCAACAACAAAGAAATTTGTTTTCCCTCTTCCGACGACGGATCCGTAGTCAAGTTTGTAAAAAGAAATGTTAGATGATGATGATGGGAATGACAACAACAACAACAACAAAATAAGGATAACTTGAGAGGTTATCCCGGGTCCCCTCCGCCTCCTCCATTCAAATCGTTTCTTCTTGCTCCATTTCGGTGTGTGTGTGTGTGTGAGAGGCGCGCGCAAACGCGTAAATCAATGGTTGTTTATGAAAAAAAATCTGCGAGTCATCGAGAAAGCAACTGTCATTGTGTGCAGCTGATGCTACGGGTGTGTGTGCGCCAAGAGTAGCATTTATTAAACCATATTGCTTCGGGACTTGACATAATAATTAGAGAGTGCCTCGCCCATCCTCCACAACTTCCCTCCCCCAAGAAAGAACACGAATGTATTAAAGCCCACTCATCTTCTTCTTCCTTCTCGTAGTCATGAGTACATATTTCGCTTTTCTTCGGGGAAACAGAGTTTGGATGGATGGCTGATCCAAGCCTATTAATCTAATATCTATTTTGGTTTTAGTATAGTAGATGTATATACAGAGCGGTGGGGTGGGAGATAACGTAATAAAAAAGAGACAAGACTGGGGTTTTCCCTCGGGGCTTTTGCCTGAAATGTCCATCCTAATACGTTACTATATACCAACTAGTGACGACGTGAATGCTAACGGTAGGATTGTTTTTGCCATGTACTAAAATTATCGTAAGCGTTGTTTGCTTGTGGCCATATAATGATACACATGTATATTTTCTTTGTATACCGTGTACGGGAAAAGAAAGAAACGCAAACTCCTGCATGCACGGATCACATACTTTTTTTTTTCTTTCGGAGGATCCACTCCATTCTTCCGAGAATAAGGGGTAACAAATAAAAGGGGGGGCATGTGTGATTGAATATAAAGTTCAAATAAAAACCATATACGAAATCATTGATAGAGATGGGTTAGCGAGCAGCTCTCTCCCTTCCCTTTCATTTTCGGCCGAGAATGAGTTGTTGTTGACGAACTATGATGGGGTGCATCACATCAAATAATGCCCCCAAACCACCGAGAGAAAGAGAGAGAGAGAGAGAGAGGGGAGCCGAGCAACAAATAAGACACATCTATATAGTGTCAGCTGGGTTCCCGAGATATATTTTCGACAGTTCATTGTTATGTGTTACTACAGCATTATTTTGACGGACCAAGGGGGGGGGCTGCTATAAGGCCCCTCCTGCAGCAGAACAGCCCCCCCCCGGTTTATCGTGACACTGCATGGAACAAATAAGGTATCGATTGATTACATTTCAGGAATGGGTTGTGGTGTGTGTGTATACTTACCGAAAAAATAAAAAGGGTGCCAAATGCGATGTATAGAATTGGGACGATACTACGTTATTCTGGGCTCGAAGCTCGAGAAATATATACATCTATTAAGCGCCGAAGTCCAATCAATTGCCTTGGAAACGGTTGGTTGGCTACGGACCCACACTATACACAAACACAGCGGATTCATTCTCCGGGGGGAGGGAGCGGGGAATCCGACCAAAAGGGAGAGGGGTATTTAAACAAGTCGCAAGTGAAAATTTTTTCAAACTTCACCTTTCACCGTTCTATATCCTGTGGTCTATTCTTTTCAATGAATTGTTTACCCTTCGGGAAAAGTCCGGAAGAATATGATGCTTTTGGTTTGCCCGTTAATAACGAGAATTTTTTCCTTACACTAAAGGGTTTTCTCACAGCGTGTGGCAATAAAGCGACATTTATTTGACTCTTGAGAAATTTTTATTTAAAAAAAAAAGAAAAAGATAATAATTATAACTTTTTTTGTTTTGTGTGTGTATTAAGGGAAAAGCAAACTACGGGTTGTTGTGTTGAGGGGACTGTGTGTGTATTTTGTGAGGTTTGAGCGAGAGAGATATATATACACGCGCACCAGGGGGAAGGAATTACACAGAGGGTGGTAATATTTTGTTTTCTGGGGATGATTGCTTGATTGAAAACATAAAGTAATAGTACTAATAATGATAATAACGATAATAATAATAATAAAAGGAAGGAAATATATACAACAGATATTGGGGTGGCTTTTTTTTTGTTTCCTTTTTTTTTTCTCCTGGGAGGGATGAAGTATTATTACTGGCCTTCCCATGAGACGGTGAATTCAGACGAGTTGACGACCACACGCGCCGCAAGAGGCAACGAGGCGGATGGCGAAAAGAAGGGGCGCTCGCCGGCATCGACGCTCAACCGCTGCAGCAACAATGATGCGCGGACGGTATCGACCTGATCATCCGAGCTCGTCGAGGACCACCCGGGCAATGTGGCGTGGAGCAATGGGAGAGTGTACGAAGAAGAAGAAGAAGAAGGAGAGTCGGAGTCAGAGGAGGAGGACGACGACGAAGAGGATGAAGAAGAAGAAGAAGGCGAGACGCGTGGCAGTAGAACCGTGTGCTTGGTGCTCATGGCATTGTTGTTGTTGTTGTTGTTGCTGCTGCTGCTGCTGTGGCGCACAAATGGCGAAAATGGAAACCGAAATGAGCTAGTGTGATGCGAAGGCGGAGGCGTCTTGCGACGGGCAAACGACGGAGATGGCGTGGTGTTTGCCGGTGATGAGGGTGCTTCGTCTGTGCTAGGGGACGGCGTTGAGTCATTGTTCAACAAGCGCGCGACGGACATGCTGCTGCTGCTGCTGCTGCTCGAGTCGCGTGTTCGTCTCATTGACGGGCGGCGTGATGTGGGTGCTGCTGGTGGTGGTGGTGACACGACCGACTCGACCGAGGAAGAGGACGATCGTCGGCGATAGGGGGCTGGTGCATGATGATGATGCTGCTGCTGCTGCTGCTGATGATGGTATGGATGATGATGATGATGATGATGGTTGTTGTTGTTGTTGTTGTTGTTGTGCGAAGGAGGAGGAGGATGATGATAATGGCGTCGACCTACCATGGATTTACCACCGCCACCCACTGCTGTCGTCGTCGTGGTGGTTGTCGTAGCTGCATTGTTATTGCGTCTTTGATGATGATGATGATGATGGTGAGCGGCGGAGCGATGCGGTGCTGCGCTTTTTGGATCCAATAGCAAGCAGCCATAATCTTCGTGTGTGGGTGGCAGACACTCGTCTGCAAAGTTGGGCCCAAACAAAGGAACAAGCTTGTCGCGGATCCGCCACGCCGTACGTCGACAGAGTGTCTTTGCGTGCTCAAAGGGCATCCAGGTGCCTTGGATCTTTAGGAATCCACCACGGATCTTGGTCACCCCGAGCTCAGGATTGGAATCAACAACGCGCACAATGTCTGCCTTGGAATTACCGAGACATTTCCAAATCCCAGTAAAGTGTACAAAGCCTACATATATACACACACACACACGAAGGGCGAAAGCATTAAAAAAACGGGTTCCTCTCACTCATTCTTTGACGATCCCTCCCCCTTGAAAAAAGATGCATTCTTTGTTTTCTTTACCTGTCTCGCGATCCCACATGATAGGTTGCGTGCCAGCCATGTACTCATAGACTAACGATATCCCACCCAAAAGTCAGTCCATTTGTCAATCTAAAGGGGGGGGGGGTGTGAGGGGGCACAGCGTTCCCCGAGGAAATAGGATTTGTGTATATAAAAACTTACCGGGAATATAGCCACGCACATCGAGAGACGTCGAGTATTTGGCACGCGTGATCTCAAACTCGTCGTCGACATCATCGACCATACCAATGTAAGGGCGGAAGAGTGGATTGTCGTTCTCGTAAGCCTCGGGTGACTCTGGAGCGGCGTAAGGCTCGATGTCCATGTCTTTGTGTGTAGCAGCTGAATTCATCATTATTCTCTCGAATTCAAGAATTGTTAAAAGAGAAAGAGAGAGAGAGAAAGGAGGGCAGTTAGGAAGGAAAAACAAAAGAAAACAAAAAAAAAAGTCGAGTATTTATAAAAAAAAAAAAAGCACAGTTGGATCGAAAAATTTGGGGGTGTGCATGTATGTGGAGAGACAGAGAGAGACAGAGATCGAGAGAGAGAGAGAGAGAGAGAGGGGTCAAGGCGAAATGAGTCTCTTTTTGCCCTGAGGTGAAAGGGAGGGGGGGGGGTGGGACGTGCATGCGAGATGGAAAAAAAGTGGTGTGTGACGATAGCAACTGCCGAGAAATGTTAATTTATGCTTTTCTTTTTTGGAGACTGAGAGAGAGAGAGAATGTCCCCAAAGTCGCGCAAACAACCACACAAGAAAAGCAGCAGCATGTCGATCCTGGCTTAGTCCTTCCTTACACGCGCGTGTATGATATCCTAGAGCACACCCATGGCATCATATTCTACCATGGCCTCGTCATTTCGTTGAAGGGTTCTTTTCTTTTCTTCCTGTCAAGAAACGTGTCGTCGAGTGTCTTTACGCTCGACTATGGGAAACAATCCCCATCCCTACTCATTCCACAAAGACTCTCTCTCTTTTTTGGAACTTGGAAAAGAACTACTAGAAGTCATGGAGAGAACGAGTCCCATGACATGTGGAAGGAATGGCCGCATTTCTCTCTCTCTGTGTGTGTGTGCTATGTTGATTTGTTTATGATGGGATTGCTAACTACTACTACTACCATTTGCACTATTCCTGGTCTTACTGACACCGGGGAGATGCCTCTCTTGTTGTTGTTGTGTCTCGATCATCCGTTTTATTCCCTTGGCGTATTTTATTATTGTTGTTGTTGTTGATAAAAAAGAAACTCCTGTGTTTATCTTTCCTCGCCGGGAAAAAACTGCATACCAATAGCCATGCAAGCAGAGTTGAAAAGTCAGCCGTTCCCAATGCGGTGGGTGTTAAGCCAAAAGAATTCCTCAGGCCCGCAAAAAGGCTAGTACTACTACTACTACTACTACTACTACTCTGTGGCAGGCAGACAACCCCCACTCCCTCACTTTGACGATTTACTTTTTTTACCCCTTAAAAAATGACTCGGCCATCTCTCCCTCCCCCCAACACACCAAAAACTAAACTACATATTATATCCCGAGAAACAAACTTTCGAATTTACGAAATTGTTCGGGGGTACCCTGGTGTACTAAATAGTGTCATGAACTCCAATTTCAATATTCTTAAAGAGAGTGTGTGTTTCTCGGGTCCTAGAGCGATTGTCACTGTGTCCAACATCCCCAATGGTCCTACAACGACCGACGGTGATTTGCCTCGGGCTTCTTCGGACCGAGATTTCGGGTTTATCATTGCGTGGTCTTGTCTTGAGGTAGAAATACTTCACCAATCCCCCCCCCACACCCGAAGACTATGCTTTCTTTTTTGGCGGGTTGGCCAGTGCATGCAAATTGAACGCTATACTCTCTCTCTCTCCCTCCCTCCCCCCCTCCCACCCCGACCCCTCGCAGGCACCTCCCCCCCCTATTTCTACAAGTGTCGTTTCGTCAAGATGCATGGCCTGAAGGATGGTCATGTACCCGAGTGTGCGTGCTATCATTGGAAATAAACGCGCTTGCTCGCTCACTTACGGGCCAAGGGCTCTAGTGTAAAAAGTTTGACATAAGCTATAGGTCCAACTGTCACCCGTGTTTGCAAGTTTGCCTTCCTTTCCCCGGGGTCCCGTTGTTGATGTTGTTGTTGTTGTGTGCTCTCAAAGAGTTGCCGCAAACAATCACGCTGCTCCACGCTATCGTGTCGAAATCCTGTGACCCCGCAGGGTGGATCAGCACGTCATTTAAAAAAGGATCGCTTTTGTTGTATTACCTATCATCCTCCACGTAATCTCTACCTGCCTACCTACTTGCTCCTTTTTTTTTTCCCGGCTAAAAACGCGGTCCTCAGGGGGGGGGGTTGCTGCTTCTACTTACTACTACTACTACTACTACTACCAGCAGCCATGTACTAAGAGAACCACACAAGGGGGGAGAACGGAGGTGTGTGTGTGTGTGTGGGACCAAAAGTTATTCTCGAGAAAGAACACTGAAGCAGCAAGGGTTTTGTCACAGAGTTACTAGCAGACTGTATAATATGCATGTCTTGTACATTAGCTGTGTGTAATAACACTACATACTACAGGACAGCAACTACCTGGCCTCGGTCTGAAAAGAAATAATCGTTTGGGTGACCCAGGCTTATCACTTTTTTTCGAAAGAATGTCTACAAAACACCACACCGGACCTCTGAGGACAACAGCAACAACAACAACAATAACAGAAACGCAACAGCAATCCGGACAATATCGAAATAACGGGGGCTCTCTCTCTCTCTCTCTCTCTCTCTGGCTTCTACTAGTAGTACTATCATACAAGTTGTCATTCACTGTGGGGGAGTGGAGAGTGGGATGCAGAAATGTTTTGTTTTTTCTTCTTCCCTCGGATGCACCCGCAAAATACTTGTTACTCTCACTTGAACTATGACAGAGTCTGCCTCATGTAATGTCTAGTACATGTAATCCATCTCGAAAACGAAACACGCGGGGCTGGTTTTGAGGAGATCTCATTAATTGCCTTTGAGGATATTTTTTGGGGTCCAAACGTGCATATGCGTCTCTCTCTCTCTCTCTCCATCCCCGGTGGGAGGAGCTGCTGCTGCTGCTGCCTTTTGTGGTGTGTGCCTGGTTCCCGCCCATTTAATAAAAACCAAGGGATATATTGAAAACGATCAGAGCAGCTACAGATATCATCAACACATCTTTTGGTCATTCGGTAAACTTTTTCAAAACCCCCAGAGTCTCCTTCTTTTCTTGCTTTCCCCCCCCCTCATATACTCCACCCTCGGAGCGTATGTTGTCTCGAGGAGACCCATGTTGTGTGGGTCACTACCGAGACTATAAACCTGTATAGTAGTGGGTTGTCAGATCACTTGCATAGTGGAGTTCGTTATGACAGGCTTTTAAGAGTGAGTATGTATGTACTGGACACTGAAAGAGCTTATCAAAAGAGAGAGAGAGAGAGAGTTGTGTAATGTTTATCTGTAAAATATGCAAGCGGCAAAGAGGGGATGTCAGGTGAAGGAAAACCCCATTCATGCCATCGAGGTTTTGGCAGATGTACCTGGGAACTATCATCTCGCCACTATGATACGAGCTACATACATAGTAACGATAGGAGGAAAATAAAAAACAGATCATTTTCTCCCCGTTCTCAGGACAAGAAGGTTGCCCGTCCCACATATTCATATGTGCTCTTATACATACACATCAAAATAGACTGTATGTAGTAGCAGTGCCTTGTAATAATGTACGTATATTAAACCATTTCTTTTTTGTATTTCGTCGTGACAGTGACAAATAATGCCACTGCCCACCAGCAGCACACACAACTGTACTTACTATCCTATGAAATGTATGCTGTTTGTGCATGATGTCTGCTCGAGTTTAATATGTGCCGTAATAGAAAGAGTTGGCTGTGTAAAGTGAGGAAAATAGCCACTTTTCAACACGCATACCACGTCAGTTCACCCAAAAGATGAACAAAAGCGTGTCGCGTGTCGCTGCGGATTAGCCAATCAAATTACGTGATTTTCCAACACACACACACACACACATAGAAGAAAAAAATTGCTACGAGTAAGAAACGAAAAATGTATGCTTATCCTTCTTTGCAACAGTTTGATGCTATTGTGGCATGTATCATTATCTTGTGGTGGTGGTGGTGGTGGTGGTGGTGGAAGAGGATTTCACTTTAAAGCAGTGGGTGTGATACACCCAGATTCTCGCTTTTTGTGGGAAAGTGACTGCCGCGCGACCCGAATTTCGCTTCTTTCCCTTTTTCTCTTTAAAACTTATTGGAGACGACGACGACCATGGCTGACCAGCAGCACCAAGATGGTCAACAACAACAACAACAGCAACAACAACAACAAGCACCAGCGCAACAGCAGCAGCAGCAGCAGCAGCATCCAGACTTGAACTTTTCAATTCAAGACATTCTAGGTGACCATGGCGCAAACAATGCATCTTTTCCGATCGTACAGCACAATCCAACAGGCAATGGAGGCGGCAGTGAAGACGGATCGCAATACGCGCACTTGCCTGCTGAACTCCAACACATATTTAGCAATAATGGCATTGACGATTTGTCAGCTGCTGATCCTGCAGTGCAACAACATGTGCAAGAAATATTATGGAATAGTAATATGAATAAAGATCAACAACAACAGCAAAAGCCATTGAATGTTGTTTCGCCTTCGTCGTCGTCACAACAATCAACAACAACAACAACAACAATAGCCACGCCAACAACGAGTATGAACGCAATACCTACTCCTTCACAAGCACACATTCAAGCTGCTACTCAATGGCTAATGCCTACATCGGCACCAATGTCCGTACCGCCTCCACAACAACAACAACACCCACAATCCATCGTGTCGCATACTCCTACACCTCCACTCATCCCACAACAACATACACCACAGTCTCAACCTCAACAACAGCATCCTCCTTCACAACCGCAGCCAGGAAGTAAGAGTCTGTTGAAACAATTTTAATTTTCCTTTTTGCTCAGCCATATCACACACGTGTTTGTCTCCTGACCTCTTTTTTTTTGTCTATATAGCTACGACCTTGTTAGAAAATATCATATCACAACTTTCTCCAGAACGAAAAGAAGATTTCTTGGGATTGTTCCGACAATTACAGGTAAAAAATTTCGAGTTTGGGAAAAGTTGTATTATGTAGACTTATATTATTCTGCTGTAAAAAAAAAAAAAAGACCAATTCAGTCAGTCCCGAACAATTCTATATCCGAGCCAAATCCATGTTAGGTCAACAACAGTATCAACAACTCGAAGATTTGAAGAACAAACCAGGTCCTCAAGATGGGAAAGATACTGACAAGAAACGTGCTGCTGCTGCTGGTCCAAGCCAGCAGAATAATGCACACATGGCAGGATTAGTGTAAAGTATATTTGATGTAAGAGAGAGAGTGTGTGTGTCCATTGAGACTCACTCAATCATCTATATATGTAGAACGCCACAAATGAAACGAGCCAAAACCGAACATAATAATAATAATAATAACAGTAATAATAATAATATACCACCCGGCATGCCAATGGGTCCACCACTGAGTACTCCCATGAACCCTGCCATGTTTAAACAGCAAGCACCAGTACAAAACATTGCTGGTCTGCAAATACCTCGGGCAGGTGGACCTACTGCACTTCCGGGACAAGCTACTACTACTACTACTACTGCTCCTGCGTATGTATATTTATCAATTCTCTGAAATCAAGTGAATTATTACGACAAAGAAACTAAAACGTTCCCTGTGGGATGGAATAATTAGCAAACCATCAACATCTACTCCTGCACCTGGACAAGCTGCCTCTGGTGATCGGATCGATTACGATACGCTTACGGATGTGATGGGTTATGCGGGCGTCGATTTAAGAGTATGCTAGGAAAAGGAGGTGGGGAACAGGGCGTGTCTATAAATGAGAGATAGCTGATTGAGGGTTATTTTCTTCTACGTGAGTGTAGGAAGAAGAGCAGCACTTTATGAAGGATGGCGAAATGACAGGAGGTGTTTTACCCGATGGTGTAGATCGATCCAAAACACAAGAGTTCATGAATCCTGAGCTATTAAAAGAGCGTGTGCTCGAATTAGGTAAACACAAGAGAGAGAGAGAGAGAGAGAGAAAAGTTTGGGCTGTCTAACTTATTTTGCAATTTTTCAGCAAAACCATTCGCACTTGGAAAACTCGACAGCGACTTTGTATCGTACCTAGCGCTGGCTACGCAAGAACGTCTACGAGGCCTTGTCGAACACATGGTCGTCGCATCCAAACACCGAACCATGTCACAACACGTCAGTGCACCACCGCCCGTGGACGAAAACGGCCATCCACTCTACAAAGTCATCGTGCAACAAGATACCAAAAAACAGTTGTTAGCCATTGAACGTGCCGAACGTGAAGAAGAGCAGAAGCGGAAGGAGGCCGTGGCTGATAGGGAACGACGGTCGCAGATGGGTAAAGACGGCGCAGGCGGTGAAGAAGGCCGGTCAAAGAGTAAAAAGAAGGACAAGGAGTCGGCACAGCAGCGCGGTGGTGCCGGTGGTCTCAATGATGGCTTGAACAAGAGCGGCAGCGTTGCGAGTGAGACGGCTTTGATGAAGGCGATTGGTGGTGTTCGCAAGAGTTGGATGTTAGCAGGCAATGCACGGGATCAACAGGCAGGCGCTGCTCCCGGTGGAACAGGTTCACAACAAGCTGCTACTGCTAGCAGTGGTGGGGATACAAGTGCACCAGGAACACCTGGCGCCGGTGGTGGTGGTGGTGATGATAGCGGACGTGGTCGTGGTCGACCGCGCGGCCGTAAGGCGGGCGATGCCAAACGAGGCCGTGGTCGAGGTCGTGATGTGGGTGGATTGTTCTTACCTCCTTCAACCATTGGACGACATCGTCTCGGTGACCCGGCTTCACGCAAGATCACGGTGCGAGACGCGTTGTTTGCTCTGGAACGCGATTTCCAAGCTGCCGGTCGAGGAGGTGGCCAACGCACCTTGCTCAAAACTTACAACCAATGGTTAAAATAGGTAGTTTTTTCCCCCCCCCAAAGCAGTTCATATAAAAAATATATAAATATAAAGTACACATGCTTTGTATTAGGGAACCAAAAAAAAAAGAAGTACATCAAAGCAGACTGGGGAATTGAGGGGAGAGAGAGAGAGAGAGAGAGAGAAAATCAAGCTTTGTCTTGTTGAGAGCGGAAAAAAAGGGCAAATAGAGTAGTAGGAGGAGAGGAAGGGTATTTTCTTTTAAAAAAAAGTCTACCATTTAGCAATCAAGGCCTCGGCAGGCATGACAGGGATGGTACCGTCGTTATCGTGGGTTGACTGGTCGAGCGAAGGCATGCGGCCAGTGCCTACCTTGCCAACCGAAGCATCATTGCTGTGGGCAGGCTCTGCATACCAGCCTTCCGAAGAATCGCTGTGTGGGCTGTTTTCATCGTCGCTGACGAGTGCTTCAATCTCAGCCTCAATGAAAGGGGCAGCATCGGTATGGTCAGGGACATCATTCGCGTGGCCGCTCTCGTCAAGCCATTCACCGCCGTTAGAGTGCACTTCATCAACGTGCCACTCCAAATCCGATTCAGGAGCAGCAGCAGGACCTTGGTTCGTGTGCGCTTCAGACCAACCGTTTTCATCTACTTCTTCAGCGATCCAAGCACTTTGGTCGTCGTGCGAGACATCTTGGCCATCGTGTTCAACCCAATCGCTCGAAGCCACATTCTCGTGCCAATCATTGGTGGCAGCAGGTTCAGTATCAATCACCTCAGCTTGCCATTCAACGACATTGTTGTGACTATCGTGATCATCAGCAACTTGTACTTCTTCCCAAGAACCAACATTGCTATGGTCGAACGTCTTGATATCTTCGACCCAAGCGCCATCTTGATGCGTAGCATCGTTCTCGTTGTCGTCGTCAACCTGTTCTTCTTGCCACTCGCCAACGTTGGAATAGTCCGTGATGAATTGGACAGTCGCGTCGTCGTCATGTTCTTCGGCTTGGAACCCTTCAACGTCCGTGTGGGTAGGGTCTAATTCTTCCTCTGACCAGGTGGCACCGTTAGTATGGTCAAACATGCTGTCGGCACTATCCTCATGCGCAGGCTCAGCATCGACAGCAAGTTCTTCGGCTTGCCATTCACCGACATTGTCGTGCGTCGAGAACAATGTATCAAGCTCGGCGTTCAAATGAGCGTTGATGTGCGTACGCTTATCATCGTTGGTGAACCATTTATCGTTGCTATGTTTATCGTCGTCGTCGTCGGTCTTTGTGTTGTTGCTATGTTCATTCTTCTTCTTCTTGTCGTCGTTGTTGTTGTTATCTTTTTGAACATAGTGGCCAATCTTACCAAGGGCATCGTCCCAGTCTTTGTTGTCAGCGTTCTTATGCTCTTCTTTTTCAGTCTTCTTGTCGTCGTCGTCGTCGTCGTCGTCGTCGCCAGCACGCGTGATTGTGAACGTGATCGAGTCTGCTTGACAGGCTGGACCGCCAATGCCTGCAAGATGGTAATGGAACTCGCCAGTATCTTGACCGTTAAGTGAGATAGGAATTTCGCCCGACACTTGTTTGGAAGCATCTAATAACCCCATCATTCGTAAATAAATTATTTCCTTTTTTGAAAACATATTCCAAATTGGATTTTGATTGTTATTTATTTTTTACCAAACACATTCACCATGGCAATGGTCTTTTGATTCGCATCCGCAATCGTGACATTGACGTATTGGATGCTTGCTGGTGCTTTCCAAGCAATCAATTGTCTAGAGTCGTCTTCAAACGTGAGACCTAATATCATTTTTCATTTTGTAAAGAGAGAGAAGGGGGTCAGTGGACCGCTCTAGTCGTTTTGAATACTGTCAAAAAAAAAAAACCAAAAATGCTGGCTGTACCTGTTTCTGTTTCAGCGGGATAAATGACACGGAAGTCTATATATCAAGAGAAAAAGATCTAAGTATTCCTGCAATGCTTTTTCTTGAAGAGAGACGTGGTGATTAATTTCGTTAACCTGAGCAAGCAGCAGCCGTTGCGTCATTGTTGTGTGTACCCTCAAAGAGGGGATTGGCCTGGACAAATGAGCCCATTTGAAGCATTACTGCGGCCAAGCTTGCCAATCGAACAAAGTTCATCATTTTTTCTTTCTAAAAAAAAAGGTTGTGTCGATGACGTGGGTAATTTGAAAGGGAAATGGGGGAGGGGCAAAGAGAGAAAAAGTTAGGAATGGGCGGGTTGGTAAAGAAAAGGAACGCAAGAGGTTTGTAGAAAAAGAGAGAGAAGGAAAGGAAGGAGGCGAGTCGAGAGAGAAGAGGAGTGATACTAAAAAAAACGTTCTGTTAATTAAACGCTTGTGTTCAAATGGTTACACCAGCGAACCAGAGCGTGTCTATGCTGCTGCTGCTGCTGCTGCTATCCCAACCCCCACTATTTTTGGATCTCAAAAGCGAGTTCCCTTGCTTTCACCCCACCCTCCAATATAATTGACTACATAGAAATTGCATAAACAAGAGTGAAACTAGCCGAATTGGTGACACTATCCTTTTTTTATTCCATATACCATAGATTGGCTATATACAATGTAACGCAACAAGAAAAGAAAAATAAGAGATTTATACAGTAAACTGGGGGAATAGGGTTTAATGGGTTGCTTGGAATAAACGGATCACTAATAATAAGTACTACTCCGCCCCGGTGCGCGCGGTGGGTGTTGTTGTTATGTATAGAGAGAGCAGGTACGTATAATAGCAATTTTCGTCGTACCAGCCGAATGGAAGAAAAAATAACTCCCTTTCTCTAACCTAATACAGTAACCAATCTTGCTCTTTTGACGACCTATTACTTTTTTGACTTTGGGTTCTTGCCTTTTGACGACGACGACGAGGAACTCTTCTTTGTTGTCGACAAGGACTTTTTGTTTCCCCATTTCTTTGCCCTGATTGCTTTTTTCTGTGCAGGCGTGAGTGTCCGTCTTCCACCACCACCACCACCAGAGGATCTACCGGATCTTCCTCGAGAAGAAGATCCACGGGAAGATGATCCTCGTGTGCTTGCTCGATTGCCTGGTCTTGTTGTTGAAGACGTAAATGATGATGAGGATGATGCAGGTGTGCGTCGACGAGACATAGAGGCTGATGATGCCAAAGGTGGGGTTGCTTGATTATTATTATTGCCGATCTGATTGTAATACTGAGGATGTTCTGCAGGATTGATATTGGAAAATCCTTCAAGTGGCGACATATATCCGTCATCATCCTCGTCGCTGTCATCCACATTTACCACATCAAAGGAATCGCGCAAGTCGCCCAGTGTACTACTTGATCCAGGTTCTGCGCTGCTTTGCTGTTCTCTTGCATCCAATTCTGCATTGATGTGCTCTTCAATCTCAGTTTCAGGGATCCAATCTTGACAGATTGGACACGTCCGCCAATCTGATTCTCCTCCTTCTTCTTCTTCTTCTTGATGAAAGCTTGGACCCTCTGGGTTGCTGTTGTTGCCACGTCTCGCCAGTTCTGCCTTGAGATGCTCTTCCAAGTCCTCGGCAAGAACCCAATCAGGACAAAATGGACACCTTCGAAAATCTTGTCCTCCGTCATCACGCGAGACGACGATTCGGCGATTGGCCCTTATTTCTGAACGAATGTGTTGCTCCACGTCGCGTTCAATAATCTGATCATGGCAGAATGGGCATTTTTGAAAAGTTTGCCCTCTTGAATGATTATTCAGGTCACGTCGCGTTGTAGCTACTACGGGTCGGTCGTTGTTGTTGTTGTCTTCTTCGAACTCTTCGATATCGCTCAACGTGTCTTCCAGGATGGGTGATGGTGTCCGTCGTCGTCTTTGTCTCTGCTGTCGCGGATTGCGTCGTGATGATAATTGTTCCAATCGTTGTTGTCGTATGACGCGCAGCGGTATAGCTTCGTCGCTGTCGTCGTTTCGTTCAGCATTATTCGAGTCGTCATCTAAAAGTGAAATAGTAGCATGGTTTGTGCGCCTAGTTGCATGACGTGTCGGCTCCACAGCAGCAGCCGCATGACTATTGCTGCTGTAACTATCCATCCACGATGATCCAGTTTCAATGCCCTGACATTCTGAGGCATGGACTCCGATCGTATCCAAAGGAAACCGTCGTGCACACATTGGACATTCCGGGTCAGCTTCATCATTGGTCTATATGACGGATCATATGGATGAATGAACATTTTAGAGCCAACATAATATACCTATTTTTTTTATTCTAATTACACTTACTGGATGTTCTGGAAGAGGTGACACAGCAACAGGACGCGGTCGACGGGGAGAGCTAATTGTTGTTGCCGGAGTGTAACTCGTTTCAGGAGGAAAAGAGGAAGGGGTGTTGTCATGCAGCAGCCGTCGTCGTTGTCGCTTGGGTATATTCAACTTCCCAGTGCTTTGGGATATGTTGTTATCGTTGTCGGTTCTGGAAGAAGGACGTTTGCCCTTCCAATCGCTGCTGTTGGCAGCAGTATATGATATTGATGATGAGGATGGTTCGGCTGTATGTCGTGACGATGATGTTGAAGATTCTGGCTCAAAGATGCTGTTGTGATTACGTGATAACAGTGGTGGAGGACTAGGCGAAGGAGTAAAGATCTCTGGTCCTTTAGAAGCCTGAGGTACCCAATCTGTCAGATCAGCAACCTCAATGTCATCATCCTGGGTATCATACGTTATAGGTACTTTTGCTGCTGCTGCTGATGTTGTTGTCGTTATGGGAGTTTGTGTTGCTTCTGGTGGTGTTGCAGCTTCCATAGCCGTCGTATCAACTTCGTCTTTTTCTCGTTTGACCACTGGAAGATCGAGATCATCGTCAAAATCCAACGGCACTATTTCTTCCTCAACTTCATCCTGCACGAACGGTGTCTCCCGCTTGACTTTTACAGCACCTTCTTTCTTGATGACTGGAACTTCTTCATCGGATGAATCTTCAAAGTTGACAATCTCTTCTTCAACTTCTTCCTCTAAGCTTTCTTGCCTGATTTTGGCACGCTCCTGTTGTTCATCCGAATGATTGATATCGTGTTCATTCTCCCTGTCGTTGTTGTTGTCATAAAAGGAGGAGCTGCTGGATGCTGTTGTTAATGATACTACTGGTATTTTCCCTTGACTTTTGCTGAGCCGCTTTCGTGTTTCATTTCTAACAGGACTGGTAGTGGTACTGGTGCTACTACTACTACTACTACTACTACTACTACTACTGGCTTGTGAATCGCGAGTGGCATTCGATGATTTATTATGTTTTCGTTGCTGCGTGCGTTGTTTGTTTTGCATTGAACGTTTTCGTTCTTGAAGAAGGATCAATTGCTTGGGAGAAAATGGCTGAAAGTCATTGTCGTCGTCGTCGTCAATCATTGTCTTTTCTGTGTAATGGTTTTGGTGGTGTCGTTGTTGTTTTTGCTTTTCATTAAAGTCTTGTCGGCTTAATTCCAAGGCTCTTTCAAGCTCTGGATCGTGTCGGTTATTGTTTTCTTTACCGTGGTGCTTTTGGGAATTAGTTGCAGAGAGCCATGCTTTAATTGTTGAGTTCTGGGTTGGCGTATTGGCTTGTTTTTGGGATAAGACCATGAACAAGAAGTGGTGCGGGGGTGGGGGATAGGGGAGCAAGAAAAGAAAAAAAATCGATAAAGTGCACTGATAGTTATTAAAGGCAGAGTCGCGTTGGCTGTATAAAGTTGTCAGACACACACTATGCCCTCTCTCTTTTTCTCTCTTTTAGGGTTTTACGTGGAAAGGTGAAAACGTGCACAGTTGTAGCAATGCCAACGCATACCCACTCTCACGTGTCAACTAACTTTTATGTTTCGTGTTTTGCTTGTTGCCAAAGCGTTTCACAGCTCGATTTAAAGCAACAAGAAAAAAAAATCACACTTTATATACGACACCACGCCTCTTTTTGATCGTTAACTCTTTTTTCCCTTTTTAAATCTTGCGTGAGCTTATTGCAGGGGCTCGCAATTTCATTCCTTACCCGTATATATTCTACTACAACAAGCGAGACCATGACCCTATTCTGGCTCCTCGTGCTCAACCGAATCTACCAGTCACCCGTGCTTTTGGCCTTGTACAAGTTCTACAAGACATGTGTGCACTTGACAACCATGACGTCTGAATTGTACCGCATTAGCAATGCAGCAGCTCATCAGCTAGGCTGGTACAATGAACTTGCATTTCTCAGCAACGACGACAGCGAACTTGATGAAGAACAAGAAAAGTCGCCTTTAATAAAGTCACTTTCTCCACAAGAGCAAGAGGCGGCTATTCCTCCCCTTGTCGTGTATCGGATTGGTAAATTATTATCATTATTTTTCTTGAGTGTATATAAAAAGAAGGACGTATAGAGTGGACTTATTCATGTAAAAAAAAGACCGGTCAATTCTGTTCTCAAAACAATTGGATGTAAGGAGCAGCATTTTCCATGATCAAAACTGTTCAAAATTGTGCTTGAAAAAAAAAAACACAGGAACAAAAAGGGGAATTACTGATGATTGCTGGGCCACCCATCCATAAAAAAATTGGTGTACATAGGCAGAACGACGCAGCCTTGAAAATGCATCAGGACAATTAGATGAAGTCGCAGATATGATCATGGCCAAGAAAGGCTTTGCTGGATCAAAGAAAAGGTACGAAAATCCATACGAACCGGCATTAGAGATTGTATACTAAAAAGAAATTCCACAGTCCAGTAGCACGCGTTCTTTGCGCAAGTTTATCACGTATTAGCGAAACCTATGTATTGACGATCCAAATCAACGAAAGAGCGCATACCAAATACGATTCAACCAATTCAGTACACGAACAGAAGCTATTAAAGTTATGGAAAGCATTGATGCCCGACACCGAACTTGAATCACGGTTGACTCAACAATGGGCAGAGGTTAGTTTTTTGCTTTTTTATAACGTTTGTTACCAGGGGGGACATGATCGTAGACACACCCCCTCAACATTTGGCGCGCAAGTTTTCTTGACAAATAAAGTTACAATAGATTGGTTTCCAGGGTAATGACCCTGCAACTGATTTCCGTGGCATGGGACTCCAGGGGCTTGATGATCTCGTATATTATGCAACGACACACACCGATTCAGCCCAACGTACTTTTTCGAGCTCACGCCATCCCGTATCCTGGTAAGTTCCCTCAGTCTTTCAACAAAAATTCTTGTCCTACTATGACTACTCCAATTGTTCATGAGCAAAACTGATAGTCCAAGATATATTTGTCCCAAATTTTTTTTTACTAGGTACCCTTTTGCCATTGTCGGCATCAATATCACACAATGTGCAGTCCAAGCTCTGCGAACACGTCAAATGCAGTACTATCTGTATAAATATGGCGCTGATAAAAAAGCCTATAGCGAATTTTATTGTAAGTTCTCTTTATTCCACTCGATACATGGCGGATGGAACTGTCTAAATCTTTTTTTTGGGGAAACTGGAAACATATATGTCTATATAGGCTACTTGTATCATAGATTTAATGATTTTTGGATCTCTCACGAACAACCGCGACTGACGGTGATGGATTTTGAAATGATATTTAAAGAGTTCAAGACACAGATCAATAAGGAATTGATGAGACACAAAGCGATGCCATTAAGTGAATGGCTTGAGCAACGACGGATGGAACAAGAGGAATTGCAACAACAGCAGCAGCAGCAGGAGGATGTAGATAATACATACATCAATGAAAAGCAACATGTAGATTAGAAAATTAAGGTTTTCCTGTTTTAGTAGAAGAACAGTGAACAATATGGGTTAAAGTGCATACGTTTGAATTGTTGGCACTATGTGCTTTCATTCAATATATAGTAACAACTACTTGAGAACAACCGTGCTATCATAAGCGTATTCCATATTTATGTGTAGTCGTGGATGTGATATGATAAGGATATGACAAATTCTCTCAACGGTAAGCAAGTTCCTTGTTCTCTCAAAAGATACAAGAAGTTGCATTATTGATTGTCGATCAAGATCTCGGGTTAAGCGTATCCGTTTATCCCATCTATCATATCCGTTGGATGGATACATGTAAAGTACTGTATGACAATACCTGGCCGACGCATAAACTCATGAATCATAAAGAACCTGGAAATCCTGCTTCCGGGAACATTTCTCGGATGCCCTCGTCATGCGCGAGAGAGTTATATATGACGGTCTTTGTGTACCAGAAAGTTACTGTCTTCAGAATCTAAGTCCCTACTTTTCTCACGGTTCATTCTAATTGACGTTTAGCACTAGGTGGGTCTTGCTAGAAGCGAGCTTGTATGGTTAATATCCCCTTGATGTAAGAGGTGTCCATATCTTTCCTCTCACTACATCTTAATTATGTACCTATTACTATCGAACCTTTTTCTCTCCTTCCCTGATCCAGCCAACCTTTCTTAACTTGAAACCATATTCACCTTTCATTCTCTTTTTTTCGAGGGGGACGATGGACTTCAAGAACTAATGTCAAATCAAAGCTGGTTCAGCAAACTTTTTAATAGAATTTATAGGATGAAGGAGGAGGATTATGTAGGGTAAATTGGTTATTATTAAGGAACACGGGCGTTTGTTGTTGTTGGGTGGCAGCTTGCGGTGATTGAGGTTGTGATTGCGGTTGCGGTTGCTGCTGCTGCTGTGGTGGTGGTGGTGGCTGTTGTTGCTGCTGCTGCTGTTGCTGTTGCTGTTGTAATTGCTGAGACTGCTGCTGCTGCTGCTGGGCAGACATTAGCGGAATAGCGTCACTCGTTGACAAAGTCGGTGAAGACGGTTGAGATTGATCCCCTTTAGACTTTTTGCCAGGCTTTCGTCCAGTCGGATTGGTATTCCCGCTTTCATAGCGTTGCCGTTTTTTAATCACATCCGTCTTCATTGATAGCGGTCGCCGTTCATGATGTAACTTTAAGCTATGATTTCATGGAAAAAAAGATAATAGATTTAATTGAAAAATCACACGTACATTTGTTATTGCGTAAAACTTATTCCAATAGAGTGATGAAATGTTAACTTACTATAAGCCACATGCATTACATAGCGGGGAACCAGCAGTATCGCGTCTCCATAATGGTGTTTTTGTGGTTTGGCAATTGGAGCAGACCAGCTGCGCCGCTTCGTCGTCTCGCATATCCTTACGTCCATTGTTTGGCTTCAACGTCTTGGGTCGCGGTGCATTGTGAAGTTTTTGACTGTATAAACGATCAAGTTATTTGGGGGTGGGTGCAAGACAAAAGAGAGAGAGAGAATGAGTAAACAGGGGAGCCAGTCAGTAAAATGTGCATTTTAATATAATCAGATCTGGATGAAAGAACTGTCTCTGCCCAAGTATACTTACTAGAGACCGCATGCATTGCATAGCAGCTCGTCATCCACCGACCGTCTCCATAATGGTGTTTGCGTGGCGTTACAGTTACTACAAATCGGCTTGACGCCACTTCCATCACCTCCACTAGAACATGCAGCCATGGATTTCTTGGGTTTGATGGCACTCGTAGCAGAGATAATTGCAGCAGTAGTAGTAGTAGTAGTGGTAGTATTTATTGGTGAAGTAGTCGTAGTAGGAGCCGGAGCAGCACTGCTTGTCTCCGGAATAGGAGTAATAGTGGCCGTGGGTGTTGTGACAGAGGATGATGAGGAAGACGGAGGAGTACTGACGAGTGTTTGTTGTTGTTGATGATCGTTACTTTCATTGAAACGGGTAGGTGGATGTGACAAAACACTTTATATAGTGTGAAGGAGTCTGGGTTAGCCAAAGTATGTTCGCGTGATAACGATGATGATGTACGTCACCTCGTGCAAATCCCAGTTCCATATACACCTTCCTTTTCTTTCTTTCTTTTAGTAACTTACATAGTATTAGAATCATATGTAGTAGGGTCTATTATGTGTGTTGACATGCCAGGTGGTGGTGGGGAACATGAGCTAGCAGCAGATGAAGATGTAGTAGATGCCGATGTAGATAGTGATGGTGTGGTAAAGTCTGAGGATGTATGTTGCTGCTGTTGTTGTTGCTGTTGTTGCTGAAGATGCTGATGATACATGTGTGTAGGCGAACTGACGGATGGAGCAGGCATACCGATAAACTTGCCACGAGCCTGTGCGCAAGCCGAAGGCTGTGGTGGTGGCGGCATCACTGAGTTTGCGTTGCTGTTGTTATTTGAAGATCCAATGTAGCTCAGCCTCGGCTGCTGCTGCTGCTGCTGCTGATGCGGTTGTGGGGTTAAACTCGGTTGCTGCTGCTGTGGGTGTTGACTAGGACCGAGAACTGGACTTGTCGGAACGGAGAAGGATAGATGTTGTCCCTGCTGTTGTACTGGAAACGATGTTGTCATGCGATCGAGGATGGCCTTGTCGTCGATTACCATAGGCACAGACTGTTGTTGATGGGGATGCTGTTGTGTTTGCGGTTGTGTCTGCTGTTGTTGTTGTTGTTGTTGTTGTTGTTGTTGTTGTTGTTGTGGAGGTTGCCGAGATGCTTGAGGTTGTTGATGCATTATTGCTTGTTGTTGCTGTTGCTGCTGCGTCTGGGGTTGCTGTTGTGATGATGATGATGATGATGATGACGACGATGCTGCTGCTCCTGCAGCTTGCTGCTGGTGCTGTTGACCTTGTTGCTGGTGCTGTACTTGAGGAGGTACAGGTGATGGAAAGTACAGTTCTACAGGCGATTCATAGCTGTCGAAATTCCATTGGGTGCTCAATCCACCCAAGCTTAGATCATTTCCATTTGAAATATCCTGTGCAATGGCTGCAGCAGCTGCAGCAGCCGAGTTATTCGTACCAGCTGTCCCTGTCGGCAAGAACCCCTGGAAATCTCCCAGCGCACCAAATATGTCGTCTAGTTCTACCATTTGATCGCTGGCCTGGTCAGATGTGAACTGATGTAAAACAAAAGTCTGGTGACTTCCCAGATTATCGACTTGATCCGTGCTGTGGTTGTACGCATCCATTTCAGGTATCTGGATGGCAGCTGATAACTGTATCGGGAGTGTCGCTGCCGTATGCATCGACTGCTGCTGCTGTTGCAAACTAGCTCCACCGCTATTACTACTGTCAGTGACAACGGGCGGTGTCGACACAGACTGCTGTGCTGCCTGTTGCCGTTGTTGTGCTTGCCAAAGCTCCATTTGCTGCTGGTTCTGCTGCTGTTGTAGTTGCAACTGTTGTTGTTGCGCTTGAGCAGCCTGTTGCTGTTCCTGCTGCTGTTTCTGTTGTTCAAGTTGCAACTGCAACTGCTGCTGCTGCTGCTGCTTCTGCTCCTGCTGCTTCTGCTGTTCTTGTTGCAATTGTTGCTTTTGTACTTGTTGGTCATTGGTGCGACCTAATTCATCCTGCTTTCGACTACTCGTTGCTGTGGCGATCCGTTTATTACTAATACTGTTATCTTTCAACGGCGTCAATTTCGAATTCTGGTGATCGAGCTGACGGGTCGTACTACGCGACAACTTGCGGAATGGGGCATTGGACCTCTCGGTCAAGAGGTGGTGGCGGAACCATAGCCGCCAGGACAGGTTTTCGAGTCTTGAGCCGTTTTCTAACGAGTCTTTGACCTTGGTGCATACCCTCCAGGTCTTTGATAAGTCCTCTTCGGAATCGAGGTTGGCAAAAGGCGAAAATGACTTGTTGCCTTTAATCTTCAAGGCAAGCGGCGCCATCACCTTTGAGTTTTAATGGTTTTCGTTGTTTGATATGGAGGGGGGGAAAGGGAAAATAAAAAAAAAGAAGAGCAGGTACTGTGGGGTCTGTGTTTGGGTGGAACTGATAGGGCACTTTTGCTATTTTGTTGTTGGGGGGAGCAGAAAGGGTAAAAAATAAAGTAAAAATCAGAAAGGGCATATGTACCTCAACCTGCGCACACTCAAAAAAAGTCAGCGGCAAACTTTTTCAATTGGAGGTCCGCAAAGTATAGGTGCGCTTTGTGGTGCTATTCTTTCAAGAGAGTTCAAAGCTATTCTCGTCTGCTATATTACAGGACTGGCATACTTGTACTGGCATACTTGCTGTGTGGGCAAGCCTTGAATTGTTCGCCCATAAACCTCAAATTTTATTGGCCAGATATTTTGCCTAGTTAAAAATACCACTTGGACTGCTATTTCCTGATTTGAGTTCATTATTTTGAAGTTTTTGTTGGCACTTGTTTTTATTTGTTGTCCCTGGATCTTGTATCTTTACTATGGAAAATTATCTTACCACTACCTTTATCACTCGCCCAGCAAATGATGATGCGCCTGCAACATTATTTATTTCGAGATCAGAATATCGCAACTGGATCGAAGCTCAAGAGACGCAATACAACTGCAAGTTTTATAATAAAACGAAAACTGAACGTGGACGCAAAGAGAAGAACGAAGAGTATCTTCAAAATGGATACACACCTCCTCCACCCGGTCAAAAGCGCAGCAGAGGAAGAGAAGCATTCTACTTCAATGAAGTAAACCTTTCAAAAAATTTTATTGTAAACATAAAAAACATTTGTGTGATACTTATTAGATGACTTCTACTTCTGCTTTGTGTATAATCCATCTGCGATAGTACTACACGTGCCAACGGGCTGGTCCTCCTCGTGGAACGAACTCATTTTGTTGCAATTGCCAAGCAGGATTTACTGCCTTTGTCAACCAAGACAGTGAAAACAAGGACATGATCACGGTACAATACCGGCGTAAGCATACGGTCATGAACCTGGCAGCAACATAGATACAACATCCGGTACACTCCCTAGCTTTGTGATGCAATTCATTCAAGAGCAAGTAGAGAAAAGTCTTACCTGGAGAAATATCAAACATATGCTTCGTCTCGACAAAGATGTTCTTGATAAAATCTTGGTTGACGAAACATATGATAACATACCTCAATCCATTCGAGTCAATTATCACCATGTCTATTTTGCAATGAAAGTGCATCTTCGACGTCAATCCCAACTTGATCCTTCCATGGCAATCAGTCTTGGTAAATGGGGTGACAAAATAGAACAAGAGAAAGGACATTTTACTTCAAAAAATCTTGATAGATATGAAGAGGGAATGTTCTTTTTCGCGTTCATGTCACAATGGCAATTAAATGTACAACAATCGATCCAAATGGATATACATTATACACGTACGTAATCATATATATATTCCTTGTTATATAGCAATTGAAAGAGGACGGAGACCTTGTTTGTCTTGATTCACCCATAAGACTTGTGTGGATGGTGCCAATCATGACTGTTATCTCTATACACTTGTAGCAAGATGCAGGACTACCGCAAAGGGCAAGCCATTGGCGTGGATGATCACAAATTCACAAGCTCAATATCCTATTTTGTATTGGCTTCAATGGCTGAAGGATGAGCATGAATATATACCACCCCGTGTTATAATCGACGATTCTGATACAGAAATTATTGCTATTAATAAGGCGTATAACTATGTAAATGATGATCCGTCCACTAACACATTTACTGACAAAGTGAAGATACTTATCTGCCACTGGCATGTCCTTAGAGCATGGAAGAAGAACATTCTTTCCAAACTCACCGCAAAACCGTCCACTCCATCGAAGACTCTGAAGGAGAAGAAAGACATGCGTGAACATGCACTTTCCCTAATGATGAATATGATGAAAGCTGAGGTACCAACGGATTTCGATCTTGAACATGAACGATTCGAAACTTGGTCCATTGATAGTGAGGATGAATGGGAAAGTGCTCGTTTGTATTTGTACTTTGAGAGGGAGTTTCTTCCTAAACGTGAGAAATGGAGCCAATCATGGCGCAGTGTAAGTTTTTGCTTCATCTTATATTTTCATGTACATTTTCGACGAATTCTGTTACTAACCACGAATATAAAAGCACCATCATCACATAAACACAAACAACTACATAGAGAGCTGGCATCGTCACCTCAAAGAAGTTTACCTACCAAGCTTGCGAAGACAACGTGTTGACGTGCTTGTCTATATCCTTTGGAGCCATGTTCTTCCAGATATAATGCAAGATCATGTTTGTACGGTAGCCAACTTTAGGCTTCGTACAATGAACAAGGCAGAAAGAATGAGACTTGCAAGAGTCAATGAATTGAACGGTAAGTATCTCTTTCGCCATTTAATATAATATTATTTCATATATACTATTATACAAACCTTTTTGCGCACATCATAGATGAAGAAGCCGCTGCCAAAATTGTTGGTCAAGAAGGGAACGTTTACAAAGTACTTTCTTTCACTGACCCGGAAGAAAGTACTACATATGATGTTTCGGTCAATATCGACGAAGATTATCTTGTGTCGTGCACTTGTGTCGATCACCAGACAAACGGTTCACCATGCAAACATATGTATTTGGTATGTAAATACATAAGGGACTTGAGCGATCATTAACCTTTGTTTATATAAAGATCAATCGTGTCCTTGGAATCAGTTTGATCCGTCTACTATCACCACCACCATCATCATCATCATCATCGTCACAGCAAGAGCAACAGCCAATACAACAACCACAACATAGCATCATGGAAACTGATGAAGCTGCATCCACAGCATCCGAAACTCTTTCTGAAGAAGCTATGGATAGGTAAAATATAAAAAAAAATTATCAGATTAATAATAGTACTTGAAATAATGCTTATGTTTTTGTAGATTTATGGATTCTTTTGAACGACTGAAGATTGAAGTCGAAAAAACAAAAACAAAAAAACGCGTATCTGTTCCTGTTCTTGGCCGACTTGCAACAATGTTCAACGATCAAACAAACGAGTTGAAAAGCTGGAACAGCTCAAGAACCGGTCCTTCAAAATATCAGCCTCGCCATTAAAAGTATTTCATAATTATCAACGTTAATATTAAGATGTTAGATGTGTGGCATGGTCGTGAAGGTTTTTGTTTTGGTGAGATATGTGAGAGACGGAAAGAAGAAAAAAACAATCGGCAAAAGAAATTACGTCACAAGATTTTGTTAGATTTAAATGGGGTTGATTGGTTGCTGAGAAAGAATGAGCAGCAGCCAATGGAAACTAAGGTTTATGGGCGAACAATTCAAGTTTTCGATGGGAACATACTTGCGTGAGGTTTAGGCATTTTATTATTGTCAAGCAACCTTTTTCATCCTTTTTTTATTTCTTTTTCTTAAAACCATCTGAAGGTCCATCATATAAAAACGCGCAAGTAAGCACATTTGCTCTTCACGATCGTAGGAATATTGATCTAATTAGAATTTTAAGATAGGTCTGAGACATGAAGAAACAAAAATGTGTTGCGTAGAAGCGGAATCGGATACTTGATTTATAAAGCTAAGTATTATATTTCGTGACAAAAAAAAAGCAGGTGTTTCTATCAATTCATGGGGGCGGAAAAATGGCCTCTGGGTAAAAGGGGGTAGTCAGCTAAATTGAAAGTTAGCAACGTTAGTGACTAACTCTGGTTTTGAAAACTGCTAATTTTAGCAAATAAATGGATTTAGCGGGCAATTTTTAGCAGGGAATTCTGTGCGCCAGTGGTGCGGAAATCCTACCTGGGTGTGACTGGGGGTGTGCATGAGGGGGTGTGCAAATAGACCTGCCCATAAATTCATTCCTTTTGAATCTTAAAAAAAAAAACTTGACTTTAACTTTACCTAATTTCAACAACTTCTTCCAGTTTATATACCTTATTTTTTCGTGATTTACAAGATCTATTGTTCGCATGGAAACCATCAATACAAAATTTTTCCAAACTACTTTTACCGAAGAAGTTGTACGCGATTTACATTTAAGAGGTAACTCAAATCATGTAAGAAGTGTATTACTTCAACTCGAAAAACATACATACAATCGTTTTATTTATTTTACCTCTGTAGACTTTTGGCTTTTGGAAGAGCCCTGTCACTGGACTCTCACGCACTATTTAGAAAGCCTGGTAAAACTTGACCCAGCCGTTTCCAACCGAAATGCGTCAATTCGCATCCGTCATGACGCTAAAATAATTCAAGAGCATGTGGTAGCTGGCACTGTGGCTGAAACGATGGTTACAGCTATTGTAAATTACCCAACTGTAAGTATAATTATAGGATAATATTAGAATTCGCTTGCATTATACAGTATGCTCACCGTAGTTGTTTTATAGAACGCTCGAGGTAAAAAAATATTTCAAGAATACTTCAAACACCATACTACACCAATAGGAATTGCGGCGATGAATTTTGAAACACAAAAAGTATGCCTATTGTTCAATAGTTACAGGCAAGATCGAGGTAAAATTTGTTCTAACATAAATTTGTAGTCACGGTTACGAAGCATAATGTCGCAAGTAATAGCTGATGAAGAAGAAATTAATATGCGTAAACGAAATTATGGAGAGAGCTCGGGCAATAGTAGTAAAATTGAGTAAAAAAAAGTACGAATTGATAATAATAATATCGAAGGAGAAGAAGATGACAACAAAGAAAAATGCATTTGGACTGAATGGAAAGAATTCCTGGGCAATCCAGATAATACGTCACATTTAATTCAATTGAGGTAAACAGAAACAATTTCACTTTCCCCACTTTATAGTGACTTCACTATTAAAACTCACCAGGTTATATTCGTTTTATTTCATAAACTTGATGTAACATGTTTTACTTATTGAGAATCATGCCATTAACTAGTCTGGAAAAGCATAATGTAATCTGGTGTGGAAAGTTGGTACGACGTCGAAGCTGCTATTCAGCAGAACTTTATGAAAAAACAAACGAAGAAGTAAGCAGTATAAAACTTGAAAGCGTTGACTTGTGCTTACTTGATTTTGTAAGTGACGTGACAGATGCGGTATGTATCCATTAATAGAGGGAGAATACATGAAAAAGATAATAACTGATATTTTATTAGACATCCCGCCAGGTTATGGAAGACACCATAGAAAAGCTTAATCGCCTAGAACTTGACGATGTTAAATTGGTTTCAGAACAGAAATTTATTAGTAGCATACTTTCAACATTGTAAGTATACACTATCGAGTTCTTACGCAACTATAAGAGGCTTACGGATCATTATTGTTTCCTACAAATTTTAGTGCCGAAGAAGTGTATGTTAACGTGGGAGTAGAAGTGTTGCAAAAATCCGAAACAATTTACAGATATTACATATTTGATCCTTGTCTTAAAAACGTTGCCAAGTATCTTCGTCGCACTGGATACAAAATTACGTTTTTACCTGGTGAAATTGAATTGAATGCGATCACCAAACAGTTACAACAATCTGGAATGAAAGATGGCCGGTATCATTACAACGCAGATGGAGTGCTTCGTGCTGATGAATTTTTAAACATGGAAATTCTCTTAACTGAAGTCTCAAACGGTTATGGAAGTAACAACAGTGGAAAGTCTAGTTTTGATCATTACAAGGCTATGTTTGGAATGCTTGCTATGTTACGAACATTAGCTCAAAAATATTCAAAGGCATCATTTAACACATTCCAAAAATTAAAGGTGCATTTTTTACATGGACATGGTAAGCAAAACGACTGTTATCGTTTTTCGTATGTTCCATATTAATTTTTATATTGACTTTTTATTTTGTATTTAGGTTATGCAATTCGTCATTGGAGTATGTCAGTCTAGGCACCGAGTGTTTTTGTTATGCATAAAGAACAGTGTGTTGAAGTACCTGTCAACGTTTCCGAAAAAAACGAGCTTTTGGTTCCATTTATAGAATTTTATTCAACTGTTGCTGTAAGTAGTATAAAACGAAGAAATGGAAGAAGTAATCAATCTCACTCAATATAATTATTATTGCATAACTTTAGGCTGGCTGTGCAGAAACTGTAGATATCATGGTATTACTAAAGGCGGAGCATGTTGCAGCTTCACGAAAAAAGTGCAAAACAACATCTCTTACAAGTATTGTTGATCCCGTGATTGTAAGACTCAACGAAGGAAAGCACATGACAATTGTTGCTGATGAAGGTCCCATGAGCGTACCAGGAAGTCCCGATCATGACTAGTGAATTCAATATGACATTTCTTGTTTTATGATCTATATTTTCATGAATGTAAAAAAAAATAAACATTTTTATAAAGGGCTGATAGTGGGCTGGTGAATTTGATGGAGTATTGTGATATTATTGTTAGTCTATCCTTCTCCAGTTTCTAGCCATCTAATTATTTCTTATATTCTTTATAGGATTTAGTCTGTACACTGGTGATTCATCTTTGACCAAGTTCCTCCCGATATTGACTGCATTTGTTCCAACATTTAGGCGTCCTACTATTAGTTGTCTAACCAATTATAATCTACTAGCTGTAATATAGATAATAAAATTGCTATGACCGGTATAACCATCAGTGGCCGAATTAATTATTAATTTACAATAAAAATAATAAAAATTGAATTTTTTTATTTATATTAGTAGCCTCATGAGAAAAAAAAGAGCGATTGTTTAAAGTACATAACAACAAATAAAAATGAACACAACACAACACACTGAACAACTCGATATTGAAATTAAAAATTTAATTGATAATGAATGGACTTTTCTTGATAAATCTTGGCCTGAAATGCAACATAGATTTAATCATAGAACAGCTATTAAAGATATGAAGAATAATACAATAAATGATATAAAGGATGTATTACTTAATAGATTTGGATTTATACCTGTATTTTATTTTCTTACAGTTTTATATGGAAATATTGAATATCCAGGGCTATACCGCGAGATTGAAAAAGGACTTGCATTATTATATCATATGGTATCAGGTGTATCAGGAAAGGATATGCATACTGTTATGCCATATGCGACATTTTATGATTTATATAAGCGGTTCTGGATTACTAACTATAATGAATTGAATAAAAAGGTAAAACAAGATCTAGACAGTATGTTCTCATCACCACGTATTCGCACTCTATCAGCAATAATAAACAATCCAGATGGTTTTAAGAATGTTACACTATTTATTGATGGACATGATAATAAAATAAAGTATTATAAACCAAATGAGTCACATTCACAGTTATATTCATATAAATTAAAAGGGCCAGCTGTACATACACAAGTTATACAGGATATGAATGAAATAATTACACATGTTTCAGTATCTGAAAAATGTGCTATCGGAAATGATGGTACTATGTTTATTAATATGAAACTATATTAAAAAATAAGTGAGGCAGATTGTTTAGGAATGGATGGTGGATATAACTTATTTATACAAAAGTTTAAAGATAATGCGACAGATGCCGGATATAGTTTTTATGATCGTAATTTTTTTACATCCCATAAGAAAAGAACCAGGACAAAAGTTAACAATCAATGAGACATACTTTAATAACAAGTTTGGATCATTTCGTTTAGCAATAGAAGCACAGTTCTCTATGTTAGGCTCTAAATTTGAACGATTTAATAATAATCGTGCAGCATTGCAAATAACCGATATAAGATATTATAATATTCAGTTTCGTGTTGCTTGTATTCTTACTAATATATGGCGATTTGTAAATAAGTATAATATAGAGGTACAACCATATCATAAATTATGGTATGGAAAAAATTTTGAATTCCTAAGTAAGAAAAACAAACTTGACTTAGTATTTTCAAATGAGCAAAAAGTAAATACTGAATATAACGAAATGGTTGACATGCAGCAGAAATTTCTACAGCTTAACATTAATCAATCAATAGATATGGCTATAGATAGTGAGGACGAAACTGAAAATAATACATCTAAACGCAAGAGAAAAAATCAAAGAGAACAGAGAAATATAGAACATAGTAATTCATATGAAATTGAGAAGATTGTAGGACATGTGTATACTGATAATAAGTACATATTTGAGGTTAAGTGGGTTGGATATAGTGTAAAGGATAATAGTTGGTTAACAGTTGATAAGTTTAATTCCCGGGAAATGCTACATGAATATATGGCCACACATGGTATTCAGCTCTAAATTAATTTCTTACTTATTTGCTTATTAAAAAATTTCATATTGAAACTGACTGCATCAACTTTTCGTTTACTTGCCCAATTATATTTATGTTTTATGCATTCATTAGTTATACTTGTACTTATATTAGTATCTGTTGATTTATTTTTGACGTCAGTTTCTTTTGTTATATCTATATCATCTATTATAGCCTGTTTTATATCCTTATGCTTTTCAAAATATTCTTTTGGCTGTATTTCTTCTACTATTTGCTTGTTTCTCCGTTTATTTTTAATGTGTCTTTTTTTCTTTTTACGTTTTGGTATATTATTTGGTATGTTGCAGTCACTGCTTTTCTCTGATTCAGATGTACTTACATCTATGTATTTATGTTTCTCTATATCTTCTGGTGGGTTTTCCCAATCAGTAGTATCATTTACAACATCATCACATTTTATATCATTAAACACATCTTCCCAATGCCTACAATCTACTGATGATGGTACCTTTACAGTTGACCATCCTCTATTATTTTGTTGAGGCGGATTATGTTGTTTATTGTTCTGTGTATTATTACTATTATGTTTTTCTTCTCGTTCCTTCATCATATTCTTCTGTGTCAGCTAATTCTTGTAGTTCCTCTACTGTTTTATCCATCGGTGTATATTTTTTAATATCATCCTGACCACTATTATGTGCATAACGGATAAATGTATGCTGATCTTGGTATTCGTTTTCGAATTCACCTTTGTATAAGTCCTCATACATATCTATGTTTTCTAATATATGAATTTATTTTCATAATCCTTCACCTTCATTGTGTATGGATTCCATATTATATGACCTTTACGGTTCTTATCAACATAGATAATATATAAACGATTGAGCGTTGGCTCTAACTCATATACTGATTTGTTTTTGTATAACATGTGCGGCATATAGTTACTATTCAGTATTATTGGCATATTTTTCTTTTTAGTTATTGACTTTGTGAATTTGCCATCAAGTTTTAACCGTGTTCCTTCTAACATTTGGTTTAAAAATGTTAATTTGAAATCAGAACCTGTTTCTTCATTATACATAAAATCATAATCATCATCCTTATAATCTGACCAATCATTTTCTTTATTCATTAGATATGCTCGATGGCCACCTTGTTCTAATACATCAATGTTATATGTCTTACCTACATTTGATGGACCTACAATCCAGTATTGTGGTATCTTATTTTTACCACTAAACATTGTTTCAATCCCAAACATAGACAAACATAGACCACATATGTAATTTATTTCCAGGGTTATTTTCCATATCGGCATCATGAAAGTAAGAATTTAAATTTGATTTTACAGTATCATATTTCCATAGCAATTCTGGATATATTTTGGTAGCCTTCCGTATATTAAGCTGCTTCGTAATTAATTGATATCCAAGTAACTGTTGGTGCATTTTTCTGGTCTTAACTTCATAATTTGGATCCATATTATAACAAATATAATCTTTTCCTTTCATACAGTAGCTAATGGACTTTTGTGGATTACCACCTGGTTTAATATTTGGAGTAACACCATCGATAGTAAAGAATTTACGTGCTGTTTTTGTGTCGAACCGCTCATTCATTTGTATCCATATATGACCATGTTTCTCACCAGTTTCTGGTGCAATTTCATCACATGCAATTGCCTTTTCAATTCGATAACCAATACGTTCATGTTTTATAAACCATTCCATGATTTGTTCTTTTGTTAAATGGAAGTCCTTACAAATATATATGAACAGCCCTTTAGTGTTTTGGAATCGGAATTCTTTGCCGCCCTGCGAGGAATCTGCACCAGAGGTGTTACCCTCTAACATTGCATCGGAAAATTGAGGATTTGAGGATTTGAGGAATTTTGCAAAAGCCCTAATCCGTCCCATTATTGCAGTACGGTTCTCGTCCCTTACTTCCTTTGTTATGTTAGCCTTTTTGAGGTCCTTTTCGAGTTCGACCCTTAGTTGGTCAGCAATTGTTTTTTCACTAACATCTTGATGATGTTCAGCAAGATGCTTTGCTCTTTCTATTAAGAGTGTCAATGTTATTCCTAAAATAGGAATAAATTCAGCCATAATGGCAATAAATGTGAGGAGGTTCATTTGGTCCATGTTGTGTTTTCGTTAGGGTAGTTTTGTTGGAGTGCTAAAAAAAATATAACAAATATATTTTGCTTTATATTCTGTGGTATTATTTTTATATTAAAAAAAAATTCAATTTTTATTTTTTTCAAAAATTTAAATGTATGCATGCCAAGACATTCATGCATGAATTATTTCAATAAAAATGAATTTGGCTATCCTGATATATCTTAGCTAATAAGTCATCTAGGGTTACTAGATCGTATTAAAATCATCATAACCATGGCCAGTCCCCTTACTATTCCATTGCAAGATAGAAACGAGTTCCTTTTAAACCACCCTGATACCAGTACCTTCCACTTCTCCGTTTTTATTAAAACCTTCAAAAAAAACCACTTTCTGCACTTTGAAGTTCGCGACGCTTGATCTCGTTTCCGGCCGTTTTCCTTTCTATCTCTCTTTTATGTTCCCTCACATATACTGTTTTCTTTCTTTTCTAATCATTACCCTTCGTAGTTTATTAACTCCGACGTAGTGTTGAATAAAATTGGACCATTGATGTGGTTGTACTAAAAAAAATTGTTTCTTTAAATTTGGTTAGTCTGAGGATAAAACAAATTGGCAATGTGATATCAATTCATTATTTTATAATTTTATTTTATTCTCTCTGTTGAGAACCCTTTTTTTTTTCAAATTATTATTTTGTAACCTCAAGAATAAGTATGTATATTTATCCCACAATATTAAATATCAAATAAGTAGTATATGTTATATTGACCCAATCAATAAAGCCTTTTATATCAAATAAAATTCAAAACCAGATCACCATATCCCCTACAAAAAAAAAGATGTGAGGTTTAAGCATTTTATTATTGTCAAGCAACCTTTTTAATCCTTTTTTATTTTTTTTTCTTAAAACCATCTGAAGGTCCATCATATAAAAACGCGCAAGTAAGCACATTTGCTCTTCACGATTCGTAGGAATATTGATCTAATTAGAATTTTAAGATAGGTCTGAGACATGAAGAAACAAAAATGTGTTGCGTAGAAGCGGAATCGGATACTTGATTTATAAAGCTAAGTATTATATTTCGTGACAAAAAAAAGCATGTTGGCAAGTTGTGACAAGAAAAACAGGTTGGTAAACTACACATGAACCCTGCCCTTCGCCGGAGAAAGTTTCTGGTGGCCTTACAGCAATTGCTGTTCCCGCCGGATGTGGGAGTTGTAGTTTGTTAATATGGGGAAGAAGACCTGGTTGAACCCTGCCCTTCGCCGGAGAAAGTTTCTGGTAGCCTTATAGCAATTGCTGTTCCCACCAGATGTGGGAAGTGGTCTTCTTCTCTCTTGTCACTAATCAAGTAACATACATATAGATACAAAGTCTAATATCATCTACCTTTTCTTCTTTTGTCTACGCGTAGAATCATTGGACACTTTGTGTGATGGCGTCACGAACAAGGAATCTTCTGGCTGAATAAAAAATACACAAGGGCGTGACCATAATTATGTTCAGCAATAGAGGTCCATGAACCAATGGATTGAATATTTTTTAAAACCTATATGATTGATACACGACAGTAGCTTCAATATATGGTGTCTTTTTCTCTCTCTTTATGTTATAAATCATAATAATAATACCCAACAATACACATATATTTTAATTTACACGCAAAGCCCAAAATTCCCTATCTTTATTATTCTTTCTCCTTTGTATGACATATATGCTATGTGCCAATAATAATAAAACCAGATTAAATATAAATTATCGCCGTAGCCCTGTCATTTGAACAAGAGAAAACCAGTCAGTAACAGAGCCAAATTATTACATAAAGGAAACAACAACACAGTCTTGCCCAAGGAGAATATATATATGGACCATATAGCAAGCAAGAACTTCATTAAGAAAGGCTGTCTAACACCCCTTGCTATATAACAGCAACTGTATATACAGGTTTGGAAGGAGCACTCTATGTGAACTTTGCGTATATTATATTATATGATTCTTGGAGGTGCTTGTAGGGGGTATTGAAAGAAAATGACGTTGGCGAAAGAACCTTTGATAATGGATAACGCCATTATGCACAAGACACCGGAAGTGAAGAAGGCAGTTGCAAAACAAGGCTTTGAAATATTGTATCTTCCTTAATCATACTGTCGAAACTCAAGGCGTGTGTCAAACGCGACTTACTCACATCGGGTGATACTTTGCTACTAAGAATCATGTCCTCTACTGGCCAGATCATTGCTCAAGACTATTAGGGTTGAATTAGGCACTCTCTTTCGTTTGTGCCTCATTGTTTTGATGGAGAGAGAATGTTGTAGTTTTTTTTTCATATTTCTATATGTTTTTTTTTCTAAATAAATCGTGAAGTTTACAACATAAAAGTAAAAAGGAATTGTGATCTGTTATGTTAACATCCAACAATTATGAAAATTACACCCGCCAGCGTAATTTTTAACTACTGCCAATCACATAAAATTGCAACGCCAAAGCCAAAAATTCGCACCGCTATGATGGGAAAATACCCCCCGCTAATCATTAGAAAAAATCCTATAAGCCGATATATTTTAATACAATATTAACCAAAAACGATATATATTAATCCTATCCATCAACGCTCGTGGACCTCTACAAAAAAAACAGAAACACCAAAAAAAACAAATCCCAACTTATTCGCTATCTCTGTAAGCAACACCCTCACATCATTACCCTACAAGAAACGCATGCTCAAGACGCCGAAGTAGAACAACGACTACATCAGCAGTTTTGCGCCACACAATCATTCTGGACCAAAGATTGCAGCATTGTCTCTCTCTGTCCCGACATCCAGCTCACACGTATTACTATCCTCAACGACTCGCGCCATCTACTTGTCCGGGTTGAACATAAACAAAACGATTTTACATCCTTTTATATTGTAACCATCTATGCACCATCATCGACCAATACAGCACGACGACGGTTTTTTGCAACATTTTATAATTCACGACTCCTCAGCAGTCAACACCCTTATCGCCAACGGATGGTTATTATAGCTATAGACGACCCGACTACCGTTAAAATGTACCGATTGAACGGCACACACTTCTGTAAGAGGACTTCATCAACTGCCTCAATCCAACATCACCAGAAGTTCTTTTCCCTACCTTCAGTCGGAGCGACTCATTTCTATCAACGATCGATTACATACTTGCTTCACCCGTATTCACTAATACCGTGAAGACCAGGGACGTCTCATATGTGGCACCCCGCTGGACGCCGCAGATGCCATACATGCGATACAAACTTATATGGACCTTTAAAAAATTTACACCGAACCCCTTCTTGTATCTCTCTTACTGGGCAGGTCTATTTGGGGCAGTTCTATTTGCACACCCCCTCATACACACCCCCAGTCACACCCAGGTAGGATTTCCGTTACACACACCCCACTGACATTTCTTCTGTGCACACCCCCTCACACCCTTATGACTGAAAATTGTGCAAAATATTTGAGTAAAACAACTACACATTGTATATGATGACATACAATAAGCAGGTGTTTCTATCAATTCATGGGGGTGGAAAAATGGCCTCTGGGCAAAAGGGGGTAGTCAGCTAAATTGAAAGTTAGCAACGTTAGTGACTAACTCTGGTTTTGAAAACTGCTAATTTTAGCAAATAAATGGATTTAGCGGGCAATTTTTAGCAGGGAATTCTGTGCGCCAGTGGTGCGGAAATCCTACCCGGGTGTGACTGGGGGTGTGCATGAGGGGGTGTGTAAATAGACCTGCCCATAAATTCATTCCTTTTGAATCTTAAAAAAAAAAAACTTGACTTTAACTTTACCTAATTTCAACAACTTCTTCCAGTTTATATACCTTATTTTTTCGTGATTTACAAGATCTATTGTTCGCATGGAAACCATCAATACAAAATTTTTCCAAACTACTTTTACCGAAGAAGTTGTACGCGATTTACATTTAAGAGGTAACTCAAATCATGTAAGAAGTGTATTACTTCAACTCGAAAAACATACATACAATCGTTTTATTTATTTTACCTCTGTAGACTTTTGGCTTTTGGAAGAGCCCTGTCACTGGACTCTCACGCACTATTTAGAAAGCCTGGTAAAACTTGACCCAGCCGTTTCCAACCGAAATGCGTCAATTCGCATCCGTCATGACGCTAAAATAATTCAAGAGCATGTGGTAGCTGGCACTGTGGCTGAAACGATGGTTACAGCTATTGTAAATTACCCAACTGTAAGTATAATTATAGGATAATATTAGAATTCGCTTGCATTATACAGTATGCTCACCGTAGTTGTTTTATAGAACGCTCGAGGTAAAAAAATATTTCAAGAATACTTCAAACACCATACTACACCAATAGGAATTGCGGCGATGAATTTTGAAACACAAAAAGTATGCCTATTGTTCAATAGTTACAGGCAAGATCGAGGTAAAATTTGTTCTAACATAAATTTGTAGTCACGGTTACGAAGCATAATGTCGCAAGTAATAGCTGATGAAGAAGAAATTAATATGCGTAAACGAAATTATGGAGAGAGCTCGGGCAATAGTAGTAAAATTGAGTAAAAAAAAGTACGAATTGATAATAATAATATCGAAGGAGAAGAAGATGACAACAAAGAAAAATGCATTTGGACTGAATGGAAAGAATTCCTGGGCAATCCAGATAATACGTCACATTTAATTCAATTGAGGTAAACAGAAACAATTTCACTTTCCCCACTTTATAGTGACTTCACTATTAAAACTCACCAGGTTATATTCGTTTTATTTCATAAACTTGATGTAACATGTTTTACTTATTGAGAATCATGCCATTAACTAGTCTGGAAAAGCATAATGTAATCTGGTGTGGAAAGTTGGTACGACGTCGAAGCTGCTATTCAGCAGAACTTTATGAAAAAACAAACGAAGAAGTAAGCAGTATAAAACTTGAAAGCGTTGACTTGTGCTTACTTGATTTTGTAAGTGACGTGACAGATGCGGTATGTATCCATTAATAGAGGGAGAATACATGAAAAAGATAATAACTGATATTTTATTAGACATCCCGCCAGGTTATGGAAGACACCATAGAAAAGCTTAATCGCCTAGAACTTGACGATGTTAAATTGGTTTCAGAACAGAAATTTATTAGTAGCATACTTTCAACATTGTAAGTGTACACTATCGAGTTCTTACGCAACTATAAGAGGCTTACGGATCATTATTGTTTCCTACAAATTTTAGTGCCGAAGAAGTGTATGTTAACGTGGGAGTAGAAGTGTTGCAAAAATCCGAAACAATTTACAGATATTACATATTTGATCCTTGTCTTAAAAACGTTGCCAAGTATCTTCGTCGCACTGGATACAAAATTACGTTTTTACCTGGTGAAATTGAATTGAATGCGATCACCAAACAGTTACAACAATCTGGAATGAAAGATGGCCGGTATCATTACAACGCAGATGGAGTGCTTCGTGCTGATGAATTTTTAAACATGGAAATTCTCTTAACTGAAGTCTCAAACGGTTATGGAAGTAACAACAGTGGAAAGTCTAGTTTTGATCATTACAAGGCTATGTTTGGAATGCTTGCTATGTTACGAACATTAGCTCAAAAATATTCAAAGGCATCATTTAACACATTCCAAAAATTAAAGGTGCATTTTTTACATGGACATGGTAAGCAAAACGACTGTTATCGTTTTTCGTATGTTCCATATTAATTTTTATATTGACTTTTCATTTTGTATTTAGGTTATGCAATTCGTCATTGGAGTATGTCAGTCTAGGCACCGAGTGTTTTTGTTATGCATAAAGAACAATGTGTTGAAGTACCTGTCAACTTTTCCGAAAAAAACGAGCTTTTGGTTCCATTTATAGAATTTTATTCAACTGTTGCTGTAAGTAGTATAAAACGAAGAAATGGAAGAAGTAATCAATCTCACTCAATATAATTATTATTGCATAACTTTAGGCTGGCTGTGCAGAAACTGTAGATATCATGGTATTACTAAAGGCGGAGCATGTTGCAGCTTCACGAAAAAAGTGCAAAACAACATCTCTTACAAGTATTGTTGATCCCGTGATTGTAAGACTCAACGAAGGAAAGCACATGACAATTGTTGCTGATGAAGGTCCCATGAGCGTACCAGGAAGTCCCGATCATGACTAGTGAATTCAATATGACATTTCTTGTTTTATGATCTATATTTTCATGAATGTAAAAAAAAATAAACATTTTTATAAAGGGCTGATAGTGGGCTGGTGAATTTGATGGAGTATTGTGATATTATTGTTAGTCTATCCTTCTCCAGTTTCTAGCCATCTAATTATTTCTTGTATTCTTTATAGGATTTAGTCTGTACACTGGTGATTCATCTTTGACCAAGTTCCTCCCGATATTGACTGCATTTGTTCCAACATTTAGGCGTCCTACTATTAGTTGTCTAACCAATTATAATCTACTAGCTGTAATATAGATAATAAAATTGCTATGACCGGTATAACCATCAGTGGCCGAATTAATTATTAATTTACAATAAAAATAATAAAAATTGAATTTTTTTATTTATATTAGTAGCCTCATGAGAAAAAAAAGAGCGATTGTTTAAAGTACATAACAACAAATAAAAATGAACACAACACAACACACTGAACAACTCGATATTGAAATTAAAAATTTAATTGATAATGAATGGACTTTTCTTGATAAATCTTGGCCTGAAATGCAACATAGATTTAATCATAGAACAGCTATTAAAGATATGAAGAATAATACAATAAATGATATAAAGGATGTATTACTTAATAGATTTGGATTTATACCTGTATTTTATTTTCTTACAGTTTTATATGGAAATATTGAATATCCAGGGCTATACCGCGAGATTGAAAAAGGACTTGCATTATTATATCATATGGTATCAGGTGTATCAGGAAAGGATATGCATACTGTTATGCCATATGCGACATTTTATGATTTATATAAGCGGTTCTGGATTACTAACTATAATGAATTGAATAAAAAGGTAAAACAAGATCTAGACAGTATGTTCTCATCACCACGTATTCGCACTCTATCAGCAATAATAAACAATCCAGATGGTTTTAAGAATGTTACACTATTTATTGATGGACATGATAATAAAATAAAGTATTATAAACCAAATGAGTCACATTCACAGTTATATTCATATAAATTAAAAGGGCCAGCTGTACATACACAAGTTATACAGGATATGAATGAAATAATTACACATGTTTCAGTATCTGAAAAATGTGCTATCGGAAATGATGGTACTATGTTTATTAATATGAAACTATATTAAAAAATAAGTGAGGCAGATTGTTTAGGAATGGATGGTGGATATAACTTATTTATACAAAAGTTTAAAGATAATGCGACAGATGCCGGATATAGTTTTTATGATCGTAATTTTTTTACATCCCATAAGAAAAGAACCAGGACAAAAGTTAACAATCAATGAGACATACTTTAATAACAAGTTTGGATCATTTCGTTTAGCAATAGAAGCACAGTTCTCTATGTTAGGCTCTAAATTTGAACGATTTAATAATAATCGTGCAGCATTGCAAATAACCGATATAAGATATTATAATATTCAGTTTCGTGTTGCTTGTATTCTTACTAATATATGGCGATTTGTAAATAAGTATAATATAGAGGTACAACCATATCATAAATTATGGTATGGAAAAAATTTTGAATTCCTAAGTAAGAAAAACAAACTTGACTTAGTATTTTCAAATGAGCAAAAAGTAAATACTGAATATAACGAAATGGTTGACATGCAGCAGAAATTTCTACAGCTTAACATTAATCAATCAATAGATATGGCTATAGATAGTGAGGACGAAACTGAAAATAATACATCTAAACGCAAGAGAAAAAATCAAAGAGAACAGAGAAATATAGAACATAGTAATTCATATGAAATTGAGAAGATTGTAGGACATGTGTATACTGATAATAAGTACATATTTGAGGTTAAGTGGGTTGGATATAGTGTAAAGGATAATAGTTGGTTAACAGTTGATAAGTTTAATTCCCGGGAAATGCTACATGAATATATGGCCACACATGGTATTCAGCTCTAAATTAATTTCTTACTTATTTGCTTATTAAAAAATTTCATATTGAAACTGACTGCATCAACTTTTCGTTTACTTGCCCAATTATATTTATGTTTTATGCATTCATTAGTTATACTTGTACTTATATTAGTATCTGTTGATTTATTTTTGACGTCAGTTTCTTTTGTTATATCTATATCATCTATTATAGCCTGTTTTATATCCTTATGCTTTTCAAAATATTCTTTTGGCTGTATTTCTTCTACTATTTGCTTGTTTCTCCGTTTATTTTTAATGTGTCTTTTTTTCTTTTTACGTTTTGGTATATTATTTGGTATGTTGCAGTCACTGCTTTTCTCTGATTCAGATGTACTTACATCTATGTATTTATGTTTCTCTATATCTTCTGGTGGGTTTTCCCAATCAGTAGTATCATTTACAACATCATCACATTTTATATCATTAAACACATCTTCCCAATGCCTACAATCTACTGATGATGGTACCTTTACAGTTGACCATCCTCTATTATTTTGTTGAGGCGGATTATGTTGTTTATTGTTCTGTGTATTATTACTATTATGTTTTTCTTCTCGTTCCTTCATCATATTCTTCTGTGTCAGCTAATTCTTGTAGTTCCTCTACTGTTTTATCCATCGGTGTATATTTTTTAATATCATCCTGACCACTATTATGTGCATAACGGATAAATGTATGCTGATCTTGGTATTCGTTTTCGAATTCACCTTTGTATAAGTCCTCATACATATCTATGTTTTCTAATATATGAATTTATTTTCATAATCCTTCACCTTCATTGTGTATGGATTCCATATTATATGACCTTTACGGTTCTTATCAACATAGATAATATATAAACGATTGAGCGTTGGCTCTAACTCATATACTGATTTGTTTTTGTATAACATGTGCGGCATATAGTTACTATTCAGTATTATTGGCATATTTTTCTTTTTAGTTATTGACTTTGTGAATTTGCCATCAAGTTTTAACCGTGTTCCTTCTAACATTTGGTTTAAAAATGTTAATTTGAAATCAGAACCTGTTTCTTCATTATACATAAAATCATAATCATCATCCTTATAATCTGACCAATCATTTTCTTTATTCATTAGATATGCTCGATGGCCACCTTGTTCTAATACATCAATGTTATATGTCTTACCTATATTTGATGGACCTACAATCCAGTATTGTGGTATCTTATTTTTGCCACCAAACATTGTTTCAATACCAAACATAGACCACATATGTAATTTATTTCCAGGGTTATTTTCCATATCTGCATCATGAAAGTAAGAATTTAAATTTGATTTTACAGTATCATATTTCTATAGCAATTCTGGATATATTTTGGTAGCCTTCCACATATTAAGCTGCTTAGTAATTAATTGATATCCAAGTAACTGTTGGTGCATTTTTCTGGTCTTAACTTCATAATTTGGATCCATATTATAACAAATATAATCTTTTCCTTTCATACAGTAGCTAATGGACTTTTGTGGATTACCACCTGGTTTAATATTTGGAGTAACACCATCGATAGTAAAGAATTTACGTGCTGTTTTTGTGTCGAACCGCTCATTCATTTGTATCCATATATGACCATGTTTCTCACCAGTTTCTGGTGCAATTTCATCACATGCAATTGCCTTTTCAATTCGATAACCAATACGTTCATGTTTTATAAACCATTCCATGATTTGCTCTTTTGTTAAATGGAAGTCCTTACAAATATATGTGAACAGCCCTTTAGTGTTTTGGAATTGGAATTCTTTACCGCCCTGCGAGGAATCTGCACCAGAGGTGTTACCCTCTAACATTGCATCGGAAAATTGAGGATTTGAGGATTTGAGGAATCTCACATATTCTCGAATTCTTCCAACTATTTTATTGCGTGTATTATTTTTAGTTTTTTTATCAACTTTAGCCTGTGTAAGGTCTTTTTCGAGTTCTGACCTCAGTTATGTGACAAGAGGTTCATACTCAATATGCTGATGGTTTTCAGCAAGGTGTTTTGCTCTTTCAATTAAGAGTGTCAATGTAACTCCTAAAATAGGAACAAATTCAGCCATAATGGCTAAGAATGCGAGAAGGTTGAGTTGGTTCATGTCGATTGTTGAAGTAATAAAAATAAAAAATATAACAAATATATTTTGCTTTATATTCTGTGGTATTATTTTTATATTAAAAAAAAAAATTCAATTTTTATTTTTTTAAAAAATTTAAATGTATGCATGCCAAGACATTCATGCATGATTTATTTCAATAAAAATTAGTTTGGCTATCCTGACATATCTTAGCTAATTAGTCATCTAGGGTTACTAGACCACATTAAAATCATCATAACTATGGCCGGTCCCCGAAAGTTGGTACGACGTCGAAGCTGCTATTCAGCAGAACTTTATGAAAAAACAAACGAAGAAGTAAGCAGTATAAAACTTGAAAGCGTTGACTTGCGCTTACTTGATTTTGTAAGTGACGTGACAGATGTGGTATGTATCTATTAATAGAGGGAGAATACATGAAAAAGATAATAACTGATATTTTATTAGACATCCCGCCAGGTTATGGAAGACACCATAGAAAAGCTTAATCGCCTAGAACTTGACGATGTTAAATTGGTTTCAGAACAGAAATTTATTAGTAGCATACTTTCAACATTGTAAGTGTACACTATCGAGTTCTTACGCAACTATAAGAGGCTTACGGATCATTATTGTTTCCTACAAATTTTAGTGCCGAAGAAGTGTATGTTAACGTGGGAGTAGAAGTGTTGCAAAAATCCGAAACAATTTACAGATATTACATATTTGATCCTTGTCTTAAAAACGTTGCCAAGTATCTTCGTCGCACTGGATACAAAATTACGTTTTTACCTAGTGAAATTGAATTGAATGCGATCACCAAACAGTTACAACAATCTGGAATGAAAGATGGCCGGTATCATTACAACGCAGATGGAGTGCTTCGTGCTGATGAATTTTTAAACATGGAAATTCTCTTAACTGAAGTCTCAAACGGTTATGGAAGTAACAACAGTGGAAAGTCTAGTTTTGATCATTACAAGGCTATGTTTGGAATGCTTGCTATGTTACGAACATTAGCTCAAAAATATTCAAAGGCATCATTTAACACATTCCAAAAATTAAAGGTGCATTTTTTACATGGACATGGTAAGCAAAACGACTGTTATCGTTTTTCGTATATTCCATATTAATTTTTATATTGACTTTTTATTTTGTATTTAGGTTATGCAATTCGTCATTGGAGTATGTCAGTCTAGGCACCGAGTGTTTTTGTTATGCATAAAGAACAATGTGTTGAAGTACCTGTCAACTTTTCCGAAAAAAACGAGCTTTTGGTTCCATTTATAGAATTTTATTCAACTGTTGCTGTAAGTAGTATAAAACGAAGAAATGGAAGAAGTAATCAATCTCACTCAATATAATTATTATTGCATAACTTTAGGCTGGCTGTGCAGAAACTGTAGATATCATGGTATTACTAAAGGCGGAGCATGTTGTAGCTTCACGAAAAAAGTGCAAAACAACATCTCTTACAAGTATTGTTGATCCCGTGATTGTAAGACTCAACGAAGGAAAGCACATGACAATTGTTGCTGATGAAGGTCCCATGAGCGTACCAGGAAGTCCCGATCATGACTAGTGAATTCAATATGACATTTCTTGTTTTATGATCTATATTTTCATAAATGTAAAAAAAAATAAACATTTTTATAAAGGGCTGATAGTGGGCTGGTGAATTTGATGGAGTATTGTGATATTATTGTTAGTCTATCCTTCTCCAGTTTCCAGCCATCTAATTATTTCTTGTATTCTTTATAGGATTTGGTCTACACACTGGCGATTCATCTTTGACCAAGTTCCTCCCAATATTGACCACATTTGTTCCAACATTTACTATTCTATTGCAAGACAAAAACGAATTCCTTTTAAACCACCCTGATACCAGTACCTTCCACTTCTCCGTTTTTATTAAAACCTTCAAAAAAAACCACTTTCTACACTTTGAAGTTCACGACGCTTGATCTCGTTTCCGGCCGTTTTCCTTTCTATCTCTCTTTTATGTTCCCTCACATATACTGTTTTCTTTCTTTTCTTATCATTACCCTTCGTAGTTTATTAACTCCGACGTAGTGTTGAACAAAATTGGACCATTGATGTGGTTGTACTAAAAAAAATTGTTTCTTTAAATTTGGTTAGTCTGAGGATAAAACAAATTGGCAATGTGATATCAATTCATTATTTTATAATTTTATTTTATTCTCTCTGTTGAGAACCCTTTTTTTTTTCAAATTATTATTTTGTAACCTCAAGAATAAGTATGTATATTTATCCCACAATATTAAATATCAAATAAGTAGTATATGTTATATTGACCCAATCAATAAAGCCTTTTATATCAAATAAATTTCAAAACCAGATCACCATGTCCCCTACAAAAAAAAAAGATGTGAGGTTTAAGCATTTTATTATTGTCAAGCAACCTTTTTAATCCTTTTTTATTTTTTTTTCTTAAAACCATCTGAAGGTCCATCATATAAAAACGCGCAAGTAAGCACATTTGCTCTTCACGATTCGTAGGAATATTGATCTAATTAGAATTTTAAGATAGGTCTGAGACATGAAGAAACAAAAATGTGTTGCGTAGAAGCGGAATCGGATACTTGATTTATAAAGCTAAGTATTATTTTTCGTGACAAAAAAAAAGCATGTTGGCAAGTTGTGACAAGAAAAACAGGTTGGCAAACTGCACATGAACCCTGCCCTTCGCCGGAGAAAGTTTCTGGTGGCCTTACAGCAATTGCTGTTCCCGCCGGATGTGGGAGCTGTAGTTTGTTAACATGGGGAAGAAGACCCAGTTGAACCCTGCCCTTCGCCGGAGAAAGTTTCTGGTGGCCTTATAGCAATTGCTGTTCCCGCCAGATGTGGGAAGTGGTCTTCTTCTCTCTTGTCACTAATCAAGTAACATACATATAGATACAAAGTCTAATATCATCTACCTTTTCTTCTTTTGTCTACGCGTAGAATCATTAGACACTTTGTGTGATGGCGTCACGAACAAGGAATATTCTGGCTGAATAAAAAATACACAAGGGCGTGACCATAATGATGTTCAGCAATAGAGGTCCATGAACCAATGGATTGAATATTTTTTAAAACCTGCATGATCGATACACGACAGTAGCTTCAATATATGGTGTCTTTTTCTCTCTCTTTATGTTATAAATCATAATAATAATACCCAACAATACACATATATTTTGATTTACACGCAAAGCCCAAAATTCCCTATCTTTGTTATTCTTTCTCCTTTGTATGACATATATGCTATGTGCCAATAATAATAAAACCAGATTAAATATAAATTATCGCCGTAGCCCTGTCATTTGAATAAGAGAAAACCAGTCAGTAACAGAGCCAAATTATCACATAAAGGAAACAACAACACGGTCTTGCCCAAGGAGAATATATATATGGACCATATAGCAAGCAAGAACTTCATTAAGAAAGGCTGTCTAACACCCCTTGCTATATAACAGCAACTGTATATACAGGTTTGGAAGGAGCACTCTATGTGAACTTTGCGTATATTATATTATATGATTCTTGGAGGTGCTTGTGGGGGGTATTGAAAGAAAATGACGTTGGTGAAAGAACCTTTGATAATGGATAACGCCATTATGCACAAGACACCGGAAGTGAAGAAGGCAGTTGCAAAACAAGGCTTTGAAATATTGTATCTTCCTTAATCATACTGTCGAAACTCAAGGCGTGTGTCAAACGCGACTTACTCACATCGGGTGATACTTTGCTACCAAGAATCATGTCCTCTACTGGCCAGATCATTGCTCAAGACTATCAGGGTTGAATTAGGCACTCTCTTTCGTTTGTGCCTCATTGTTTTGATGGAGAGAGAATGTTGTAGTTTTTTTTTCATATTTCTATATGTTTTTTTTTTAAATAAATCGTGAAGTTTACAACATAAAAGTAAAAAGGAATTGTGATCTGTTATGTTAACATCCAACAATTATGAAAATTACACCCGCCAGCGTAATTTTTAACTACTGCCAATCACATACAATTGCAACGCCAATCAAAAGACCTGCCAACGCCAAAGCCAAAAATTCGCACCGCCATGATGGGAAAATACCCCCCGCTAATCATTAGAAAAAATCCTGTAAGCCGATATATTTTAATACAATATTAACCAAAAATGATATATATTAATCCTATCCATCAACACTCGTGGACCTCTACAAAAAAAACAGAAACACCAAAAAAAACAAATCCCAAGTTATTCACTATCTCCGTGAGCAACACCCTCACATCATCACCCTACAAGAAACGCATGCTCAAGACGCCGAAGTAGAACAATAACTACATCAGCAGTTTTGCGCCACACAATCATTCTGGACCAAAGATTGCAGCATTGTCTCTCTCTGTCCCGACATCCAGCTCACACGTATTACTATCCTCAACGACTCGCGCCATCTACTTGTCCGGGTTGAACATAAACAAAACGATTTTACATCCTTTTATATTGTAACCATCTATGCACCATCATCGACCAATACAGCACGACGACGGTTTTTTGCAACATTTTATAATTCACGACTCCTCAGCAGTCAACACCCTTATCGCCAACGGATGGTTATTATAGCTATAGACGACCCGACTACCGTTAAAATGCACCGATTGAACGGCACACACTTCTGTAAGAGGACTTCATCAACTGCCTCAATCCAACATCACCAGAAGTTCTTTTCCCTACCTTCAGTCGGAGCGACTCAATTCTATCAACGATCGATTACATACTTGCTTCACCCGTATTCACTAATACCGTGAAGACCAGGGACGTCTCATATGTGGCACCCAGCTGGACGCCGCAGATGCCATACATGCGATACAAACTTATATGGACCTTTAAAAAATTTACACCGAACCCCTTCTTGTATCTCTCTTACTGGGCAGGTCTATTTGGGGCAGTTCTATTTGCACACCCCCTCATGCACACCCCCAGTCACACCTAGGTAGGATTTCCGTTACACACACCCCACTGACATTTCTTTCGTGCACACCCCTCACACCCTTTTGACTGAAAATTGTGCAAAATATTTGAGTAAAACAACTACACATTGTATATGATGACATACAATAAGCAGGTGTTTCTATCAATTCATGGGGGCGGAAAAATGGCCTCTGGGCAAAAGGGGGTAGTCAGCTAAATTGAAAGTTAGCAACGTTAGTGACTAACTCTGGTTTTGAAAACTGCTAATTTTAGCAAATAAATGGATTTAGCAGGCAATTTTTAGCAGGGAATTCTGTGCGCCAGTGGTGCGGAAATCCTACCTGGGTGTGACTGGGGGTGTGCATGAGGGGGTGTGCAAATAGACCTGCCCAAAAAACAATCGGTAAAAGAAATTACGTCACAAGATTTTATTAGATTTAAATGGGGTTGATTGGTCGCTGAGAAAGAATGAGCGGCAGCCAATGGAAACTGAGGTTTATGGGCGAACAATTCAAGTTTTCGCACACGTGCACTTTGTGGGGGTGAAACCCAAGGCAACCCACTCAGCAGCCTCACACCCTCCCCCCGCCTTTTTCCTTCTCTTTGCCCCTGTCAGTTTCACTGTCACTTAGAGTTGGGGAAAAGTCTCTCTCTCGTTGGGCTCTAAATTGAATTGCACAAATCAGATTTAGTTTCGCAAGCCAAAGCTAAATCACTGAAAAAGGTTGTTAAAACATGTGCTTATTCGCCTCAAACGTGCATAGCGAATTCTCACAAAGTAGATCTAGCCGATCTCAACGACGTGCTCTTTCTCTGTGCTTCTTGATTTGATAAGAATTCGCACGATACAAGGAGCTTATGTTATTATATGGGCTGGCAACCCTCACGAGTGGCCGTTACAGAGAAATGCGAAACAGATGAGCAGCTGCACTCTATTATGGGATTACGATTGGGCTTGATTTTTTGGTTTTATAGCTCCGGCAAATGGTAGATGGAAAAAGAAGAGGCGGATGGGTGGGTAGTAAGTATATATTATCATTGTAACTTTACATAGAGCTGGCTGTCTACTCCATGAGAGAGCAGCTGTGCTTTTCTCCCTCAAATCTCGGGTCCAGCGCCTTGAGCCACACCATTGCCACTGCTTGCACCAGTGCCATGTGCTGGTCCTTTATGTATACTTTCCACAATAGGCTCCAGGAATGTGTTACCATTAATCATCTGTGTCGTAGCAACCAGATAGTCACGACCTAGATGACAGTTTAAATGAATCATGCTATGAGCATCTCTTCTATCAAGATCCACAAACGGTAATGAGAAACATACTCTCGTCATGTTGTGCAAGGAATCGGATGGCCGATACCTCTGTAAAAGTACATCCTCCCAAGAAAAAGATGACAGTCGTCTTGGTATGCTGCATACCATGTCCTATAGGAAGTTTACATAACAAGGCCACGTTAGCTTTTTTTCCCCACACACACAAACCCAATCTGTTGGTTTTAAGAACATTTACGTCTCGCTCGCGCCATGGCAGCGTTCGTCTCGGCCCCATATTCTACGGTTTGTGTGACCTCGAATGATTTGCCAGGCAAAAGCTTGAGCACTTCTTCATAGCCACGCCAGCCGTTGCTAATCGTGACACCGGGATTTGGGTTAAGCTTTCCATTGGTTATCGCTGCTCCTCCTGATAATCCATTTGCTTTTTCATCTCGGTTGAATCCGCTTGTACTACCACCGCCGTTGCCTGAAGTCGCGTTGTTGCTGTTGTTGCCATTCATACCTCCTCCGACATAAGAAAATAGACTGGCTGCGCTAGGGCCACTCGCGGGTATACTGCCTCCTCCCAGTTTTTGCATGGCGCATTGCACAATGCGCACACTCAACGGTGCATAGCCAGAGTATACGTAGGATATATCGTTAGGATGGAATTCATCAACGTCGTCGACAATCAGACGCAATAATCGTCGGCTTTGTGAAAAGGGGCTGCGTGACGGTGCGGCGGTGGTTCGTTTAGTGTAAAGTCCCAAAGTCTCCAGTCGGTGCAACGTTTCAATATGCTCGTAACCGTATGTCTATAGTCATTAGGTAAGCAAACATTGAGAATACACACACACAGAGAGCAGTCTACTCGTTCATAAAAAGGTAGTCTTGATAATTCTCGTGTAGATTACCTGCACAATCTCTCGTCTAAAATAATCATAAAGTTTGACTTTCAATCCGCCTTGCGCGAGTGACATCAGACATAGTAGTCGAAGTACTTGAATCAACGATTTCTGCTTATTGATCATTTCCTCAATATAATCGGGTTCCTTGGTTCCATCAATTCCAGCGACGACGTCTAGATCCATCAAGACAATTAGTTGATTGAATTTTCACGTGAATTTTAAAGTAAAAATTCTGTGATCAACTAATAAAACTCTAACTTACTTTGTTGAACCTCAAGAATTCGATTAAATTCTTCGGTGATCGTATACTCCATGATCTGTTCAGCAATACCAGTATCTGTCACAGAATTCAAACAGAGTTAAAGATAATAAGAAACAAAAACACTATAAAAGCAATATATTATATATGAAAAAGGCATACGAATTCGAAGCGATTGGTGTTCTTGTTGTAGTTCTCCCAATCTTCCGACAAAGTCTCGAATTTGTGCAACCGTTTTCGCATGATGTCGTTCCTAGTGTAGTTTACATATATAAAGTAAGCTTTACCCCCCAACTGCAATTTTCAAAAAGAAAGCGGAACAAACCTCATAATTTTCATTGATGCGCTTAGCGATCTTGTTCAACATGCCACCGACAACAGCAAAATTTTGATCTCGTAGCTGACTAAATAGCTTATCTGATGCATTGAGTACGTATTTCTTTTTTTTCCCGCTCTGGTTTGGTGCAGCTGGTGGTGGAGGAGGTGGCGGTGGCGGCGGGACGCTGGCTGATCCGCCTGCCTTGGATGCTCCTTGGGCTGGTTGGGCTGGATTGACCAGGTTTGCATCCAATTCAACAAAACCTTTGAGATACATAACAAGGGAGTGAGTTTCCCCAATTCAAAATAAATCCCTTTTCTTCAGTCTCCTTCACGATGCCTGCCCTCCTCACATACAATGATTGATTCCCATTGTTTCGTCAATGAGTCCTTCATATGTCAGCTGTGTGCACAATGGGGTAGCAATGTCAACGTTGCGGTCGATGATGATGCATTGATCAATATGGTTAGACACCGAATTAAGTAAAGAAGGCGTTTGTGAGGCAGTGGCGCCAGATACTTCATCCACAACAGCTTGTTCTCGTCGCATACGTATTAACATATCTGCCAATTGCTAAATCCATATATAACCGCAGACGTTAATCAGATGGCTATGTTGTTAGTGGATGTAAGTCTATTTAACAATAACTTACGCGAGCAGCATCGCCTTTACCAATAATACGCGGGAATAGACCGTAGATGGATTGTAGTTTCATAAGTGATTGTGCTGCATAATAAATCGAAGTATGATCACCGTCCTAAGTCAATCGAGTCAGAATCCAAACTCATCCTCGTTTTACCGCCATCTTCCTTTTAAAAAAAAAGAAAACGTGTCCCGTACTACTACATACCAAGTAGATCTCTTTCCAGGTACCAGGATCCAACTCCATCGATATCAAGTCGTCCTCTAACGGAATCCAATCCATTGCATAGTCGCCAACAGTGATGCTACCAAACACGCCTTCTTCTTCCAAAATACGTTCACAGATTCTTGTTCGTTGCGGCACAAAATACAATGAAAAGTCTGTCTTTGTATCGCTCCCTTGTGAAAGCTGTTTGATATGATCTATATATATTTATGCAGATGACACGTCAAAAATTCGTCTTGCTTCGCTTAACCCAGCCCCACCTCTCTCTCCACCGGAATATGTATGTATGTATCATACTTGCAATGAACCGCATATATTGCATTTTAGGTCGACATAGATAAATGAGACTGGCGCAATCTGTTTCGAGGGTATCGGAATCCAAGTGGTATATCTTTTCAACGCCATGGTCCTAAATAGTGGAGGCACGAATGGCATTAGTTTTTCCCTCCTTTTTTTTTGTAATGTCCATCAATACAGATACAACAACAAACCTTTAAAAGTGTGAATTCAGCAATTAAACTGAGAGGACCTGTCAATTGTGGATCGAGTACGAGACCTTTCTTTCCGCGAACCTACGGAGTATATTATACATGTAAGAACGTCCATTGAATTGGCTTTGGTTTTTTTTTTCGAGTCTTTGTTACTTTACTGTATCGAGAAGTCGTGGTAATTCTTTGCGTGCTACTTCTTTGAGCTTCTCGAGATGAAGTGGCGTGTTGCCCAAATGAGATGCATTGTCTTTGTTGCTCATACTCGTTTCCCCTCCAGCTATATGCAGCTACGTGTGTATGTGTTTCTTCGAGTCCCAAAGGAAACGAGGAAACGGCCCGCGTTTCAGGCAACTTAGAACTCCCTTTCCCCAAATAAAAACTCAGCAGGTTGTAAAGCAAAATGGACACCTAAGCCTTGTCGCTAAAATAAAAATTATTTACGTACTTTGTTACATCGGCTACTTTTGTAAAAAGTCAACGAAATATAACGGGCAGAGGCACAGGATTCTTTAGTGGATTGCTCAACGTTTAAATCCACTTATCCGTGAAAGTGCTTTACGAAGGGATCGCATCACGTGAACCAAGTCGGATGTCCTAGTATAGATATTAAGAAACACGATTGAATAGATGTAGTTATCCAGCTATCAAAAGTTTGAGCTAGCCGCCATGTCGTCAGCGGACAAGAAAAAAAGGTAGAGAAGTACTAACCAGAAAGACGATGAGGATGAATCTGCCTATTTTTATAAAGTCGCTAGGAGAACAATTCAAGCAAGGAACATAGTCCAAAACATATGTAGGCATCTGTTTTTCTTACTATATGTAATATTATCAGAACTATAGCTCGCGCGACACGTCTATCCCTACTATCATGAGATGCCTGATTGACGGAAAGCTTTTGCGTATCATATAAACGACACATACACTATTATGACCTACAGCAAGTCGAGTTAAATGATGCCTATTGATATCAAATTTGGTAGCATTTCAGCAAACGTGTCTCTAAACGACAGTAGTTGTTTTGATGGGATGCTATCCGAGCAGTAACAAGCACAACAATATATATCACAATGAACCTTGACAACTTACGCTTGGAACTTCATCGTCAAACAGTCCGCCTTATTGTAGCTCCCACACAAATGCTAAAGATGTAATGTCAAAAGCGGTCAGCAGTTCTCTGAAGACTCTCTCTTCAATCCAATGGGCTCTATTTAATCTCATCACCTCCAAAAATCGCGAAGGGAGTGACGAATCCCGATATGCGCCAGCTGTTATATTATAGAAATTGATTGCTGTCTTTGTTTTCGAGAAACTGTATAGAACGCTTTTGTAATACTTATGAGATATCCCACATTCAAAGCCCCATTATTTATTAACAGATCTTTCCGTATTCAGTATGTTGATCAACTCGTCCTCATCCTCTATCAGCTCATATACTATTCTCATGCAGGTGGAAATGTCATGACCAGCCCGCGCCCACACATATTCCCGTAAACGTTCCAATCTCCGCGTAGCATTGTAGCTGCCTTGCGGCTCGATGCCTTGTTTTTCTTGTGTGCGTGCAATCACGTTTTCTTCCTTGGCCTCGCTCATGAGTCGTTGTAAATGGATCGGCATGGCATATACATCTTCAGTAAAGTTGGCCTGAGCTAAATACGACCGCATATCTGGTGCTGTAAACAGATTTAGCAGGTAGCTGTAGCCTAATGGCTGCTCGCTTGCATCGATGCCTTTGGAAATGGACAGTGGAGAGTTGATCTCGTCAAGTGGTGGTGTAATGGACATTGTTTTACGTTCTAGAGCCAAAGACAGTGGATCCTCGCTTTCTGCTTTAAAAACATTGACAGTGGCGCCATCGCTGTCTCGTTCTTCGTGGCTGTATCTCGGACTGAGCGGTGGCTGTGCTTGTTGATGATGGTGTTGTGGCGGAGGGTGCGTGTAATCCAACCCGGCTGAATTTGGTGAACTCATAAGAGGAGTGACAGTAGAGCTGTGAAAGGCATGTGGTAACAAAAAAAAAGAGTGGTGCAATGAAAATGGAATAGCTTATACTAGCAGTGAAGTTAATCTCATCATTACATAACCGAATGTAATTTTGTCAATTTTGATTATCGCATGGGTTTTCCCTTTTTGTTCTTTTTTTCGAACCATTTAGCTGTTCTAAGTAATAGCATACATAATGGTTTTCAAGGGCTATTCTATTACGCAACTTGGTGCTGCTGTGATATTGCTGCCGTTTCCTTCTGACGCATCAACATGTTTCCAACGCGCCTGAGTAGACTTGTTCGTCGCTTCACGTTCGATGCTTCGTCATTTTCTTTGTCTGTTTGAGAAGATAGTGAACCTAATGATGCTGTGGAGAACGATGCAAAGTCTTGTAACAGCCGCGGCGACAGAGTCCTCGTCTTTGCTATAGGTGGCCGCTGTATTTGTGGTGACTGGAACATCTGCTGTTGAATAATTTGCTGCTGCTGACGCGACTTGCGACGAAGACTGCCCAGAAGCGATTGTCGACGTGCTGCCAATTGTTGTCCCGTACACTCCATATGAATTTCAGCTGCCAGCGTCGAAGTCTTATCTTCTTCAAGTGTTCGCCTCAACTCTTCCAGCATCGTAAGCATAACATCCAAATTTTCTTCTAATTTTTCATTGTGGCTGCTGCTGCTCCTACTGCTTCCGTTGTTCGTACTGCTACCATCTGATTGGGCTTTGTCCAGTTGTTGACGTAACAATAGCGTTGCCTGGTTAAGCTCTTCTTGTGTTATGGCAACCTTGAGTGTTTCCATGGCAACGGCTGAGTTGGTGAGTACCGCCAAGCATTGGCGACGAGCGTATTTGGCTGCTTGTAAAAGGACGGTACCAGGGTTGGTGCGTCGTGTTTGTTGATCCAAGAATTCGCCTCTTATGCCAACGTCGGCCTTGGCTGAGTGGATGAGCCAATCTAATGCGCTTGCGTGATCTCCGTTGGCTAGGAGCGGGAACAATGGCGATTTTTGTGTGACATCAACTGCATTGACGTTGGCGCCATAGCGATCCAGAAGCTGAATGATTTCCTGTGGGTCTTTACAGAACCGTGCCACATAGTGCATGGGTGTCCAGCCATCACCATCACGAGCATTAGGATCCACTTCGTGCTTGAGTAATAATTCGATCGAGGCGCGCGGTGCAGGGCAGTGCAATGCCACAGCATGGATCGCTTGTACATTGTACACGTTCTGGGAAGTAGCATCTGCGCCGTGGTCAAGTAAAAGCTCCATCATGGGTACTGGGTCTTTGACATTTGGTGAGGATACAACAGTGTAAAGAAGGGTGCACTCAGTTTCGGGGTCGCGTGCATTGACCAGCTGCGCGCGGCTGCCTTTGCTGCTTTCAATGGCATATTGCAATGCTGACAAGTCACCAGATCGGGCCGAGTCCCATATGAGTGTCGTAGAACTGTCGAGCATTGGGAGCTCGAGGGAGACATCGAAACGATCATCGTGGTCATCGATATGGATGCTGGTGCTGCTATTGCTGAAGAGGTGACTGGGTGTCATGGCTTTTACAGCTTCTTGTTGCTCATCCCCCTCCTGGGCAACTAACCGCACCATGTTGTTCGTGCTATTACGACTACCGCCATCTGTAACAGAGGCTGCTGATACGAGTGAAAAGGATCGTTTCCGAGCAGCAGTTATTTCGATATCGAGTGGTGGTGATATTGTCATTGATTTAATGAAACACAATATCGAAGTAGATGCGTCGACGTGTTTTTGGCGAGAAGAATGAAAGAAGTAAAGCAGGCCAGGTATTTTGAGAAAGCGATAGATGAGCGATCTAAATGTTAGTGCCAATTTTTTCCGAATGAACAAGTAAAGCAAAATAACAAAAGAAAAATGTTCCTAACTAACATGATATGAACTTTCGCAGATCCTCTGAGCCTCGAAACGAATGTCGGGACTTGTCGTTCAGATTGACCTTGGAAAGGGCTGCATTCTGGAAAGGGATATGGTTAGAGCAGCATGAATAAGTGTACTGCGCATTATCAGTAGCATGTTTTGATTCTATACCTCTTGATGAGCATTTATAACTGAGCAACGTTGAGCTGAAGACGGGGACTGTATGGTCGAAGTCATTTGTTTAGACGAGGTATAAAACAAAATATAAAAAAGAGAGAAAAAAGGGAAAAGCTGTGCGGTGAAGATGATAGGAATAACAAAAAGGACCGAAATATTATGTCAATTGTTTATTTTTTTAGCATTCTTGAAGAATCAGGCTTCTTAGCAGGAGAAGATCCTAACTTAATTGCGCTCAATTAACCGCCATCCATCTTTCATTTTCACCCCTTTTGTTCACCTCTGTTTTTGGCCAAATTTTCCGCGGGGTCGTCTTCTTCTTTTCTAGCACTTTCCCCCCTTGACCTTCCCATATTCTTCATAGTGACAAGTTCGTGTAATGCCGCATTAATTCAAACGAGAAAAAAAAGAATATGGTTTTTTTTATTTCATTTTTCTACGTACAGTAAGGTATATATGCTCTTCTTTTGTATCTGACCATATACAGACGCATACTTAATAGGCTTAAGGATTTTCCATTTCGTTCCTTTCTTGGAAATATATTTCCTTCTTCTGCTGGTACACCCTCTAAACAAGGGCAAAACATACCTTTGATCGAGAGACAAAAAACGAGTAGCTTTTTTTCAAAAGACTTTGGAAAATAATGTCACTGCAGGTATCAGGCCGAGTGAGGAAAGTGAACCTTCGCTGTGTCACCGTCTGCATGCAGGTTTTAGTATGGTATACGTCGTTGGATTTCTACCAAGCTAGTATATGCTCTATATAAAAGAAGAGCCCAACTATCATTCTGATCATACACTAATGCCACGCGAGCTTAATCTTTTGAAAGCATTGTATGTAACTCCTTATGTTTATATATTAGCACATGTGGGAAGGATAGCTGCTGTTACATGTTCCTTTGATGTATCTCCTCTAATAAAAACTTTTATATAGCACAAAGGAGATAATCACGAGCAGCCAATTATTTAGTCGAATCATATATACGTTATAGCATGTTTGAAGCGAAGAATGTTTCATCTGTTTGATGATCGTGAAAAAACTGAATATGAAGCCAACGAGGGGATGGTACCGGGCTCTACCGCAATTCTGATTTGCGGCATATGACAAGACTGGGAAAAGCGAGGCAGCAGGCGGCATGAAAGTTAATCTTCACCAACAGTGAAGAGCGCACACTCTTTCTCCATTATACACAAGACTTTTATGTTTCAACGCTTACACAAAAAATCGGCGTCCTGCACAGCACTCCCGGCACTTTCTGCCAGTTCGTCCATCTCAACTCAATCACAGCCGCCACCATTAAGCCACGTGCAGCAACAACAAGGCCACAACGATTACTACCATCATCACACTGAATCACACAGTTCGCGAACTGACAGCAGCCATCGAAGCAGTAACAGTAGCAGCAGTAGTAGTGGCAGCAGCATTCAAAGCAATCGATCCAGCAATCACAACTGGACAAAGACAGCATTACCTTCACAAGAGGAAAACACAACAGTACGCAGTGGGTTATCGTCCCTTTTAAAACACAAGGCTTCGCCATTCCCTTTGCCATCAGTATGTATATTTTCACGAAAAGCGCTTCAGAACGAGTATGCGGATCACCAAGAGATTGTGCCGTATGTAAACCCAGCCAGCGTTCCCATCGACCAGGTATCCATGCTCGTCAGTGTCCTGGAATCCTTGTTTCGCACGGTCGACGAAGTCTTATTGGATGGGGAAAATGCTGGGCCTGAACAAGAGCATGAAAAAATGGAAAACGAGGAACAAGAGGATTGCCGCATCATTGGTCTCGGGACATTCAAAGTTGTGTCATGGACGCTTGGAGATATTAAGCATGCTACCGCTGATGATCTTGACATGGCATTGGTATAGTATAATACCGTATTCTTATTCTGATAAATATACTGCTAAACTGACTCATGTATACCAAATGCTATCTATTGATTCAGGCTGTTATATTATCAACTCAATTTGCTGATCGAGTTATCAACGAACACATCAAGGCGATTCAATTTCATTTAGCAAAAATGCTAGATGATGAGGTAAGCTTCTTTACGGATTTGTTATATTTTGCCTCTTTCATTTTCATTCTCATCCTGATCCTCTGATCCCTGATTCTGACGGATAATCTCTTAGAAACCGATTGCCGAGATTGGATCCAAATTGTTCGCACTCGTAGAGCAGTTGTTTATACCACATTAGTCATAGACCTTGACCTGAGAAGTATTTTGTTTCGAAGGTTACACATTGCTCTCTTTAAACTGTCAGAGGGAAAAAGTATTTTCCATTTAACTGATTTGAATAAGCGGAAAAGGATTGGATCAGCTTCTCTCTCTCTCTCTCTCTTTCTTCGATCTATTCTATTATGTTCTTTTGATATATTTTTATTTCGACATTACTACTGTAAGAATACACAGCAACCACGCACAAATACAACAGCACGTTATGGACGAAAAAAATATACCATCTGCGCATGAAAAAATACAAATAGACGGCGGCAGCAGCAGTGGTGGTGATGACGAGCATCCTGCTTCTTTTGTCATTCCTGATGCATCGACTACTAGCGACAATGGGACAGCAGTAGTAAAAACTATGATTACGGTCCACGATAACAATGATGACTACGATGACGATGATGCTCAAACCAAAGCTGCTTTTACTAAGAAATGGTGGGAATTCTGGAAAACTGAACCTTCGGATGTTGATCCGCTTACGTTTTCCACAGCCAAAAAGTACATGATTCTTTTCATTATTGCATCTGCCGGTACAATGTAAGAGCTACACATCAAAATCTGTATTTCTGCTACACTCGGAAGTGAAGAAAAATCAATGAAGACCATGTTTTTCTACTTTCAGGGCGCCAATTTCTTCCACAGTCTATGTATGTAGACAATTTTATTGTGTTGGCATGCGAAAACGATGATCCGGGGGAAAGTTACATGTACTACTTTAAAACGAGTAACGTGTTACCATGCAGTTTACCTGACGTTTTTAAATTGATAACGATGTATAGTATCCAGCACTAGTAAATGTGCAAGAAGCCTTCAACACAACGGATACAGCAGTCAATGCGTCAGGTTGGTCTTACTCATCCATCTTACCATACCGTACAATATGCTACTAAACACTTAGTTCTTTTTGCTTTCTCTTTTAGTGTCGTTATTTGTATTCGTTACTGCAATTTGTGTAAGTGATGGGATTTTGTACTCCTTTCTATGAAACATCTGTGCGACTCATTTACATATACATAACTTATTGTTATAGCCGTTGATGTGGGCGTCATGGAGCGATAGGGGAGGCCGTCGAAACATATACCTGCTGTCGTTTGCAATTACAGTTGTTGGAACAGTTCTTTGTGCAGTATCGGTAAACATTGCCATGTTGATTGTTTTTCGTGGTATCAGTGCTGTCGGTGCATCCTCTGTAAGTAAAGACGCCAATGACATGCTGAACGATTCGGGAAAATAGAACACATACTTCATCGTCTTATTAAATACATTGCCATCATCAAGGTTCAAAGTATGGGGGCTGGTACTCTTAGTGATATATATGATTCACATGAACGAGGTCGTGCTTACGCATGGTATGTCCTTGGACCTATCATGGGACCAGCGATTGGGTGAGTTGCATACTGTTACTTTGTACAAAGCAACAACTTTTCAAGCATTTACTCGGGAGAACGGAATGTCTAACATACATCGAATCAATTGTGTTGATGCTGTTCTCTTTTAATAGACCTATCATCGGTGGGTTTCTTACAGAAGCATTTGGATGGAGGGCCACATTCTGGTTTTCCGCATCCTTCGGGCTCGGTATCTTCCTTTTAATTTTATTTTTTCTACCGGAAACATTCCGACACAAGGAGAAAGTACAAGCGATTGCAGAAGAAGAAGGCATAGAAAATGACAACAGAAGTAAGGAGTTGACAGAAAAGAAACGCAAGCACAAGATTCGGTTCGCAAATCCTTTGAGCCCATTGAGATTCTTGCTCTTCCCAAATGTTTCCTTTTCGGTCCTCTACCTGGGTATTCTGTAAGTTTACTCGTTCTTTCGGTTTGACGTTCGATATTTATCACACCAGATATACACTTCTACTATTGTGAGCTAAATATACATTATGCAAACCCAACATGCTAGGTTCGGTGTGTATTATTTGATGAACACCTCGTTCGCTTGGGTATTTGCAAACCAATATAAACTTGACTCTGGCATAATTGGTGTATGTTACTTGCCTGCTGCTATTGGCGGAATGATCGGCGGTAACATTGGGGGAAGATTATCCGATTTTGTCTACAACAATAACGTCAAGAAAGCTACCGATAACCAGCAAACCACAAACCCTGAGATGCGACTCAGTATACCGCTTTTAGGAGTTGTAGCACTATTCCTTCTAGGCGTGCTTACAGGGTATGGATGGACTGTCAAACAGAATGTTCATTATGCTGCTCCTATGGCTTTCTCTTTCTTTGGTAATATAGTGCTTCATTTCATATCTCATTAAATGTGTTATGTACATGTGACCCGTGTATGGATGTATATCAAGAGTTAATGGTCGACCTTTTTTAATTCAATTATATAGTTTCGGGATCCATCATGCTACCTCACGTCACCTTGACTACGTATCTCGTAGATTCTCATCGTAGCCATGCTGCTTCTGCCACATCATGCAATAACCTATCACGCTACCTATTTGCTGGTGTAGGCACATTGACTTCATCTGATTTGATGCGTGCCATGGGAACAGGCATTCTATTTACCGGCTGTGGTGTTCTAATTGTGCTTCTTGGTCTACCGGTACTCTATGTAAAGATGAAGCCTCAAAAGTGGGCGCAGATGCGTAAAGCCCGTGGACTATAAAGCAACGTCGTTATAAATGTGTATAATAATAGCACATCATTTGTAATTTTGTATTTCAACTTCTGTATATTTTACATAATATAATCTAATGCTGCTATGATATTAGTAAAACACAATGCCGGTTTGTAGTTATACCCACTGCAAAGCAGAATTGAATTTCTTTTTCAAATATAACTCCATTAAACACATAAGCCATACATGCAGAGTTTGCCCGTTAATTTCTATCTGAGTATCCCCTTAATAAAAAGGTTGAAATTACGAAGGGTGAAAGCTAGCGAGGTGTTGGGGATTCGTAGTAGTCAGGGTAATAATTGTCATGTATGATAGCCTTTTAAATACTATTATATGTAGTACATAATAAATATATCTTTATGAAATGATGCCTTTCCAGCAACCATTACACCACTTTCAAGCTTTAAATATAGTACATAATACAGGTTGAATTACACAATTATATGTACAAGTGCAGACAAATCAAAAACCTATTGTCACTGAACTTTATTCTCTGATTAGTTAAATATCGATAAAACGAATGCTATTGGATCCCAGTGAGTAACAGAGCCATTCATTGCTAAACATTTGTTATCTTGTCTTGTAATTTGGGGGAATTGGGTAATGATATAAAAAGCCGAGTGTATTAGTTTGTTGCAATGGATGTCTATGAAATTTTTGCTGGCATTTTCTGTATACATAGATTGAAATGGATAATACGATAGACAGTAATAATGAAGCGCATACCGTATGTATTTCCCTATTTAAATGGTATCTTTACAACATTCAACCCATTTTTCTAAGGATTGAAGAGAGAAATTGAATTTATACAGCTTCACATCTGGAATGGACGGGAAAAACCTGAAGTGTTAGTCCGAGCCAATTGGAAGCGTATCATAATGCTACGGACGACAGTTTCTCTAAATCCCTTCGATCAGACATTTGGCAGGTAAAATCTGGACTGTGAGTCCCTTACAAACAATATAAAAAACCAGCTTATTAAATTAATGTAAAAGAAATAATAATACCATTTAAACTGACAAGCAAGTATATAAACGTACTAATATCAGATTTAAATGATGGATTTAATCAGAAAGCTTCGGTAAATTGCTAAAAGTTTATCCATAAGATTGCTTCTACCTGGCCGCCGATGAAGTCCAATCCCACCGTATCATATTTTCATAGATTGCTCAGGATTTAAATATGCTACGTCTTAGACGATGAGCGTTGTGTGCAAGGGAGTTCTAGGATAATTGTTGATTTTGTAATACTTTGAAACGTCATACGAAGGCCGTGAACCCCGCGTAAAACGCTCCATAAACAAAGATTTAAGCATTATACTGTACTATGTTGAACATGCCAATTTTATGTTCCCTTTCGATGTTAACCGAAGCCTTACAATCAAACGAATTTGACGATACAATTCAAGTGCTACACCGGATATCATTATTGGGTGACACAAGACTAATTATCAAGTTTTCTCCTGCATAAGGTCGATTTAACCCACTGGCATTATATATTTGAAGGAATGACTTTTTGGCCAGATGGTGTGGCAGCCAGCACCACATTGGCGCTACAACAGATACATAGAGAAAACACATGTATATCCTAGTGACATTATCTAATTATGTAAATATCTTCGTGGCTTCATATATACCGATAACAACGGTATTTCAATAAATCATCTCCACCCAAAAAAAGTCGACATAAACCAGCCTGTTTAAAATTGACGTAAACTCACCAGTAGCTCGACACTTTATTTGATGAAATCGTAGATGTAGTGTAGTGCTCTGAGGATTATAGCGTATAATATGTGATATAAAAGCTTTCTTGTAGCATAAACTCGTCTTCAAAGATTTGTGGTTAGAATAGAAAGAATAGTAAAAACGCTCAAGGCTCTGCAACTTTATTTGAACCCGATCGTTCCATGTACAGTACCTCCCAACATAACCTTACCAAATAAGTAAACAGAACGCGTCATTTTTTGAGCAAACTGGAAATGTTTGTTTCGCAGCACAAAACACTTCCAGGTATATAAAACCTTTTTATTTAAATTTTTGCTGACCTTATTATCTTTCCAATAGTAACTACTATTATGGCTCAAACTCGCGAACTCGGAAAAGGATCTGCCGCTTTTGTAAATCCGCTCGGCTTAGGTTGTATGGGGTAGGTCAAGGAAATCTTTCATGACAAGATTGCGCTGTTTTGTTACTGTTGCTGGGCTGGTATGCTTAGTGGGTGATACGAAACGTTCAATATGTAAAAAAAATCATAGGACACCGGATAAGCTCTGATGACTGACTTGAATATAATTGATTACCTAAGCATGAGCGAGTTTTATGGTGCCTCAGACGAAGAAACAAACATGGCTGTTTTGGATCGTGCATTGGAGCTCGGTTGCAGTTTTTGGGACACAGCCAACGTCTATGGGCTGGGAAAGAACGAAGAGTTGCTCGGACGCTATTTTGCGGCGAGAGGAAATCGCGACAAGGTGTTTTTGTGCACCAAGTTTGGCATCGTCAGAGACGAGGCTGGAAAATTCTTGGGCTTCAATGGAAAACCTGAATATGTTCGCCAGTGCTGCGAGGATAGTCTAAAGCGTCTTGGCGTGGACACCATCGATTTATACTACCAACATCGGCCGGATCCTAACACGTAAGCTAAACTTTGAATATGCTACTGTACTATCCATTGCTGTATACCACTAAAGGAATTAAGACTTCTTGTGGCTTACTTTTTCTCAACTTATTTGATTCAGCCCTATCGAAGAAACTATGAAGGCTCTGGTAGAGCTGAAAAATGAAGGGAAAATTCGGCACATAGGCCTATCGGAAGGTGCTGTCGATGAGCATAGTGTAGACAGAATGCGTCGCGCCCACAAGGTCCATCCTATCGCCGCTTACCAGGTCGAATTCTCGCCTTGGACTTTGGATATTGAAACAAATGATATGCTCAAAACTACAAGAGAGCTCGGAATCTCCATTGTTGCTTTGTAAGCAGAACTTCATTTGAAACAACACTTGGAAAACGGACAAGGTTAACAATGACAAGAAGTGTAATTGACTGATCATTTCTACTGCACATATATAGCTGTCCTCTTGGACGTGGATTTTTGACCGGCGCTATCAAGTCGCCCGATGATTTCGGACCAGATGACTATCGTAAAACAAGCCCCCGTTATTCTCCTGAAAACTTCCCCAAGAACCTTGAACTTGTCAAGAAAATCCAAACTTTTGCTGAAAAGAAAGGTGTTCTTCCATCGCAGCTAATCCTTGCGTGGGTGTTGGCTCAAGGAAATGACTTTATCACTATTCCTGGAACTAAGCGAATTAAGTACCTTGAAGAGAACGTTAAAGCTGGCGAGGTGGAATTTTTAGATGCAGAGATGAAGGAACTACGCGAAATCATTGATACCGCCATAATTAGTGGTGCTCGCTATGCACCAGCTCAAGCTGTAAATCCCCCTAAATAGTTAAATTGGTTTATTTTCAAGCTGTATACACATAAAATTTCATTCCTTAAAAATCCGTCCATTAACGTCGATTACCAATAACTTCAGCCTTCTTAATAGTACACCTCTTTTTGTGGCTTATATGGAATATACTCCCGCCAAACGTTAATTCCCGTTAGCGTCAACATTGACTGTACTAACAATACGCCAAATAAAACATGATGACTTGAATATGTAAAGGCAACACACCCGTCCATATCGGCCATCATCCTGCTTGTCGAATAGAGATTCCACATAAAAATATTTTGTAATAGCACATGCGCCGTAGTGGACTTACTTATCACTAAGAGGAAACACCTTTTTAATCTCATACTGTAACAATAATGTTGGACGTCTTCAAAGCAGTACTTGCATTTTTTACTTTTTATGATAGAAATTCATGCGTAATTATAATGATATCATAGCAATAGCTATGCTCCTGCGTTCACGAAAAGGCCATTGTTTTTTCCTTGTTACTGAGTATCGTTCTTTCTACCGCATGTGTATCATATGCGCCAACCATTACAGCACCAGATGGCATTCCTTGTTTATGAGTGTATTATGTAACTTCATGTTGTGTTGGAAGACCACATATTACTGTGCTTTCACAAAACATGTGACTTATGACATAGCAACGGTCTACGGTCTACTTAAACAGGATTGTTTCTTTTAAGATGTTGCCATTAATAATGGTCTCGTCTAGCGAAGGACAAGCAAGTAGTCGCTCGAATACAGTATCGTATGGCATTTCATCAATTCGCTTAAATATATTGAATACATTGGCACAACCCAGACACTATCCGTATTCAGGAATAAATCTTAAAAGCTGATCAAATATGGGACTGTATGTTTGTACTCCATCAGCAATTCAGGCTCATTGCTTTTAGCAATATTGTAGAGTTTATGACACTATTTGATACTTGATGCAGTTTCTGTTCGCGAATAATTCATGGCAATAATTGTTCGTCGCTTTGGGCATATAGCAAACAAGCAATAAGCCGTGAAATTGAAAGTGATGTTATTTTGTGATCGATCGATCGATCAATAAAAGAAGACGAGAATTTATGCAACGATTATAACTGCAACAGACGTTTTGGTATGTGGCAGCTACATTAATCGACGCTGCATACAGGGTCGAAATTTGAAAATGTAAGCTTGAATCATATTCTTCTATTTTGGCGGCTATATTGATAATCTTAACAATGCACACATCACGGTACTAATACTATCCAGAGCTCTTGTATTCAAGTATTGAAGGTTGGTTGTGCATCTTGAATAAAGACTGCCGCTTACAGTGGCAGCATCAACTACTCTGTGGATTTCCTTCACTTCGCCTTCAGAAAGTTGTATTTTGCCACCATTGGCGTTCTGCTCGAGGTACTTAATGCGTTTCGTTCCGGGGATAGCGATAAAATCATTTTTATGCGCCAGTACCTATGATAGGCAAGAGTCAGTTCACCTGTACTGACACCTTTTTTGTCGGCGAGGACTCTAATTTTCTCAACAAGTTTAACATTCTTGAAAAGTTTTCAGGAGAGAAACAAGGGTATCTTCTACGACTGTCATTTTCTTCCGAGTCATCAAGCGATTTGATTGATCCAATTTACAATTCACGTTCAAGAGGGGAGCTTGTTATATATGCATATAAGATAGAAATAAGATTTGAAATATAAAATAGTAATGATATCATAGTGAGTTAGGGAATCGTTGTATTTTAAAAGAACATTATAACTTTCTTCAAACATGATTAGACTTACTAAGTAACAATGGAGATTTCAAGCTCTCTTGCAGTTTTGAGCATATCATTTGTCTCAATATCCAGTGTCCAAGGCTTAAATTCGACTTGGTAAGCGGCGATAGGATGGACCTTGTGGGCGCGATGCATTCTCTCCACACTACGCTCATCGACAACACCTTCCGATAGGCCGTTGTATCGGATTTTGCCTTCGTTCCTCAACTCTACCAATACCTCCATCGTCTCTTCGATGGGACTAGATTATTATCAAAGACATAAATAGTAAGCAAAGTGAGCTCCGGCGACTGTCATTGCTACATTCATCTAGTAGCACGGTTATCCCATTAAATCACGACTTACGTGTTGGGCTCTGGACGATGCAGATAGCACAAATCGATGGTATCTACGCCGAGACGTTCACTACTAGCTTCACAAGCCTTAAGCACATACAGTGGTCCCCCGCTTTTTGCAACCCTATCTTATGCAAATGCTGCGATTTCTGCAACAATCAGTCCGGACTAGAAACTTAATTTTCCCGCAAATGCTCCCCCGGTCTTTGCAAATCTTCGATTTCTGCAACAATTTCTGGGACTTTCCACTGTTGCGAAAAGCGGGGGACCACTGTACTCGGGTTTTCACTCGGGCCCAGGAGCTGACCAGTCTATTAGTCTCGGACGGCCCCAAGCTTAGTACATAGTAACACTCTGTCATAGTTTCTTCTCGAGGCAAAGTATCTTCCAAGCATACGTTCGTTTTCGCCTAATCCGTAGATATCTGAAGTATGTACATTGCATAAATAACAGTATCTTTTAGGAAGGCCCGACTGAAGGAGTCCTAGTGCCGTGCTCACTGACTATGGCTATTGCTACAGTATAATCCTACAGAGGCTAAGTATGAAACTCCAAACGTTTGTCTGGATATGTACTTGATGATGTGTGTAAGACTGATATGTCCTGGGAGAAAGAGGGGCCTACAATGCAGTAATGACGGTGTTGCCTGCTTACTTTGAGGTTGTAGTGGTATCTATGTATGGTCCTTTCTGTTCGGATAGTCACTGTTTTTGTTGTTCGCCATGGCGCGATGTAAACTTTCAAAGTGTGTGTGGCCAAACGGGTATTTCATGTATTAATGTGAGCTCTGTGACTCCAAAAAGAATCTATTCAAGGAGACATAAAAGCAGTTGGCTGTAACCAAACGCACTTTATTCCTTCTTCTCTTGCTACCACTTCAAACACAACTCTTCCACTCTACCTTCCTTCTCACTGTACTCATGGAATCTGTCTCTAAAGTAAAGGAAAGCAAGAACATAACAGAGGAGAAGACTAGCGGGACAAAGGTGGCATCTTGAACCACGAAGCACCCACACCACCAGAACACTAGCCGCAAGGGCAACGACAGTACAAACACGATGAAGAGCAGCAACCGCAACAGCAAGAATAAGAAGAAAATGGTGGTGGTTTTGATGTCCACCTTTAGCTCGACAACCATACTCTAAACACATGTGTAGAAGGACGACGTGCTCGACAATATTTGAGAGAGGCTCGCTAAACTTAATTCGGATGCCGAGATGGCCGATTTAAATGCTCTGCTCTCGGCTTGATTGCCTCAAACCTAAATTCTATAAAACAAGAGACGGTGTTTCGAGCTGTGAAAATAATAAACTGCTCAGATAGAAGTGTTTTGTACAGCAATTCAAGATGAACAAGATGCCAAAGAGAGCACCAACACAACCTTACAGATAGTTGCATGAAGCAAGCAATGTCATCCAGATGAGCAGTGATCTAACGTCAGGTTGAATGCCATTGCTTTGGGCGTTGCTCGGCGTGCCCAGTGTGCTCGTGTAACATGGAAGGACCTGCGTTCGCAGTTGACACTGTCAACTCTCTTTTTTTGGGGGATCAGGGTGTCCCTGCACAGGCTGTTTGTACCCTGCCACCCCAATGATAATAGGTACGAACAGGGGAAGCAATAATAGCTCATATCCTAGATACAAATAAGCACGGAGAGGTACTACTGTACGCTTCTTAAATGGATGCCAACGTCATTGTCTATCGAGCAGATTTTAGACTTTTGCTGCTTGCTAGTCAGTACGCTCTTTACTCATGGTCTTTTTCGATGCAAACAATGCAGTGGCATGTATCCCTCATATGGTACGTAGGCCCTGACTGGATCAGCTTACGTAATATCGCATATCGTATCATAGATCTTTTCAAGGGGACACAGACACGACGTTTACAAACGAGCATGACTTCCATTGTATATACGACATCTAGAGTGTCACATTGCATGGAAACAAGAGCAACATGATTTACTGATATATACGTGCACACAAGACAGATGCTTGTGCAGTACTGTAAAAACATGATGATTTAGGGTTTTTTTCGCAGGAGCGTGCATTGGTTACTCTGCTCTTTTTTCTTCAAAGGATGAACCAACACACACACACACACCCGAAACCTTCTTTCTTACTTTTCCGTTATCTACACAGTTTCTTTTCATCTGATGAACACACACCCAAGTACGACTCGTCATCCAAACGGGAGAAGGAAAGTCTATGTAGAAAAGCCGTCTTTCTGGGGTTACACAGAAATGCACATGTCCAAAGTTACACACGCACCCCCCAAGGAAACGGCCAATCTATTGTTATTGTTCGACTTGTCCACCGCGTCTCTGTCTGTCACTTTGCTTGTCGTTCGTTGTCACTTTTGTTACAGGGCCAACACGTATCTTCGTTAGTTTGTGCGCTCGAGGTAGTAGTAGCTTCTTTTATATTCCCAACACTGAAAAAGTGAGCAGAGAGTAGATAATGGGAGAGGAGCGTTTATTTCTTATCAGTGATTCTATAGTGGATCAGCTGACCCCCCCCCCCTCCTAAAAAAAAGGAAGGGACAAAAGAAGTTGACAGCATCACCTGCCAACCCAGTTCTTGCCAGGTTACACAAGCACACTGGACACACAGAGCAACGCGTCGCTCATCTCCCAAAGCAATGGCATTCAGCCTGACATTTCCCTTTGCATTGTGCACCTTCCAGGCTACATGTACATACTAGTCTCGTCTTTGTACACGGCTATATCAAAGTGTTATGGTTCAGCCATCTTGGCATTCAAGTCGAGGGTGGAGAGGAGCGATCAAGTCGTGATTTTCCGAGCTCGGAGACCCTCCGGCACGACAGATACCCAACGTGTATGTGACGCTACGAGACTGACTGACTGCATAATACGGTGAGAAGCAGCTTCTCTATTGACACTGATGACGCGAATAAAAGAATAGATTTTTATTTATTCTACATGAGGCACGCACCTGAGATAGCAGCAAGGTCGATGCCAGTGTTTTCATGGCAACGATGAGCAAGCTTATGTATTCTGGCCACTTTATCTCCTAGTTACTGTATCTAACGCGTTGCTTAGAGCGTCATCCACCATCATTGGTTCCAAAAAGAAAGGTCAAATGGTTGATAAGCCGGAAAAGGAAATTCATCCAAGATATATAAAAAGAGCCCATTTTTTACTTTCCCCTCCTTTTCCTTTTTCTTTACCTGCTTTCTATTCCGTACTTTTCTACGATGACTTCTCTAAGCAACAGCTACAACCACGCCACCGGCTATTACGACTTTGTGACGACGACGCCACCACTGCCCCTTACGACCCTGACGCGGCTTCCCAACTGTCTTACCACTCGCACTCCACCTTCAACACCATCAACTCGCCTCTGCACATCTCGCCCGTCCTATCCACCAACAGCAACCTCGACAACCCCTCCACCGCTTCCTACCGCTCCTTTGAGCCCGTCTTCTCCACCGAGTCCTCTCTCATCATTGACCTCGGTCATGATGATGATGCGTTCGGTGCTCTGTCGCGTGCGGGTTCGTCCCCACCGCCATCACCTCAGCCAAACCCTTTCCGGTCGCCCGTTCCTCTGGTCGCCCCGTTCCTCTGTCGCCCCCGTTCCTCTGTCACCCCGTTCTTCCCTCCTGTCGCCAATTCCACAGCAGCAGCATCACCACTCACCGCAACAGCAACATCAATCACCACCGCCACAACACCAAGCTGCCCCCACCACTCCTCTTTTCGCCCCAGCTCCTCTCTTTCCGCCCCTCGGTGTCCCTAGCAATGAAGAAGAAGAAGACGACGATGATGCCATGGATACTGATGAGCCAATGGACATCGACGAGTGGTGCGAAGAAGAAGATTCCGACGAGATGTATGTCGACTGGGTAGGGCCAGCGCCAGCGTTCCCCTGGTGGTGCTAGTGAAAAAAAAAACCAGAAAAGTAAGCACCACCGCCAGCTCACGCTTGACACGCTCTCTCATAGAACCAATAGAAGCTAACCATACTTCTTTAACTTTTAATGTAGACCCAAAAAAAGTTAAAAATCTCTTAGAAAAGTAAGTATCTCATATGCGCCACTTGTTTTTTCTTGCACGCGATCATTGACAGAGTTTCTCCTATTCGAACTTATAGCCCACAAAAAAAAAACCAGAAAAAAAGTACTTGAAAAACCTACAAAAAAAAGAAAGCTCTATGATTATTGGTAAGCCGAGGACGCTGCTTTTATGCGGACACATACAAGGCTATTAACATTGCTGTCGATTTTAAATAGGTTCTCCTCTTTCCTCCTCCTGTCTTCCTTTCCGCTCGTCTCGTTCTCTTCAATCCGCGTCTGCCTTCTGTTCCGCCCTCCTCTGGTTCCTTCTCTTTCGCCAAACTCGTGTTCCTCTGTGGTGTGTTGCACTCTGGGCCGGTACTTGGGTGCATTTGGGTGCGCGCTCGTTGCGCACGGCGGCTTGGCTGGGCTGTGGTTGCCGTAAGTGATTAAAGAATGATATTATACTACTATCACGCCAAAAATGATATACTGATGAAACCGAGTAGCATTACAGGTTATGCGTGGTACGGCCACGGTGCTCGCGGGTGTCTGGCGGTCTCCGCCTTCGTCAGGCGATGGGGTGCGGCCCGGACATCTCAGTGGATGGTTTCTTGAGGTAAAGGCGGCTGGGGCTGGCATTGGCGCCGGCACTGGCTGCAGCCACCGGGGGTGAAGGGGTTGGAGGGGGCATATGGGGACAGCGATGATGGTTGGGCCGGTGGTGGGGAGGTGAGCAACGCTCTGGTTGTGTAGGCAGCAGGAATCCACCATCGAGGCACATGTACAGCGGCGGTTCTTGACAGCAAATGACAACCCAAGGCGCCAAGCGTGTATGATTACGGTACGTACTATGCTTACGGCCATTTTAATAAGAAGAGGCTTACTAACTGATACATCCTTTTTCCTTTCCTTCTTCCCTTCTTCGTATCGCATTCAACACGGATGTGGTGTGAAGAAGGCGAAGAGGGGCCCAATATTAGGAATTTATTCCTTTCCCAAGGTTGTCATCCCAGTCAGTTCCATCTCATGTGGATGGTGTTCCTGCACAAGTCCTTGCAACTAGAGCAATGTTGCTCACCCAATCCCTGCCACCGAAAGCTCAACCGGAGTTGTCCTCGCCCTTTCCATACCCTGGATCCTCCACCGGTTGTAGTCAGTGCCACAGCCATGTTAGTCCAGCCTCAGCCTTCACCTTTGCCTCGGGATTCCTTGAAGCTGGGGTGTCCGGGTTGGGGTGTCCGGCCAGCGGCGTGGGTGGTACGCCGTGATGGAGAGCGTCAGCTTTCCAGGCTAGCCGAGTAAAAATTCGGGGTGTTGTGAGAATCCCGTCTTTGGCTTGATCACGTCGTCTCGTGTGGTCTTGGTGGATAAAACATGAGGGTTATGCTGCTACAGATGGCGTCGGATTTCCAGGCTAGCCGAGCAAACATTACAAACCCCTCCCAGGTGGCATTGAATTGGCGATGCTATGGCGACAAGGACCCTTCAAGTGGGTGCGGATATCTGCTCTCTCAAGTGATCCAATATGACAAATTCTCATTCTCGGCGGAAAATTGCATGCATTTAACACGTGCGTAAGCGGACCAAGTGCAAGTCGCGGTGGAACAGCCTTTGGCATCAACTATCTTCAGCGGACGAAAAGTGACAGGCGGAAAAGGCGACCTATGATTTATGGGCGAGTCATACTCAGGCGCAGCAGCAATGAATCATTAATGATACATCTTTACGAGGAATATGCAAGCTGGTCAAAAATTCCAAGCTGTGTGGCCGTAGACGGATCAAATCCACAAATCTTCACTGTTACTGCATGCGGGCAAATATGTGGGATGGTTCCAAATCAACGGCACGATCATCATCATCATTAACCATCCCTACTTTTGTGGTGAAAACACAAAGAGAAGGCGGCAACAAAAGGAGCAGCGGCAAACATCGTATCGACAAACAGTGTCCGTCGCTAGCTATGGTGGCCCCATCAAGCAAGATACTTCAGCGACAAAAACTGCACCAATTCACACGACTATTCGACTCCATCAGAATCACAAGGTGGCAACTCTTCTTGGCGACACATTATAATCAACCAGGAATCATTGCAGCAAATTCGAGTGCGGTAGCAACCAAGCACAGGAGGCTGTTGCGGCAAAGAAGCACGATGGCAATGCAACACATCTGTCAATCAATACTGGCAACAAAGCATCTATGGAGCGCCACGCATACGAGTGTTTGACACTGGACCAAGAGATATCACACCGTAACCTTGATGCATCTGTCCATGATGAACAAGGATCATAATGGCGACAGCCCCTGGTGAACAGCGTCTAAATAATGTTGGCGACATAATCCAAGCTTAGCACGGGAAGATTAGGCGACAAGATACGAGGAGACATATTTAATGACAACATTTCAACCGCTAGGTGGATGCAAAGCATATAGTAAGTTCTATCCTAACAATATCAAGTCGGACAAAACATGATACTTACATTCAAATTCTTCTTAGGGGGGAAAAGGCGGCGAACAATCTGAAAATTGCTCATGAAAATAACAAGCAAAGTCATCAGCATAGGCGGGCAAAGAATATCAAGGACAGCGATGCACACGGGACACAGCTATTGGATGGAACAGTATCACATTATTGTGGCGGTTTTAGTGGTGAAGCAGCAATGGGGACAAAAGAAGGGACGAGAAGCACACCTGTCCAAGACTCATCAAGCAAAACACTGCGTCTAAAGTCACTATCAACAAGGGTCACATGATTGTCAGAGGGACCCGACGGCATTCTGAGGCGGAATAAAGGCGGCACTATCCGTATCCAGCTTTCAAACTCATGGTGACGAACTCACGTTAAAGGCACTGAGCGCACAACCGATAAACACAACTCGACGAGAGAATCGGTCACGTTTTCCTGTACGACACAGCACAAATGACACCGCCAATTTCTTCACTCTCATGCACTTACCACACAGTACATGACACACGCTGGAATGCATGCAGCATGGACGTCAGTGCCGATGTTATACCATCGCAACACTTTGCCATGTGCCTTGGAGTATCATCTGCTGGGGCGCCGATGATGGCCTTGCAGGCCATGGGTGGGCGTATGGGGGCCCACAGGCCGGTGTAGCATGCATATGCTATTCTGGTGAAGGCAGCGAGTTTATATCGTCTGGGTCGGTGATCTCGTGGTGCCACTCACTGAAAACACAACCACGGATCCCATCGCTGGCTTGGGTTGAACACTTGGATCAATTGGAGCAAGAGGAACACACTAAAAAACCAACGAGCAAAGTATAAAACTAATGTATACCATACAACTGGGATAATTAAAGGAGCAGCAACCATGAACTAAGAAGATCTCTTTGACATCAATCACATAAGCATCGCATTAGCACATACCTTCAACATACATCATCAATGGTAAGTTATTCTCTGAATTATCTGAACGACATTAAAGTTTTGGTTGACCGATTATCTAACGCTATGTTTGTTTCGATCTTGTAGGGGAAGCAACAGACAAAATGAAAAAAAAAGGATGGAGCTGCCGACGCATATACAGTGCGGCTTTACGATCCAAAATCAATAAACAGATGTAATCACCGACACATATACAGTGTGATTTACAATTCTGGATGCTATTTTCCCAAATCGCAAAAGCAAGATGCAGTACATACAAAAGGTACGTGAGGATTGCGAATACAAGAGGTTAAGACGAACATGTAAATGCAAAAACTGACAGGCGATCTTTGTTTCTCTAGGCTTTTAAAGCTATTAACATCAAGTTAAGAGGTTCATTGGTCATGTTTGCCGCTCCTTGGTTTATTTCAAAACAATAAATCTGCATATGTTTTGCTCTCTTTACTATTATTACGCATTATAAATGAGCTTTTTAGAATGTGAAGTGTCAATATATTAAGTTGAATGGTATCTGTGTATGCGACAAGTCTTTTATGCAAGGGTAGAAGCAGTAGCAGCATTAAAATACAACGTATATAAGCGACAACAGCGCCATCAAGGGACCATGGAGACTCTTCATATCAGAAAGGCACACCAGCACACTGCCATCACTTGATAACCTTGATAAACTGGATATACAAAGACAAATCGACCCAAAATGAGTTACGGCAGCTGTCAAACCTGCTGTTTTTGAATTCGGTGTATGTGTCATAAATGTACGGAGCCTCTGAACCAAAGTTCATTACACTGCTGGCGTGTTGCCCGTATTCGACTTCTATGCTCTTATTATGCACTGTATGTATCTTGTTTGTAATCTAGTACTGTATGCATATAGATTAATCGGATATCATATTGTACAAAGTATAGCGATTAATTCATAAATCGAAAAACAACTTTTGCTTCACCCATCCGTCTTTAGGATTGATTTTATATACACTTACCATACTGTATATTATGAACAATCCACAGCCTCCACCGCCGAACTACATCAGTCGAGTTTATTGGAGGTATCAGACAAACAACAATAGCAAGGATTACTAGTACAAGCTGTTTTCGCCTACTTTCAACCCTCACTAATTTCACACAAAATTTAGGAATGCGCGCTATGTAATTAACGAGGATCTACTGTACTTCAGTATGGCAACCTAGGTCTCTTGGCAATCAATAAGATAACTTGCATACATCAGTTTGACGAAAAGGCGCTCGTTGTGAACCCATTTGGATATGCTCGTATCTTACGATGATAATTCTTGCAACACATCAAGCATTTTAGATAGAGTAGACTCCAAGAAATCAAAGATAATGAAGTGAAATTTGATACACAAAATTTGGATTTTTTTCTCTTTTATATCTTTTTTGCAGAGACCGGTTAAATATTTTTTCTTTAGAGCATATGATACTCCCTTACACTTTTGTATCAAATAAATGTCTTCTCTCACATTTTTGTTTGTACTCGTTAATCTGATGGCTATTATATCAAAGATCCAATATCTTTCTTTCACACTCTATACTGGAAACCAGATGAAATCTGTAAATGGGCTCGCTGTCAATTTGCCACACATTCAAACAATAAGAGAGCCTCTATGCTTTATGTTTTATTGAATCACGGGTTATCCATTGTTAATCCTCTAACAATTCAAAGGAACAAATTGCATACTGCAGAGGAGAAGTGTACCATCGGACGCTTAGTTCACAAAACATCAGTCAACTATGATATTGAATTTCACGCAAATTATGTCACCGCACACGGCAAAGCGAACAAGGAGCGATCGTCTTCATCACCATCATTTCTGCCACCAATAGCAGGCAAAACGGATACGTATTATCATAAAAGCAGCAAACCATCCAGCTTACGACGTTGGCTCGATACCTACGTCACCAATACTTTCAACGATCGCGCCACCAACACTAGGACAGCAACAATTTAAATATTGACCAAGATGGCCATTGCTTAAAGAGAGAACTATACATGACAGCATACAATAGCTGCATCAAAGTTGTAGTAATTGTGTAATAAATATATGTGTATATTTACAAAAAAATGTGAGTGAAAAAAGGGCTCATGTAGTAATCTAATCATCCCATTCATCATCTGCGACATCCTTCTCTTCTTCTGCAACCTTGTTTTGTTCTTGTTCCTTCTGTAACCGTTCCTCCTCCTCTTCATCTACGCGTTTTGCAGTAGAAAACATGCGATTCATCAAATTCTGGCGTCGTTCCTCATCGCTGACCATCTTTTTGCCCATCTCGAATTTGGCTTTGGATCGGGCCGCTTGTGGTGGTGGTGGCGCCTCGCTTAGCGGAGTCATGCCTTCAGGTTGCAGCGAAACTCGCTTTAATTCCGTGTCTTCTCCATCAAACCAACTCTTTGCGTCTTGCGCAGGATGCTCATAGTCTGGCGTGTCAATAAAGATGTCGTCTTGGAAATATTCAGGCTACACACAGTTACAGTTGTCATTTAAAAATGAGTAAATTTACAAAATCATAAACAATCATATCGCATTATACTCACTCTTGCTCGTGGTACACGCACGCCATAAGGTTCGATCGAAGTTGGCGTCAACCGGTAGAATCGGGCAATTTCTGTTTCCTTGACGTGACACAGTCGTTTTGGCAAAAACACTAAGCCTTGTTGAAGTGTTGTGCCTTCAATCTTTGCCAGTGGTTCGAGCTCCTTTGCGGCATATGTATGAATGATACGATCACCCTAAACGTGTTATTTGGAGACGAGGGATAAGTCAGTATTCCTTATCCAAGAAAGCAAAAAAATAAATAAATATAAACAAAAGACAATGCTGTCCTTTCTTACCCGCCCTGCGACATAGAGAAGATCACAATCCGGATCATAGTACACGCTCATGACACTGGGAGAGACATCGATCGATTTTTTCAAAACAGGCTTTTCCAATTTATCGATATCGAAAACGAGGATTTCACGCATCGAACCAAGACCAAATCCAACACTTGCAACACGATGTGCATCGAGCCAAACAATACGTGAAGGACGGATACCATCATGAGACTTTGTTTGACCCAGCACATCGCCTGATCGAGCGTCCAGTACGTGTAACTGCTTGTCTTTGCCATGAATGGCGACTTTTTTGCCATCGGTGCTCCATGCACAATAAAGAACACCATTGTTGGAACCAGCCGGATATTTGAATTTCACTTCCTGTGTATCCAAGTCCCATATACGAATCGATGGCTTGCCGAGGTCATTGGATACGCTCAATAAGACATTGTTGGTAATGGGATGGAACTCAATTTGACTTGTCTTGTCCATGGATGGATCTAATTTTGGTAATCTTTCTGTATTAGCAGAAAGGAAGGCTGATGCAAGAACATAAATATAGCTCGATCATAGCATTACCTTTCAATGTCATGAATGGTTCACCGGTATCTTCTTCCAGACCGTCCTCTGGGATTCTCCAAAGTCGAATACAGTTGTCCTCAGATGCAGTAGCAAGAACATGGGGATCGAACGGATCAAATTTAAAGTTGGTTACTGTGGATCCACATAATATGGATGGGATCTGCGTAGGAAGTCGACCAGGCTTGTTAATAGAGATTATGCCGACACGACCACCAGCACCTGAAATCGGCACACCAATAAGTTTCGTGCTGGCTTGGATCAAGTCGAAATTGCCGCTCTTGTCGATGGACAGACCACGCAAGTCGTCATAATGTGTGCTCGGGTGATATAGCTTTCCGGAAACGTATTTGAATGCAGAAGCATGGGCCGATCCATACTGAGGAAGCTTCTTCTTTGGCTTAGGCGCTGTTGCTTCCTGCTCTTCCTTTGGTTCCGTTCCTTGAGCATCAGCTGACTGTTTTTCTTCAGTAGTTGTAGATGGCGACGATTTTTCTTGTTCTTTGACGGAAGCGGATGACGGATTTTCTGAAGCAGTGCTGGTTGAACTACTGGGAGGAGTCGAAATAGCAGTAGCAGCAGCAGCAGCAGGTGCAGCAGCAGGTGAATTTTGCATAACATCTTTGGTGATAGCAGCTGGCTGACTGCCGTTTGTGTTGGCTGTCGTGGGGATGCTCTTTGCTTTTGCAGGGTCCAAGGAAACTTTTGCAACGGGCTTGTTTTCACCAGCCAACCATTCCGGCGCCGACAAACCAGGGACTATATACAACCAGTAATTTCAATTAGCCCTCCGTTTTTCTCCATAACCAGCCCGAAAGATGATCAGACATAAACATAGTACCATACCAGTGCCTTTGGTTTCGGGGAACAAGTCAGCGTGGAAGTCCAAGTATTGCTAAAAATTTCATCAGCAAGTTGTACAATTAAGCATAAGCATACCTTAACTAGAGAATAGTAGAATTTAGGATTACCTTTCTGGGAACTTCAAAAGAGACAGGCATGATTGCATTTTCAACCACGGCCAATACGCGAGCAATTTCAGCCTGCATGACATGCAGGGATTGTTTCGGCACCAATGCTGCACCATACACGGACGCCACCGTGCCACATGCCATGTTCTCGTCAATGCTGGGTCGTGTGATCAGGTCTGACATCTGCATAGATCTGATCGAAGCATCGCCACGGCCGATCAGATAGACTGTTTCTGTGTCTTCGTCATAGAGCGGTAACATGATACCAGTCGATTGATCCAGCGAGGCCTTTTTGACTGGCGATGCCAAGTTACGCGAGTCCCATAATCCATATTCCCGGCTACGGAACTGAAATGCGATTGGTGAGCATGTACTTGGTAATATATTTCTCTCTCAACTTTTTTTGTTCTTTTCAAAAGCACTTTGTCATTACTACACCGAGTGATTACCTTGCTCTGACCCACTGTAAACAGATAATTGGTTTCTCCAAGCCAAACTACACGTGAGCCCTTGATGCCTTCGTGGCCAGCACCTGTCTATCTCGTAATTTCTTCAGTTTAGTACTAGTTATTCGAATTGTACTAACATACTGTTTTCACCCGCCGTATATGAGTCAAACATACCGAGATTTGTTCAGCAGCTCTAGGATCCCAAACTGTAACAACACCTTTACCGGACGTGCTTAGCAAGGAACCATCCGACTTCCAAGAAAACGAATGGAATGGCTCGCTTGGAGAAGCAATCTCCAATGCTGCTTTGTCGCTCTTGTGTGCATCCCAAATACACACTTTCTTGCCTTCATTTCCTAAAGTCGTGACGATCTGTATAGTACGAATTTAATCAGTCTATGCTTGCTCACTCTCTGTGGTTTTTCTGATCTGATAATTAATTGGGTTGATCCCAAAATATACCTGGTCAGCTGTAGGATGAAAAGTGACGACATCGACTCGACGCGAAGGGATGGACACTGTTGATACACATGATGGTTCCTTTGATGCTTCAACATTCCACAGTTTGACCTATACCACACATGTAACGATCATTAATTTTTTCGTACTAGATTATCCCCAGAGTCCGTTGATGTGTTACCATGCCATCCTCTGCACCAGTAGCCAGCAGATCGTCATTGAACGGTGAGAAAGCCCAGTCAGTTAGCGGGGCACCATGCGCATGAAATACGCGAGCTTCACTTGCACATGTTTTCCCCGGCTTGTCCAGTGGCAACAGTCCGATCGATCCGCCGTCTAATTATAGCAATCGAAGGTTTTTGAGGAGAATGATACTCGTACAGTGCAACAAGTCCTCAAAAGAAAAGGACTTACTTCCAGACCATTTCACGGCCAGTGAGGTCCGACTTGCTTGAACCAGACCGGCCTTGTCGGAAGATGATGTCGTTGCTGCCGGAACATCGGCATACCATTGCTAAAACAGAGCGAATGATGTTATTTCCCCGAGTATATAAGAAATAGCTAAAGAGGGGAGTATGTATAATAAAGAAAAGGAACATACCTCTTTCTTTTCTACTCGGCCCACGACATTGCGGTACTTGTTCACGTGTTGAAATCGTCTGCTCATTGTTTGACGCGGGTGCATGTACTATATAAGTTAAAACGGAAGGGGTTGCTGGAAGGTCGGTGTGTGTGCGTGTATAGCGGGGGGTGATGGGGGAGTTTCCAGGTTTCCAGCAGTATAGGAGTGTTTTACGTATCAGTGTAGTCGCAGCAGCAACAAGAAACGAGAGAAATGCTTGTGCGCATCCTTTAGCAGTGTGGATCTCCGCCCTCTGTGTGTGTGTGTGTGTGTGCAACCACCACTCTTTATTCGTGACTCTTTAATACAAGCAGCTCTTTAGTTTCCTTTCTAACCTCATTCTTTTCCCTCTCCGTCTCTCTCTCTCTTTCTCTCTTTCTTACTTACTTTGCGATAAACTCGGGTTTTGGAAAACTCTTCTTAATGAACGCACATCACGAGAGCAAGCATTCTAAATTCTTTCGCGTGGGAGGTTCAGTCGGTCTATGCGTCGGACTCGCTATCGGGGCAACCAGTCTGTTCGGGTAAATAACTTTGTTTCTATGCTTTCTTTGGTAATAAGAAAACAGTGGACGTATTGCTGACAAACGGCTAAAAAAAAAAAAAAACAGACATAGCAGCAGCCGATCTGCAGGACCTACATTATCACACTATATGGCGAGCTCGGTGGTCTCAGTAGCAGCATGGATGAGTAAGTGTTGTGTTTGTGCGTACTACGTCCACTTGAGTAGATATGTTTCGTTGATACTATGCCATATTTGGGATGCTCAACGTTTCATGTTGCAATTACAAATAGGTCTTAGGGGGCTGCTGCTACAACCACGGGAAAGATTTCCAGCTTTGCTTTATCAGACAGGAGCAGTCAATGCGAACACACCGTTGGAACATTTGCGTCTACTGAACAATGCTCCCGATTCCATATCCAACATGTATCAGACCCCACGGACCTTTGTGCACAGTCGCTGCAACTAGTGATTTTAATGGACCATCCCTGCCTTGTCCTTTCAACATCGTCATGATCATCCTCCTCCACCCAACCCCACGAGCAACGCATAACATGTATAGGCAACCCCTTCTTCCAACCATCCACAAGCCATCTATTCGTCCTTTGCTTTCCCATTTCATCTTTTCGAGTTCAAAAACCTGTGTACATTATTTTGCTTTGTCCTTTTCTGGCGACATCTGTAGTATACGCGATATCTTTTTCTTTGCTCTTATCATATACCAAAAACAAAAAAGAAAGAAATTGCATATTCATCAATCATCATCACATGAATTACCACCATTAAAAAGGTTCCTTTTTTTTTGGGTTCATCCCACACCATATCATAGATGTATATCTTTCTGGCCCCGTGTCTCTTCTTCTTTATTCAATGGCGGTGGTGATACGTACCTTAATTGCTGGATCAGTCTACGCAGCTCTTTTCTAACGTGTTTCACTCCACGGATATCCGATTTCTCAATATGCATCACTTTTTCCGGCGGAGGCACTCCCGAAGATGACGGAGATATCATTCGTTGAACAAGGTTATCTGTAATAGCAATGACATACACTATCGTGGTTTTTTTTAACAATAGCATAAAAAAGGAGTAAGCACACTGTAATTAGAACTTTGATTTTCAAGCACGGTCTCTTTCTCTCTCTCCATTTATGTGCACGATGTTCGGTCGTACTATGTGCATTCACTTTCCATCCAACCCCCTCTGCTCCGCACACCCCTCAATATCCCATAAAGAAAAGCATACCTCCACAATCAGCTCCATTGGCTTGGCGTGGTGTGTTCATATGAACGAGTTTGGGCGGTTTCCTGTCAAAGCCAAGAACAGACGTCATCTTTCGAGCCGTCATGCGTGCATCGGCCACGTTCGTTTCCCCCATACTGTCGTAGTAATAGAACGCGTGCGCTCGTCTCAAGAACACCAGTAACGACCAATGCGATCCGCTGTAGCCCACGTGCGGCCGTGAATCGTTGACTGGGATAAATACCGCATGATACTGGTTTATATTAGGCGGAAGTGCCGAAGAAAGATAAGTGGCATCTAAAATCACATACAGAGGTGGGTCCGTAGATGATTTTAATTTCATTTGTTGTCAGGGCTCAATAAGAAAAAATCATACAAGGCCGTACCTTGAATATGGGCAATGAGTTCTACCATTCCAGGACGTAAAAGCAATATTTTTGCAGTTTCAGGAATCACACTGCGCTCAAGGTACTCTTGGTGAAACGCAAGAATGGTGTCATTCAGCCATTGCTTCTCTTCTAGAGTTTCATAATCCTATCAATGATCCGCCACACACACACACACACATGCACACAACATGTTATATACGCAATTCAATGTATCAGGTGGCCAAAATAGTATAAACAACAGGCTTTTCTCTTTACTTGTTGCTGAATCACGACATCGTGGTAATGGAGTAACATTATCAACGTTCAAAAAGGTTGAAGGGCAAATTGAGTGAGAGAGAGAGAGAGAGGGGTCCGACCGCGCAGCTCAATTATTTTGTGTTCCCGGATCGGAAACAGTTAGCCTGGTTGCTGTGCGACACCTCACATTTTGACCCTATTTTCCATATCATGCTAAATTTGAGAAATAGCTAGTGGCTGTGATGATTGTACAGCACTCAAAGTCATCACTTGCCGTCTCCAATGCTCAGATACTTGGTTGCATGAAATACTGCGTTTGTCCGAGTACTGCGTAGTCACAGCAATTGTAAGCAACATCAGCTATGTTCCTTCTTGCGTTTAAATATTGCTTTTCAAAAGAATCCGAGCTTGCCAGTACGATTACTAGCTATCAGATCTGTTTTCCTTCTTCAAAATACTTCGGCTTGCTTAATTTTGAGCATGTGTTGTTCTGAATGATCAACGACTGTCAAGCTGGGTGGCGGATCTGACCTATTCTGCCAACAACATTTTTCTCGGCGAGGATCTGAAGCAACGGTCAGTCAAGGATGCACGAGTTGTATTTTAGACACGCTGATCATTACCTGTTGAGTAACTTTTTGTTTCTTTGGCATACCGTCTACGTTTTTATATGATGTTGGTCGCTAGATATGGCGCCTGCACTTCACTGCATATCGCGATATAGCTACAGTAATTATCGAAGCAACCCCGATGAGCGGGTTCTTGCTACATTGATCTTCTGATAGCGTGACGAGAGGTGAGGAGTGCGTGCAGCCAGTATTCATTCGAGTATATGCGGCAACGCGGTGTAATAACTACAAGGCTGGACAGCGACTACGTACGCTTCGCGCAAATACGTATGGGGGAACATAAATACAACATCTCTTCGTGGCGGTCCTTGGAAAAGATGGCGCATAACAACGGCTAAGAGCGTGTCGGTTTTCGAATGATCTTGTACTTCACCCCCTTTATGCATGTCCTATGTATGTCTTTAAAAAAGCGTTTGTCGACAACGTATTGAATTTCTTATGTGTATGAAGCGTGTAATATCAAAAGGAAAAACATTGAGCAATGACAACATAATCACGTATTAAACTTGGCCGCACTGAAAAGTAAAAATACATACCACCATGTCGATCTTGATGGGGCGGCTCAAGCCATAGACTTGCAATACCCACAGTACCAGATACAATATGCGAATGAAATCTGCTGGCGCCCCTGAAACTTGATCACGCCACAGGTCTCAAGATGGAACTTATGGGCCAGCTTATGTAAGTGATTTTTTGTAGAAAACAAATGTTGACGAAGTGCATATAGAAAATGACGACAGCATGTTTACAGACAAACTATATTGTTACATAGCTCATCAGTGCTTTGGTGGTTTAAATAATATAAACGGTGCGCTCTGTATGTGATGATCGTTAGTGTGTGCTGTTTCGGTAATACTGTAGATACGAGCAACATGTACCATCCGCGCTGATTTGTATTTCAAAGGCAAATCCATATAATACGTGTTCAATACGGTATAGGTACCTTCTTCTTTTACCGCATATAGCACTGTGCTGTTGCCATCGGTGATAAATCAAGTGAAAGCTTGTCGTAGAAAAAAGTATAAAAAGAGAGACAAAAATCTTGTCTCTTGCTTCCAGTCCAGTTACCAATACCACCCCTGCATGGCGGAATTTTCAGCACCAACGCATACAGGTATCATATCCGTAAAGTATTGATTTCGTGACAATATAAGAGTGCCTAACACACAACGGTCATGATTATCATTCAATATGTAGCATCATTATCAGGTTTTACTGACGAGAAAGGTACGCACAGTATTGACCATGCTGCCACACTCATTGACTGCGATCGCTCACAGGCTGGCAGCTCCTTTCATGCTTATTGGAATATTGTATGCTGTGTTTGCGGTGTTGGTATGTTGGGCTTATCTCAGTCCCTGAGCAAAGGGGGTTGGGGTGCGTTGGCGCTCATCATACTTTCCTGGTTGATGACGCTTGTAAGTAAACATCTTGGCCATTATTCGGCACTGAAGAAGAAGTGCGCTTCTTTCTTTAACCTTTTTCTTTTTCAATTTATCGATAGTATTGCTCTGTTATTTTGATACAATGTCTATACCATCCTCGTAACAAACAAGATCCAGTCCGTCTTGCGTCCATCCCTGCTGTCGCCCAAGACGCCTTTGGCCCAATCGGAGGCTGGTTTGCTTTCTTTTTCCAAACATGGATCGTCCTTGGTATACCCATTCTGCATTTTGTGCTTGCTGGTGCTAACATGAATCAACGTGAGTCAGGAATCACCTTTATGTGTGTGTTTATGAAGAAGCCAAAAGTCTATGGACAAATATAATAATCTCATGATGCTGCTCCTCTTTTCTTCTTGGTATACTTTGCCGTCCTTATGTATAGTTTGCCGCGGTACTGCAGCAGAAATTGGACAAGTACAATGGACCATCATATTTTGTGCATTGGTCTCCTTCCCATATGTCTTTTTCAAAAGCATGAAGGACACAGGTTGGACTAGCGTTTTTGGCGCGCTAGCTATAATCATCACAACACTCATCTGTGTGATCGTGGCCGGTATCGATGAAAACAGCCGCCTTGGTGATAGCCCACCTGTCATCCACAACAGCATCATTTGGCAAGGGTATCCTGCGGCTTTATCCAACATTTCCGTCAGCTTCAGTGGTAACGTTGCGTTTCCCAGTATTGAAGCAGCGATGAAAAAACCACAGCATTGGACCCGTGTCATTACTACTAGCTTGACAACCTGTGTCTTCCTTTACATTCTAATTGCCGTCCCAGGCTATTACGTTTATGGAGCATCAGTACAAAATCCAATGTACAACAGCCTTCCCGATGGTATCCCACGTACAATAAGCATTGCTTTGATCACGATTAGTGTGATCATGTCCGCTCCGATTTTTTTGATTACATTTACGCTCGAATGCGAAGAACGAATGAACATTACAGTCGAACGTTGGGGTCGCAGACGAGAGCTTGTCTTCCGTATCGGTTTCCGTTTGTTGACGATGATCGCTTGTGCAACGATCGGCTGTGTGGTTCCGTTTTTCGATCTTTTGATGGCCCTGTTTGGTGCTGTAGGCTGTTCTACTACTATCTTTATAATCCCCGTCCTATGCTATTTTCGCCTTACAGGGTTTGGTAACAAATCCTTATATGTACTTGCCTGGAACTTTCTTATTCTAGTCTTCGGCACAGTAGGTCTTGCATTCGGCAGCTGGTTTGCTGTTGAAGATCTTGTTCATGCTTTTCAGAAATCATCAAAATCTTAATACAATATAAGCAGTTAAAGCTGCCTTTTCTGTAATGAAGAGTACTGGTAAATGTCACTGGTGTGGTTAAATGCGTATAATAGCATTTCCGCGTTTATACCAATGTATACACAGCAGCGCGCACAAAAATATGATACTTTGATGCTCCATAAATTAAAATGACGTGCCTTTCATATTTGTACATACAATCCACCTATGACCCGCCAAAGAGCTGATGGTTTCAACAACACTACGCACATCAGACTTAATTAGTATGTCAGTATCGTTTTAGCCAACAGGTTTGAAAAATCTTCCCTTCTGTGTTGATGTTGTAATATATAATCTAGCAATCGATTAATTGCTCTTTCACGACTGTTGGAGAAAGGCACTCGATCCATTATACTGTACCTTACATAAATTTATGGAGGCAATACTATGTAGTAATAGGCGCTAACTGTCACATTCTGAAGAAAAGAAACGTTCTTTCTCAATATCAGGCGCTGCGAAAATTGTCGCGAGCCTGTGATTGCCTTAGCTTTTTAAAGAGAAAAATCTTTATTGTTGTTTGCATGACAAAACCTGTTGTCCTATACGCTTCATTGTTAACATGTTCAAAGAAAAATTGGCAAGTAATGAGATGTTTAAGCTGATTTTGACACTTTAACACCACTTTATTCATGAAAATGTACATAACAAAATTTAAGCGCGCAAAACATTCATGATTCCGGTTACATGCATTGTTTAATTTCATTCCCTTTCCCTTGGCATTTATGATCGAAGCAGCAAGGAGTTGGACTACCAATATAACAAGCTTCACCACGAGCATAGCAAGTGTCATCAGCAGAAACCAGCACCGAAGCCAGCATCGAGGCCAAAACCACGGAAAGAGAAAGGCGTTGGAGAGAGAAAACTTGAACCATGTTCGTCTTGTTTACTATAAGCGTGTACATGTTAATAATTAATGAATAGATTTGAAGGTGCATAGTAGTGAAACAATGAAAAGACGACTTACAATGAGTGAGGATCACAAATTTATTTGATATAGAGCAAAGGCGTTCTGTAGAAAAGCGAACCTTTTATACTAAAAGACTGACTATAAATCTACCTCTGCAATGTAAAAGGGGCTAGGAACTGTAACGCTTTCGGTAGAGCATGGTGCATTGCAACTTCCTAAGACACAGAAATGCATTAAATCAAGTTCAGCCCTTCCTTATTACGCCACACAAGGATTATCAATTAAACACATCTGGCTATACATTAATATAGAAAAAGTTGACGAAAAAAGTACCACTACATACTACCTGTTAGTTTGACAGCTCATTACACAATGTTGAATATAGATACTATAACTCTAAATGTGCTGACAGTTGATGCATTTCTTGGAAAAGAAATCTAATGCCTTCTCTAAACTCTGCGTCGTATACTGTACAAATTTTCAAAGATACATATTTGAAAAAAATAATACAACAAGGGTGGAAGAAAATGATAATACTAAACAATATTTGGAAAACCATAATAACTAACTGTATACATATATTTAGAGATGGACCTAATGACATATTACTAGCAGTGGAAAAAGTTTGTGTATATGAACAGCATATCAGTCAACCCATATCGATAAAAAAGTTATATTATCAGTTTTGACTATGATAATATAACAGTATAGTGACCTACTGCATAATGTATTTTATCTCGATCCAATTTGACGTATCTATGAATCGCGCCATGATTCACAACCCAAACACTTTTATTTACATTCCTATCATACATTTACCAAAAGGCGGGTTATCGAACAGCTGCTGCTCTCGCACGTTCCATCATTGGACTCACCGTTTTCAATTTTACAGGCAATGCAGTTGACGTTATGCACAACTTCAAGCTTTCTATCTCGGTCTTTCTCACGATGGATCAGTATGTACATATTTGTTGATTGGTATCACAATTCCAAGCGGGATAAGCAATATTTATATGCACTTAAAATGTTAATGTGTCAAAGAAAAGGCTTCACGAATACAACCACTCAAATCCTTTTAAAAAATTTGACCCGAACAAAAACTATTCTATAAGATCCATCATGCACTGATATGGCATAGTTGGAGATAGTGGGATCGTTATCAGATATATTGATTGTTTTTGAAAATCATTCTATGACTTGTGAACATGTTTCTCGTCTTGATACTGTCGATATTTTTTCATTGTTGTAAGCAAGTGACAAGAGAAAAAAGTATAGTGATAGTGTTCGTGACCAACTACTAACTACGTAAAACTATTCTGCCAATGGAATCATGACTTGATGGATCAATTATCGTAAGCATAACCATATTAGTTGACATCACCTAATCACAAATATGTAATAATGATTAACCCTAACTCAGGATGCAAAGATACAAATCAAACATCAAAAGTAATAAAACCAGCCCAAAAGCGAATACACACCTTTCAAAGCTACCGCTAATGAACCACGACTATACTGCCCCAGCATCACAAAGCACATTTCTGAGACTACCGTCAATAGCCACGTCTTTGCTAATGCTGTGCATCCGCTGGATCATAGTTTAGGTCGTGTACTATTAAAAAAACAGAGAGAGAAATTAAATGAGATATGGGAATCAGTATCGTAGCAATCCTGAATAATCCTAGTTTCCATGTCATCGCATTACCTCGTCAGCCCATGCATAATGGAACCAGCCCGAGCGAATACATAAAGAGCGCACAGCACATTTTTCAAATCTACCGCTAATGAACCACGTCTGTACTGCCCCAGCATCACAAAGTACGATTCTGAGACTACCGTCAACAGCCACATCTTTGCTAATGCTGTGCATCCACTGGGTCATATTTCGGTCTTGGTCCTTGAATGGAAAGCAACTGATGGGAAGAGTAGTCCCTCTTTTAGGCGTTCCATGTAAAGTATGAAAAGCGCCTTCTGAAACAGTAAGAACCATGGCTTTTACGAAGCATTCGAGAATGCGTAAACATTAGAAGGATCCACTAGATCCCTGTTTGTGGTGCTACATATGTATCATTTGCATTCTCTTTAGCTGTCTCATATAACTGCCTTTGTCTAGGTTATAGGCACAGAGTTACTGAAGTAGATGTGACCCTGAAGATTAGCAGACACTACTCAGACAACAAAAAAATACGCATCGCCATCCTTTTGACAACTTTCTTCGTGTCTCTCTTTCGCAAGTTCTGTAAATTGGCGCACCCTAGATGTAGCCCTGAGCAACTTTGCGAACGAGGAATATACGTCAGCAAAAATCTCGTGCAAGAAGAAGGGCCGCTGAGGGTGATGCATTTCGCGCAGCAGATCGCCAAAGACAACGCCGTGCGCGGGAAGATCCAGAGTATAAAAAAACTGAAAGAGTATGCATATCATTTGCGATCCCTGCTGTCATTGCTACTTCTACTCCACGACCTTTCTTCTCTATTAGCAATTATCACCATCTTGGAAGTAACCCAGCCCTCATTATTCTCTTTTTTCTTTGAAATTTTTCAGGAGCGAGACCGTATTGCACAGCAAGAAGCCCGTCCAGACGAAATTCGTCGTGCTGCCGCCAGTATGTCTGATAAATATGAAGGTGTATGGAGTGCAAGCGATCAAACGAAGGCAGGCTCATGCACATACAAGGGCTTGCAAAAGGAGGAGTCGTCCGAATGTCGAGTGCAGATTCGGTATTCCGATTATGCCGATATACTCACTCATTGTGGTGAAACTACACTACTTTGAGTTTGATCCAAATAACTCAACCCACTCCGCCATCTTCTTCGTAACCATTAAAATGCAGTAGAGAGAACACCACACACATGGATGAATCAAATATTACATAATTAGCACCATATTGATAATCTCTCAAACATGGATCACAATTGAGAATGACTCAGGACCAACTATTTTCAATACTTCGTTGCAATATAATAAGGAGTTCACCCTATGCTTATTTGTTAACAAGAATGCATCTTAACACTTCAAACAACCATAAAACTTACCCAAATGACTATGGGTTTGATGTACGCCAACTACCAATAGCAGCCTTTGATACAAGAGTAAGGAGTAGTATGACGGGCAGGGCGGGCATGGAAAGAATTTCGACGTCGTTGCTATACGTGTCTCTCGATCGAATCTCCTCCTTCTTCGTCGCCTTGAGCGTGTTTTTTTTGTTGGCCTTGGCTTTCTTTTGACCGATGGGTCTTTTGACCGATGGGACCTGCTGGCCTTCACCCATCATTTCGTTCTCGCCAGCCTTTTTGGCGACAATTGGTTTGGGCGTTAAATAAACTGGTTAAATTTAACATAACAGGTTCTTAACAGCGACCGCTGCAGGTGCTCTTAACAAGAAAGTTCGCGTCAAGTTCGCGTCAATAACCGAAATAGAAAACTCTCATTTATGCCAAACATTAAAAAAGAGAAAAACTTACACTTGTTCGCTCACTAGCCACATATAGAAGACGTTTAATACGTTCGGTCTCAATTCTTATTTCTCGATCCTAAAATCATTTTATATTTTGTTGTTTCTGCTAAACATTGTGCAACTAAGCCTAACTTCTTTAACCACTTACTCGTAATATTCGCAGTCAAAGAATCCCAATCGATACCCCGTTTGCTCAAAATATACTTCTATAACAATGCCTCGGGTTATTAATACCATGTAAAAAGATAAAACAAAAAAAGGACAACTTACCATTATATTTCTGGATTCCATTGTATCCTGAAATGCTGGAACCGTGTGCGATTTCACGTCGTAGAGTGATATAACCGCGGAGGGGTTTCTCCAGATTTAAATCATCAATTATATCGTCATACTGGGTGTCAATTAGGGATCCGTATCAGAACCGTAGAACCGGAACCGAACCGAACCGAAACCGAGAAAATACGGTTCGGTTCCTGTCAAGAACCGAACCGGAACCGAACTGGTTCTGTATAAGTAGAACCGAAGAACCGAGAGGCAGAAGATTGCAATCAGCGATTTTGGTAATTAGTATAAAGTAGGCTATAATGGAAGTTACGAACAATGTTATTCCGAAAAGACCACGAAGTAGTGTATTTGCAAGCCATACTTTATTGAAAAACTTAACAAAACCTGCAAAAGCAGAAGGGAGTAAAAAATAGTAAAGAAGAGAAGAGAAAAAAATAAAAAAAACACTTCTTCTGACGGCAGCTTGCTTTCTCCGCCCATGACGCACATCATTACTTGTTCCTCTACTTTGCTACCCACAATGCATTTTTCTCCATGACGTACTACTTAACTAGATTTATCATGGCTTCTCGATCAGTTTTATCAAGTTTGTGCATTCCGTTTGAGATTGCGCATTCTGGGGCTCATAACAGAATTATCTTACCCATTCACCCTTTGCCTTTTATGAGACACTATACACTATACACACGTAGAGACACAGCAGCTGTATGTACTGCCGGTTGTGGTTCAATTCCTCCAATGTTACGATAACATATTGTACTAGTAATACTAAGTCGCTCTAAGTAAGTACTATAAGCTCCACTTTTTTTTGTAAAAACTGTGCTTCAATCTTTTAACCATGCAATGACCCACATCGTATGAGAATGTTTACATTCTGTTTCTCTTATTCATTTTGAGATCGCTGTTCAATGTACAATAATAAATTATTCTTTTTTACTGCAGTATTCAAGTATACCGCGACATTTGAACACACACATCAGCTTTCATTTAAAGATACCGAATCTTGCCTTTTTTATATACATGATGGGTTCGGTTCTTCGGTTCGATTCTTCGGTTCTACGGTTTTCGTCGGTTCTAGTCGGTTCGGTTCTTGCTTTAGACGGTTCGGTTCGGTTCCCTTTAAGAACCGAACCGAACCGAACCGTGCGGATCCCTAGGCCAAGTGCATCTCGGTGAGTAACGAATGGATGCGTGAATGATCAAAATTCTGAATAGTCACACTTAATTTTGTACTTAAAGCTGTGGACACCGTAGAGTCCAAGCTTGTCGCTGCCAAAGTGGAAGCTAAAGAGAAGAGCTCGCTCTTGTACCGCGAGTATCGATGCTATGAAGATCTTGTTGCGAGGGGGACCTGCCAAGCACCCAAGCCGTTGTACTTTGGTACTCAAGGCAAATATAACGCTCTAGTTATGGATTTGATGGGTCGTAAGTACACTACATAAGCGTCATAAACTGTAAAGAGAAAAGACATACGCTGAACAACAACTCCCTGCTTCTAGCCTCTCTTGAAAGTCTCTTTGAGATGTGCGACAAGTCGTTTTCCCTACGAACAGTTAGTATTTTGGGCTTGCAGTTGGTAAAGTATTGTAGATTATGTTTGTTTGATATGGGTAGTTCACAATTGAAATAGACGACTAATATGTTGACATTGGAAATTTAGTTGCGGCGGCTGAAGTTCATTCATTCGAAGGGCATCCTGCATCGCGACATTAAGCCCGACAATATTGTCATGGGGGTGGACGGTGATGAGAACAAGGTTTACCTTATTGATTTTGGGCTATCAAAAAGGTTTATGGTTGGTGGAAAACATGTTGCCTGAAGGGAAGGTCTTCAGTTTGTCGGCACGCCACTATTCTCAAGCGTTGACGCCGACACTGGAGAGGGTAAGTCAAGTTGCAGCAACGATTTTTTACTGTTATTTGTTATCTATTTTGTTTCCACCACTGACAATCTCACTTGTGTTGATATAGAACAATCGGTCCGCAGTGACCTAGAGGCTTTAGGCTATGTCTTGTTGTATCTTATGACAGGAATGCTGCCATGGTATGGCTTGTCTGTAGAAAAGTTGATGAAGAATAAGGAGCAACTCGGGGACGATGTAGACACTATGTGCAAAGGTGCTCCTGCTGCCCTTGCTGAGTACTTTGCATATCTGTTTGAGCTTGACTTTGGCCCAAAGCCAGTGTACAGAAAACTTTCCCAGTATGTGGCACAGATGGCATCCAAGGACGAAAAAAATGAGCAACAGCACGAGTTTGAATGGCTGGTATGTTTCAACTCGTCTTTCAGTCTTATTTTGTTCTTGTGTTCTACATTTGGAGCCGAACGTTTACGTAACAATCCACTCATTAACATTCTTATGAAGTGTTAAGATGCATTCTTGTTAACAAATAAGCATAGGGTGTTGAATTCTGGAATTCTAGAGTTAGTCACAGGAGCAATGGCGGTACTTGACAACAATCTTGATACTATTTTCATTTATAATTCCGGATATACATGTTAGTCAAGCATGTGTATCTGCTGCTAAGAAAACTGCAGTTGAAGTTGTGAAGGGATTGGTAAGGGAACCTTCAAAACGTGATAAGTGTCATGTTTCCAACTTAAAACTAATTGCCTGATCTCTATAGACTGTAAAGACAAAAGAATTGCTTTATACTACGGTCATGGCTATTGCACAGGCCACTACTTTCTACAATGCTTTAATATCCTGTGCTGAGGGAACGCCGAGTGGCTTACAAGTTCGTCATGCCTTCACAACCTCAAAAGGTGTAAGCTGGTAGGTAAAATTGAAATAAAGCAAGATGGATCAAGTGGAACCTTTTGAAGATCGACTTAAAAAACTATACGATATGCCAAGAAAAACAGCTGTGATGACAACAGCAACAGCATAAACAAACGAAAAGAAAGAAAGAAAGACCGTCTTAGAAATATATAATGTTTAGTAAGCGTCAAATGAAATTGTTTTTGGAGGATCGTTTGGGTGTCTAACTTGAAATATTATAGTCGACGTCGATTAAAAAATGGAAGAAACCTCTTGAAAGGAGCACAAAAGGAAGAAAATTATGTCGCTTTTCTCCTGGCACCTTTATGTGATCGACTTCTGCATGATGCGCATGAAGTAGACTGGATGTGGTATGATCATTTCACTCTGTTTCGGTTTCTCGCTTTTTCTAATCATCATTTTAGGGGTGAAACAAAAATGAGATCGACGCAGCAAATTGACTACGACGTATCGCATGATGGAGAAAGAAGATCTTCAGAGCCGTATGGGAAGTTAGCATAGAGCTCTATGGTAAATAAGGATAAAGAGCCGTATGTAGGTGCTTTGAAAATGCCAATGTTAATGGGAAAGTGACCTTATCTGCAACTGGCATCAAGGTATGCATCATTGAAGTATCCGGTCCACTTCAAGTAAAAGACTACACCGACTTTGTCAGTGATCGAAGAAAGCTTGCAGTAACATGCTGCAGCGCGTGACTATATATGGCTTGCACTTATATGGTATGATTATAACAGATTTAATATTGATGTGATGATATGTAACTAAAGAAAAAGTTATTAAGTGCCTTTCTTTTTTTAGTACATAAAGAGTATATCTACTCTTTAAAGATGCCGCAATGCGGTATCTATTTATTCCAACAAGAAAAAAAGTTGCAGATGCCAGTGGATCCAGCAACAGCGAAATCGGACGTTCCCCAATGGTCAAAGCATTATGGCAACTTAAGGTAGATTATATGATACATGGCACAAGTGACAGAGTAATAAAACTGACCCCAACTTTTTATTATGTAGTGTAATCTTGTTCAAAGTGTTGTTCCACAAGACTTTACCCACAGCATCGAAAATTCATCATATCGTGCCATCATTTTGCGTCATCATGCTGCCGGATCTGCAACGCCAGCATAGAGGACACCAACCGCTTTTTGTTTTTTTGTCCAAAGAAAGAATTGGTCTGGCGGCAAACATGGGCACCGATTAATTTCGCGGACCCTGACCTTGTTACAATCAGCCGAGTTATTCAGAATGCCACTTTCCCAAGACACAATTCGAAATTAACCGCACTCCTATGCATCGCCATCATCCAAGCCATATGGTGCGCACACTGGGCTGTCATCTTTGATGAACAGCCATTCACACCACAGGCAGTGGTAGCTCATGCCTCTGTCATATTTCGACGAACAAATATTTAGCTTTATTTTCTCTTTGTCTTTTGCTTCTTTTATGTTCATCCTCTGTCCCTACTTTCACATATGTGTATCGGTACCGATAGTCAGTCACTCCTCCTGGACACTCAATTTGCCTAAGGGCCAAAAAAAAAATTTGTTCCAAGCGCTGCGACAATCACAAGCTACCTTGAATCCAATGATGATGATACCTCCTCCGATAGTTCCTAAGCCCATGGTACGCCGACCCAAAAACAGGAACGAAACAAAAGTTTAAGCACTGGTTTTTCACGACGTGATCAACCCGATGCTGCATAATAAAGATCAAGTCATACATTATCGGCTTTACAGTGTACAGAGTGTAAGCCATCTTATTTCCTCATTATCGACAATGCCTTTTTTAGTTGTGTGCATGGGATGCGTAATCACCAATGTAAACAATTCTTTTATGTCACACGATTGGGTTATTGCATAATAATCTGTTTTCCCTCTTCACTTTCTTTCATTTCTTCCTCTTTTTGTGTCTCTCTTTCATTACCTAAGAATGACTGTCCCAAGCATCCCAGTGGTTGATTTTTCTGACTTTGATGCTAGACGCAATGTCATTGCAGAGCAAGTCTTTAATGCGTGCAAAACGCCGGGCCTCTTTTACATTATCAATCACTCGTTGTCTTCGTCCCAAGTCGCACAAGCTTTTGATCTGGTAAGATACATATGATATTTTTAAACGCTTAAGCTTTTAAAGTTGATGACACCCTATTATAACTGGTTACTATAGAGTATGGAATTCTTCGAGTTGCCGGCTGAGAAGAAGGCTGAATATACCAAAGTGGGCGAGTCCTTTGAAGGATACCTCAGTCTTTACAACCAGAGGTATGAACATATTCTTTGTCCTATTCATGCATTTTTATAATGCGTACAACACAATCATCTTGAACAAAGATATTCATCTGATGATTGATTGTACTTTGTACACTTCAGGTCGGATTACGGAAACAAAGCACAGCCAGATCATAAGGAGTGAGTACTATAGAAAAAAAGCGGAAACCGCGTTTCAATCAACATGAGGGTTTTGAGCAAAGAAACGTACTATAAACAAAGGGGCTGATTATCAACAACACACTATGATATCATAATTATTTTGTAGAGCGTACGACTTCATACCTTTCAGAGACGATAATAACCCTAGTCATCCGATGCCAATCACGTTCTTGGAGCATAAAAATGACATTGAGGCGTTCTCGAAGGTGTGCTGATACTGGCACTATTGAGAAAAAGACCATGTTTGCTTGTCACACTCACATATGCACACTGCTGTAAACAACACACAGGACCTGCACGCCGTGGCTTTGCAAGTATTGGAGTTAATTTCAATGGGACTCAAGGTAGCCTATACTTTACGCTATGCAACATAAAAAGTACTTTCGGCATCTCTCTTTTCCAATGATTGATATTTATTCTGGTTTGTGCAAAAAAATAGCTCCCCTTTGAACAACAGCAGCCATCCAGAGATGACGGAGGTACAAGTGATTGGCTAAGTCAGCGGCATCGCTACAGCATGCCCAAAACGCCGGGTGTGCTCCGTCTCCAGCGATATCCACGCGGCGATGCAGAGAAACACAAGGATGAGCTCCAGGCTGGCGAGCACACCGATTTTGGAACAATCACCTTGCTTTTACATACGGATGTACCTGGCTTGGAAGTGAAGTTGAAGGAAAATGGTGAATGGATCTCTGTGCCTCCTCTAAACGGGAATGCTATGATAGGTTCGTATTATCACTTTTCTTTTTTTTGCAGTGACGAAAGCACATCGTAAACAGAAGATATTGGGACGGGAAGAAAAGAAAATTAGACACTTTTGTACTAAGGCATTTTGTTGTTTCTAGTCAATGTTGCCGGCATGCTGAGCTACTGGACGCATGGTCTATTCCATGCCCCTTTCCATCGTGTTGTGTTTACACCAGAGCAAGAGAAAAAGGATCGATATTCTATTGCGTACTTTTTGCAACCTGAAAGTGGCGTAAAGTTGACGGATATGCCGAGCCCAGTAATTCCAAAGTTGCGACCCGCTAATGAAGATGTACCACATGATATTATTGCACGGACATCCGATGATTACTTGGAATATCGCTATCGAAAGTCTGTCGAAAGACAGAAAGACGACCATTGAAAGCGCCATTGGTCGTAGTAGCAGTAACTTAGTAGTACAGTCATTTGCGAAATAAAAAAAGGTTGTCTTTGGAATGACTTGTAAGGTCGCGTATGCTCTTATACTTAAATCCGTTTGGATAAGAATGCTATTCAAATCGACAAGTCATCTAGATTCCGAGTACAGCATTGATGAATCGGCAACAGAAGCACCACTGCTTAAAATCAGTTGATACGGCATCGCCATCCCCTTACCCACAAGGACACACCAATATCTCGTTTACTCTGTTACTTCTCTCTTCTTTCTATCTTTCTGACCTCGTGTTATTTTCTTTATCAGCACATTTATCTGTTTTGGCACTATCTTTCCGTTAAAAAGAATGTAGATCTACTTTATCCGCTAACTTTACTTTAGTAGTTTTATCCTGTTGTTTGAGCATCATCACGATGCATCTTCATGGGTGACCCAAGAGACAGGAGACATTATCCGATAACGAAACGGGCTCTGTTGGAATCTCTCGACTTATCATTGCTGACAGTCTTCATACAGTGAAATAAGTGGAAAAAACCATTATTAAAATGCACTGCCATTGTCAGATTTCATAACTGGTTTGAAAATGGTTATGTAGTAGACCTTTCTTAACAAAAAAGCCTCGGACGGGCATATATACAGTATGCGCTGTGTTTTTAAGAACGGTGCAATAATACGATAAGCACAACCATAGCTCCTCAGTTGATCTCACCAATATCCACACCACGTCTTCTAGCTTGTCCTTTCTACAGCTCCCAAGTGATAAGGGACTAATCAGAAATGTCTTTTGCTCTAGTCAACTGCCACCTTAATAATACATTCTTCTGTTTCCGGATCATATACCGAAATCAGGGACAAAATTTCTTTATTTAGAAAAACAATAGTGTAACAATGCTAAGCTAACGTGCTTTATGCGTGGGGGAGGGAGTCAAACCTTTCAATTTTCTACAGTTGTTACAATGGTAATATGTACGTGTCTGCATGACAACAGTATAGAACTGAGAAGCATGCATTCAAACGAACTTCCATACCGTTTCCGGGGAGGCCTGAAGAACGGTATCATGTATAATAATCAATCGAGAACACAGCAGGTTTTGCTCCGATTTACCGTACTATTTTTCTGTGTTTGTGTGGAGTGTGCATGTGTGGCTGGGATGATTTCTAAAGATATCTTTCTGCTCACGTATGTTGGCTTCCGACCGTCCGCTTTGCGGCTCTGTGTATTACCAGGTAAAGGCACCAGAAAACCTTCGCCGTATTTTCATTAAAACTTTCCTTTTCTCTTTCATACATCAATGACTTTGCGTCGGCGACATTTCAGGTCAGCAACGTACCTGCTGTGTCTCGCATTACTATTGCTGCCTTGGGCTCATGGTAATATATTCTGTGCTTATTATTATCTCTATGCCTTTACTGCTCCTGCGTATCACTAAGCACCGACTCTTTATGTAACTTTAGCTCACAGCGTTAATAACCGGAAACTTGCAAGAGTTGAAGGATTGCAATCAATTCAGTTGGATATTGCAACACGTCCTGAAAACTTCTTTCGTAAACGCGACTTGACCCCCAATCCCGCATATCAACCGACACATCCTCGAGCTATTGAACATGACGACATTTTACGACTGTCCGTGTCGGCATTCAACCAGACATTTTACTTGCATATGCATCCCAACGACGAGTTGTTCCATCCCAATGCAGTTATCACCGTCGCTGATAAAGAGGAACGAGTACGACCCCACGAATATCGCGTATATCGTGGCTTTGTCGTTGAAGAATCCTATTCTTCAACTCGTTGGCAAGAAGATCAAGCAGGTATATGGCGAGACGATTATGCGGCTGAGGATGAGTCAGGTGTTCTTGGCTGGGCACGCATCATGATTCGCAGAGATATCAAGTAAAGAACTATGCATGATTTTGTTGTTGTGTTGTTGCAGGCAGAGGTTATTTGAAGTGCTAATTGCCCTAATAATAAATTCGATACATACATAAAAATCAATCAGACACGACCTGCCGTATCCAGTATTCGAAGGGGCATTCCGTACCGGAAATGACATGTACCATATCAAAGCAACCAGCAACTATCAGATGACGAAGCGATCCGATGATGCCGAGCTCGGCGAGCAACACCTTGGTGCTCATATGGTTATTTACCGCGACTCGGATACAGTTTTGACATCATTACTGGATCGACGAGAGAACCAAGATACAACAACGTACATGCCCGCATGTGGATTTGATCCACTTGTTCATGGTGGTACTCCAAGAAGCGAACATGGTCTGACGAAGAACATGATGATGAGCGCTCCTCAGCAGCAAAATGCTTTGGGTGGATTTGCCGATCCATCGAGTTTCAATGCTCTTCAGGGCTTTGATGGAGGGATGCTACGCAAAAGAGCACCACCAGCAGGATGTCCTACCTCAAAGAAGAGTAAGAGTCTCTCCCATTACATATGATGGTCCCAGGAATTAATTCTTTTACTGAAATTTCACCTTAAACATCATCTATTATGACAGTTGCCTATATTGGAGCAGGTAAAGAAAGGGATAAAAATGTTGCAGCGTACATGTTTTATGTTTTACTCACACTAAGCAACAATTTCAATGTAATGCAGCGGCTGACTGTACCTATGCGAAATATTACCAATCTGCTGACCGCGCTCGAGAGCAGATCATCAACGATTTCAATACTGCTTCGGGTGTCTACGAACGCAGTTTTAATGTCCAACTCGGTTTGATCAATATCACCGTCAAGGACAACGCCTGTCCGTCTACTCCGTCTTCCAGCGAAGGGTGGAACCGGGATTGTTCAACTGCGTACACCATCACAAACCGACTGAGTGATTTCAGCCAGTGGCGTGGAGGTCTTGGTAACGATGGTGCTAGTTTATGGCATCTTATGACAAGCTGCGCGTACGTGCTTTTTTTTCTTCCCGTATTCTGTGTGGGTTGTTGTATTGTGATTAGATAGCTGATATTGCGGATGACAAACTAGGTCTGGCATCGAAGTAGGCGTTGCATGGCTCAATCAATTGTGCACCACCGATGCTGTAGCCACAACTCAACAAGGTCAACGTGTCTATACCTCCGGAACGGGTGTTTCATCCATCAGTAAGTTAAGCGTTTCCTGTTTTGTCGTTGTTTTGTGTCATAGGACACCTTGCTTATTGCTTATTCTTAATCGTAACTTGGCGATTTTTTTTCCATTTAATATAAATTTTATTAGCTCGCGACGAGTGGGCTGTGGTTGCGCATGAAATTGGCCACAACTTTGGTATGTTATTTTTATTTATCTATCTAATGCGACCATAGACTAAATTAAAGTTGTGAATACGTGCCTATAGGATCGATCCATGATTGTACCCCAGATACCTGTCCTTGCAGTGGGTCATCTTGTCAGTGCTGCCCTCTGAGCTCAACGGAATGTGACGCTGGAGGCACTTTTATCATGAACCCATCCAGTAACATATCTACAGACGATTTCAGTCCCTGCACAACCAGCATGATCTGTGAGGCTTTTCCTCAACTCGGTTCTTGCTTGGAAGGTAATGGATATATAAATAGCGTCGGTTTTTGTTAAGTTCATACTAGATAGCTTTTAATAATGCTGTGTAACTATTAGATCCCGGTAGCCGTACAATAGCAACCTTGCAAATGTGTGGCAATGGTATCAAAGAAGACGGCGAGGACTGTGATCCAGGAGGAAACAACAGTACCTGCTGTGATGCTTCTACCTGTAAATTTATCAACAATGCCAAGTGCGAGTAAGTTTTTAGAAGAAAAAAAGGGTGTGGAGATATTTGTCAGATCATATTGGGAACAAAGCTAATTTATCACCACGGTTGTCAATCATTAGTGATAGCTCGGATCTCTGTTGCGAAAACTGTCAGCCTCGTCCTAAAGATACTGTATGTCGAGCTGCAGTGTCTCAATGTGATGTAGAGGAAAAATGCCCGGGTGACTCTGGTGATTGTCCCAAGGATGAGTACAAAACAGACGGTGAATCGTGCGGTGACCATTTGCAATGTGCCTCTGGCCAATGTACATCGCGTGACCAGCAATGTCGACAGCGTGGCTCAGACATGAATATCTCTAGAGCCTGTGGATCAGCATCTGGATCCTGCCAAATGATCTGTGATAACCCCGGTAGTTTCTCGTGTTTGATATTTAACGGCTATTTCATTGACGGTACACCATGTGGTGTTGGCGGTGCTTGCAAGAACCAACAATGCAGTCTGGATAACTTTGGTATGTTGACTACATACACATCAGCAGTTTTGAAAAAAGACAACTGACTAACCCTTTATAATAGGTGATAATGCCAAGAACTGGATCGAGAACAATAAGCAGATTGCAATTCCAGTTATTATTGTTGTGGGCTTGTTGGTGTTGTTCTGCATTTTCCGATGCCTGTGCTACGGTTGCTGTGGTTACGGCGGATATCGAACGCTTAACAACAAGGGTGCCGTCTATGTTAGTACGGCAGCACCACCGCCTTATGCGACCAACCAGCCATACTATGCACATGGACCTCCACCTCCTCAGCAAGGCGGCGGTTGGGTCAGCCCTGCCCAGTACAATGGCCAATACAGCGTGCCACCTTCTGCACCGCCACCCACGTATACACCTGGTCCAAACCGCGAGGCATATGAGATGAACCCGCGTGGTGGCAGCACCTCGCCTTCTCCAGCTCCACCACCAGAAGATAGTGGTGGCATTTCTGGACGTGTGCGTCGTTTTGAAGAACGTATGTCGCCTCGGTAAAACCGAAAGCGAAAGTGAATTTACAACCAAACAAACAATACCATCTTGTATCTTGTATTATAACACATCTCTTTCTTTTTTTTGCAACAACAGAGACAACAAATACATGAGATTGTTATCTTATTTTATTTGCAGATTCTGAAGAAAAGGAACAAGTTCTACGTCTATATGGTACACATTTTTTCCGAAAGAGTTGAAGTTGAGAAGGAAGAGTGGGAATTGAAGTTAGAGTAGTGAATATAGCGAAATTAAGAAGTATCTTTGTGTGTGTGTGTGTGTGAAAGGAGTAGGGGGGAAATTTTGAAATAATTCTGAGCTAGTGATTTTTTATGTACAAAAGTGTGCGGTTTGTGTGGTATGTCTTTGCTGTTGATATACCCAAATTATATTGTATTTACTGCGATTCGGCCACGACACCAACCTGAGCAGGACGCAAAACACGGCCCTTCAAGGTGTAGCCCATCTTTTGCACGACAAAGACTGTGCCAGCATCCTTGCCAGGCATGGGGGTCTGGAACAGAGCCTGGTGTTTGTTAGGATCGAAAGCTTGGCCCTCGGGGTTATCCTGCTCGACACCATGGCGTTTCAATGCCTTGACCAACTCGGTCTCGGTCATCGACACACCGGTATACAAGTTGGTCAATTGGTCAGCCAGCTTCTCGGTATCCTTGGCCAACTCGGATTCGAGAGTGGCCTGTTTGGAGCGCAAGTCTTCGGGAACAGCAGTCAAGGCCATGCCCAGAATATCGACGGTATCCAACAAGTCCTTGGCAAACTTTTGAATGGCAAACTCGCGAGCACTTTCCATTTCTTTGCGGGTGCGTTCACGAAGGTTTTCTTGATCGGCTAAGCAGCGGATATACGCGTCCTGGGAGTTCAATCGGTTATTCGTTAGTTTCACAGTTGTTGTCAAAATTATATAAAGGACCCGTTGCACACATATACAAGCACATAATCCCCCCCTCTCTCTCTCCGTGCGTTTTCCACACATTTGCTCTCATTAAAGCACTTTAATCACCAAGTAGTCTATTTACCTGAAGCTCAGCAATTTTCTTGTCCTTCTCAGCCAACTGCTTAGCAGCATCATTCTCTTCTGCTGCGGGCTTGTCATTTTCGGCGGCTGGCTGTTGCTCTTGCTTCTTTTCTTCATCGTTGCTGTTTTCGGTAGCATAAGCACGGCGAAGGGCAATAGGCGTGGCTACTCGAGAAAAGTTGACGGCAGCGGATTGCCGTGCGGAAGCAACAGCAGCATTACGAACAATGGAGAGCATGTTTATATGTATTTAAAGTTGTGGAAGAGGGGGAGAGGGAAAATTGTTATACCTGCAATTTCAAGCCCGGCAAGATGAGAAAAACAGAAACAAACGTCACGTTTTCGGCGCTAACTGCTTTTCATAGTCGCAGACAGACGTTTTTTACTTGACAGTTGGTTTTAAACAATTTTGAACCGTAAGCTTTTCCTTCCATCCATACCTTGCGTATAGGGACAAGAGACGTTAATATATTTTCTAAGATGAACCGCCACTGGAATTAGTCCGTGACAAAAAATATTGCTAATGTATCTATAATTGGCTCCGAAACACCAATATAATGACCACTATCTATTGCTCTCTATATTCATAGTTTGGTAAACATGTACTCTGTCCGTGTCACTATATACAAATGACGCTTGCACTGAGTCGGGAACAAGGGCCAGGCAATCTTGAGCCAGCGCTGCCTTTTGAATGGAATTAATGTATGGGATGACGAATGCGAGATAGAAGAATTGGACGGCTTTGTCAAAAGTATCTCTTGTGATCCGTATCGTGTGGTCACCGAAATTGATGTTGATAGTAGTAATGGGGCGCGTTATCCTACAGCATTGACTAAAACAACCAGTTTTTGACTGATAACGCACATAATAATAAGGCTTTTGATATGAATGAAAAAATATGGAGGATAAAAAGTAAAGCAGCAGTAGAAAGGTGTACGCTACAATTGGCCGCATCATCATCCCGTCCAATACATTGATAATTCCCTACAACTTAATAATAATCTTTTGAAGTAAGCTTCTTCGCCCTGTCTATCCTTTCTTTATATCCAGCCTACAATTCAGCCTACAATTCAAACTAAAAACTACAGAGGAGTTTTAGCAAGATAATATCATCTTTCAGACCGGAGTACAGTATGGTTGAGGGTATGACATACTTTTTGTATGTAATGCATACAAATTCTAATCGATCAGAGCCATCGAGTAAGCAAAACAGTATATGCCGTATATCTGAAACTTGGTGACTGGACATTTCCCACCAATTTTTATGCCATGTTCAGCACTTCTTGTGATTTTAGAACTAAGGCGAGCTTCTGAAACCAGGGTCGGTCTTGAAGCAATCTCGCGTTTGTTACGACCGCAACCTTCGCAACTTCACCGGTTGCGACTTTCATTTTAGCGTCTAATTTGCCAAATAAGTTAATGCAGACAAAACTATAGCCATTAGCAAACGGAACTGTCCATACGTCTTTGTTTTCTTATGACTATAAAAGCAATACATGTTGCGTATTAATGTGAAGTATGTATTTATTGCTTGTAATGTATGTATGATAGATTAATCAGGTGCTATTACTACTACTGCTACCAAGCGGTTGCGCCACCATGAACCAGAATCTCAGTTCCCGTGCAAAAGGACGACGCCTCCGATGCCAAAAACACAACGGTCCCTTTTAATTCGTGTGGTGTCCCGACGCGACCAAGTGGAGATTTTGCTTTCCAGGTTTTCACCATATTCTCCCCGCCTGTGCCACAATCAGCGATCAGCTTGTTTGTCATTTCCGTCGCAAAGTAGCCAGGGGAGATGGTGGTTACACGAATGTTGTGTGGTCCCCACTCGCAAGCCAAACATCTTGACAATTGCAGTACGGCCGCCTTAGTCGCATTATATGGTGCATGGAATTGCGGAGTGTTGAAGATATGAGCCGACATTGATGCCACCGTGACAATTGATCCACCTCGTCCAGCATCAATCATGTGTCTATCAGGTTTCATAACAAAATTTGTATACACGTTAGCGCTCTCTCACATTTATGACACTGATACTATATACGAATCTCTCAAATTCTTACTTGGCGGCTTGCTGCATACAGAAGAATGTACCAGTGACATTGATATCGAAGATCTTGCGCACATCCTTGCCCGTAAACTCGAATGCTTTACCGTTCTTATTGATGCCAGCGGCGGTAACCAGTACATCAATTTGGCCATGGTGCTCGACAATCTTTTGAAACACGGACGCGACCTGATCCTCATCGGCTACATCGCATCCCCAACCACTTGCTTTGACCTTGCAATCAGCTGCTACGATTTCAGCAGAGTTTACTGCCATATCACTAAGAATATCAATGCATGCTACATCCGCACCGGCTTCAGCCAACGCGAGCATCATTTCGTATCCAAGACCGCGGGCACCTCCGGTCACTAAACAAAGCATTAACTTACGATGAGCGTTTGTTTATTAATCAGTTCGCGATTTTGGCATCACTTAATTCTGCCAAATACTTACCAACTGCAACCTTTCCTTTAAGAGACATTAGGTCAAAGACATTGGGCGATTTTGTGGCAGTCATCGTGATAAAGTTATTTTGTTGATGTGATAAAAAAAGAAAGGGGGAAAAAACTATACAGTGAGAAGGAAAAGAGTCAAAAGGGTCAATACTATTTATAATATTTATAATGCTGCAGGTTTTAAGCAGTAGCGCATAGTACTACTGTAGTAACGGATCAACCTATAACAACATGTACCCGAAGCACGAAATACAGTAAAAAGCTTTTCCGATCCTTTCATTATGTACACGATGCTGTATAGCAATTAAACCATTCTTAAAGTCTGTACATGTCTTGTGAATTGTCTTACAACCATTTTCACAATGCAAAAACCAACAATTTCTAAATTAAAGATATATATGATATCTTCTATTTTTGCCATCTTTGTCTTTTACTCTTCTCTTCAGCATTAAGCGCAAAAGGACTTATACTGTTTGCATAGGTTGTATCATAGAAAGTGTAATTGATACTTTTTAAAGTGAGGAGAGCACTCAGCGATATGTGAGCGCAGTCTCGACCATCATCATCTCCGTATAATTGCATTAAGATTAACTATACTTCCGGTATCTGGCCCCAGAAGGTTAATACTATTATATACATACTCAGAGAAGATTCTGCAGGTTCCGACTACCGTACTAGTACTGGTACATGCTGAAATTGACGCGCTACCATACGAGTTGGTGCGTGATAGAGAATGCTCGGATGGTGAGCAAATAATCACACTAGCTACTTTGTCATAAATCACTGAAATACATTGGCCAACTATCGTCATTACATGCTTGTACCATGAGTGATATGTGTAAATGATACATTTTTCAAGAGGAAGGTTTTTAAACTTGATCATCAAGTGGGATGGGTTTGTATTATTAACAAGCCTACTTCGATGCAGAAATCCTCTCACGTTCTCCACAATCTGCGATAAAAAATAAAGTTTCTGACTTTTTCGCATGAATCGAATTCCACGGAATCATTAAAACCCTTTCACAAGGTTTCCTCTCCTGCCTAAACTACTTCCGTGGAGACATGAAAACCCGTGCATCTAATCAGAATTAAAGAACTCGAGAAATCAAGGTCTTTTTAAAAATGAAGCTAATAGTGGCCCTATGAGATTGTTTTCCGATGTCAACTTTGTTGACGGTTAAACTTGCTACCAGGGGGCATGATGGTGGGGAGACGCCGGACAACTCGTCGCTATAGAGGGTACACGCTACGTTTGCCATATAGTGATGATAAAAGGTTTTAGAAAGGGAAACCTGACCATCCAAGCCGGGACTGAAGTTTCACCGACAAGCGATGCGTTGTTACTGTTCTACAGGTATGTCGGTTGGAATAGCTGACAGGAGTTGTTATGTTGTTTAAATTGTGATTGGCTTTGGCGCGTATAGCATCTGATAGCTGGGTTGCTGTGCGTGTTGCAACATTGCAGCAGAGGTGAAGTACTCGATGGATAAAGGAGAAAGGCGTTAGCTGACAATTAGTTGTCGCAGTTGTTGTTGTCGTTGTTGTCAATGGAGCCACCGTGAATGCAGTTATCAAAATATACCCTATGATTTATTTAGTCATACATGTAGTTTCCCCCTTGATAATTTCTCCCATCACACTTTTCTGTTTTTCCTCACCTCTTTTTCGCAATTTGATATTATGTGGCATTTGAGAAGTATGTACCCTGCTTCTAGCTTTCTGCAAAATGATCATGTTACTGAATAAAAACCTACAGCTAAAAGGACGTAGTAAAAACGTCAACATTTTGAAACAAAGAAGAACGTTTGGCAGAACTACCCTTCTGTACTAGTAATGCTGTGACTGAAGCTTACAACCCCCTTCTCAATACAATAAACTCGTCCTTCTGCTATATGTCGTGGAATTCTGCTTTGTAGTCTTAGTAAAGACAAAAGTCGAGAGGGTTTGGCCTTTTGATGCCACATATCCTATATTTAAATTAGTAATGATCATTAACGAATCGAGTTGTTTTACATATCAATTATTCAGATATATGTTTTAGTACTGTATTACATATAACAGTTATCTGTGATTTGCTACTTTAGACGAGCGTCGTTATGACTACATACTGCTAGCAGGCGTATATGGTCTCTGTCAGTGATCCTTATTGGATATGGTCGTCAGTAAATCTTGCTTGTTGTTGCTGGTGTTAAAAATGTAATTACTGTGTATGTTCGCCATACAATATGTCTTTTGTAGTGTCTTTACTATTTAATGCGTTTGTTGTACTGTACATCGTCCCCTGTTACAATGGAAACATTGTATACCATAACCACCGTCGCCCGACACGAGCCATCGAAATATTATCGCCACAGAAATCAAAGTCACTAGAAGGCAAAGTAAGTGTATTTTTGTTAACTTTATATAGCTCTTATGATAACAAGCTAACCATTTATTGTGTTCTTTTATTTTATTTTGTAGCTTTTATCACTGTGCAAAAACTATTCATCTCTGCTAGTAGTAGGACTACTACTGTCACCTCCACCGCCCTTACTATTGCGTACATGCTATCGACAGCAGCCGTATAGCTTATCCTTTTGGATAGACCTATCCGGAACATATTCTTACAAGGTGCATTATATTGACCCAGATCCCGTCAAGCACTTTGACAGCGACTTCAAACCACGTAATTTAATATCAAACAGTCATAGAACTTTAAAAGTATAATATGATAAACAGAAAGTTAAGTAGTAGTATTGATATATATATCAATACAATAGAGCTTTATACTCTTTAGCTAATGTGTTATCTGTAGAAAAAGATCACAGAATACATAATTTACATGCATATAAATGATAGAGTAATCGTTTGCTTTATAATCACAGTAAATGAAGCATTTAAAGTACGTAGGAGGTGGATCGTCTATCATCAAGGAATGATAGATCCACCATTAAAGATAAAGTTACTGACAGATTTACACTCTATAGCAACTCGCCCATGTTTCATCCAATCCTTCCAATTCCCCGAAGAGTCCAAAATTTTCAGATCTACTGATGTCTTTTTTAATGTCTCTTTATCTTCGCATGCTTCCGCTGCTGCTATCGCTTCCTTGAATTTCTCAAACTGCTTGATTTTTTTTATATGCTTGTCGCGAAGTCGGCGCCTATGATTCACGTACCACCGTGTTGCCTGGACTTTTCCGTGATGATGACTGTCCCGCTTCGCCCATGTCGGCTTGCCCACTTGTTTCAATGAGCATACCACCGTATACCCAACTCGTGACGCCTCCAGCTCCAAATATATCTCTGTCACGTTGATTTTGTCAAATACATGATCTGGCATTCGTAAAGTAAAGGCGGTCGAGGCACCGAGTTGTTGTTGAACGCTGCATATCACAGAAAGTTGAGATAGACGCGGACACCGTTTTTCCAGAACTGTGAACAGCTCAGGTGCAAAGTGAACACGGTTGAGAAGGAATGACTTTAATTTACAAAGAACACCACCGCGATTTATTGTTCCTGTTGTTACTTTTTGAGAGGCAGGCGTCGATGTCGTTGCATTAACACCCATATTGCTGTTGTCGACATGGCCACTGTCGCTGCACACAACGTGGGCATTGTTAATTTCCAACCGCTCCAAATTTAACAACTTGTTGAGAAGAATTCCAATATCGATAGGGCTGCGCAGACGACGGCCGAAGGCCAGTGCTGATATCTTCAAGTCGTTCAATGATGGACAAGATTGTGTGATGGTTGCAACGAGTCTAGAAACGTGAGGCAAGCTCCAGTAGGCCGTATGTAAATGTAGCATTGTCAATGATGATCCAACCGCCTGTAACATTGCGTCATATGTTTCCTTGTTGTACCGAAGATAATGCGCGCTACCACCAGGGAGCAATAGCTCTTGTACACGGCCCATCTCCAATGCTTTTAATTGTGTACCTGCAGTTTCTAATGTCTCAAAAAAAGTTCGATTGGGCGCAAGGAGTGCGTCGACCCCACGCAATCGCAGCGTTTCAAGCTTTCGGCACTGCTGTCCCAACGCGATAAATGTCTGTATCTGTTCTTCTGGTGTAGTAGCTACTGCTCGGCGGAATGGCTGTCGTAGCGCAAATGTATTGATCGTGATGAAATTGATGTCGAGTGTAACCATATTGGGAAATGCTTGTGTAATATAGCGGATACAAGCATATTGAGAACTGATGGAGGATTTAGCGAACCCAATTTCAAGTGTCTGAAGTTGGTCGTGAGTAGTATAGGATGATGGTGACGATGATTCTATCGGAAATTGATCGATAACTGCTGCTACTGTTGGTTCCTCGGCCAGTTCGAACCGCATGACCACCTTGCATAGCACCTTGAGTACCGTTAGATGTGGACAATGATCCATAATTGAGCGAAAATGATTGGCGTGTATCGGCAAGAGTGAGTTCATAACACCATCGCCGCCATCGATATTAACATGGTTGCCTTGGTGGTGGTACTCGTCGTTTGGTAGTAGAACGAGTTCCTTTAAATGAGGCGTATTTGCAAATAAGCTGAATGCCGGTTGGGACAATACAATATGTAACGTGGTCAGTCTTGATCCATAGGTGGGGAGAAGTCTAAGTGCGGCGTGGTAGTTCATGGGTGGCAAGCGTTTTAGATTGCCGCGCTGCCAGCTTTGTGAGATTTGTTGGCGTCGTGGCACGTAGTTCCAGATACGTTGGTGGAAGTATAGTACTTCTAGTGCAGGACATAACACTGCAAGTTGCTCGAGCTCAACCCAAGTCATGCCGACATTGTCACGTAGAACGAGACTTTTGACGTGCTGACCATATGGAATCCCTTCAATGTCGAGTTGCTGGATGGACCGAAAGAATCGTCGAAACCGTTTCCGAGAATCGATATGGATTGTTCGGTAGAGATGTTTCCGCATGGGGTTCAGCCAAGATTGGCAGACAAGACAGCTGGTGGCAACAGCGGGTGTTGTTGAGTATGAAGCAATGAGCTCCAAGATTTCGAAAGGGGCATCTGCCATGGTACCCTCTTTTTGGTTGCAGTAGCTTGTTATGCAGCAAAGTGTATTGCGTTTTAAGCTATGTACTCAGCGCGCGGTTTTCTGAGTTTACTGGCTCTATCGTATATCGTAGCATCCATGTTATTAAGCCATAATGATTAATATCGGTTTTTTTGAAGGCGAAAGACTAAACTGTAATAGATAACAATGCGTCTCTCAAATTGTTACTCTTTCTAGTGAATAGATCAACGAGCATCATCCTACGAGACACATCACGACTCGCTCTGCCATTTTGCTTCACGTTTCAAAACCACTCTTTGTATAATTTCATGCTACGCAGCTCTTGCGTTTTTCAAATATACAGTGCGTAGTGGACAACGTACCGATGCTGAATGATTACAAAAGAACCACGTCTGTTTTGGATTAGTTTTTATAGCAAATATCTAGTGTGTAAACTATAGAGCTTGGTATTCTTATGCAGCTTCCCATACATACAAGCTTACTCCTGCCATCACATAGACCACATTATTTCAATCTTCCTTCAAGCATTCAGCCGAGACATCCCGTTTTCACCGATCGCCTGTGCATGTACCATGGACGGAACGGCAATAAGACCTCATTGTTTTTATTCTGCCGTATTGTACCTAGTATATTTTTAGTAACCAAGCGTGCATATAGCTCACAAAATAACAAATTATTTAGGGGCTTCTACTATAGCAGCATGTACACAGCACAGATATGTATCTTAATGTATTCTTTTCAAAACTTATAGTGTGGTAGTCCATCTTTGATATAAATCTCATCCACTTCAACTATGTAGCCTAGCGCTTCACAAAATCCGCGCTTGTCAGCCACGCCTTGTATCATGATTGCTTTCTTGCCTTGATTCTTTGCTCCATCTTCAAGTGCAGCTACAAGTTTTTGTCCTACTCGCATTCCTCGCGCCTTTGTAAGAGCCGCCAGTCGACTTAACACACCCACAGTATCATCTTCTTCATACGGCAGCATTCGAATTGTCCCTACAGGGATTGTCTTTACGGTTCCATCGCTGTCAACATGTTCGCATGCAGCTATCCATAACGTGGCAACTGTTGTATCCAGAGTACTAATAATTTATAACGCTGTAAAAATTAGCAAGATCTGGCTGCAATTGCCCGCAATGATGCTTAGACCCGGTAGCTCGGAGAACCGTTAATTTGAAGAAAAAGAACCGTCTTACTCAGTACTTTCAAGTTCTGGAGCGCAACCTAGTTCATTCACAAAAACTTGGACACGCACATCAGCACATTTTTTTCTATCGTCTGGAGTTGTTGCAAGATATACTTGAGGGTTCTGACAGCTTGGGCTATTGGACATTGGACTAAAAAGGGGCTACTGAAGAAAGAAAGGGGAAAGAGCTGGCAACTAATTCCTTGATATGGTTGGTCATATATGATTCATAGCATCTTTGAGTCATCGATCCAACAATATGTAGCCCAGGCACCACAACTGGGGTTAAAAACTATGATTTGCATTGGTACATAGTATAGGTAAATTACGCTCAGGTTTCGCAGCAATGTTCCTAGAGGATCCATCACTTAGATATGTCATTGCATGGTTTACCTTGCGATAAAGAATATCGTAAATGTGAGCACCGTACAAAAAGAAGCTCTATTAGAGAAGTATTTGGTATTGCCACGTGATATAACCATTTCATCAAAAAACTTGAGATTGTAGTCGGATGCTTTTTAAAGACGTTAAAAAGCCTTTGAAACCTTTTTTGAAGATTTCAAAAAGCATAAAGTTAAAGGCATGATATTTTTCGACGCCTCGTAGAGCTTGTTCCACGTCTGATATTGCTACTAAATTAGTATCACTGATCCAAATAGTGATATATGTACAGTACATACAAAGAAGAAGCAAAACCCTGCACATACCTTGCCAGGATCAAGCTACTCGAAAATGCGAGCAATAGCCTCCCACTTCCCGTATTTTTTTTCAACTCACGTTTCTAAGCTGTGCAACTGGAATAAAAGCTTAATTTAGTACTGTATAGCTTTCATTTCGCGCAACAGGTCCTTGTACCCAAAGTGGTTGCGCGTCTTATTCACAAAGATCTTGAAGTATGTATACTATGTATGCTAAAGCATCACAAATGCTAGGCAGTAGAGATTCTGGGACTGTATGTAGATACTCTTCCTACAGACTAAAGTGACAGTGGCAGCAATGAATAGTTCTCTACATTCTTTGAGAACTTCTATCTCATATTCTACATTAATTTCAGGATATCATATGTATGATAATCGTTTTTTGTTTTTAGCCTTTTTTTTCTCCAAACTATGTATTTCTTTCAAGTACAAACTTAATCGTCCTAACTATACAATGCTGGTTAAAGTTGAAGTAATACCCATCTATGTTACATAATGAATGAAAATTGTATGCTCCTTTTGATATTAATCATCTAATGAAAAAACTTTCGCAATAGACTGCAGCAGCGCATTTGGTCAGATCTTGCAGCGACAAACAATGATAAAAGAGCTTTGATATAAGATAAATGTGTTTCCATTGTCATTCTTTGTCAGGTAATATACTTCAGCAAGATTGTTGCTACAGTCGAAAGTACTATGATATGATAGGAGTGGCTTTGTCGTCAGTCATCCTTATCTGCTATCTGGGTGTTTAATCTCGTCAGAAACAGGTATATGCAACGATAACACAACCATACTTTTGGTAACTTGACCACGATCATAGTCGTCAAAGTGGTGCCAGTAAAAGTGGTGCCATGCATCACTTCTACATTATCTACGTTACTAGCCGAACAAGGATATCATACTCTATAAGCTGGCAGTGCCAGAATACTCTGGTAGCATAGTATCATAGATGTTGTTGCCATGCAAGAAAAAGAAAGGAAATTGGGGTGAACGCGTGTGTGACGCGTCGTTCTATTTTTCTCTGTTCACCATTTTTAATTTTTTACTTCTTCTCTTCTTCCTCTTTTTTCTTCTTCCCTTTTTTCCCCTTTATTTTAAGAAAAATGTGGCAAGATTCAGAAAATAACGGGTAAGCCTCATCTCCTAAAAATATAAAGTTTTGAATGGTGAATATAGGCCTTGAAAAACCGCCCGCCATTTTGGTGTAACTTGCATATTTGTTTATAGACCGTGGCATCAACAGATAGCACGATCCTACATTAACAATGAATCAGATGAGCTTAGTACAATGCCAAAGTACAACAGCAGCCGCTCCAACAATAGCCATAACGAAGAATATTCACGTATCAGCCGATGGCTTGATGAAGAAGAAGCGCTGCTAGACGAGTCGATGCAGACAAAAAAGCCGACGATATTTCCAGAGGAACCTTTAGAAGGATCACCTCTATCGATCAACACATTGGCCACTCATAGTACTGGCACTAGCAGTAGCAGCAATAAGAGGATGCAGACGACAGTCCGTGGTGGAGGTGCTTTACAAAGCATTGATGTATGGTATCTCCCTTCTCACCTTTGCACTGTCAAATAAAAGAGGCTGCTCACTTTTCATCCCTTTTCACAGAATATTGCACATCTGCGAACACAACAACGACCGTCAGCATTTCCATCCGCCACCTCTTCGAAAGAGAATACGGGTAAAAGTCTAGTACGACCGTCACAACAAGAGCAGCGGTGTCATCGAACTACTCCTGTTCCTGCTGCAGCAGGGTCGTTTATCGAGCCCGTCTTTGATAAGACAGCCGCCCTCCGTTCTACTAGCGAAATACGTAAGTTCATTGTTGTCGTGTGTATACCACTAACTTTCATTATAACATCGTGTCGCACAGCGCAGCAACTGACCAAAAATTTTTGCAACACATTACAGCCTTGGCTTATCAATCCATCTTCAAGTTCGACAAGTTTAACGCGATGCAGTCCGCGTGTATCGATCATGTACGTTTCGATGTATCTCACCCGTTCTTTAACTTTGCTGCTACATCAACAATACAACAACAACTGCTACTGCTACCCTTTCATTCTTTATCTCTATTATTTTAAGCCGCTGGTCCAGCAAGTTTTGATTGAACAGCGCTGCCTTTTCTTTTTCTTGTAGGCATTTTACAGTGAAACCAGCTTTGTTATCTCAGGTAGATGCGTCATTTTTTCATCAGCATGTTTCTTGTTGTCAACAGTTTTTGGATTACTTACAACAGAAAGGTGGTCACCTTTCCTGTTGCCTCATATATACCGTAGCTCCCACCGGTGCTGGAAAAACGGCTGTGCTCGAATTAGCGATTTTACGTGCTTTAATGAATGGCAGCGGCGATGCCAAGGTTATTTACATGGCACCAACCAAGAGTCTCTGCTCAGAACGGACGAAAGACTGGGAAAAGAAATTTGAACCGCTGGGTATCGCATGTAAGTCTTGGCGACTCGTCAAGTTTTTGTTTTTCTTTTGCACAGATATTGTTTTGTATTAATCCTCTTCAATTGGTTATAAATAGGCAAGGAGTTCACTGGTGATACTGACTATACCTCTTTTAATGCGATCAAAACCAGCAATATTATGTAAGTGGTCATGGCTTTAACGACAATCGAGGTGATGCTTAATTATTTCAAGAGAAAAGAAGTGTCTAACATGTTGGAAAAACGTGGCGGCGTAGTGTGACAACACCAGAGAAGTGGGATTCAATGACGCGTCGATGGACTGATTACAAGAGCTTGATGCAGTTGATCACCTTGTTCGTGGTAAGAAGTTTAGTGAGCCTTGGAGAGACGATGACATGATCTTTTTTGTCCTCAATAAGCTGATACTAATGCTGAAAAGTATACTTCTTACTACTTAGATGGATGAAGTACATATACTTAACGAAAGACGTGGTGCTGTTCTTGAAGCATGCGTTAGTCGGATAAAGGTAAACTTCATTTAAAGACCATAGTTAGGAAGAGGAGTTTCTTTTTCAGATTGCTATAATTAATCTTGTTTCCTTGCTCACATATAGACAATGGAACAAACTGTTAGATACGTTGCTGTGTCTGCAACTGTACCCAACTTACAGGATATTGCTGACTGGCTTGGTGCTATTGGTACGTTAATTACTATGATTACTACCATCAAAGTATTACATAGCAACATCCAGTACTCTGTACCTTTAGTTACAGAAAGTATCTATATACTGACCGTGGTGTCTTTAAATATCTACTGTTAGCCATCTCATTTTCCGAAGAATTTCGACCCGTTCGCTTGGAGCGAGTTGTCTATGGAATGACATTTAATGGCGATAACATGTTCAGTTTCGAGAACAAGATGGATTGGAAGTAAGTAAAAAAGAGTATAGAGGAGCCGGTCGATAATTCTTTCTCTATAAATACTTATACGCTTTTTCCGCTCTGCTAAGATTACTCGACATGATTGACAAGCACAGCATGGGAAAGCCGACATTGATTGTACGAAATTCTGAAAGTTTAACTGCTCCTCCCAATGCTGTCTTTTTCTTCGGTTGGTTCATGGTGGAATACCCATATAATCACATTTTTTTTTTTAGTTTTGCTCTACTCGAAAGTCAGCCCAATCATCGTGCGAGGTTCTACTCAAACTGATGGCACAAAGGAATATCAGTACCTTGGGGTAAAGAAATCGTCTAGCATTTTTTTTTACAAAAGGATAAGGTGTACATTATAAGCAGGATCATGCTAAATTGTTACAATACAACAGTAGCGCCGGTATGACAATCGATACGGCCAATGTCAAAAACAGAAAACTTGCCGAGTTTCTCGAAAGAGGCATAGGGTTCCACCATGGTATGTGTCGCTATGCATTCAGTGCCAGGGTGTGACATCCACTACCACATCATTAAGTTTTGGTCTGACGCTTTTCTTATAACACAATAAATATATAGCCGGTCTAGAAAGTAGCGATCGTCAGCTTGTCGAGCAACTTTTTATACAACGTACAATACGTGTCGTTTGTAAGTAACTCTCAAAAGGTTTGCCCGTAGACGATGTAAAAAGCGACAAGGCAATCAACATTTTCTAACTGACATACTATACCAAATAGCTACCACCTCCACATTAGCACTTGGTGTTAATCTGCCAGCTCACTTGGTTATTATTAAATCGACCAAAAGTAAGTTGACATATCTACTCATCTGCTTCTCACCACTATTGTTAGGATGTCAATCACATCCTTTAGCTAATAACTCCTATTTTTATGTTGTTCTCTGGTTTAGCCTATCAAAACGGATCATTGGTAGATTGTTCAGATATTGAGCTGTTACAAATGATCGGCAGAGCAGGAAGACCAGGTCTTGAAGATTCTGGGTGTGCCGTTATTCTGACAACACCAGATATGGAGCAACGGTACAAGACGATTGTGTGTGGCTCCAGCCACATTGAAAGCTGGTTAGTGAATTTTATTTTCTTTCAATATTACAAAGTAACAGCATTTGGCACCATGCCATTATCTCTCTCAACTGTACGTTTTTTTTTTTTCAAAAATTAAACAAAGTCGTTGAGTACGTCTTACTATTCCATGTTTAGCTTACATGCAAACTTGGTGGAGCACATGATGACTGAAATATGCTTGGGCACAGTGACAGACACAGAAACATGCATAAAGTGGTAAGTTTTCTTCTTCCTTTACTATTTATTCAATAGGTAACATATCCACATTACGTGACAGATGGGCTAAGATCTATATATTGGCTATACCTCGGAACAATAATAAAGGCTTCAGTCAACGTTCCTATACGTTCGGATCAAGAAAAACCCTTCACGGTATATGATTGATCACCTGGATGAGGAAGCATCTGATGATAAATCGCGAAATCCGCAACCAGAGCAAGTTCTTCGAGGTAAAGGGATACAGTGTATCTTCTCATAATCACTTCTCTGCTCTTTTTCACAACCCCCATATATTTACATGTTGTGACTGACTGAATCGCTCTTTTGACATGGCAATGATAGATATTTGTACAAGGAGCATAAAGACGCTCGTCGAGAACGATTTAGCAACGAACGTGACCACCAATTACGGAGCAAAAAGACTTCAGGCGACAGGTTAGTCCAGTTATTGAAATTGAGAGGGGAAAATGATTGATGATAACACATTCTGGTGTTTCATTAGCGTACGGTACAGCTATGGATCGCTATTGTATCAAGCTCGATACCATGATTACCATTCTGAAAGCAGAGCGTTGTTCGTCAATAAAAGACGTGGTCAGTACAACCACTGATAGAACTACTTATAATGCGCTTGGCCATCATTGGCAGGTACTAGTATAGTTTATTGACAGACTTTTTCAATTTTTCGTTTCCGGTACACGCGTGTGATAGTTGGGCCTGGTAGCAGAAGCAGAAGAATTTGAAACGATGCGCTTTGCCGCGGGCGAGAAACCATTTCTAAATTCATTGCAAAAGAATGCAAACATCCGTTTCCCTATTTCTGGTAAAGTGGCAACCATTGCTGACAAAGTCTTCCTTGTAATTCAGGTAATATTCTTTTGCGCCTTTTCTACTTTCTTTCCGTGTCTTTACATCATATACAAAATTATATTTCACATACAGCCTTACTGAATGTCGATTTTTACCAATATCTCCATAGTGTGTCCTTGGTGATATATCTTTACATGGAGGATCTATGGGAAGTTCACTCGCTTTGTCAAGTTTTCAAATGCTGCAATATGCTTCAAGAATTGCGAAATGTAAGTATTATACGATCATTAACGTTTACTGTCGTTTTTCTCTTCCGCTCTTCCTGGATACACGCATGTGTTTACTAAAACAGACAACCCATAACTTATTATCTGTATCCCGCTTTTACCCTCTCAGGTATTATCGACTGCAGCGTGCATGATCGCGATGCTATCCGGTTGAAGCATACCCTGGAGCTTTACCGCAGCATGCAGGCAAAAATGTGGACTACATCATCATATCCGCTCCGCCAAATTGAACGCATTGGACCCCAGAAGGCTAAAATGTTGGCACAAGCCGGAATCTCGACATTTGACCAGTTGCGTGGAGTCGATGCAGCTCGAATCGAAGTGGTATGAATCGAAAATTGATATCCTATGTCATGGTGCTCGTATTGCGTGTTTTTGAAATTTTTGTCGAACAATAAAAATTATTACTGTTAGATCCTTCGCCGCAACCCTCCGTTTGGAAACCAGGTACTGTATTGTTATTTTATGCTTAAATTGACGAAAATTGTTGTTGCATTAACAATTCTCTTTTTTCTCATTTCGTTACATGTACCCGCTCCCCTTTATGTCTAATACACTAGATCAAAAATGCCGTGGATATAATCCCGCAATTCAACGTGAACGTCCAGCAGGTACCGCATTGGTCTAAAACCATGGCAGCAAAAGATTTATTCATCATCGTCAGCAGATCTATTACTCAATTGCATTATTTCTGAATTATTTCTTTACAGTTTACCAGCGCCAAGCGCCCAACAGGAATAACTCTCAAAATATGCGTTAGTGTTTCTAATACCAAAGCCATTCCCCGAAAACGATACGGAAAGGGATACTACGCTCAAGTGTGGACAGAAGCCGGCGAAGATCTGTTGGATTTCCGCCGAGTCTCGTAAATAATATTATACTTATCTTTTAATATATATCTTGAAAAGATAAACCAAGAAATGCTCACATAGTATATGTGCACATGTTTACAAATACTCAGGATTCAAAAATTGCAGTCCAAACGCCAGCAATTCTCGATTCGTGCTACTTTACCTGGTCCCTCCACAAAGGTGACCTGCTATGTGCAAAGCGAGGATTACGGTAAGTTATTGTATGCTTATAATGGTATTATATGCATTATCCCTGCTATGTTTGTCATTGACACTATATATTAAATAACTTTTCAAAGTTGGTGTTGATATATCCAAGTCGGTTCAGGTTAACCTAAACCCAGCCGCCTTTCTTCCGTCAACACACGATACCACATCAGCCTTATTATCTCTAGAAGCAGAAGATGGTACAAGTGCGGCTGCTCAGCGGCAACAGAACAACAAGGATAACACTACTGTTAGACCAACAGGCGAAGAGCTTGTAAACAACGATGTCCGCGACGACAACGATAGAAATAAGTCCACAACAAATCAGGGGCAGGTGTTATCCTCGCCGTCGTCCAGCAAAGTCAACGAGGTAGAAATCAAGCGTAAACGGCTGCAACAAGCAAGTAAGTATCAAAGAGACACAAACCGGACAATATAGAAAAGTTTTTCTATTAGAACTATAATTAACTATTTATCATGTGTCGATTCTTTAGGCCGCGATGAACAACAAGGTCCATCATCGTCTCGTAAAAAGAAGCAGCGCACCACAGAGTAAGTCTTTGATATACGCTATACTAATAAGCTTGATGTTATCTTGATCATTCATAATCCTGTAATGTATCTATAATAGGTGTAAACACACATGCCGTAATAAGGATAGGTATTAAAAAAAGTCTATCGATGTATATGAGTGGTTTACGTGACCTTGACCGTCTAATCATGTTCTCAATATAGCTGCAAGCATGCGTGTTGCAAGGTAAACCTTAGCAGCCAGCAAGATGACGATCAACCCCAAGAGACATCAATGTCCAATCTTCCGGAAGACTCCAGCTGGAACGATAGTCTCATCGAGCTATTCAATGATAATAACACGCAGCATCATCTTGTCGACGATATTGATACATACGGCGATGATAACAATGAAGATAAAGGAGAGCCGGTTGATCTTACAGCCACAGCAAAAACCCACGCTGACGATCAACAAATACCCCCGCTGCCACCAATGCCTATATCAATTTCTCGCCTACAGACATCCTCATCTAAGAACCTTCGTGACAAAAATGACAATGCTCGCATCAACAACATCATCCCCACTACAAAGGATCTCATGTCAAGCACAGGCGACTATGATTGGGACGATAGTGACGACGATGACTGGGCTCAGCTGGCAGTACAAGCCGTTGACGAGGCAGAAAGTACCATGATCTACTCGCCCTCTGTTACTGCTACTGAACGAAACAAACCGGGACCCTCGTCTACTCTTCCCATTGCGACTACTGCCAGCACTTATCGCAGCGCTCTGAAAGAAAAGGAAGAAGAGGAAATACTAAAAGATCCTTGTGACAATATGTGGGATGAAATTGGTAACTTTGCGTATAAAGCTTTCAGCAATTCGTTCAACAATAGCAACAAGGAACGGTTATCTTCATCATCATCGCTACCGCCACCGTCAGCAGACAAAGATGATAAACAAAAAGCGGGTAATGATAGCAAAACATCTAGCTTCCGACGTTGGTTGGATACCCATGTCGTCGTTGCTTCTGAAGATCCCGCGACCAACGGTGATGAGAATGACAATGGAAAGGAGGAGTAAGAAGGACTACTGCAGCAACAAAATTGCCAAGATAGTAACTGTATAAAAATAGGGCATATATTAGTAGCTTCAATCAAGCTGTAGTAATTGTACACTTTAGTGCATGTATGAATTTGAATGTGTATATTTACAAAAAATAATGTGTGTAGTAATTTATTCAATTCTTTCATCATCTGCAACTGTGTTTTTCTCTTGTTCCTTTTTCAGAAATTCCTCCTCTTCATCCTTACGCTTTGCGAAAGTAAACATTCGGTTTGTTATTTTAACGTCGTGCTCATCCTTCACCCTCCTTTTGCCTATCTCGATTGTGGCTTTGGATTGCGCTGCTTGTTGTGGTGGTTGTGGCGTCTCGCTTAGTGGTGCCTCGTACCTCCGGATTGATACTAAGCTGTCTACTCCATCAAAATAAAACTCTTTGCGTTTTGCGCAAAAATCTCCTAGTCTGATGCGATAATAAATATATTGTCTTAGAGTTATTCAGGCTACATATATATACATATCCTCTGCTTCAACATTCAATATATTGTCTGTCCATGCGATTTCATCCGCTAGCTTCGCTCTAACTTTTTCTGAGTGATATACGGACAAGAGAATAGTCGCAATTGTAACGATAGGTGGGGGAGTAGTGCACAAACCGATGCAAATTATAGATAATGCTAAACTTGGTTATCCTTGTATCATTAGTGATTAGATTATTAAATATTTAAAAGAATACACATCTAGGCTAACATTTATTTCCGGCTTATAGTATCCTTTGCAGCCTTGCAACCTTTTTGTACAACTTCCACGTCCGTTTTGCTACCCAGAATGCCTGCACATTTGTGTACCACCGACTCTTGGAGGAAAAAGAGGATACCCTGAGCAAGCGTCCGTAACTCGATGATTTTGGTAAAGACGGTGGCCACGGCCCGCGTGTAGTCTGCTTCATTCTTGAGCTGCAAGAAGACGTTGATAAACAGTATTTGCAGCCATAATCGACCCTTTTGCCCCAACGTCATAAAGTTGACACTTCTTAGCACCGCGAGAGACATGCACTCGTGTGCTATTAATGCAGCATAGAATTTGGCAACATTGACAATGCGACTGGATCGAACGTTTAATCCATCGTTGTTCGTATCCGCGCTTTCAATCATAGTTCGTTCTAAACCGCCAACTTCTCGTTCACCGCACTCGCGCAGGAAATCCCATAAGCAGTACTGGAAGGTGACCTTGAATGAGTGGTTATACTCGCACAGACGTTTGGCGACGAGCATGTAGTATGGATTAAATGTTTTTTCCTAACAATTATTGCAACGAGTTCAGCTACAGCAGTTTTACTTAAGGGGGCAAAAGCAAAGAAGTAAAGCCTTACATTGCCAGTACACTGTAATAACACACGCGCAATCTCGCGCTGTTGCACTTCACTTAGACCGAGTTTCATTAGTCTTTCAAATGCATCCAGATAATCCTAGAACAAGCAGATCAAATAAGGTTATTACACTCAGAAAATATAGAAAAGACTATGATCTCAAAAGAAAAAAAGCGTATAATTCACCTCTGCACTCATGGTTGTAATGAATATACTTCGTCGAATATCAGTGTTCATCCCTTGCTTTCTTGCCAATTTAAGCAATGCTGCTTGCATGGACTGATCCTTCTTCAAATCCTTGGCCATTTTGGCTGGTTCCTTGCGTTTGCTTTCGGTACCGACCAAGTTATCTTTCCAGGATGCGCCAACCAACCACCATTTACCTATAACACAAGAGTTCCTGGATTAGCAACCAAAGTTCGAAGCCTTCATAAGATATGTTTCGTTTTCTTATACCCTTCATGCTTGGGATAACAACTCAACATCATGTAATCCATACTTACCCTTTGTCTCGATTTGGTGGATATCTTCCAAACTGACACGCAGAGGTTCAGCAATCTGCACACTACGCTTCTTGCCGAGACTGTTCAAGAATCGCTTCATTTTGTTCACGAGCTCTTTATCGGCCTGTCCTGAGGCAGTAGGCCCACTCTTTATCTTGTTGTTTTTGATGTTAGCGAGTGTCTCCAGCATAAATTTGTGACGAGTCCTATTTGACCATTGCGTTAGATATTGGCCATTTGTTAAAACGAGTGCGATCTAGTGCGCATTCAACAAAAAGAAGGACTTACGAAATAGTCTTTGGATCACGCTTGGCCGTTTCTTTTTGAATTTCATCAATGATATCTTTCAAAGCTGCTGGATCATCTGCACGTAACTGGGCACCCGCAGCTATTTGTCATTATCATCATTTACATGTCAGTAACATTTCCGTAAGAGAAACGCAGCGTTCAGATTCGTAAGTCCCCTTCCCCTTCATTTTCTGCTCTTACTTTTTACAATTTTAAGAAGCAATTCCACACTGTATTCGTCAAGATGGCCAATCAGAACGCGGACAATGTCGTATACCAAGACACAAGCAACCACTTGAAAGTTGTATAGTTCGAGCAAAAGCGTCAACAAATTCTTGGCTTCTCGAGCACCAGGGGTCACTTCGTCGTTCAAACTCTCACCGCGCGCTGCTGCTTCCTGGCATTTTTTGTATTCTTTTTCAAATGCCTCGACCAAGCTCTGAACGAAAAATGCAGCTATTTACCGCAGAAAAAATGGAATCTATCTTAGCATCTAACTCTTCACCACTCATATACCCGATATATACTGGTCCCAAGCACTATGCAACCATTAAAACTTACCACAATCGACACCTTTAAGTCTGTAGATGCCGCTTGCAATAGATGCATACGATACAACAAAGGAATCTAGCAGGTTGGACTTTTGTGCGATAGAGTCCAGAATAATGTTTGTGATAGTCGACGTTACGTCTATCGTAAAAAAGAAGTAGGGTTACAACAATATTCCAACAAATTACAATACAACAGAACCCACAGCAAAAGGGAAAATACGTACCATGACGAGGATAACTTTCGTAACATTCTTCAATCTGTAACAGAATAGCTTCTATATTGCTTTCACTCAATCTGTTAAGTTGACCTTGTAAAAGTCGATGGAGTTTGATCTGCTGTTCTGACTTGGTCGCAGGGGCTTTTCGAAGATGGGGAGGAACGTATTTCGTAGCTGCACTGACAGCAGCTGGTTTTGCTGGCGTTGGCGTTTCTGGCTCCTTGGATTCAATTTCCTTTAAACGTCCATTCAGATTAGTGTCAGTTCAAAAACATCGCTCTTACTAAATGATGCTTTTTGCCTTCGTTCTATCTTGGTATACCTTTTCATCGTTTTCACTTCCTTCTTCTTCTTCTGGATCCGTCATATTTTCGTATTCTTCTGAAAGTTCTCCTTCGTCCTCTTCGCTACCTTCGACCATCTCTTCATCCTCCAACTCTTCAACTTGGTCCCCATCAGAATCACTTTCATCGTCGTCTTCTTCGTCTTCAGACATGGCATCTCCATCTTCGAGCAATTCTTCTCTGTCGTCTCCCGATAAGTCCCCATCGTCCTCTTCCTCCTCACTTCCATCCAGTCCAGCAAATAGGTCATCCACAGCCTAGTAACGGCACAATCGATAAGTAAGTAGATCCTCGCGCGTTTGCTATATCAACAAAAAAGCAGCAAATGGTAATTACCTCCTCGCCCTGTGCTTCAATATCCTGCTGCATCTTCTTCTTCTGTCTCTTCTGCTTCAAGTACTCCTGATAATCGATGTCTTCATCATCATCATCTTCCTCGTCGCCTTCACCCATGCCACCGAAAAGTTCCAATAAGCCGTCGTCCTGAAGCGCCTTTTTTAGACCGCTGCCGCTTTTCTTTTTGCTCACACCAAGTTTCTTTTCCCAATAGGCAATTTCTCGATCATCCTCAGCAAAACTTGGATCGTTCGTACTATTGAGCAAGTTATCGGATTCCAAAAGCGAATATAAGTGTGGATTTGATTTTGACAGCCGTTTGAGTGCACTAGCATCGATGTTTGCTGTCTTGGTGGTGGCTGCTTTTTTCTTTTGTGCTCCATTCGATTCGGCAGCAGTGACAGTGGGGGCTTCAGCGGCAGGTCTTTTGTCAACTTGTTTTTTAGTAATTGCGGTGGTATTATGATTATTGTTTGCATTGCTGGTATTGTTGTTTGCTTTTTGACGTTTGGCTGCAGGAGCAGCATGAGTAACGCCAGCTTGGTGTGCTGCCTTTCGTTTTCCTTTATCTACACGTTTCTGTTTCCGTAATTCTTTGCGATTACCGACTTTGTTGATAAAGTTCTTTGTAAATTGACGTTTATCGGTTTCTGAAATAACATGCAGAATCAAAGCGATCACGTTAGTGAATAGATCGATTGAACTACACTAGAGATCAACAACGAAAAAAACCAGTTTTATATACCTTGCTCTTCTAATTCTTCCTGAATTTTCTGTGGAAGTCGAGATCCAATACTTGGATCGTGTCTTGGCTTCCGATTATTGAAACCACCTCGGGATCCTCCTCGACCACCTCTACTACCGCGTTGATGCTGACGATCCATAATAATAATTTTATTTTGTGTGTGTCAAAGGCAATCCAAAAAAAACTTTATTCCCGCTTTTTTGTAACACAATAAATTTTGTACTCTTTTAATGCCGCTGTTCTTGCTGTCGTTGCCTACTCTTTGCATAACGGTAACCAGGCGACGGTGGGGTCCTGCTACGATGAGTCGAGTTATCGACTGGCGACAATGCACCAGTCCAATTGACAGGTGGAAAATAAGGGAATCTAGTAGATATGCTACCAGGATCTACAGGTAGAGCTCCGACTGGAGGCGAATGCATCGATTCAGCAAACTGACGAGATTTTCGATCATAGTCCGGAACACGTGCAACGACGTCTTGGAAAGACGGAAGCGTAGGACTATTGTAATAGGCGTTGGTCAATTGTTGCTGTTGTCTGCTTGCGGAAGAAGGAGTAGTAGCTATGTCTTGTTGTTGCTGTTGTTTCTGACTTTGCTTTTTACGTCCTCGTTGCCGTTTTGTATCACTTTTAGACGGCGGTGGTGAGGGCGCTCGTCCGGGGGAAGAGGAAATCATCATAAGATTACGAGCTGCTCGTTCCTCTTCCTCTCGTTCACTGCGGCTACTTCGAGGTTGCGTTCGTGGAGGAGTAGGCGGGAATCCGTCTTGATCCATTGGATCAATACCTTGTTTATTGCCGCTCGTGTTACTGTTAATCGATTCAAGATTGGATAATCGACGTTCGACCGTATTTTCCATCTGTTCCAGGCTTTGATTAGCCATCCCTGTTTGTACTTTGAATCGTGCGTACTGAAGTCGTGCTCTTAATTGCTGGGCTAGCTTTTGATTGTGGTCGTTATAATATGTTGTAGTGATACTTATATCAGAGCGAGAGTAATCAACGCCTCTTTCCCTATTCTGCTTTTAATCATACCTGATTCATATCCTTATCAGGTTTTTGTTCAGCAGGTTGTTCTGTCAAAGAATTGCTATCCATGTTCGCGGGAGTAGGAATTTGAGTGAAGTAGAAGGTTAGTTTTCCCCAAATATCGCCGTTGGATCGATATGAATTGAATAACGCCGTGGTTTCAGATACGAAATTGATCCAACCAGCAAACACATTCCAGTGCATAGTAGGTCGGATAATGAATGAATGCTTCCTATGTACTTGACAGCAGATATAGGTGGCATTTCCACAATGCCATACAAGCGTGAACATTCAAGGTTTGAACCAAAGGATGCACACACAATGTTTCAAACAGGTGTGCACAAAAGACGCATTTTAAAAAGATGAAGGCAATGGAGAATCGTATAAAGATATTCCGGCCGCCCTTGACGCTAAAAAGATCGATTCAGTGATAAAATAATAAAAGTGATTAGCCATGTTGTGTTCTCGGTGGAACACACGGTGCGCCGGCTGCTGTGATCTTAAAAAGAAAAAACATCTGTCCTAAAATGGATACTGCTACACATAGAAAAATAAGCACATGGCGCCCTTTTTTGCTTCGATTGTTTTTTTAAACATCATTCTCTTTTCTCTCTCTCCCACCCAACAACATCGATCTTTACCTACATTCAAGCTGTCTGCAGGGGTGTGTGTTGTGAGTTTTATAACTATATCTACTACTATAACATGAGTGATCTATCAGCAGCAGCAGCAGCATCAGCAGACGACGCGTCATTGACATATCCTATGAATAACAGCGGCCTATATAAAGGAGTGGGTGTTTCCTTGGCCATTGCCAGCGGTATATAATGTTTCTCTCTTTTACATGAAGTTATGCATGATTCAGGACGATACAGCAACTTGACACATGTATATAACTGTTTGCATAGGTATATTCATCGGCACTAGTTTTGTTTTCAAGAAAAAGGGACTTGTTCAATCGATAGAACGCTCAGGTATGTGAATTCGCCATTCACAGCTCATATACAGCCGTAATATGATTAATCAACGTTTTTGTCTCTATTAACGACACTGTCACGTACTTTTGGTTTTTATTTTAGGAGGAGTTGCCGGAGATGGTTACGCATATTTGACCTCTGCTATGTGGTGGGCAGGAATGGTGCTAAGTAAGTATCATACAGTGAGCCCGGCCTTCTCGGTTTGCCAGTCTCTTCCTTATTGACATATTTGCTCCATAGTGGTAATTGGGGAGCTTTGCAATTTTGTCGCATACGCTTTCACACAGGCAATGCTAGTTACTCCTCTTGGTGCATTGAGCGTTGTTGTCAGGTACATAATAATTATTACACGTAGCAGCAGCATCAATTATACAAACTAAGAACTGATCGGCCTTTCTATATCACAAGTGCTATACTGTCCTCCATCTTTCTGAAAGAAAGACTGTCTCTGACAGGGAAAATCGGTTGCTTTATATGTATTGTCGGGTCGATTGTTATTGTGCTACACGCTCCCGAGGAGGCTGCTGAGGACACATCTATCGAGACTTTTAAAGAGCTCGTTCTTTCTGTGGGTAACGTCTCGTGCTTCATATTCTGGCATACAATTTTCCATGCACAATGAATTCTTTGCCGCTGACAAGCTATTCACCAACTATATTTTTAATAGGCTTTTTGGTTTATGCATCCCTCTTGATTCTAGTCGCGTTGGGTCTTATTTTTTTTGCCGCACCGCGGTGGGGCAAAAAGAATATGCTTGTATACATCACCATTTGCTCTGTCATAGGCGCAATATCTGTCGTATTTACGCAAGGCTTGGGCATGGCTATTGTGCACTCGGTCACTGTCTCAAACCAATTCAACAACTATTTTATATATATCGTGCTCATCATTGTGATTGTGACGCTGGTGATCGAAATTGTATATCTGAACAAGGCATTAAATTTATTCAACACGTCCCTCGTAACGCCAACCTACTATGTGCTCTTTACGACACTGACGATCGTGAGCTCAATCGTCCTGTATCGACGATTCGATGCGACACCCGTGGAGATTGTTACAGTTGTCCAAGGTTTCTTCTGCATCTGCTCAGGCGTGGCTTTACTCCAACTTAGTCAACGGAAACAAGGCACCGCTAAGGAACAAGATAAGGACGTGTTGTCATCGTCGGGAACAACGAGGATGGCTCATGGTGAAACAGCAAATATTATGGAACCTGGTCCAGCTGAGCTTTTCCCATTTGCTGGGATTACTCGTTTTGCTAGCACTACACGACGACAACCGCGCTCATCATCACTTTCTATCAGATCGACAATTTCTGAAAAAAGTTACCTGAACCCCCGTAAAAAACGAGCAACGACAATTGCGGGTGCTACTACCTCAAGCAACTTGCCTGTAATAGTGATTGATGACGGTGACAACAACAACAGCACCAGAGAATTACCTGTTGCGGTAAATAACACCATCGGTATCGGCAACACGAATCCAGGTGAAGATGGTTACACTCGTGAAACACGATGGAAAGATCATATACCACAACCCCCGATCGCTCGATACGAACCATTGATAGATCATCGCCACAGAAAAATAGAAGCTGCTGCACGGCAAAGTAAGTGTAATCTGCTATCATTTTAGCCCTAAGGCATTGAACTAACTGTTAAATCTTTACTGTAAAATAGTCTCTATCACGGTACAAGAGCCTGTCATTCCCGTTGTCACAGACATCGCTACTAGTGCTACACGCCAACAACCACAACAGCAGCCTGCATCGACTAGTTCGTCCTTTTCAGATAGACCTATTCGCAACAAATTTTTGCAAGGTGTACCATTTCGATCCAGATCCCGCCGAGCGCAAGATCGTCTCAACAAGTTTAGAGCATATAGTTTAGGCCTGCATAACTCCTCGTCAGAGGATTATAGCAATTTAGTGGTACAACCATCAGGAAATTCATCCTTGTATTAGAAAGTTTTTTTGATTAGTATACAATATCCATTTATTATAGCAGCAGAGCTGTTATAGTCATCTTTAATTACACAAATAATAACAGCGCTTATCCAATTATAAAGCATCTCGAGGCTAGCACTGTGCTATTAATCTTTTTATGCTCGCCAGGCCACAATTCAGTTGATCACTTCTGGTCGGTTGTTACGCGTAAAATGTAACAAATAGATTTCCAAAAATAGGGTTTTTGTACGACAGAATCGATGAAGCTTCCAAAAGCTTAAGGTCAGTGATAGTGCATAAATGAACAAAATATCGGTGTAGCGTGAACAGACATACATTGAAAAATGGAACGTCAATGCTTTTCGCCTATTGCTGCTTAGTGGTTTCTCAAAAAGCGTACAAACCGACGTGCACGTTCGCCATGTTTAATACGTATCTAAGTTTTACCTAATTAACTGCTTGGAATGTCATAAAGTGAGGAAGCGAATAAGTAAATGCTCATCAAACAACTTTAGGATGATATCATCATACACATTGAGAAGATAAAGAAGCGTATCACTTAACGCTAATATTTCTTATAACTCCTTTTTTTGTTACGAAATGTTTCTCGTAATCATCAAAGATTGTAATGGTCATTTAACCCTATAATCACCTCAAAGCATCCTACGCCGTTTAAAAGATGACATTGATTGCCTAGTAAATAACAATAAACAAGATGCATTCATACCTTGTACTCTTATCCTGGTCCTCCCTCCTGCCTAAATGTTCCTGAAACTCCGTTCCGGCTTTTTGTGTATCCGCGCCCTTTTTTTTACTACATATATCCTCGGTTTACACAAAGCTTGGCAGCAGCGACCCGAACTTGCACCTGAACATACCATTTACAAAGGGGAGTTGTCGTCAGTCGAGAGGGAAAGTCAAAAATGAGTTATACATATTCGCTACCGACGACAGGCGCAATGTCATTTGTCGAGTTCCTCAAAGACGTTGGATCGTACTCGTCCGAAATTTCTGATGCAACCGCTCAACGAGGCAGGATTAGGACAGTACTAAAAGAATTGAAGAAAGAAGCTCAGGAAGAACGCGACTATCGTCATATTGTGAATGTGAGTATCTACATTGAATATGATATGTGTGTTTGGTCATATCACAAAGAGCAGGGGAGAGAGAGAGAAGGGGAAGGGAGAAGGAAGTCCATAGTATGGCTGACTACAAAAATCGGTTGAGTTGCATACATAGTGGAAAAACCCTAGACCAAAAAGAAAGTCATATGCTTATCACCATGTGTACGCTGTTTATTAGACGATTGAAGACTATTTACCATACCTAATTAGCGTTATCAACTGCCTTGAATCCGGAGAACTCAAGCTGAAAAAGAGTATTGGTAACTAGGAAATGCCGTTGAGACACGTGATTGTGGGGCGTGCGCCAGTAAAGCAGAAGAATATTCCTAATGTTTTAAGCTTTTTTTTCCGTTCCAGAGACTTCTTGGCGATCTACTCTCAGCGACCATATTATTCACACTGGTAGTAATGCTCCGCGGATAGCGTGTCAAGACATCTACTATGAACTTTTGTTTGTCCTGATGACCTATGGTTATGCATGTTCTATGCAAAGCAATGACATCTTCAAAACGATACAAGAAGGGTCTAGTACAGCATCGGCGCAGTATAATAAGGTATGACGAACATGGTAATTTATGCTGATCTTTGTGTGAGGAATTTATCCCGTGTCTTTACTTATGTCAACTTCTTCTTCTTCAGGCAGCCGACTCTCTAAATACGGCAGCTAGTGTGTTCAATTACGTTGCATATGAGGTGATTCCCAAATGGAAACAAGCACCTGAGAGTCGACCTGTGGAAACCATCAAGGAACTGCCGGTCGCACTATCAAAGTAGTAATAAGCATCATCTGTTTTGCTCTTGTGGTGGACATGGCCAGAATGAACTTATCTGTTTACTGTCATACTAGGATGGCACTTGCGGATGCTCAATACATTGCGATCAATAAGGCCTTATTAACGGGAAATGTATCGAAATCGCTCGTTGCGAAGCTCTATATCGGCGTGGCGGGACAATATGAGATGGCTTATGGACTTGTTTCATCCATCAGTGGAACGCAAGAAGTATCAACAGATCTCAAGAAATACATTTTCGATGGAGCGCAGTTTTACAAGGTAGAAATCAATTTCTGGAATAGGATGGGCGTATATCGGTGGGGAAAACTCAAACCATTAATTTCTTTAGGCAATGGGAAAAAAGTACCTTGCTCTGGATGCGAATGATAACCAGCAAGTATATTCTTGGAAAGATATTAATGGATTGACAAAGAAAGAAGGGTAGTATGTGTGGACTCATGCCAAAGTGGATTACTGCTTTTTCTAGGAAAATGGGTGAAGCAGTCGGATTCCTCCGTGAATGTAAAGCGGATTTAAGATCGATACAGCACTCGAGTTTGTCTAAACCGCATTTGCGCAAGTCTGCAGTAGCTTCACGCGCATTTAAAGAGGAGGAGGCGGTTTCTGAGTTATTACAAAAATTCACAATGATCAATGATACGGTACGTCTAAAAAGAGGGATGCGTCTTGGTTTGGAACCACAAAATAGTAGTCTCATCCATTATTTTCCATGGGGAGAAATAGGTGACATATCAAAATATACCCTCACGCCAGGACTTGCTGCGGATTATTCCCAATGGTCGAGGTGTTTTGCAAATGAAACGATACCAACTTCCGTCTCCTCGATTCGGTCCCACTCAAGAAGAAGAACATAGCGCAAACTATGCACGGTCTGGTGCTTACTATTAACCAACAACAAAATAAAGTGTAGATATGCCCTTTCTTCCGCTTTGCTCGTTCATAACAACATGCGAAAGTGTATGAATGCTTGGCTCGTGTATATCCACAAATATGTACGAGGATACCAGGGAAGGAGCCTTGTTGGATGAAACGATGAATTTATGTAGATAGCAAAAATTGACCAAAAAAGACAAATGAGTACTTTGGAATTTGTGAGCCCGCATAGACTAACTCTAAATTCAGGCTGCCCTGCTCTAACTCTTCCAGATTCAATACACATACAACCAGTACTCTACTTCCATGACATTTCGTTTATTGACACGAGGATCGCGAATCTCACTGCCTACTGTGCGAGCAGCTCCTCCAGTAATACGCATGCGCCCGATCCCTGCGACAGTGCCAATGGCCTTTCGTCGCACCATGAGTAGCAGTGGACGACGACCTTCGGCTAACACACCACGCGTACGAACAATTCCGTTCCACCCGATCCCAGCTCTTTTAACACTGACAGCATTGCTTTGTCTCGGTGTCGGATTGTACGAATACTTTTTATCCGACCTGCAAAAATATCCACCCCCTGTGCGACACGCCCTACGACGAGCACTCTACTACCAAAACAAAAAAGATATTCCCTTGGCACTCAAATACTTCCGCGAAGCACTGCAGTTGGGTGTCGAGTCGCCAGAATTGGAGACCGACGGTGCACCACTGACAGGCATTATGATTCAATTGGGCACGTTGCTTGAGTCCCTGGGTCGACATCCTGAAGCCAAACAGACCCTGACACTGGCCATGCGCCACTTGCTTGGGCTGGAGAACAGCAACGCAGAAGGAGGAGGAGAAAAGAAGCCGGATGCAGCCATGTTTGACGTGGATATAAGCGCACTGGATCCTGTTGTACAAAAGAAGGTTGTCGGTATTGCGCAAAAGTTGGGTGATATCCATGCTGTAATGCGACGGGACGAGGAGGCTGAACGCTGGTACACTTGGTCGGTTGAACATTTATTGCGCATCTCGTCAAAGCCCACATCCGAGTATGGTGATGACGGAGACAAGAGAATATTCGACAAGGAGCACATGCCTACATGGTTGACACATACGGAGCTGGGTTCTTCGTTGGAGACGCTGGGTCGGTTTTATGCAGATCGTAACAAATACACGTAAGGAAAAGTGGTTGTTGGAGTGTTTAAAGTCCTTACAGATTGGCTAATATGAACCAAAAGCTATGCTATGCCACTGTATCTTCAAGCACTGACGTTGGCAGGTGTAGACAGTTGTCACGCAACGGTAATCATGAACAACTTGAGCGAAGGATTTGCCGCCATGGGTAGAATGGAGGAAGCAAAGAACTGGGCCGAGCGAGGCGTCGAATTAGCGCAGAATCCAAACACGCGCAAGGCCAATAAGGATGGCGAAGTATGCGACGACACATGTGGAGTGTTATTATACAACTTGGGCATGATCCACGAACAGCTAGACGATAAGGCAGGAGCAATGGTGTTTTATGCCAAGGCGAAGAAGCATGGACAGGAACACAAGAGTATCGATGTAGTGCAGGAAGCTGATCAATCTTTGAAGCGACTCCGTGCCGATCGGCAGCAATAGCCATTATTGAACGTTATTGAATAGAGTTAGATATACACTTTTTGAGCCTTTTTATTAAGATGATTCTGCTTTTCTTTTGCGAGCGATTGGATGCGAGAGGTGTGACGAACGAAAGCAGAGAGAGAGAGAGAGGGAGAGAGAGAAAGAGTAAGGGAACAAATGATATAATTGTACATACAGCATAGAGGAAAGCAAAAAGCAAATGATAGAAGATGGTTTATACATGATGCAGATTATTAGTAAAAATAGAACAGAGATGGCGAGTGCACGGTGAACTTGAGGTAGGCATTCAGTCCAACCGCAAACATCAACGCAAAGCAAATGACAGTGGGTCCCGCGATCTCATCATATGGACCTGGCGACCGAGAGCGAATCAGCTCGCGACGACGATAGTAGAGACCTACGCCATAGATCAAGGTGGACAGCGAGACGAGGGTATAGATGACGCCGCTGACCTTGCCGACGGCGTCGCCAGCATTGAACAGAGCGAGCGAGAATGTAGAGAGGAGTGTTCCGAGCGACATCCACGAAAAGTACGTGCGCTCGTTGGCGAAGAACACCTTGGGCTCCACGCGCAGTGGCGTCACCACCTTTTTGGGCACTCTGACACCAGGTGGCAACACTACGGGCTCACGGGATGGCTCACTGTTGTCGTCCTTGCCGATCCATTGCTTCCACATTTGGCCGAACTTTTGTGCTACTGGTTCTGATGCTTCGTCTTGCGCGGCGACAGCAGCAGCCGATGTCGAAGCACCGTCAGCTGGTGCATTGTTGATGCCCATGTACGAACGAGTAATTCCACTGGAGCCACGGTGTCCTAGCAACAAAGTGCGTTCCGTAGCAGCTGCAGAGGGTGGTGTGGTAGTAATCGAGGAACGTTGAGGCAGAGTATACCGTTCGTCCTCTTGTTCGTCACCTGCGACCAAGGTCAAAGGAGGCGAGGCCTTATCCTTGCCCTTGGACGATTTGTTTGTGACAGACGGTGTTTGCGATGGTAGCACAGGCAGCTGGTCGACCACGTCTTCGTCAATTTGAGCAAGCCAGTATGGAAGCAGTGCCACACGGGCATCGAATATGAGTGCAATGCCATGCACAAATTTACTGAAATGATGCGCTTCCTCAAGAATACCACTTTCCTCCAAGTCCACGATCCATTCAGGCTCTGGCGTACCCGGCGGCAGGTCGAGTTTGATTTCAAAGGTAGCGTAAGGATAGCGATTGACTTCGCTCGAGGCGAGTTTCGGGAAAGGATACTCAATGTCGGCATCGGTGCGATGCCACTGACCCTCTGGGCGACGGACTGTCTTGTCATCAGCAAACAGACCCGAGTCTTCGCGGATAAAGCACAAATCCGTGTCGAGTGCCATACGAACGCGGGTGTCGCCGGGGATCTGGAAGGCTGTGCGTCGGTAGTAGGTGCGCAGTACTGGATGCATGTGGTTCTCCATCACCATGCGTTGGACATCTTTAGCAAGCTGCTCGAAGCGTGCAACGTCCTGTTCGGATTTGCCCATTTTGTTGCGCATCTTTGCGACGGATTTCTCGATAAACGTCTGCTCGCCACGCAAGAACCCATCCACGTACTTATCCTTGATCACAAAGCGATCGGTCAACTCCCTGTGCTCCTCGTCAGCCAGCGTTCGCCGCTCGACAGCAATGGTCGTGTTGTTCTTGGCACTGCCGTACCATCGCAGACGGATCACCTGGGAGCCCTCGGCTGATTCGATGCGGGAGTTGTATGTGTCAAGGGCGGCATTGTCGAGATAGAGCGACGAGATGGGCGGGTCAATGTTGTCTTGCTTGAGGCTGTTGTCGCGATAGACGAGGACGGGCAAATGCCGGAGTACGAATGTCTTGAGTTCCAGGATGTTATCTGTGTGGACGAAAAACCGTTTCATCACTGTGTTGCGCCGGCGATCTATTGCTGCTGCTGTTGCTGCTGCTACTGTTGAGCTGCTTTCTTGCGACTTGACGGTGAGAGGCTTTTTAAACGACATCTCCTTTCCACCCTGGCGTGCTTTGCTGAACAATTCCGAGAGCTTGATAAGCAATGCGTCGTCGTCCTGCTTCCAGAAAGGGCATTGGTTCAGTCGGACCATGAACATCGGGCGCAAAATGTAGTTGGTGTGGCGGTCGTGCTTCTTTACGATCTTCAGAAAGCCGGTGTAGTTGAGGCGAGAGAAGCGTGCCAGGCGGTTGACGTCGTCAGCAATCTCGTTGATGTTTTCCTGGACGCGGGTCATTTCGGATGGCTCAGGCTGAGAGGCGATGACCTGGTCCCAAGAGTCGATACGGCTGGTGATTTCTTCCAATTTCTGTTGATGGAACGCATAAATCTGAAACGACACAATAGTTTTTTTTGTGTTATTGTTATGGGTCGCGCTGGGTAAATAGAATCCATCCAAACACTCGCGCGACACACCCTCGCCCTCCAATGGAAACGCCCTCACGCTAACACAGCACAAGACATCATACAAGCAAGACAGAAACACGATACACATCACTTCCAACAAGCACACCGCTGAGCAATTGCCATATCAGCCCTTCCCTTGAGCCCATCAGCAAGACTGCCACTTACTTTTTCCAGGTTGCTGTCTAGAACTTCAACAAACTCGGTTTCATCTTTTTCAGTAAACGGTCGGTCTTTCTCGGCTTTTCGAAGCTTCCTTTTCAGTCCGTCGTAATCAATGTAGTATTCACGCCATTCCGGGTAAATGGCGTCTTTTAGTTGTGATCCGAACTTCATGACGTTGTGGGATCCCCGAGGTTAATGGAGGGAAAAGGGAAAAACCAGCAAAGAAAAAAAATAAAAGATAAAAGAGAGAGAGAGAAAAAGAAAGGTATGCAGTGCCAAAGCGGAGCTTTATGTATGCGGTGCTCTTCTTTCTGATCTGTATTGCTGCTGGCAGCTGTTTTGACCGTTTAGAAACAAAAAGGGCAGCAAGCGACAGTAACCGTAAATGATGTCATCTCACCAACCTTTCCATACACAATCCGTTTGATTTTCCTCTTGCAAACTGGCTCTCGAGAAGACTACTACCAGCTTAAGCATCCACAAACAAAGGGTCCCTTCAAAGCATGTAAACAATTTCAGTGTTTTGTGCTGGGTTACACAGGCCCTTGCTTTAAGCCAGTCGCATCCATTTGTTTTTCCCTCGTGACCTATCCGTTGGCTCACAATGCATCTCAAAAGGTCACAGGAACCTTGGAACGCGACATTACTTGTCACTTTTTTTATGGCTCCTTTTAATTCAGGTATCATACTTTATCGTTGGCTTCTTAAATGTCCCGACCGCCTTGGCAAGTACATATGATACACGTGCTGGACTATACTGAGTCCCTTGTAAAACACTAGTTTCCGTGTCTGTGTGAGGAGATGAAATATTTATCTTGTATGGCACTATCGCATAGGCTGCACACAAACGTTAGCCATGCCTTCTTTTCGTAGGTTTCACAAAGAATAAGGGTTGATAGATCAGTAGCGCATTGTGTATCTGTCACCCCAGAGTTTTCTCCTTGTTTACGAAGCAGCAACATAGCCAGGAAAGTCCTTCCGAGTAATAAGACGCACTTATCTAGTCGTAGCTGATGACACGGCGTTACCTATTACACGCAGCAATAATATTTATTTACAAGTAAAAACTGTATACAAGTCAGAAACTGCGAAAGCTTCTTCCAAATGGTTAGTAAAATATAAACAATGCAATAAATGTGGGAGGATGAGTGCAGCTTACTACACGTAATAAAAAATGGCAGATATCTTCAAAAGCTAGATATCCTTCCGCTTGGCCACTTTGTCTCTTTCACGCTTTTCTTGTCTTTTGGCTTGTTTGCTCGCGTGCTCTAAATACATGTCGGACAGATCTTCGTACTGAGTCTGTCGCTCTTGCTGTGCTTGATCATATTTCATGTGTAGCGTCGCCTTTTGTTCCAGCTGGCTCGGATCCTCGATACTAACGTCTACATCTTGTCCCGCAATAGTAGATCGCTTTAACGATGATGATAATGGCAACACTGTTGTTTCTGTTGCTGGTGTTTGTGATGGTATTTGATATGTATGCTGTGATGGTATAAAGTCGGACGAAGAGGTACTGGGGATCTGGGGAAGCAGTCGGTATAGTAGGTTGCCATTGCTATCGTCGATGCCGTCGCTGTCCTTTTTGGTGATGGTTGATGGTACTTTCCGTAGCTCAATGGCATCAGGCACTGTAATTTCACTCAGATATTCGTCTTCATCAGCCATTGAATTGTCCTGTGTACCTGTAGCTTCGTCGTCACTCTCTTCGTCACTAGCCAATGTAATCTGATCCCCTTCCTCAGGTTCGAGTTCACCCCACAAGGTGCGATCCACCCTTGATATCTAAAATCATAGTGAGTTTTCCATATCCCCATCGCATGCGGCCTGCTAATCCATTCGCTTACCTCACTCTGATCTTCTTGAGAACATGATGACACTGCGAATACATCACCATAGAGTGGACGATTTAACTAGGAAACATAGTGCAATGATGTCAGAAAATGACTAAATTATACAGAGTTAAAAGTTATGCATACCGAGTCAACCGGAGGACGACCCCATTGCCCTTTTTGATAGCCCCATTGACCTCCTATTGGGATCGGTGAATTGACACCGGGTATCACAAGATGTGGATAGCTCGGCGGTGGCCCATAGCGTTGCATACCAAATAACCACGGCGGTGGATCAGTTTGATCCAATGCCTCTTTTAATGACGCCGATAATTTACCCGGTTTAAACTGGTTTACGTTCTCCTTCCCTTCATAATACCTAGAGTTTAAACTTTTAGCATCAGCTGTTTTGCGTAGAAGGAATTTAATGGTTATAGCCTTAGAGTAGTACTTGTGAGTACGTGTGAGCGAGCAATACTTACAAATCGCCATGTCTCGTTAGTCTAGGTGTGGTCTGGAATCGATAAAATGCATCATGCAACTTTTGATAATCCAGATCCATCTTGCCCAGCTTTGGATTGAGACGTGCTCGTCGTCTTGCACCACTCCTGGCTGCTGCCTCTTTTTCTTTGATACTGTCACGGATTTCTGCAATTCCCGTTTGCTTGAGGAACTCTGTCATTTTAGATTAATAAAACAGATTGAGTCCTTATTCCTTCTTTGCGACTGATGGGTAAACAGCATAAAAAACCGGCAATCTTCTTTCTTTACCTGGCAGTTCCCATCGTTTCCTTTCTTTACGACGTTGCAAGTAAGGTTTGCGCTGCCACCAGTGGTTTGGCACCGGGATGGTGTTTCGGTAGGCTTTTAAAGAAACCAAGAGCTTGGGATCCATGGCTGTCACGTCCCACGGCTCGACGACATCGGGCGTATCGGACAACTGCTTCAGTTCATCAACCTTCAATTGTGTCAGTTTTCTTATCCGCTTTTTCGAGACACGCGGTTCCTCATTGTGCTCTTCGTTTTGGTGAGTAGTGTGCTCGACGTCATCAAGATTATAGTTAGCGTTGACGCCTTGGGCCGGTGTTGTTGTATTGTTAGGCGCAGGAAGATTAAAGTGATCAAGAACGCGTGAGAAATGTTGCAAGATCGTTGTATCGATTTCTAGCGGTTCATTATCGATACTGTCGTCATTGTCTTGTTGCTACGTACATTTTGAAAAGTCAAATGAGCATTCGGGTATAGAAAGACAAAGGAACGCAGTATAAAGAAAAAGAAAAGAGTCGATCGATCCAACGTTGGTACAAACATTAGGTTGTTCATTTCCTTGAGTAGCGATGACGGCAGAATCTTTGCGATGCTTTCTCGCCTTCTTTTTTGCTCTTCGTTTCTGTTTGAGTGCTTTTACTCGTTCGGCTGAAACATCGTTCTTCGTGGCCATTGTTCAAGTCAACGAGAATACAGAATTAGAATAATCCTGTAGGCATGAAAGAATCCCGACATTTCTGTTCAGGTCAGCTGACATTGCTTCGATATTTGATACGATATAAAAGGGCCTTGATAATCATTACTACACTTGTTGAAATTATTACAAGGCTCATTATTTATAAAGTGGTTGCGATGGTTTTGTGTTAAGCATGTCAATGATTGCAGCTACATCGAGGAAAGATGCTTGCTTAATGTTTCCTAAAGCAAACAAGGAATTTTTTCTCCCTTACAACAATATTTAACGGTGACAAAAGTAAATAGGATGCTAGCTTATCACTTCAATGTAAATTTAAAAGAGATCTTAAGTGAGTAGTTATAGTTGGTTTACTGGCGTGATCATGGTTTGAACGATGACAAAGCAGCGCCAAGGTCTATTATGATGCCAAAATGGCTCCTGTAGCATTCTGGGGTGCTATGATGATACTAGGTCGCTTTTTAGTAAAGTGGTGATTATCATGGCGGGATGCTGCTCTTAGTAACGCCTGTGGTAAGGCAGCCAAATGCAGTGTGCTCCAAGACATAGTAATAGACCCGTGTCTAGATATTGCGAATGTAAGCTGGTGGAACGTCATGCAACGTTGCATTGACGACATTTAATATTAAAGATTCACCTTTTCTGTTTCACCAACTACCATATCTAGCACACATCGTTCCATGACAGCCTTAAACAGCCTCTAATGTATGTTCTTGTAGCTGTTGCTGTATGTTGGCGTTACTCCCGTGTTAGCGTTTTTTCGAATTAAAAAAAGTGTTATTGACTAGGCTGTCACTATAGAGACAGACGCACATTATTCGTTGTCGAAAGATGGAGGAAAGGCATTACATGAGTGGATAGCGATTGGTCTCATTTGGAGAGTGGGCTCAATGGTATAACTATTATTTGATTAAACCGATCACTGTTTACTCAATGTACTATGGTCATAATACCATATATACTCATTTTAAATTTTTTATTCTATATTTCAGTGCTGAAGCGCATCTATGATAGATTCAGCTGGTGCTCGCTCATAGATAACTTTATAGACAGATGTCAACAAGGGAAACCTTAACAAAGAAAAGAGTTTCGTAAAATAATTAGTAACCCGATTTTACTCATTATAGTTGTATGTCTTTGTGATTATATATCATACTCATTTGTCATCTTTTTGGCCTCCAAAAATCGATGTACTTCAAGGGCGGTAGTGGTGCCTTGACTTTTCTGGCCATTGAGTAGCTCTTTTTCTACTTCTTCGATAGTCTAATGGTAAAAGATGTAAAACCAGCAAAATATATTGTAATTCGTTAGTGATATATATATATATATATCGAGTCTAGGAGTTTGATCGTTGGTAAAACTTTACCTTGTTCGAACCAATAAATGCTTCAGCTACTTTACGATTCCTAGATTAAAAAATAAACTTCGCTTAGTTTTACATAATAAAACATTTACTGCCCGGAGCACAACATAAACAGGTGTCTAACCTTCCACCAGCGCAAGTAGTAATCAGATCCGCAACGCCGCAAGATTCTTTTATAGGCAATAAATAGTTAGCTATGCACTCTGTTGTCTCCGACAATAAAAAATATTCCAGCCCATCTTTCAACTTACCAAAGAATGTCTCAGTGTGAACACCTCCAAAGAATGTCTTGCCGAACTTCCGCATTTCCAACAAACCACGTCGAATAAAAGCCGATTTCGTGTTGTTACCATATCTAATTGTACCATTTCGTTAATAGAGCATGGTTTCACTGACCCCGTTGTCTTAAGACTATCTCTTCGATGCCATGCTCTTACTTTAATCCATCGCTAATACCGGCAGCAATAGCCACTACATTTTTCAGCGCACCACAGATTTGAAGTCCCGTATAGTCTCCAATCACAGAGATGTTGAAGTAATCGGTATGGAATAGCTGTAAGGGAAAAATATCACATAATCAATACGTTACTTAGTACATTTAAAAAAGTAGAGTATTTGCCGTTAATCATATATATAAAGTCATTTCATTAACCTTGTGCAAAATTTTGCCGTCGATATCTAAATTTTTTGTACCAATGGTTGATTCACCATACTTTTCTTCGGCTACTTCTGAAGCAAGATTAGCACCGCTTAATGCAGAACATTCAACACCAAGAATTCTAGATATTTCGTCAGAGAATAGTAGAATTTCGTCATCTCGGAAATCTAGGCCCTGTAGCGATAAAGCTCGGACATATTAGTCACTGCCTTGGTTATTCGACACTATACATCATATTATCTTAACCTTGATCAACGATATGGCTCGACAATTGCTGTCAGCTACCCCTCGTAAACTCTCGCAGGTTCGATAAACAAACTAGAAGGATCATAAGCAAAGGTTATATAATTATCACTTTCTCGAAATGCACCCTAGTTTTACCTGATGTGGCAGTACAAATACTAGGATATTTGCATCGCGTGCTGCTTCTCGTACATCGGATAATGCAACCACATTGTCTGGGAGTTGGATCCCTGGCAGATATCTACGCAAAAAATCATATAATCAGCACTCGCGTAGTTCGAGCCTGACTGTTTTCTTTCAAGAGAGGAAAAAGCCAATTTGCTTACTTGACATTCTCGTGATCATGATTGATGATTTCTGTCAGTTTTCTGCCATTGACTTCTTCTTCAAACACCCAAACTCGAACGGTTTCCTCAAACATGTCGGAATGCTTCTTGACGTTCTGTCCGATAAGCCGGGCAATTGCGGATCCCCTAATAGGCGGCCACAGTAGCATTTTTATGTTACCCATGTACTGACTTGTGTTCAAAAAGATGATGGATGGCGTTCTCTATAACGTACCAATTGCCAGAACCAATAACTGATACTTTTTGCTTCTGTATACCCATGCCGTATAGCCAAAAAAAAAATAACAAGAAGAGAAAGGATTAACGAAAAAAAAATATGTATGTGTGCCTCTTTCGTTGCAAGAATTGAAAGACCCATGTTATAAGTGTTAGATTCCAAGGGAGGTTGGAGCCGGGTCGGAGCACACCGCGTCTCAACGAGGCTTCGTGATGAAACATTTAATCACTGGTTTGGGGAATTTATTGAGCATTTTCGTTATGAGGTAAAAATGAACATTTAATTGATTTTAAAGTAGAGAGAACAATCCACAATTGCACCATGAGCTCCATGAGAGGCTTTGGCCATCCAATGGGTATGGAAAAGTCTGAAGTCATTGTGGAAAATCAAAATGTGATATGTAGGAATGTTGCGCGCCAACAGCTTGTCAAGGCTAGTTTGTACATTACAGATATGCGCATGTAGGATACGGTCCTGGTTTCTTTTTAATTTGAAAGAATACACAAGAGGTTGACTTGGCTGAAGGATAAACAGCGTAAACCATAGATGCAGAAATATGTCCTGCTCTTGTGGATGAACTATCAGCTTTTATTCTACACTTGTGATATGCCCTTTGCAAAAAATTCTGCATTGTTATCCAGAATCTTGTAATGCAGTTCCTGAGCCGCTGTAACTGTCGATTTGGGTACATATTGTGGGCCATGCAAGATGGATAGCTATGTTGAATTCGTTAAGCATTAAACCCTCCATAAAAATGATCAATAACAACAAGTGTAATCCGTTACCTGTCCATGGATATCCCGAGCTAAACCACTTCCCAAAGCCTCTGCCTGTAGAATAAGTTCACTATTCGCAACGACAGACTTTACAAACGCGTCCTGCTCTGTATCATCGGCTCCTTCTTCGTCTGCATGGACTACTGTAATCAAGGTGCCACCGACACTGGCCATTAAAACCTTGAGTTTGTGCAAAAATTGGCATACCGAATCAAGTCCATAGCCCGTTATCAGCAACACGCTCGCATCGTCCAGAATTAATAGTGGATGTGTCTTGCTTTGTAAAATATGGCGACGAATAACTTGGTAGAACGACAAGAGGACGTTGGTGTTGCTTGGCTGTGAAGATCCATCAAGCGTATCCGTCGGTGTGCTAGGCGTGCCCTTGGGTGGGTAGGGTGACCCTTGTGTGTATGGATTGATATGTGTTAAGCCGTCGACAAAGCTAAAGTGGCCCGACTGTTTGTACGCTTGTAGGTTGATACCCTGCAAAAATCCATGAAATATATTGAAATATATTTAATACGACGAAACAATCGAAAAAAACTTGGATTAATTGTACCAGTTTCCTGCCAATGAGAAAGTAATGGTTAAAGATTTGAGACAGGCCGATCAGGATAACGTGTCGATCTGCTTTGAGGTGGTTGCCCACGAAGTGATGAATCAAAAAGTTTCCGTTCGATTTAAGTGTGTCGGTTATAACAATGTGCGATTTGGTAGGTGGCACATTGTTTGGAAAAGCAAGTGCGGCGTCTAAGGTTGCATAACCCATAGCAGTATATACAAGTAAAGAAGAGAAACAAAAAAAATAGAGAAGCCCGACACAATGTACCCATTATTTATTTTTCAAAAAAAAAAAGTCATTATGAAGCCCAATTCTCCACAATCCTTGATCGCTGTCGCTCTACAACCTTGGTAACCTCTTGCATGTTGTTGCTCGCTCGTTGGATCATCTTTTCGAGGTCGGCCATATGTTGATCCAACTTATCCTTGCTCAGCTGCGACTCGCGTAGCCGAGCGTCCCACGACGCGTTATCATCCTCCGTTGTCATGCTCTCCCAAGCGGCGGATGGGTCTTGCACTGTAGCCGTCTTGACCTTGTGCTCAGGATCCAGTTGGCCTAACCAGTCCCACAGCTCGTTCTCGATTTCATGATGGTGATCGGCCTGTGGTGACGCTACTACTGGGGATTCCTTCCTTCCACTACTAGTGCCTGCGCCCAGGTGAATTGCTTCCAGTTGTCGATCCATTTGAGCCATTTTGTTTGCAATATAAAGGTTGATGAGGACCAGCATAAACATGCAGAGAACAGATATTTGGGACGCGGTCGGAAGCGTGGCGTTGGAAACAATCCAGTCAATAGAACTTGACAGCAACCGTTGCCATGGACTCTGGTCGTCGTTCTGACCTGTTGGCTTGTTATCACCACCGCTCTTCTGGCCTTCCTTATTCTTGTGCTTCCGCTTGACCTTCTTCTTGCGTTTATCCGTTTTCTTTCCATGCGATCCTGAAGTCGCTGCTGCTGCTGCTGCTGCTGGTTTTCCCAGATGGTGCCGGATCGCTGCATCCAACTCTTTGTAATAGCCTTCTTGACCGCTGATTGAAGCACTCTCAATTGTAGCTATTAAAAAATTTTGCAGGGGATGGGGATTAGAATTTTGCTTTGGATATGCTGGAAGGACTTCAGTATGCACAAGACTTACATTTCAGCCATGACGATTTGGTAAAGTCTACCAGCACGGTGACCAGCATCCGTACTTGGCCTTTTCCAGCCCACATGAGACATGTCCGCGTTTTGACGCTAAATGATCCACCGGAAGGTACATCCGGTGTTTGTGTTGTTGTCACTTGTGTAACAAAGTCCTCCAGATCACGATGCAAGATGTCTTCTGTCAAGAGACATTTTGTCGATTTGGGACCTGTAATTATCCATAGCTTGTTAGTGATAGTTTTCACCCACGTCGTTTCTTGTAAAGGGGTATTTTACCTATTGATCCATTCAGTGGCTTTATATACGACATTTCACGACTGGATATGATGTTCTCGGCATCAGAATCATGCCAAGAGTTGATAGTCAAGTCTGTATGAAGATTTTAATAAAAAAAGACTTGGTTTATGATCGACGTCCTTAAATACCACACTTTTTCCCGAATTATACCTGTGCATTTTTGATCTGTCAAAAATTTCTTGATGAAATCGCTATTATACAGTAGATTGTACATGGTTTCAATAGTACAGTTGAAAGTCTGATCCTGCACGACTTTCGGATAATGTTCACCGCACTTGAGACAGTTACATTCTGTCTTTTCTTGTTTCTGTACGGGCTTGTTCGCATTATTGCCATTGCCATTGGCGTTGTTGTTGGTGTTGTTGCTATCTTGGGTGTCATTTGATCCGGGTAATGGTGACTGCTGCTGCTGCTGTGTTGCCAATGATTTAACGTTGGGTCGTGGTCCTGCTTCCGAAATAGCTCGTCGTCGTGCAGCTTCTTCGTCCTTGTTCGTTTCCGGAAGTGGTAATGATGCAAGCGAACCCTGCCGATCTTGCGCTGCGGGTGCATGAGTAGAAAGATAGGCCGACACAGAAGTTAAAAACCAGGTTACAAGTTTACGGGAAAAAAAATGATGCTAAAGAAGCTGAGCATGATTACCTTCATCTTCAGGCTCAGATATTGAAGACTCGTCGTCGCTTCCGTAGGTATAAGAAGAGTCATCAGAGGACGTAATCTCCTCATCATCATCGTTCTCGTCCACATGCTTATTTTCATCATCGTCGATTATATTTTGTTTTGCCGATGGTCTTGACATACGCCATACGTCAACGATTAAGTCATAGGCCTGGTCTCGTGACAGGAAGGATGCGAAAAAATGCTAACCCGATCGAGAGAGAGAGACCTTTAGAACGAAGATTATCACAGGGGCAAGATCTTTCTGCCGTTTACCTTTGCATGCAATGTAGATACTTGGATAGCATTGGGAATAAACAAAGCGGTTGTTCGCTTTTCAATATCGACTATATCTGAGAATGCAATCACCAGCTATAAATATAAAATCAAATTAATGAGCTGCTCTAAATTGAACTAAAGCGTTGGCTGGCTGATGTTTCAAGTCAGTCAAACCGTGTAAAGAAACCGTACATTCGTGACCCATCCAAAGATGTTGGCGTTGAAGCACAAGTGGCTCTCGGAAATATATATTCTCCCCTGAAGCAAGATCTCCTTCTGAAGAGCACATCCAAAGTCTGTGTATACAACGTTTCAGCATATATATCATTCTGTTGTACGACAAATAAGAACGGCGCTACAAACCTTCGATTAGAGGGTCGTCCTCTGGCACGCTTCGAAATAAAGCATGAAAGTCTTGGTTGCGTTTAGCGTTGGCAGGCTCGACGTTGCATGCAGCTGCGATACTTCCAGCAGCAAATGACATTTCGGACGAGGCATCATCCGAGCCACGATGTGGCTGTTGTGGTTGCTGTTGCTGGGCCATCGTTTCACTGCGCAATTTACTGTTCCCGAGGGCCTGTTGTTTTTCTGCATGCGTGTCTGGTAGATCGTTTATTGATTGCGTCGAAAGGCTTGATCCGCGAGAGCGAGATTTTTTGTGGCCAGCAAAGAGGCGCGACATTGTACCAGGCTTAGTCTCCGGGACGGTTGCTACTGGCGGTGTAGCAGCGCGAGAGCTGTTGTTGGTGTGGTTGTTGTTGTTATCATCATCGGAAGAAGATGGCATGACGGTGTCAGGGAAATGGCGCTGTAATGAAAGAGTCTTTGGCGAATCAAGGTGTTGCTGTTGGTGAGTAGGAGCAGTAGGGGAAGGTGCAGAAACGTTAATGGGTGGCGGTTCGAGTGCTCGTGGAGAACCTTCACTGTTTCGACGATGTGAGATTCCAGAAGTGATGATTGTGTCGATAGCAGGCGGTCGATCAGCTCCGGAAACAGTGTTGGAGTGAGGACGTCTCTGTTTTAGCTTTTGTTGGTGAGGAGTTAGCAAGCTCATCTATAAAAAGCGCGGGATGTCTTTTTTATACAGGAAAGTGATATGGGGGGATCGTGGAACCCAAAAAGAAAAAACCAGGTTAAAGCACTGTGTGAGAGAAAGTGTGTGCTTTTCCTTTCTTCCTCTGTTATTTTGGCGCACCGCCCTAATGCCGATTATTGCTTCGCTTAGAATTCCCCCAAAAAAAACCACACCAAACGCTCCGCTCACAGGTGCCATGTGCAGCCGTGTCACCATGCAAAAGCTGGGCTATTTTTGTTTTACCTTCTTTTCCCATTCGTTTGTTTCTTCGTTCACCAAACCGAGAAATTATGCTATCTTTTCAATGTTGATTTGATGTCAATGGGTACATCAGAGGACTATTTCTGTTTTCAGAAGGGCGATTGGCGATCACTCTGCCTTGAACAGATAAGTGACACGTGGCGGCGGTTTGAACGAGACTCTACGTCAATAGCACTATGTGATGATACATGACAAAAGTCAGACATATGACAAATATTCAAATTACTTACACTTTGATTTGGCTCAAGGTTTTGACTATCAAGTTGATATTTGTGATGGTTGCCACGGAGTCTGGAAGCTGCATCTCAACCATATCGACCGATTCAAAGATGTACGAATGTTTAACAATAGCATCACAATGGTATCCTATCGTGTACATCATACATAGAATCCATAGCAATTAGTACTTCGAATATAGATACTACTACCCACGACCAGATCATGCATTCATACCTGCTACAACCATCCTGTACACTCACGGTCCAGCAAGTTTCTCTTGCACTAAAATCACCAGCATGTTACGATGCGTCTTTCAACTTCAGCATAAGACGTGAATCCTAGCAAATCGCATTTTAACTTTCTTTTTGACGATTCGAGCGACATATCCCAAACTAAAGAAAAAAGGACAGTCGAATGATGGATGTGTAACGATGGCAATTTGACAGCACTCAGGCGGATCGAGTACACTGTGGTCTGTTCATTATGACAACCAGATTCTACAGCTTGATATCATTATTGTAGGTTGCATGAATGTGATATGAGTCACATACCACTTGCTGTTCGATCGTTTCTCATTGACATAAATCCAATGAAGAGGAGCATGCAAAGATTTAAAGCTATATTTTTTCAGTAAAATTGATGTTTAAACACCAAGTATAATTGCATAATAAGCTCTTGATCAAGGCGTACATAACATTTTAGGCTCATCAGAGACTTCGCCAATGAATGGGTACTTCACTAAGCGATATGGCTAACCGATCAGGCCTCTTTTGACCGTAACCTCCGCAGAACGACAGAAAAGCAATGTAATGCTGCTCCCGTTTTACTTGAGCACATTTGAAGCAGCTTGTAGATCCTGCATATGTCGGCGTTATGTATTTGCTTTTACGAGTGGAGCGATTGCGAGATATTGATTCAATTTAGGCGTCATGTCAACACTGATTATGTCTTCTTCAGCACGGACAATCCTTTGTTCTTGAAAAACGTTAAATCCTTAAATCACCCATTTGTATGCGCATGACAAAAGGAAACTCTGACTCGTACCCTGTCATCTTCTTAGGGAGCTTTGCTGGGCAAAAGGCTTTCGTACACGGCCGCAACGATGGCTGTTATCATCTCACGACGGGAACGACGTGTCTTCAACGCTGGTTTGTTTGCGGTCGCGTCTCGTTGTCTTGTTATTTGAACAAACGATAAAAATCTGCTCTCTTAGCAATCAAGCAGCGCATAAGTGTATCAGCGTTTGTAAGTCACGCTTGCCAACTTCCAAAGGCTTTGGTATGTAAGCCTTTTTGTTCATGCATCTTTTACCATGCGGGATAACTTTTCGGCTAAACAATAAGTCTTCTCTTCGTCGCTTTGCTCTCATGCATTTAATCGTCCATCAGAACTTTCTTGTCTTTCTGAAATATTTGGCTCGACATCGAGTATCACCGATTTAGCGATTAGCATTCGCCTTTTTTGAACGTTATTTATGTTTGACGGATGTGAAAATGCCACTGTGATATGGTTGTTAGACAGATTAGCTTTTTTGACCTGAAAAAAGATGAGCAATCCTCGGACGTCTGTACTTTGGTCAGCGTTGGCAATGTTGTGCTTATTGATATTGGCGGTCCTTGTGCTCCTGTCATGCTTGCTCGTATAGATACTCGCCAACATTATAAAGCGGTATACCAACGAGACGGAGAATTGAATGCCATAAGAATTGACACCATGCATGATTCGTGAGCTCACTCCATACTCGATAATACCCGCGTCAAACACGGAACGCTTTTGATTCAGTTCCCTTTTTCTTTACCTTCAAGAGTTTGATGCTGGTGTCTCGCTAACCGTTTCGAAGGATGGAACTAGGCTTCTTGGTAAATGAATACAATTGATGATTTGACGAGATACGTGATCGTGCAGAGTAATGAAGAATACAGGATTACATTAAAAATGGGACCAAGTAGAATGGAAAGGTCCTACAAAATGGATGAATGTACAATACAGTAAAATACGAAGAGCCCGTGGCTCCGTCGTCAGAGCAATTGAAACGAAACCTCTTAGGTCGAACGATATGTGAGCTATACAGAAAAGTACGTATCATAAGCTCTTCGACTAATTAGTGATCTGCTATCAATCTAAGCATGTAGAAATGATGCGAGCAACATTTTTGTGTTCATTTGTATATTCACCTTCCATATGTACACATAACACTAATCTGTTATAAATGATGAATTACAAGAAACAAAACATAGTTTAGCAAACTGTTTCGTCGACAACAATGATGGAGGACTAATTACTAACAATCTCTTCTATCAAAATGTGATAATATAAAAGTGTTCATTTAAGTGATCTGATTCTATTTATAACTACTGATTTATTGTATGCTAAGTATAACTAAATCGTTAGACACATATATAAAAAGATTCGCCGTGATGTAGAAAACAAAGAAACGTTAATTTAGAATACGTTGCAAGCATCGGGTCTATACTTGTGGAATTGCGAGTTGGTAAAGGGAACAACCCCCGGGCAACAATATGTATTACTATGTATATCATTGTGTATACAGCTATACATAGTGATGAAATACAAATTAGGATACATAATAAGTGTCCTTTTATGTTGCACAAATTTGACATGTTCTGCTCAGCAAACTTTTGTTAATTTCATGTGGGTACATTATCTAAAGTACTGCAAGCACTCCTGGCTGATTCTATTTTGTCGCTGACTGAACGATCAGCTATGCAAGGAAGAAAGGAGACGATGATGATTCCATGGATGTGTAATCGTAGCTTGTTGTAGCGTATTCTCAAGTTAAAGAGTTATAATTGCCAAACAAGTTTAAAGTGTCAGGCTTATACGGTAATAGATGCTTTCGGTTGACGAAGAGAATTTTGTTTTGTGAGCACATCGGGCAAGGTGCCGACAATACCAAGGAAGGAGTGCCGAAATGTGCTAATACAGGAGTTTCAAATTTTCACGTAATAGAAAGAGATTGGTAACGGAACACGAGCCGTCGAGACAAAGCTCAGTAAGTTGTAATATCAGAAGCGAAGCAAAAAGCTTCAAAAGTTACAGTAAGAAGGCGGTAAAACCTTATCGATGATTGAAAAGTTTCTCAAAACTGCTATCTCGTATCCAGCCTGCTTCATTATCAATGTTTAGCGGATCACTTCCTACTATTTTTGCACTAATCATATAATAAAGTCAATAGAAAAAGTAAGGATGGTTAGAGGGAGAGTGTAAAATGATTTAGTGAGATGGATGAGAGCATTTCATACTTGCCTCTAATACGAATGAGGAGCAGTTGACAATAGGTCTCGACATGGGGAAGACAAAAGCAGACGTTACCAACTTCAGTTGCTTTTGTATGCTATAGAACAAGCTGCTATAGCTGGGATATCGTAAAGTTTGATACGAAGAAACGAAACGGAGGGGCTCCGTATGTAGTAGTCAATAAAGGCACGTCGTGCTCGCTATATATATACATATATATAAATCAAAGACTGTTTTATTGCGACAAAAAGTTGAATAGCATCGCTTCTGGTGCTACCTACCTGATAAGATCAGCGGTGTTCGTCACCAGCATTAAAATTTTACAGCGAAAGAGATACTGTATAGTGGTGGTTTTCTTTTATCGACTATGAGCACTTCTTAGGCAACACGTCCGCGACAAGGGCGCGCCTTGGTTAATTCTCTCTCACGTGCTTAATATGATTAAAGCATCATTCTTCTGCAAGAAAAATAACACCTATATAGTGCATACTATATAGTAGCGACCCTTATTTGCTCATTCTATCGCGCTCGTGGTTTTAGGTAGATAATTTGGCAATGTAGCTAATGAGTTTACGAGTATATCATTACTAAAAAAACTCAAACTTCAGTAATAACAACGTTCGAAGAGAAAATCAAAGAAAACATGATGAGGGAGACAAATGTTTAAGAATTATTTGAAAAGTACATTAGGTGTACCAGCAGTCTGTACTGAACAGAATGATTACTATTACAATAAAAAAAGAAGCCCAGTGTGAAAGTGCGTGTTGTAAGTGTGTCTGAGTTGACATAGCACCATAGTTATGCTTTGGATAACCAGCCCAAAGTTGCTGAAGAGTGAAAACTAGAGTAAAGGAAAATAAATGTGTCGATACTATCTCTGGTGTATGCAAGAAGGAAAGAGAAGATAGGGAAAAATACCTTTGCTGTATATCGTTAGCAAAGCTTAGGATAGGAAGAAAGAGAAAATAGGCTGAATATATATACCGTCTCCACCCTTTTCTTTCTCTAAGGAGAATGTCGGGGGCAAAGTGTAATATAGTATTATGTGTACTGGCTGTGTAGAATAAAGGGAAGCCGACAATACCAAAAACTAGTATTGCCTATACTGTCTTTCATCTGTGTTGACTGAAAGCACAGAATCAATCATTTTCTTTTGTTGGTACTTGTCTTTATCGTGGTCGTCCATAGAACCCATCGGGATGATCTCTGCAGGATTAACTTCGGCGGGCTTTGTCATCCATCGGCGTCGGGGTGGCGTTCTGGATGCAGCAGATTCGTCCGCAACGGAGGTGGGTCCGACATAGCGTGCACAGAGTAAGGTGACAGCATTGCACAGGGCGAGAATCTCGATACTGATTGCGGCGAATAGAATGATGTAAATGATTTGAAGGTTGTGTTGCATGAACCGTGTCAGTGGATGATAGCATGGGGGTGCAGAGTTGACGATATCGTCGGGCTGGCAAGTTGTGGTCGGGACAGGATGGTCGTAAGCATGAGAGAATCCACAACATGTGAACTGTGTGTATCATATGAGACAAAAGATAAAGGGTCGTCATTAATATCTATTCTTGCATTCTCGTTAAAACTGAATTCAGATCGAATGGCTTATTACCTTATTTTCCGCATATTCTCTGTATTCCTGCGTTGCCTCAGACCATGTCTCGCTGAGCCATGTTGTTGTATGGGCAGCCTGGTCATAGACTACCACTGCAACGGAAATTTGGTATATTAAAGCGATAATGACAATCGTAGTGTAAAGGATGTGAATTGCTTGTCGGTCTTGGCAGAATGCACCAACCATCCCGATCGTAGCTGTAAAACAAATGATCAATCCGAGTATATTGATCACTTTTTAAAAAGAAAAGCTGTAAGTCAGTTGAGGATTTTCTTTCTTTCTCGCTGGATTTTCGTTGTGCGTATGTCTTTTGCAAACAGGGGTGTGTGTGTATTTGAAATGATGGAAATAAAGGAAACGTACTCTTTAAGATATTAATCGGAAACAGGATGGACGTTTGCAACTTGTGTTGGGTGCTCATCATTCCGTACGCTATCAGTGCCCCACCAAAGCAAGCAAAAAGAAGATTCGTCACCACCAAATAGCATTTGCTTAGTCTATAAATCGGATCGCAGCAACAGAGTGTAAGAGATTTAGCTATTATGTACCATACGAACAAGCCCAGTGTATGTCGAATCGTAAACAGATTCTATTTGAATTGATGTGCATAGTCTCGTACCTCTGACAACATGCCATGTTTCTACTTTCTCGAATATTATGTGCGTCGTCAACTTTGTTTTTTTTCTGCTTGTCCTGTAAAGAAGTTCTCTAGGTTGTGTAAATGATGTAGCTGCTTTCCGGGGGAGAATATGTACGTGAGCAGCAAAAGAGAAACAGAAAAGGAAGAAAAAGAAGAGCAAAAGAAAAGAAGGGGCACTTGATTTACTAGAATGATGTTGAAAAAAGGATTCTTAGAAATCCGTTCTGATCTCTCTCCACTACTCGTTATGTGGGTGTATATGGTGTGAACCCAGGCTGTCTATGTATCTTCTTGCTGTATACTCATTCATATTCACGCAGTATGCTTTAAGGGGGGGGAAAGGAGAGGACAACTCGTTCATTAGGGAGTGATGCCAAATTTAACCTTGATGCACTAACAAAATTACTGATCATTTATAGTACCGGTCTTTTTGTTCTTGTCTCCTTGCTAAAATTGAAGTATACAATTTTAGATATGCAATATTTAAAGCTCGTCGTTTGCTAATGTACATCACTGTCTTCATGGTTATCTAATTTGCCGGGAAAGACAAAGAAGAAACAGGTTTCCTTTCTTGTGCCATTTAATTTTCTGGTGTTTGACACGTTAGTAGGATCAACTTTGTCGTAGTACGAGTCGTACACAATGTCCTATCAAGCCTGTCAGCAACACATGTTACATTTTCTTAATCTCTAAATGGAAGATTAGGGCGTATGATTACACTGCAAGTCGTGCAATATGTAGTTTCCTGTTTGAAAAAACTCATTTTTCGTCTTTCTACTCGACTGATATGGATTAGTATCTTATAACAACCTTAGCTACTACATAAAGGTGGTCAGTGCATCTCATTTATAGCTCGACAGATGCTGCACTGTTGTTCATGCGGGCCCAATTGCAGACTAGTAGTACTATCATGTATCTGGGGCTGTATCACGTATTAAGACGCAGCACCCGGGATGTGCATCACGAATGTTCGTTGCTACGTTACATACTACGAGTGTGGAGTCATGACAACAATATATGTGCGGCCATAATCATAATAGTTGCCATGACTACAGTAAAGAATTCATCGTTTCGCTTTGCTGCTATCTATAGCATCGATGAATATGCGATATGTCTGTTGTTAAGCAAATGCTACACGCATGATCCGTAATACAGATGCTGCTAAGCAGATTAACTGCTTGACAATCGTTTATAGAGCTACACCGCTATATAGCTCATGCTAGCGAATGGTGCCCATGTGTTCCGAGGGTAGAATCAGTTTATTAAAGTGCGTTATTGAAGATTCCAGAACATGGATTTTAGAAGTGCATGCAGCTTACGAGAAAAAGCTTATATTTTGAGCTGCCGCATTTCCGAGTAAGCCACCCTCCACATTTATTTGCCAGGCTTGATTTTTTATTACACTTTTTCAAACCTCAGCCACCACCGACAAGTTTTTTCCCTGCCAACTCGGAGAAGACGTTTTATATACGGCAATCGTTTTCCCCGGAACGTTTTCTTTTTTGTAATTTGTAACTGGTTTCCCTTCGAAGCAATTGCAGAAAGAGGAAGCTACAGTATAACGACACTCGAAAAGAATAGAACACCAGAAAGAATTTTTTTCAGTGTTTTAACGTCTACTTTTCAAAAACAACAACAACAAGAGCACCACCACCACCGCCCTCACACTCTCTCTCTTCCCTCCCCCTCGAAATAAAGCGAGAACCCAACGTTTAAACAGTCCCGACTTTTCACCAAAAAGTACACAGCAACCAACAACAATTATACATAATGGTGAACGCCACCAACGTTGCCGCAGCCGAAAACGCTGAAAAGGAACAGCAGCAACAACAGACACAAACCTCGGAACAACAACAACCACAGTCGACCGGGAACAGCGCTGCTGCTAATGACACCAATGACAACAAAGCCGAAACGGCTGCTGAAAAGCAAACCGTTGCTGCACCCGCACCTGCCGTAAATGTATGGCAGGTACGGAAATCTGCTGCCAGCAATGGTGCCGAAGCAACCACTGAACAAAAGGCTGCCCCCAGTTCCGGTAAAAATAACACACACACACACGCATACATCCATACATCTCATAAACATCATCGACCCCGACTAACATTATATCCGTCGACTACCTCTCTATCCTCTCGTCATAGAAGCCTGGCCTGCACCAAAGGAAGCCTTGGATAAGCCTGCTGCTGAAGAGGAGCCTAAGAGCAAATTTGCTGCACCAAAAGGTAATACTCAAGAGAGCATTTCGAGTGTGTGCTATTCAAACGAAGCTGGCATGTGCATGTATGGAAAAAAAATATTCAAATTTAAAAAAAGTAGGCAAAGGAAGAGGTCAATGGAAGCCTTATACCCCGACCATTACACACTCTACTCCCACGCCCAATGGTCGCGCACGCAGCACGCGTGGTGGCCGTGCACACGGTGACCGTAGAGACGTCCGCAAACCTCGACGAGGTAGCTATCCATCGCGTCAATATGCAAAGAGCAGCAGCAATAGTGAGAAGCAGCCCACTGAGGAAAATGCAAGTGACGAAAAGGCATCTGCTGCTACTTCCGCCCCAGCCGAAAACGGTGCTTCATCCACCACTACTACCACTGCCGCCGTCTCTGCTGACACTGCCGCCACCAAGCCATCCACTACCACATCCACCAACAACACCTCTACTACATCCTCCGCCACTACTACTACTACCACTACTACCACCACCACCGAACAGCGATCGTTGTCATCATCAGCGACTGCAACAGAGGCACCTTCTTCTTCTTCGCGGGCACCAGCAACGAATGGCTCGTCTTCATCATTTCATCACGGCCGCGGCGGTGGTTTCCGTGGACGAGGCCGTGGACGCGGTCGTGGTGGCTTCCATGGTAGCCGCCGTTACGATTACATGAACGCCAGCCGGTTACGACCTTATTACATCAACGTCGACGCCGAGACGCTCAAGTTGTACATTTTGCAGCAAATGTAATTAATTCTTATGTTTGAATGAGAAAAAAAATTGAACGAGAAGCATAGTGTGTGATACTAACAGTTGATGGATGTGGAAATTAGTGAGTACTACTTTAGCGTCGACAATCTTTGCAAGGACGTTTTCTTGCGCAGCCAGGTACATACATAAGCTGGATCTTTCGGGGGATGGTGCTGTTGATTGGGGGGTGGGGACGATCTGGACCGAGAGAAAAAAGATAATCGGGATATATTATAGGAAAGGGACTAATATATCATGTGGGCCATATTATTAGATGGATGCGGAAGGTTATGTGGACATCCAGTTACTCGCCAACTTTAACCGTGTCAAGGCACTTGCTGCCGACATCAGCCTGATCAATGAGGCTTTGGTCCACAGCCAGTTGCTCGAGGTCAAGAACGACAAAGTCCGCAGACGCGAGGGATGGCAAACATGGATTCTCCCTGCTACTGCGAACAATGCTGCTGCTACCAAGACGGCCGCCGATGCCGTCAAGCAAAACATCCCCGCCAACGCACCACAACACCCCACTCTTGCGTCGTTGGCACGTCCCGCTGCACCTCCAACCGTCAAGTCGCCTGCCGTAGCACTCAATGGTGAACGTCGCAAGTCAGTGCAGCAGCAGCAGCAACCAAAGGAAGACGATGAGGATCTTTTTGAATTCGATGACGACGATTGGGTTGATGGCAGCCGACCAAACACTGTCCAAAAGTACTATCTCTCTGACGATGATTCTGAATTTGAAGACGACGATGACTTGGTGGACGATGACACTATTGCCCGCATCATGATTGTCACCCAGCGCAAGCGTAACGACAAGTCGCACACCTCGTTCGATCGTGCTAAAATGAATGACGATATCTTGGACATGATCAACGAGGGTTTGTATCAATACGAGAGCGGTTTGGGTTCGACTGACAATGCCAACAGCAACCGTAAGGTTGGCACTTTGGATCCCGAGCACTTTGCCCAACTGAGTGCCAGTGCCAAACAGCGCGAAATCAACCTTGGCGACTTGGTCACAAAGTCGGCCAAGCCTATCAAGACCAACAAGAAGGCTCCTCGATTCTACCCCGTCCGACCCGAGTCGCTTCCAAGCAGCGCATTCTATGGCTCCACGCCAACAGCAACAACGACAGCAAATGCTGGTAGCGGAAAGAAGCATGATCAGGATCATGGTCACGTTGGTTGGGTCCTTAGCGAAGAGGCATACCACTACAACCCCAACGACTTGCTGTCCACCAGCTATGGAAAGTCGCCTGCCATGAACGAACTGTCCACTTCGATCGATATGGCTCACTCATTCCCTCACTTTGAGCATCCCAGTCACGAGTTGTTGCGCGAGAATGGCTTCGTCCAGCACAAATACTACAAATACCACGCCAAGGCACTTAGAGAGCGTAAGCGATTGGGTGTTGGCCTTTCGCAAGAAATGAACACACTCTTCCGCTTCTGGTCTCACTTTTTGCGCGACCACTTCAACAAACGCATGTACAACGAGTTCAAGAAGTTTGCTGTCGAGGATGCTAATCAAAACTACCGGTAAGTTTTCCCTCTTTGGTGCTGTATATGATTCTAAAGGGGAGGCGGGGATAGAAGAGACAGGCTCAGGAATATGTGATGGATAACTGACTTTTGCAAAAATAATAATAACAGATATGGTTTGGAATGCTTGTTCCGCTTCTACTCTTACGGTTTGGAGAAGCGTTACCGCAAGGAGATCTTTGCTGACTTCCAGGAATTGACGCTTTCTGACTATGACAACGGTCACCTGTACGGTTTGGAGAAGTTCTGGGCTTACACCTACTACCGCAAGGACAAGTCCAAGAGAGAAATCAAGGTCAACGAACGTCTGAACGGTCTTCTTTCCAAGTACAAGTCGGTCAAGGACTTTAGAGGTGCCGAGGTACCACAAAAGGACGGTGATGAATCGTACAAAGTTCCTCACCATGGCGTAAGTGCTTCTTTGTCTCTGAGGAATTCATAAAGGTGATCTAGCAGTAATATGAGGTATTAACGTGGTTTTTTTTTTCTCTAGAAGCAACAGCGTGGTAGCGTGAGCGGCCCATCTGGCGCAGCTTCGCATGCAGCTTAAAAAAAGACCAAACCACATATCAAAACCACATTTACTAACTGTCCTTTTCTTTCAAACCGAAACCTCCCTTATCGAAACCCTCATCTCGTAACATAAAAAAAACACCACAAAAAAAATTCACTTGTAGTATTTCTTTTCTTTTTTTTCTTCCTTTTTTCTTTCTAAAAAAAGTCTACATACGTTTCTTTTGTCTTTCAACTTCCATAGATTCTTCTTCTTTCCCCTCTTCTTTTTTTTTTTCGTCTCTAAAAAAAACCCCCAAAAGAGAATGCTTTTTTTTGTACTATTATATGTAATCCATAACACATATCTCAACATTCTTTTGCTGCATCCTGGCGGTTGTTTAGCAACAGCAGAAATCTATGGTGATGTTTTGGGGAACTATTGGCAACAGGCTAATTGTTGCCACGGTTGAATACAAAAGGATTGAAGGGCTGATAGACTATCGAACTGAAATTATAATGTTGTGCTTATCGAGCAGCATAGAGGGATTGATTTATCACAGTATGGTCCCAGGATAATAGTAGCGAGCATGTTCTATGCGTATATTTTATTTTCGCGAGAAAAGGAGTGACGTCATTGGAGAGTGAGAGTTCGCGAGGCGATTTCCCACTTGGGCCGACCCACTTGGTCTGAGGAATAAGAACAAAGTAGCATAATATAATATAACGGGCCTACTAGGTAAAGCTTATAACAACGAGTTACTCCAAGGAGTCTATCCTGTATGTAAAAATAAAAAAAAGCCACAGTCTACTGATCGCTTGAGATGTACATGGTAACCCATAGTTCTTTTTTTTTGTCTTGGTAGCAGCAGCATCGAACTGACAACGATCATCTGGAAAATATAAAGAGAGACCCCGTTTGCCTTATTTTCTCTTCTCTCTTCCTCCCCACGCCTCCACACCTCCACCAGCCCATCACGAAAAAAAATATATATATTTACCAAGAGATCTCACACTCGTTCAACAAACGACATTAGGTAAATTTCAAAGTTTACGATTGGCCACTTTCTACAACCTGATGAGTAGCATGACGTTAGCTTATATACTGTATATATACAGAACTCCCCCTCTCCATCTTGGTTTATCTCTCCGTGTTCTCTAGTCCTCGTGTGTCTGTGTGGTGTGTGCGCCCGACCCGCTTCATTTTTTTTAGCTGTCTTTCCATACTCGCTACTCGCCGTAAACGTCTGTTCTATCTGATATAATTATCAACACGTCGAGCCGAAAACGCTCATATCGAATTCCTTGAGGCGCCTTCTCCACGACGACGACAACGACAGTAACAACAACTACGAATATTTTCCCGTCTTTGCCCTACTTATATATTGCTCACAGCAACGACCTTTCCCCCCCTCCCACGCCAAAAGGTTCATCACAAAACGAACGGAACGATCAGAGGCGAGGGCTGGGTGCTATAACTATCGAAAACATCATTACGCAAACAGCAAGAGGTTGCGAACGTAGTGGCTATTACAACAACGTTATAGGATTATGGCTACAGATGTGCCATCGGATACTATAATCCCTGGACAGGAATGTCCAGTTGCCAACAACGGATCGAGTGAGTCAGGACCGTCATTCATATCATCAACACCACCATTAGTGAGTTTTTTCTTTGCATGAATTATGTCCTTTTTCTTTGCTTTTTTGATTCCGCTTAGAGTTAACCTTTTTCTTTTTGGGTTTCCTCCAACCTAGAATAATATTGATGCATTGCGCTCTCAAGCCTTGCAAGAACGAAGGAATAAACTAAGGTAAAAGAAAGAAATGGGTTATGGAATCGTGCGCTTATTACGCACAGCGCTAACTTAGTTATTCATGTGGGACAATCATGTAGCACGATAAGCAAACACAACGAAGCTTTGCTCAAAGAATTGTTTTTATTGATGGGCCGAGGACAGCAAAGAGTAGAGGAGAATAGCCAAGACGCTGGAAGAGAGACTCAGTTCATGGAGTTCATGGAGGATAAAAGGGACCCCTCGCAATGGAACTCGTTCTTGGAAGAAAATAAGCTCAGGTATATGAATGGGGCTGGTACTTTACCTGCTTGACGCTGCCTCCGTGTGTTTTACGCTGGCAAAAGGTATCGCTCTAGATCAATAACAACAACATCAACAACTCGTTTAAAATAGAACACCGGACTCTTTTACAATCATCAAAGAGGAAACGATGGAAGAAGACACAGGCCCCCTAGTCCCACCGCAGCAGGAGCCGCCACACCAGCAGCTTGAGCGTGCGCCATCACCGCAACAACAGGAGCAGCCACAGCTTCCTCAAGAACGACAGCTTCCGCAAACCGAGCCACAGCTGCAACAATCGCAGGAACAGGAACAGGAACACGAAGCCACACTTCAGTCTACTACCAGTCCGAAGGCACATTCAGAGGAACCCAGCAAGGTATCGTAGATGTGCTTGTCCCGACTTTTTGTAAACAGAACTCCCCACCCAGTTTTTGCTAACGTTATTAATATTTTATAGAAAACTGCTGCTGAAAATGCAGAACCAGTGATAAAAACAGAAGAGTCTGCAATCACAGCAACAACGCCTCAACAGCAGCCACAGCCACGCCGTTCAATAAAGATGGCGCCGCGACGCACAGAGATACCAACGCAACGGAGACCCGATGCCAATTATTACCCGCCACAAACATACAATGGATTGATTTTCCCAGATTATCGTAGCGACAAGACCGAGGGACTTGATTTGTATGCGTGGCAGTTGCGTGTCAATGCGCAACCGCTGTCTAAATCCTTACAAACTGCAAGAAAAGTGGTCATGACAAGTGATTGGGCGGTAAGAATCTAATCTTTTTTCGAAAAAGAAAGGCAAACTCACCCCTTCAAAAAACCCATAATAGCTTGCGCGAGACGAACTGAAATCAGTAAAGACGATCCAATCGATTGAAAACCTAAAGAAACAGAGTCTTTGGAGTTTACGACAGCTGAAACGACAAAAAGCTGTGCCGAGAACAAAGACGCATTGGGATTTCATGTTGGATGAAATGGTACTTTATTCGCTTGGAATAGATCAGACTGCAGTGTGCGTTGTTGACCTGGTTACTGACGTGAGTGCGATTTCTGTAGAAATGGATGCGTACAGATTTTAGGGAAGAACGCAAATGGAAAATTGCAACGGCCTATTCTTTAGCTCATGCAGTGATGGATTGGCATGCGACAGCCGATAAATCGTCTGTTTGCATAAAGGTAATAAAGAAGCTGGAAACCAGAAGGTTGGAAAGATTTTTTACTAATGAGCAACTAACTGCTAGATCCGCCCGCGTCGAGTCACTGCTGCTGAAAAGGAGGAAAAAATAGAGGATGTGATCACTGAGGATCAGCGGGAAACTGAGCCATTTGCGACAAGCATGGACGCCATAGATGAGCCAAAGATGAATGGAAACAGTGAAACGGTACTTGTCAACGGCGGCAATACAGATTCTGCGATTTCGACAACCGCGAACACTATAGCTCCTGCACTAGATAACACATCCTCCTCCTCTTTACAGCCGCCAGAAGCAGAATCATCATCATCGTCATCGTCGGTAGCAGCAGCAGCAGCACCAAAGGTAGTTACAGAACCTCAAGCTCCACCAGTAGCACTATCACAGCAAGTGATGCAAGAATACCGAACGATTGTCCGTAATTTCGATCCAAACAAGACTGTGATTACGCTTCCAGTAGACGATTTCGGAGACTTTGACATTCATGCCGTGTTTCCCGATTTACTGTGTTACGAGCCACCCAACCCCGACTACAATGACCCATACTTTGACGAGGCCGAGTATGGACGTATTGTCGCACTTACCAAACTGGTAACAAAGAAGGTGATCCTCAAGCGGAAACAGCGACTGAGTCGTAAGCGCAATGCGGATGGCGACCAACTTGCAGTGCATGATGGCCATGAGGAGGACGAGATTGAGGTTAAGGTGTTGCCTCGAAACGAGCGCTATGACAGCACGCCATTAATGTCACGTAAGTTGATTCTATATACTCTTGTCTTGGTGCTCTCTCTGTGTATACATGCTTCATTGCTTACATATACATATGCTGCTGATGCTGGTGGGGGGCGGGGGTTGTGTGTGCGTTACATGATTCGTTTTGTCTTTGGTGACATTTTTTCTAATTTTGACCTTTTGCTTTGCAGAACTGTTTGCGCCAAAGAAGCATAGAGACATCCCGGCTGCACAACCCCCAACACCAAAAGCACCCACTACGCCCCCACCTACCAACAACAGCACCTGGACTGAGGACGATGATCTCTGCCTGATCCAGATGATCCTGCAGTACTCGTTCAACTGGAACCTCATCACCGATGCGTTCAATGCCATCCGTCTTCCCAAGACCGGTGAAGTGCGGACGCCATGGCAGTGCCATGAGCGTTGGAAGCAGAATAACTTGACGTCCTTGTCAGGTCAAGTGAGCCCAGGTAAAAAAAAAAAAAAAGAGTGGACCCGCTTAGCGAATATATACATATGCATGCTAATGTATACCTCGCATTTTAGCCTATGCTTCAAAACTCAAGAAAGAAGCGACCAAGCGACCATCGCTGATCAAGTTCGACTCGGTGACAAAGAGGCAGAGACAGTACAATATTCTTGAATCGATCAAGAAGACGCAAAAGAAACGCGAAGAATTACAGAAGCCTCCATGTAAGCCCATTTGCTCATGCACCACTGGATTTCCTATTTTTATGGTCACTGCATTGAAGAAAAATTAACTCCGTATCTTGCATAATAGCAACCTCGTCAGGGCCTCGCCCCACGATCGAGACACATGGAATGGGCTTCAATGGCCAGCGCTTACCGACGGCGATGGAGTTGAGTCTACACAAGACGCAACGCGACCGACAGATACAACAAACGTTGATGGAACAGCGACAACTGTCTGCAGGATATAGTCTAAACGGCCAACCAGCAAATGTAAGTTTAGAACCTGAAGATTGTTTCCTGCCTTTATCATTACAGCAAACCAAAAAAAAAAAAAGGTTATACTCGGTTTAACATGTGTGTGTGTGTGTGTGTCGGTAGATCAACCAAGTACGGCCAGTTCACCAACCTGGCCATTCACCAATGGGAGGACAGCCTCGACCACCGATGACAGCTGTTCCAAGCACATCGATTCCATCGAACGGTGCAGTAGCAGGGGGAGTCGTAGGTATGGGTGGGATGAGTAGGCCACCCATACCTGCCTCGGCAGCAGCAGCAGCAGCAGCAAACGTTGCGCGACCTCCAACGATACCAACCACTCAGAGTGCGGCGCCGGGAACCCCACAGAGCAGATACCCAGCTGCGCAATTGCATCTTTTGCGACAGCGTCAAATAGCTCTGGCTCAAGCAGCAGCAGCAGCGGCAGCCCAACAAGCAGGTCGACCCCCTGTGTCGGCGCCTATTCAACGGTTCGGTACTATAATGCCTGGTTCGCAGCCTCAGCCCGTGTCGCATTCACCTGTGGCAAGCTCGACGACGGATGGAATCCCAGTACAGCAGCAACAGCAGCAACAGGTGCATCCCATGTCTGCTTCACCTGGTATGCCACAACAACCACATCCTTTACCACCCCAGTCACAACCACAGCAACATCCACCCCAATCTCAGCCTCAACAACAACAACAACCGCAACCACCACCAGGCAGCGTGCCTACGCAGCAGCTACCGCAGCAGCAACAACAGCCGGGTACTATGCACGCATCGTCACCTGCGAATACACTAGCTGTCGCCGCACAATTAGTTCAGATGGGGTATCCTATCCATCAGCTAGCCCCGAACCAACAGCTCCAGTTACAACGCTATCTTGCGCAGCAGATGCAGATGCGCAATGCTGCTGCTGCTGCTGCTGCTACCCAGGCTCAAGCGCAAGCACAAGCACATGCTCAAGCACAGCAACATCAACACCAACACCACCAACAGGCACAACAAGCAGCCGCAGCAGCAGCAGCAGCAGCTGCCGCGGCGGCTGGTGCTTCGAACGGTATGAATGGGACTTCAGCTTCTCCTGCCATCTCCCAGTTCCCACAAATGACCGCAAGCCCAGCAATGGGCCAGTCACCACAGCAACTTGCAGCAGCAGCAGCAGCAGCTGCCGCCGCAGCCGCCGCGGCTTCGAATGGAGGTAACCAAAGCGGACTTCCTGCTGCTCTGTTAGCGGCACAACAACAGCAACATCACCACCAAGCTCTCCAGCAAAGATTCCAAGCTGCCCAATTGCAACAAGCCTTACAAATGCAACAGCAGCAGTTGCAGCAACAGCAACAACAACAACAACAACAACAACAGCATCAGGGTTCTCCTGTCACACAACTCACTCCTCAGCAGCAACAATACCTTCAACTAATCCAGCAGCAACAGCAACAACAGCAGCAGCAGCAAAGTAGTCCTCGACAACCACAATTGCAACAACCACCAGCACCACCACAAGGGTCACCGATGATCCAGCGAAGTCCACATGGACCACCGCATGTATGAACACCCTTCCCGTCTTAATTTTTTTGTTTTGATCCACCTTTTTCACCAACCCGCCCCAGACCCCCGTGCCCCCGGTTCTTGTCTTTGTCTCTAAACCTTCTTTGTTTCATAATTATTATTCTCTCTCTCTTTTTTCTTTTTCGAGCGCTTCTTTTCCTTGTAACTAGTACTATATTACTATCTCCTAACCGAATTGCTTCTTCTTACAAACTATATCAAATGCAACATTCATGTTAAACTGTACTATCCAATCAAACACATGATCGTTCTGTGGAAAAAAGACACAATGAACCAACCGAAAGTTTAAAACCCTTTTTCCACGCTAAAGCACATGTAGAGGATGACACGTCCCACCTTTGCGCCACATCAAAACAAGGGATGAGAATCAAAACAAAACAAAAAAGTGTATTTAACAAGAGGAAATCAAATGGCTAAACAACGAATTCAATAAGAGAGAGAAAGCTGTATCTGTAACAATAATAGGAGAACTTTAATGGAAGGGGGGCGGTTGTGTTTGTTGTTGTTGTTGTTGTTGTGCGGGATGGAAATTTTTACACGGCGGCAGCATCGTTTGGTTGTTCCTTTGCTTCCAACATTGCGAGGGCTATAGCGTATACGTCGATCATATACGTAGTGTGATGTAGTAATAGTAATGTCGTGTGCGAAAAGAAAGAAAGAAAAAAAAGAATTTAAATTGACACTTGGTGAACTTTAATAAACGGGGAACACAATACGCCTTCTTTGTTGTAGTAATAATAATAATAAGAAAAGGAGGACCCTTTCACATACCTTGTCGAAGGCCTTGTTCGCCCTGTGCCAAGGTGCCGAGCGGGAGCTTGCTGCCATTCATGCGCTTGATTTCCTTGACCACCTCGGGGTTTTCGCGCAAGACCGAAAGCTGTCGTGATAATTTGCCAATGGCAATGACCTTCTTTTTGATGACCAGACGTCGCTGGCGGTTGGCAAGGATGTTTGCGGAGGGTGTGGCGTGCTCGTTGGCGAGTTCGTCTTGGTGAACGTTGATGACAGCGAGAGACATGATGATGATGATGATGTAGTAGTAGTAGTAGTAGCTAGTAGTAGTTATTAAGGTAAGAATTAAAGCGTGTGCTGAAGCGTAGAGTGTATGTGTGTGTGTGTAGAAAGAGAGAGAGAGAGAGAGAGAAAAGTATACGATAGGACAACTGAAGAAAAGAAAAAGGATTGCAGCAAAGCCGTGCCCCTTTATATATTATCCCAACCCGTCCAACCCATCCCATCCGCAATGGCTATGTAAATCTTTCCATGTCGAATGATGGGGGAAGTTGGGGGTGTGACGGGCAAGATGGCTACGTGGAAAAGGAAAAAAGAAGAAACGATCCAGTGCTACGCTGTTCTAGAGAGAGAGAGAGAGAAATCAATGCTAACTTGGGCTTGCTTGATATGGGGGGGGAGGGAGAGTTAGAGCCAGAGAGAGAGAGAGAGAGAGAGATAAATGGCGCGCGCGCGATCATCCACGGAGAAATTATAGAAGATGCAGAATGCGCATAAGAGAAGAAAATCGTCAGGGACTATCGAAACTTCTAAGCATTCTTTTTTCTTTGCAAGTACGTACGTTTGCGCTAGAATTCGTCTTGGAGAGAGAGAGAGAGAGAGTCTCGCTGTTGTATAATCGAACTGTAGGATTCTTCGCTTCCGCACGTGTTAGCCCCGATGACACCTTCTCACTGCTTACTACCTACTACTTGTCGCTCTAACGCTACCTTGCAACAATAGCATCGTACATAAAGCGAGAAAGAAGGAGAGGGAGGCGTTGTTGTTGTTGCTGTTGGGATAATGCGGCTGCTGTGGACAAGAAGAGAGAAGCTTATTTGTCTTTCTCTTGTCTCTCTCTCTCTCTCTATCGCACTCCTTTTCCTTTGATGCAACTTGGCTTGTTATTTCTTATGAACAACGCCTCGGAATTTCCTACGTCTCCTGCGCCTGGTCCTCCTTTTACCCCCCGCGCCCCACCTCCACCTCCCGCTCCCTTCCATCCCCTTCTTCTTCTTCAAGAAGAGAGAGAGATTTCGTCGTGAAACGCCAAATACAACAAGATGGCGAAAAAAAAAAAGAACTTGGACGACGGTATCGTGAAACACACAATCGATGGTTCCATAACAAACAATCAACAGAACATTTCCGTCCGAAAATTCCTTAAAAAGTAGAATAAGGAGGTAGGTGTTACACAAAGACAGTCCTCCCCACCCACTCCGTAGATCCCGCTTTTTAATAATAATAATAATAATAATAATAATAATAACAAATCTCATGGGCAGGTGGTGTTGCTAATATAGCATCGTCTGTGTGTGTGTGTGTGCACCCTAGCAATAACTCGCCACAGCACACACTCACGAAAGAAAAGACTCATGCTGCTACTGTTGCTGCTAATAACGCTAACGCTAACACTTAGCACCACCACGACAATCACGATCGGGCTTCCCGAGAACTATTCATTGTGCCGTTAGGTGTGCTGGCACATCATTTTCTTTATTTTGGCTTTTGAAACAACAAAAGATCCCATTTATCAAGTCGGTTTCAATGGAGTCGCTGCAGAGCGATAACTCATATATATGCGACAAACATTTGCAAAGAAGAGAGATATGCACGATCAACGTAGAAAACAGCAGCGCTAGCGGATTGTTTGGTAAAGTGCGGGGGGGGGGAGGAGGAGGAGAGGAGGGCTGACACTTTTTTTTTTCTACATATGTATACTACACGTAATATGAGCTTAGCGTTTCTTTTTTTCCATGCAGCATCGGCTTCTGTTACGAATAATTTTCATGAGGCAATCCAGGACTTTATTAGGTACATGCAGCAGCAGCAGCAGCAGCAGCAGCAGCAGCTTTCTTCTTCCTCTTCTTCTCGTGGTCAAAAGGTTTCCACAAAGAAGATCAACGAGCTGTCGGTGCATCACACAGCAGTACAAAAACTCTATTATCCACACACCAAAAATAGGTTTCTTTCTTTCTTTCTTTCTTTTTAGCTGTTCGATTGTAAGGAGTTTGTATCGTATCCGCACCTTTTGTCCCAAAGAAACTCGCTGCAATGCATGAAACTAAGAAAGCCAAGAATAGAAGATACATATTCGACCCATGTACATATCCTCCGCATTCTTATGATAGTACATGGTATAAACTCATTGTATTTTTAGATGTACCATACATGCCCAGTGTTCTGTCACTTGCAAGAAGACGTGCCTTGCATCATTATCAACAACAACAAGCTGCTCAATTAATTATTATAATATACGCTCTCTTCAAGCGAAATATAGCAATGATGGCGGGAAAGATAAACCACAAAGATCACCCTATGATCATGCTAATATATACAAACTGTGGTGGGATATCCGTGGGAGGAGGAGGGGGTGGTGGCTAAGGCCCACACCATCCATCCATCCACCCATTGAGAGTTGGACGGGGACTCAAGGCCCGATGCGGTAAATAGGGTCGGACGTTGACACTCCCATTCTTTTAACCTGTGATTCACACGTTAGGTCGGATGGCGTAAACAGTGGTCAGGGTCAAGAAAGATCATATGTCCATACATCTGAATTGTATTTTAGTAAAGTTATATGTTAACCAGAGAGCTCTCCCCCCCCCGCAGAAGTAACATTTTCATATCGCCCACCTCCCCAAATAAGTCAAAGAAAAGAGACTTGTTTTCCTTTTATTGTCTTTTTTTTGTCGGACTTGTCGATTCCAACCAATTTATCATTAAAATTTGAAAACACAGTTTTCTTTTGTATTACTATTTGGAATGATTATGGACCAGACGGACAAACGACACTCTGACCGAGTGAACGGTATGAGCTCTACCATGTTGATAGATGAAAGCAACTGAGCCCCCCCCCCTCCCAGAGCGAGCGGAGGATCTGTTCTTGTTGTATGTAGTACATTTTAGTTGCATGGTAAAGTTTAGTTACCGGGCTCAGCTTCGCTATTCCAACAGTGCATACAATCCCAATGCAATGCATAGTTACTACGGACTAAGACAGTAGGTCTTATTGACAGCACGTTTTCCTTGCTGGCGCTCTATGTACGGAGTCTTTTGACTTTTTGTTGAGTTGCCCTGCTAAATATCCGCCACAGAAACTTACGTACAGTACAGTCATATCCGACTCAGCACTTTTCAATTCCACAACACCTCCCTCCGCCGTGGATGAACTATTATAATCTGCATGTATCATTCCATGCCCTTCTCAACAACACTCAAGCGCTGTTATTTGCCACTACCTCTACTTTTTCCTCTTGTACGACTTTAATTTTTTTCCGCTTGTGTCACCTACCCCAAATTTTCATATACGATCTGTCAAAATCATTCAGGAACCGCAAGGGAGCATCATTGCGCGCGTTTCCCATACAATAATAAACCACGACATTTTGGGATGCCGCCTGTAATTGCGCGATGTAATCTCACTGTCAAAATTCATTCTTCTGTCCGTTGTGCCCCGGCATACCAATACACTGAAGAGATATTATATTCCTGGTATAGAAACCGTGAACGGGCCCTTTTCAAGAAATAATGTCTTGGAGCCATCCATTAGGTGTGTACATCACCCAAGTTCTTTGCAAAGAGCGCTGGTTATAGAAAAGCAAGGGCAAAAAATATTCTTTTAGACGACAACGCAGGATTCGACCCTAGTACCACACCGCATGCTTTTGTGGATGGTTCTCTCTTTACTTGTACAATTGATGCGTTTCTTGTTTTTTTTTTGGTCACCTATTATACCAAAACCAAAGATTGAAATCAATACAACTCATGGCGGTCAATAATTACGAGGTTGAATTTGTTGTGATCGACCACAGACTAATTTTCGGATCGTAAAGTAACAGTGGCCGCTCGCTGTAGTGATATAAAAGCAATATGAGACTTTAATTCTATCCCTATATCGAATTATTACTATATCGAATTGTAATTGGGAGAACCTCTGGAGTTGTGTGTATTGATGATAAATGAACTCCCAAAAAGTATACTACTATCTTCCACTTTATCTTTTCGACATGTCATCCCGCCTTATTACAGCTGAAGGTAGGATTACACTACAGTATTGGCTCTAAGCGCTTCATGGATGGAATGCCACTTTTAAAAATAATACTCAAAAGCGACAATCTACATCCATGAAGCAGCAAAAACTACCAATTGTGTAAGCACTCTGGTAATCAATTCAGGTACGTTTATAGGGGGGGCTGATAATGTTATTGTGTATATAAAATTTAAAGGCTTGTTTCCGATGATACGGATTATAGGTGGGTGCCAATGAACAATAGGAGAGACCTAGAGAAGTCCTCTATGAGAACAAGGAAGCACATCAAGCTACCACACAATAAAAGGGAGAGCAGAAGCAGCTATCATACTATATGAGCGAAATCTTAAACACTAAAGACGATCTAAACTCAAAAAAGAAGCGTATAAGCTAGATGCTGAAAATGTTAAACAGTGCAAACAACTAGTCTATTTTTTTCCCTTTTTTTCAATATATATGATATTACCTGTTGGTACGCTCGATTTAATATTATATCTATTGGCATATATCGCATAGCGCAATGGCGTAGTATAACATAGTGATGATTTCCAGCTTGATTTGATTTGGATCCCAAAAACCCATCACTATATATATCGAGATATTACTATATCAAATAGCACTCTAGCGAGCGGCCACTGTACGAATAACTCACTATTAGCAGTTTTTCTTGGGTGATGGCAGTTGTTTCTAACAACCACACTACAGTAGTCATTCTTCAGATAGTGAGCAGTAGAGGCTCAAAGAACAAATAAACCTTTTCTTTTCTTCGGTGGATGCGTGTGGCCTCAATTTCAGTCACGGTCTCCTTTCCGTTTCGAGCTTGAATATGTTCGCCAAATCGTTTTAGATGTAAGGGAAAAGCATTATGAATTGTCCCAAAATAAATGTAGACCCAACAAAAATAGTGTCAGTTTTTCGCACTGCGTGTGTGCATTAGATGAGTAAATAACGAAAAAAAAAACAATGTTAGTGACGAGAGAAGCTAACTTTCCGCGCGCGAGCAGCGTTCCTCTTTTTCTCTGCATAGGGTGGCGCGCTCTGCCTTCGAGCAAGATAAGTTTAAAAACAAATGCTTTTTTTAAAATAAACATTGTTATGCCTACTCCTACATAATTTACGGCCTGCGGCTTATGTTTAATTCTTTTTCCGGCTTCTTTGCTTCATGTCAATACTTACTTAGCTTACTTGCTTTGTAGTTATTTTAAAATAGCATGTGATATATTATGTGAAGAGCGGCCGATACTGTAGTATGTACTGCCGGATACACACAAACGAAGAAAGAAGCTCATGGTAGTATAGTAGTACATGTTTATGTCAGAAAAGGTTTAAGGAAGTAACCCAGCATTTACATAATCATCGAGTGATTTATTTCTACAGGATTGATACTGTACTCTTCACTTAGTATGGAGCTTTTTTTTTTGTTAAAAAAAGCGATAGGTGGTATGGTCGCCTATTAATAAAGTGCATATGCACATTTACAGTGTGTAGTACATTTCACTTCTCGAAGATGAAGGCATTTATCCGCTTCATTAGCTATTGCTTCTTATGGAGACAGAGAATTTCATCTTGCTTTGATAATATAGGAGCGGGCATGTCAAGACAGTACATATTTACAGTATTTTCATTCTATCGCGATCATATACTGTATGTAATGCTCCACTGCTATACGATACTCTCTATCTTGTTTTAGCACTGAGCAAGTAATTAATCGATGCACTCAAGTCGTCTAATTATATATTAATCTTTAGCGCTCATCTGCAAGCTGTTAACAATACAACCTATGTCCAATGCAGCTTCTCTAATAAAAACAACCGTTATGATGCATACAGGTTCAGTTTTTAAAGATAGCTAGCTGTGCATGACATAATATCACAACACCATTGCGGCGGTTGAAATTCAACGGACAAATAACTGTTACGGTGCCCGGCAGATCCTGTTATATACACGACATTCAGCGTCTCTCTCTTTTTTTCTTCCTGTTGTGTACACTTGATTACAAAAAAATGGCGCAATCTCTCTCTTTTGCCGAGGTGAGTAGCAAGTTATAACCTTTTTTTCTCTCTTTCAAAGCAAACATAGTTCTACCCATGCTTTATCTGAAAAAGACTTTAAAATCATATAGCTAAGCTTCGCAATCGATCCAAGCTCTGCCAAGAACATCAAAGAAGTAAGCGAGCAACGTGATGATCTCCTGTGGGTACTACCCCATTCTTCGACAAAAGTGAAGAATAACTCATATCTCTTTTTCAATGTTAAAAGTCAAAACCACTATGTGAGAACATTTTTGATGTGCCGCGATCTGAACTTTTCGAAACATACGAACGATTACGGCAGGCATTCTGGACGGATACACCGATTGTTGCTGTAGGCACAACAGCAACAACAACAACAAAATATACTACACCTACAACAAGCAGCTATAATATTAATAATGATATTGAAATGATACCCACATCAGCTTCACCCACGAAACGTCAATTAAGTGAACCAGAAACCCCACAACAGTCTTCATTTGGCAAGCGTCGACGCGTCGACAGCAGCTCAGCAACAGAATTATCGCTCAAACCCACGATACAGCCACAAAACCAACAACAACAACAACTGTGCGCGTCTGCCGTAATACCTTCTTTGATGACACTATGGGGATTAAAGCGTATCATGATACAACAGCTACGATGTAGTCTGCCAAGTAAGTCATCGTCTATCAGATAAACAAACAACACACGCCGGATCCATGTAGATGTGAAGCTCAAAGAACATATAATTGAACGAAATGTATCGGTTACTTATGTGTGTTGCATGTTTATGTGTAATGATATGGTAGGCTACGACGAAACCAAGATGACGATGGTTATCGAACAATGCGACCAACAATGTAACCAGGAACAAAAACAACATCTGAAACAGTATATGGAACCCATTCTGATCGCCACGCGACGGCATTGTCCAGCATTGGAAGAAGCATTGAAAAGATGGCAGCGATAGTAATAGTTATAGTAACAACTATTTTTATTATTATTGTCAAGTGTGCTGTTCTTATTGTTGTTTCTGGCTGTGTTTCGAAAAGAAGCTATGAATGGATTGGCGTTTGCTGTTATTGTTGCTGTTGGGTGATGTACTGGCAATATTGGTAAACGATGCATGGTGCCGAAGTACGTTATTGCTGCTGTAATTCTTTTCTGATCGCGGAGGCGATGACAACGACGTAGAAGACGGCCGGCGACCTCCTGTATCGCAACTGTTATTAGCACCTGGCTCGTGTTGGAACTTGTCCAGATCATCCTGCAAGTGTTTGCGTAATTCGTCTCGGTCTAGTAAGCCTGGTACTGTTGATGGTGGTCGAGGAAAGTCGGGTGCTGCCGGTGTTGAAGCAGACGTAACGGTATCACCAATGCTACGGTAATCCGAGAATAAACCCAACGGCCGAGAATCCATGGGCAAGCTTGAGACGGACGACAACAAGGAATCTGCTGTTGGATCGACAATGTTGGTTGAAGCTGCAGCACTGCTGGACACTGGAATAGATGAAGATTGGAGTGCATAATCGCTGATGATACGCTGATGATCATCCGTCAGGATATTCGTGGATGGTGGTGAATGGGGTGATAGTAACTGTGATGGGCGGTGCTGTTGTTCCTCAATGCCGCCTTTCCATTCCCGTTGCTTCCGTCGTGCTTCTTCGAATAATGCGAACCAATTGGTCGGCACCTCGACTTGCAAATACCGTGTCCATAGGTGTACTGGGGGATTGCCGGCTTCATCAAATGCGTCAAATGCTTCAAAGTCCCCGGGAAGGAATCTAGACATACAGCATTGTTATGATATGATTTAGAAAGTGTGACCTTGTACATTTAGTCTGTAAATAGCATATGTATCCTTAGGTAATCAATTTTACCTTGCTTCCGACCATCGTAATGGCGTTGCTTCAGATCCTATAATACAATACAGAAGTGAACACATTTTTAGTTTCTTGTTGTCGGCTTTTAGTAAATTACATAAGCACTGTATATACGTGTATGCTACTTACTAAGAATCGAGAAGCAACACATTTCGTCATCCCATCCTATAGTTGGAGTGTTATAGGCAAATCAAAAATTTTCTCACATAGCACAAAGGATAATCATAGATTTCAGAGACGCGCTAGTATGTCCAAGTGTATCACTGTCGGGTACAATAAACAAAAACAAACCTTCAAACAATGTCACCGAGACACGATTGATCTTGACAATGTACAATGACCCTTGCAACAAATCGTCGTGATGAACCGAATCTAATGACGCCAAACTTTTTGGCTTTGTGCTGTGTTTCTTGTCGTAGTGTGCTGCCGAGGTTTGCCAACGTGCCAGTCGTTGAAGGGTAGATGATTTTTTATTCATATTATAATTGCTGCCGCTACCACCGTCGACCATGACCGGTGCTGTAATATTGATGGAAAAGAGAAGAATAAAAAGAGAGAAGGAAAAAGAAGTTATGATATACTGTTGCGAAAAGAGAGATCATCGATCTTTCAATATGTTAAATTTGGTGTCACTCATTGTATTACATATGCTCTCTCTACTGCTGCTGCACCCAGCAGAGAGCCAGGCGTGGCGATTTCTACCAGTTTCCTTATCTGGGTCCAAGCATTTTCTCACATGTGAAATGTTGCATTTCAATGTATCAGCAAACAAGATCGACACAGAGCGCTTCTTTGTTGCTTTTCCCTGGTGGAAACACATCCATTTTTGGCTTTTATCGAAAGAAGACTGACATATAATTACTTTATATGTCTGACTATATGTATATACTGTAGTGGGTGTAAACAAAGGTGATATGATAGCGACAGAAACACATCTACAGTATACGCTAAAGTATACGCTTAAGTAGACCGAGAGAAAACATACATTGTCAACAATAGTAACAACAACAATTCACACTTACCGTCAACCCCCCGCTTTTTTCATACCCCACTTTTTTCATACCCTCAGGTTTTTCAGGTTCTTAGGCGGAAAAAGGGGCCTGGTCCAGATTTTGCAGCCTAGGATATTTGGGATACATGTACTGAGTAGGCCTAGGATATCTGGGATATATGTACTGAGTCGGACATTGTTTACTATACGGCTATTCTCGTTACCGCTTCGAAGGCTCTCCCGTATTTTTCATACCCTCAGTTTTTTCAGGTTTTTTCAAAAATGTGGGCACCTCAAAAAAGCGGGGGTTGGCTGTCAATGCTAACATTTTGCTGAATGTATAGGACACGTGTATAAAATTTCAAGATGTCTATTCTGCCTCGGGGAAGTATGCCTGATCGCAAAAAAATAATAAGCAGCCTTACTATACCATATCATTAATCGCTTCTTGATCGCTTCTATCTCTGTTTAAGATAACCAACAATACCTAATTCTTCTGGTGATACTGTTGGCTCAAAATTTTCATTGATGGCGTTTCGTACTTTGATGCCATAATTTTACGAAGGTGTCACCAGCATGGTGGTTATGCCGAACTCTTCACTTGAGCCATATAGACGTGTCTTATGTTGATAGTTCCGGGTGCAACGTACGTAAAATGAAGCTCGAATGATGCTCGCAGGTCCTTTATGCATTGATAAAGCCAAGGTTCATGATGCCCTTTTTGAACTCTGCCTTATCTGTTACAGTACACATTGTAACCTACCTTGTTGTCCCCAATACATTCGGATCAATAAACGGGCTCCTCCCCTTAATATTGGCTTTGTAATTAACTTGCATCACTATCTGTCAGTTTACTCTCTATCATTTTTATCACAGACTTGGTGTAACCATGAGTGCAAATTTATCTCACACCCGCAACAATATGCTTACTGCGAGTGCAAAAACAACTCACACAAGGTGCAAGACCATTTCGCACTACTGCGGTATCCATTGGATCAAGGACCAATTAGATTAGTCATAGATAGTGTATTAGAATTAGTATAAATAGACCAATATTTTGTATTGAATAATAAACAGTTCAGTTCTTTAGCTTCTCTTTCTCTTAACTTTAGCTTTAACCTTTCCTATCAAAAGGATTGTCTTTTGTGGCTCTAGACGTAATAATTCCTGGTTGTTGAACTCCCATACTTCTATTTCATCTCTTTTGCTTAATACTTAGCATTTCATCCAGATTTAACAGCTTTTCTTATACTAACCATCCTATTAAACGGGACTCGTAACTCTTACACAAACTAAGACGTTACAACATAATAAGATAAGAGAAGTGCTACAGGTACGAGTTTTTCTAAGCGGGTTTTTAAGGTGGTTGTGTTGTGAAACCTCATATGGCCAATCCGATTGCCGTCTTACACGTACGAGTTTTTTGCTAAAGGAACTGAACAGCATATGCGTACGAGTTTTTGTCTACCCATCAGTCTTCCCTTTTTTTAGATGGCCTTGTCAAAATAACTAGCTATTGTCATACTTCTTGATGTAAAACTGCTCATTTAATCGGCGCAATGAATTTAATTACGCTGTTCTTTTCGAAATCTTACAGGATTCTGTTCTGCCACTATACAGTGATGGCATATACAAGTTTTGCATTCCTTCTTTTCTTTAAGTTCTTGGCCTTTTCCCAATATTAGATGGAACACTAAGCTCGATATCAGGATCCTAATCAATCAAGCAATTCATTTGTTTGTGTGGAGGTAGTTTTCTACCGAGTCCACATAGGTAACAATCACTTATAAAAGAACTCTGGGCAGCGCTCTTTTACGCGTACGAGTTTTTTAATCTGGTTCCACGTGTAAAACATTCCCTGAGCATAAGCTGTTGCAGTAGGGAATCGGTGTTTATTGTAAAAAGGTAAAAGGCAAAAGAAGACATAAGAGATTTGAGACGCTAATTCATGTGAGAGTAAGTATAAGGTGAATAACGGTAATTGTTTCTGAAAGAGAAAAATAGAAATGAAATGGAGGAGAGATTAACAAATGGGTTGTTACAACAAGATATTATCGGGAAAAAGGTAATGAAAATTGTCAATACTATTTATACGTTTCTAGAAACAATGGAACGAAATATGCACTTTTCCACATGCGAGCTCGTGCATAAGACGTGAGATCTTCAACACCTTCTATCTGCATTAGATCCCCATTCATTTAGATTTTTGCTCCTTCTACAGTACCTTCTTCCAGATCGTCAGCTATAGATAAAATGGCTGTTTCGGGTGCAAGGATCATTTGAATGTAAGTCATGTATGTAAGGCGCAATGTTTCGATGTTAGAGTCTTGGTCTTATTATGAAGTAGGAAGCCAGTACTTACCCTCACTATTATTTCTACTTAATATATCAGATCATAGTCTTTCTACATTTGAAAAGCATATGGTACTCGAAAGTACAGTGAGCAAGTCTCCTATGAACCTCCAACTTCCTATAGAGCTGTTTGACGGTCTTCAGATTAACAAATAACACACTGTAACCAGGCTTAAGAAAAGTCGTACCCGTAAGCAGATAGCTGTCAAAATTTGTCCCAGCTAGTTATGATCCACGTGGAACCAGGTTAAAAAAACTCGTACGCGTTAGCAGATAGCTGTCAAAATTTGCCCCAGCTAGTCATGATTTACGTAGAACCAGGATAGAAAAAACTCGTACGCGTAAGCAGACAATTGTCAAAATCTGTCCCCGCTACTTATGATTTACGTGGAAACAGTTAAAAAAAAAACTCGTATGCGTAAAAGAGCGCTGCTCAGAGTTCTTTTATAAGTGATTGTTACCTATGTGGACTCGGTAGAAAACTACCTCCACACAAACAAATGAATTGCTTGATTGATTAGGATCCTGATATCGAGCTTAGTGTTCCATCTAATATTGGGAAAAGGCCAAGAACTTAAAGAAAAGAAGGAATGCAAAACTTATATATGCCATCACTGTATAGTGGCAGAACAGAATCCTGTAAGATTTCGAAAAGAACAGCGTAATTAAATCCATTGCGCCGATTAAATGAGCAGTTTTACATCAAGAAGTATGACAATAGCTAGTTATTTTGACAAGGCCATCTAAAAAAAGGGAAGACTGATGGGTAGACAAAAACTCGTACGCATATGCTGTTCAGTTCCTTTAGCAAAAAACTCGTACGTGTAAGACGGCAATCGGATTGGCCATATGAGGTTTCACAACGCAACCACCTTAAAAACCCGCTTAGAAAAACTCGTACGCGTAAGAAAAAAAACTCGTACCTGTAGCACTTCTCTAAGATAATATATTATCAGCAGCCGCACAAGCATGAATAATAATTATTGCATCATTTACAGTACATACTTACATCGCTGTTATGGTTGAGGTGGTAATCTGCAAGTAAGATGTTGCCTCAAAACAGCCAATTGTGCGAATGACTTTCTGGTGATTGTCTCCTTCGAAAGTATCTGTGCCAAGGCAGCGTCGATACATGGTCAAACCATCACTTTCCTAGCCAACAATAGCAAACAAAAAAGTCTGCCGGATCAGACACTTAACCTTCATGAACTGCCTTTTCTACTGTCTCCGAGCATCTTTGTCGAATAATTACCCACCTGTGCGCAAGCTATGGGTCCGTATCTACCAGATTGCTCTGACCAACGGTTGAGCAGACTCTGAGGGTAGAAATAAGTCTAATGATTTTTTATGGATACACATTTTAGGTTGAACCTAGAATCGTCATGATAATATTACAGTATAAGAAAATATAACATTTATTTAATAAAGTAAAAATCGGAATGTTTCTTATTAGAGTAAATCTCCAACTTTAACTAATTCTTAAGTCTTTGTTTATATAAAACCAATACCTACGGTTTAACCTCCTGCAGAGGGGTATATACTTTCTACAAAATTAGGCAGGGTGCTTAATTTGTAATGACGCTACTAACTCTATTTACAACTTCTATCAATCATTAGCAAAGAAGCATCAAGTAAGGCAAATGCTGATGCAACCAACAACAAAAGGTGCATTTCAGCAGTGATGCCAGCGTCAAACCATCGAATGGGCAGAAAGATGGACGTCATATACTGCGCAGGCTGCAATGAAATGGGATGCCTTGAGATCAGGCAAAAAGATGACCAGACAAAAGAAATCAAGGATGTATTTGTGAAAATGCCAGTGGTGATGCAAGACATGCTCCTGCAGCTAGCGTGCACAGAAGAGCTGCTCCAAAAGATACACATTGTAGGCTTTGTAATCGTTGGTATATATTATACATGATTACCTACGAATTCAAATAAGAATATTATTTTCATAACTTGAAATTATAGGAAGCAAAATCACAATGCTTGACATGGACTCGCCCGGTGGTTATATCACAAGGATTCGGTGCTTGCAGCCCTGCCATTACCCATCTGGCAACAAGGATTATGTGTAAAAAATCGTAATTTTAATGGAGCTCGTGCTAGCTGCTTTTATGATAATGGATAAAACAGCAAAAGAATTGACGAAGCCTAAAGCTACACGTTTGCAAAGCATGCTGGCCATCGATGCTTGGATGCCATTAAGAAGAATAAACACTATTGGCAAATCATTAAAAGAATTAAATTCAAAGGAATTATCTATGATAAGATAAGTATATTGAAATTATGAAGACAAAATCAAAGATTTTTATTGAATTTCAAGAACCTTATTCTCTAGAGAAAAAGAACCACAAAAAGAGTCGCATTAAAAGTCCTAGACTTATAACTTTACTAGGTAGAGCAAGTTAATACTGTAACTTAATATCCTCATTACTATTCCAGAGCATTGTTTATTCTTTAAGTTTTTATTTTATAAAAGTTTATCCATTAAAGAATTATCATCTTAATAAAATAATATCTAAATGTTTTATCATTTTCATTTATTATCTTTGTTTTCATTTTGGAAAATAAAATTTAAATCTTAAATTCTTTCATCCCAAATTGATAAATAATTTTTTTTCCTAAAATTATTATCTAATAAAAAGATAAAACATTATTTTTTATTAAATATATTAAATAATATATTAAAGATATATAATTAAAAGAAATAAAATCCCCCTTTTCTTCATTAAAATATAGCTCTTTAAATGAAATATATCAATTGAAAGTTTAATATACAAATAAAGATTAACCATCAAACTACATTTGTCCCTACTTCATTGCTCATCACTTCATCCTCTGCTACCTCAAAGAAAGCCAAAAGTAGCCATACATCCTCATCGTAATCCTCGTCTATGCACATTCACCTATATCATAACCTAAACCTTTCTCATCCACGTATATCAATTCTGCCTCACCAACAATCACTCGACCCATGCATATATATACACCCATCATATCAATGTTCATCTACTTATCCCCATAATACTCATGCCAGTGTTTCAACATATTAATGTATACTTATCAAATTTATGTGTTTTATATTCTCTCATTGTAAGAGTATATTTGTAATCAAAACCAAAGCCCTGCTTCTCTTTCTTGAAAAAAATAAAAATAATATCATTTTCATATAACTAGGGATCCACATCGGAATCGAATTGGTTCAGATTGTCAAAGCCCAAGACGATTTCCGACTAAGAATTGTCTTGGAATCGTCTTGGCTTTGGTTGCATAGATTCGAAGAGACAGTCCTTTTCTATATTCTATGATTTCAGTAATTTGTAGAATGTAGAACAATCATTTATATATCACCAAAATATAGCTAAAAACTAGCTCCTTTCTTTATAGGTGATCTCCAAAATTAAGTTGTGTTTTTATCTACATCAAATAATATATGAAAGGAAGGGGACGAGAAACATAGAGAAAACGATGCAAAAAGAAAAAGGATAATAGGGGAAGAGAGGAAAGGAAGAGACGAAATGCTATTCTAAACACCGAAATCAAAAGAGAGCCACAAATGCAGAAGCATTAGCCTTTGATTTGACTCTGGCCTCAATAGATTATGGGTATGGGGGAGCAAGAGGCGGGTCTGAGAGAAGCAGGGATCAGATGGCGTTGAAGTAACCGTGACGCGCATCATTACTTCTTCCTCTACAATGCTACTCACAATGCATTTTTCTCCATGACGTATGGTGCATTTCGTCTGTAATCGCCGATAATTTAGACGAACTTTGAAAAGCTTCAGGGACTCACCATCTCAAGATATTACAAAACTATACTTTAAGAATGCTTTTTTGACCTATTATAAGTAATTATTAAAGTGTAGAAGTTTGAAAAACCTTTTGAAAAGAAAGTTGAAGCCTGTCAAAGTTGGTCGGTCAAGGGCAAATTTCAAGGATTTTAGCAGGTGGAGGGTGAAAATTGAAATGGTAGCACAAGAGCCATCGGAGTTCACGTGCAAAGGAAATAGCGAATCAGATCTACTTTGCCTCTTTTACCTTGATACAGTGTTTCCAGAATTACTTGTCGCACATTTCGCAACCTGTGTCGCACCTCAAAAAAACAGATGTCGGGCTTTCAGAAAAAGGTTGTCGGCATTTTTTTGATCACCCTGTCGCCTTTTTGGTTTTGACTTGTCGCCAAATGAGTTGTTGGGGTATCCTAATATTCAATGTAGTATAAAGACAATATAAAAGACAAAAAATGTTTATTGAAGGAATCAAATCAAGAGACAAAAGTAAACTAAACTGCAGTACACTAAATCAGGTTTCCAATGTGAGTTGGCCAGGGGATAGATGAGTAGCTGATGGGTGGGGATTGGGCTGAGGATTTGTCCTGGAATTGCCTGCGCATATGGCCACAGTACCTTCAGTAAAACAGTAAAACAATGAGAGGCACAAACACAGATAATGAGAGATAAGCACTAGACTAGAGATGGAAAAATGAAGTGTCGATGGAATGGCTTTTATTGATGAGAGTGAGTAACATTATACAAGGGGAGGAGGGGAGGGGGGGGAGGACAATATACAAGGGGAGAGAGAGAGAGAGAACAGATATACAAAGGTAAAAGTTAGTTGGGAAGTTCTTGAGATGGTCGCTTTTTCTTTGTTGTCTGCATCACGTCATTTGATCACCAAGTAGGCCCAGCAGAGTTTCTCCTTTTTCCTTTTGCCCTTTCAATTTGAGCAACTTTGATTCTGTTGGCAACAATGACAGCAAGAGTTTTGACTTGTAAGAGACAATGAAAGAGGGCAGGGAACGCACCAAGATCAGATTGATGGGACATGAGATTGCAGCTTCCAAGTTGAATCATGTGGTATACTTGAGCCTTCAAATCCATTGCATATGTCGTTATATGATAGCCTAGTAAAGAGATCGAAATAAATGAGATTGCTATCGTGGTTTATGCTTTTAATCAAATTACCTTCAACCAGAATTCCAAATACCATTGCGTCTTCGACTTCAATGATATCCAGCATCTTGTTTAACATCCCACGCATTTCCAGCCCAAGCTTCACAAAGTCAGAATGTTCACCATTTCTTTGCTTTGATGGGGGCTTCACTTCACAGGCGGTGATGTCAATCTTCATGTGCCAGGGTCTGATATAATTGAGCCAGTCAGGTTTCATTTGTGTTGATGATTCCAGAGAAGAGTTCGCCCTATATAAAAAGATAAATAAAACAAAAGAAATTAAGTTCTAAACCATACATACTGTATAAGCCTACGTCTTACCATGATTGATAAAAGACTTCTTCGGTAGAAAACAAGTCATCCAACAATGAATCAAGATATAAGTAAACAAAGGTGTCTTCAATCATATATGTGTCACGTTTTCTTGCTATCCGAGGTACTCTATTAGTATGCAATCAAATTCAAAGTATAGAGTGTTAGTAATGTCAATGACCTCCACCCCTTATTCATAACTTACATGTTGAAGAGTATATTGGTCGCCAAGATATCCGTATCGTTACCCTTTTCATAAGCCAGATTCATGACGTCAAGGCACTTTTTCTTCATCGTCGCCCATTTGTCAGTAGTAGTCTAAAAAGAGAATGAGTAAGAAGAATGTAAGGTTTAATTTGTTTTATTTTTTTCTTACCGTAAGTGAATGACACCAAAGAATTAGATCAGAAGAGAATGGAGGACATTTAGCTACATTAGATTTTTTAAAAATATTTATTTATACATTATTTTATATATAACATAATTTATGATCTATTTTTTTTAACATTTTCATTTTTATTTTTTTTAAATGCCAAGACTTCTAATATATCACATGACCTGGAAAAGTTGAAAAATAAACTTTATGTCATTAATTGAAAAATTGAATTAATTCTTAATATAAAAATGGAACAAGAAATATTAACAAATAAATCACAAAATATAAATAGTAAATATTGGTACTTCTTGAATATGAATTATCAAATAAAAATATCTAATTATAAGCATAGAGAAGAGATTAAAAGTATTGATAACATAGAAAAAGTAAAAGAAGAACTTATTAGTAAAATAGGGTATATTCCTGTGTTCTTTTTTTTTGGTAAAAATATTTAATAAATATGATTATAAAGGACCATATGTATTTATGGAAAAAGGATTATTGATTTTATATCATTTAGTTACAGGAAATTCCATCAGAGATATGGAAGATTTTATACCATCTTCTTCATTTCATGAAATATATAAACAAATTTGGGATGATAATAAAAATGAATTGAATAGATTATTTACAGAGTTATTGGAAAATATGTTTTCATCTACTGCTTTGAGAATAATTAATGCTAAAAAAATTAATCCAATAGGATTTAAAAATCAAACTCTTTTCATAGATGGTTATGATAGTAGAATTGACTATTTAAAAAAGGATATAAAGAAAAGAAAATTTTATTCTTATAAGTTCAAAAAAAGTGGCTTAAGGACACAAGTAGTTTGTGATGTTAATGAATTTGCAATATATGTTTCTGAAAGCAAACCATGTAGAAATTATAATGATGGTCAAATGTTTTTAGAAATGAAATTAGAAAATAAATTAAATGAAAATGATTGTCTTACATTTGATGGTGGATATTATTATTACTTTGAGAAATTTATAGAAAATTGTGATAAAAAAGGAAACGATAATATAAATACAAGTAATTTTATGCTTCTAATTAGAAAAAATAAAAATGACGAGTTCACTGATGATGAAATATTATATAATGAGACATTTAGTAGCTTCAGAAGTAAAATTGAAAGTTATTTTGGTTTACTTGGTAATAAATTTAAAAGATTTAATAATAATGGAAGAAATTGTAAAATAACAGATATAAAAATATATAATATACAATTGAAATTAGTACTTTTATTATTAAATATACAAAAGTTTGTTAATATTTATAATATACCTATAAAACCAAACCATATTTTATGGTCTAATGAAAACTTTAATTATCCTAATCCAAATAAAGAAGTAGATAATATTATATACAAGTTTGACTTGGTAAAACTAGCGGAAATGAATAATAGACAATCAGATTACTTATATAATTATTTTGAATATAACAATATGCAAAGATCAAATGAATTAAACATGGATCTGGAAAGTGAAAATGATGAAGAAAATTTTGAAGTAGAAAGAATACTAAGTCATAGAAAATTCAAAAAGAGGATGAAATTTCTGGTAAAATGGAAAAACTATGATGAAACATACAATGAATGGGTGTGGCAAGAAAGCTTTAATGAAACATTAATAATAGATAAGTATTTAGAAACAGTTAAATTTCAAAATTTATTTGAAATATTAATGTTTAGATTATGTCAGGATGTCCTCCAACGACGGACATCCAAAAGTAAGCATCTTGAGTTCATTGAAAATTTCATCATGATGGTCAATATACATAGTGATGGAGTCTTTTTGATTGATGAGAAACGGGAAAATACGGTGTAGGGCCCTAAAAAAGCAGTTAGTATGAGTTTTCATATAATGAGAAAAAACACGCTCTCTAACTTACAAGATACGAGTATCACTGATGTTTCCTTGTGTCATAGCTAAATGTGATGATACTTCCCAAAACGTCTTTAATTCAGAAACCACATCAAAGTCACCAATCATCCACTATATAGGGTAAAATAAGTGAGTCACCATTCCCATTCAGGACAAAAGGTAAATCTAAACTTACATTTGTCGTTACAGCTGGGCCAGGGTTCAATTAAGTCGTATAAATGTAAATTGGTGCAGCTGGGGTGGTAAGTGTCACTAACAAAAGAGTCGTCCAAGCCTTCAGGTTCCTTGGGGGAGTAAATGTTGGAGATGATTGGCGACAAATCACAAGGGAAGGGTTCTTCGACGTCCTATAAGATTTAAAGAGGTTAAATAAAAAAAACAATAATATACAGTCGACCCCCGTTAACGTCAACCCTCAGGGTACCAGTAAAAGTGTTGACCATATCGATGGTTGACGACCACCGGGGGTAGAGAATAGGCAAAATCTTTAACTATTAAATTTGAAAGGGTACCAGCGAATCGTTTGACGCTATCGGGGGTTGACGTTATCGGGGTTGACGTTAATGGGGGTATACTGTATACGCTGTCAATGTGGTGCCTTACCTTCACGTTAACGTTAATGTTGCTGCCTTCTGGTACTTGCACGGTGTTGCCAATTTGCGTAACTGAACTAGAGATATTGCCGACTGAGATGTTGCCACCAGTTACTTGACATGATTGAGCTTTCAGAATATTCTATATTTATATATTCAAAAAAGAGTGAGTGAGTTTTTGTTTATTTATCATGCCATATCCTATTCTTCATAACTTACCTCCATAGTACTTAAGAACTTCCAAGCAGCTTCTCCTTTTCCATTGTGATCACCTTTCGCTAGATGGCTAAGATCATCCAAAACCAATTGTAGCGGTAACTTGTCAGCATCAGGATTTTTTTCTTTATGGTATTTGATAGCGTCTTCCACTTTCCAATCGTTAAATCTTACGCGAGCAAAGTAAGACATTGGTTTTTCGAATACGAAGAGGTGATAAACAAGGGAAATTGTTATTTCCACCACCGCAATTTCCGGCCAATCACTGTATGTGACTGACTGCTCCGCAGGTTATTGGTGGTGTTGATGTTTTTTCCCCTCTCCCTTTTTACCTTGCACAATGGGTTTTTACCTTCGTCCATCATACAAGCAATTTGACAGTCTTGTTTCTTTGCTGTGATCTTTGGACAAAGGGGGACTCTTTATAAGGTAAAATGTATCAAGAAAAAAAATTCCGTTATCAAAATGAAAGACTGATCCTACTGTTTGTTTTTAGGTTGTCCATTGCTGTTATGTTGGATTAAGACGACTCAAGCTATCTTACTATAGAGAACACCTCTTTATCTCTTGGTCACTACTTTTGGATTTGATGTCTGGATAAACCGAGAATTCCGTCCTTCTGATTTGATGTTGACGCTCAACTCTATACGATTCGTTTCTGCGCTTTATGCTTTTTGCATAGATTACCCAGAGTTGTGGCATGTGTAGTGTTTGATATTGAATTCTTCGGGTTTGGTCAACTGGATGGGTTACAATGGACACTATCTATTCAGCGCTTGCATAGCTTACCCTGATAACGTGATAGCAGACCTTCTCAACTTATGCTTTGCATATTTAACCAAGGGCTGGGTTCATTGTTCTCATCTTGTTCTGATTGGACTAAAAGGCATTTGATTCTTTGCTGTGATCTTTGGACAAAGGGGGACTTTATAAGGTAAAATGTATCAAGAAAAAAACTTCCTTGATCAAAATGAAAGACTGATCCTACTGTTTGTTTTTAAGTGCTTCGAGGTGATATTTGTTTGTTTGGCAGTCTACAACAACAACAGCAACAAAATGATGATCGAAAGGGGCAAGAACCACCATCACCAATTCCAACAACATATCAAGGACATGATTGAACAGGCAGCTCCTTTGTGTAGAAACCCATGTCCACCACTTGTTGTAAGATACAATATACATGTATATTTGTCCATGATAGGAAAGTAAGCAATAGTTACTAATCTTGTCATTATTTTATGGGAATTGTTATTTCCACCCCCCACTTTTACTATTTCCACCCCGGGCAAAAATCAGGGTAATTTCGTAGGACTTTTTTGAGGTGGTCAGTCATGTTTATTCGGGACGAGGGCGTGTTTACATTTGGGCATGTACGGCTATTATGCCCCGATTGCCGACAAACTCCACAGCGCCTGCCGCCACTGCCACTTTAAATTAGCTCAAAGCCAGATGGCTCCCTTCTCGTTGATGAGGAATCGTTGGTTCGTCGGTTGACTGCACCGGCAGGTCTTCCTCGAGTTCTCTCTTGTCGTAGAGGACTCTGTATAAGCTCTGATGGGCAGTACAACAACTCCAGCAAGTTCCTCCGGACTGCCACCTGTTGATGCGGAGCCAATTCTACATATCTAGCGTTGATCTGCTCCATTATGTGTTGGTCGTTTGTAAGTGCACAGGCAGAGGGATGACCAGACAAGTCGTCGACGTCCAAATCATGGTTGTGCTCGTTGATGCGAGCATTCAAAAACCATTGCCCCTGGCACTTGCTTGCAAATCGTTCAAAGGGACAGTCTATCTTCCTCGTCCCGGCATTTCTCTTCCTGTTGTCCTCTGTCAAGCCGAGGCGGTTTCTGCATTCATCGGCTCGGTCATAGTGAAGCAACACGTTCTTCAACTGTCTATCCTTGCCTTTCCTGGAGCGGCGGGTCATTATGCGAAGCCTTGTATCTGCGCGAAATCCTTTGCATAATCAAAGAGCTCTGCATAATCAGGAAACGGTCCTTCGCGGGGATCGTCGTTCACGAAAATTGGCAATTCGTTGGGATTCATTACAAAGATCAAAAAGCGCGACAGGACGCCTTGCTGAAGAACATATGAAATTACCCTAATTTTTGCCCGGGGGGTGGAAATAAACAATTCCCTATTTTATTATTATTATAGTGCCATGTCATCTATCCTCCTCTTAAAACCGAACGCTGTTGACAATATTCTCAAGCTATTCATGAACTCTGGAACAAGGTGCGCTCTCATCAGTGCGCGTGGTGGAGACGACAAGAAGCCGGAAACGACGATCCTCAGCCCAATCCCCACCCTATCAGTTACCCACCTATCCCCTGGCCAACTCACAATGGAAACCCAATTTAGATGATTTGATTTGGTTCCTTCAATAAACTTTTTTTGTATCTTTACTGTCTTTTTATATTGTCTTTATACTACATTGAATATTAGGATACCCCAACAACTCATTTGGCGACAAGTCAAAACCAAAAAGGCGACAGGGTGATCAAAAAAATGCCGACAACCTTTTTCTGAAAGCCCGACATCTGTTTTTTTGAGGTGCGACACAGGTTGCGAAATGTGCGACAAGTAATTCCGGAAACACTGTATTATGCCCTACATAAGCAAGCGCCAGAAAGCGGCACGAGCGAGACAACGTCACGAATTTGGACGTATTACCGTTGAGGCATTTGAGAGAAGCGAAGAAGTCTCTGTTTTAGCTGAGAAAACACCAGATTCTGAAGCTGTTCCTGCTGATTGATAGCTCTTGGAATTAAGTAGCGGAATGGTTGGGCGCGCTGCTACCCAGCTACCCCTCGTTTGGACCCAAAACGCGGGAAGCGGTCTGAGAGGCGTTTATACGAAGGACTCGCCAACGACAAAGTGGAGGAAAGGGAAAGAATCCGACGCTGCTGTTAAAATGTCATCCAAGTTGACTGACCACGGCTTTACAACTGATAAAAGCACTGATCAGCAGGCTTTGTCTCGGGCAGAAGAAGAAGCAAACAAAGAAGCAGCCCAGCAAAAGAAACATGAAGCTATACTCGAAGCTCATAAGAGCCTAACTACACTCGTTACACCCAATGCTAATGCTCAAAATGCTTTTAATGAAGCTGGCGCGTTTCATATATGCAAGCTAAAGGCTGTGCACCGATATTTCTACTATCAGCTAAAGGGAAACAAGAAGATCAAGAGCTCTGAGCTTGCTGCTACTGACATCTGGACCGATGCATCGAAAGACTACAGGCCAAAAGCAATTCGATGCTGGGCAAACGAGTACCTCGATTTCGGTTTTATTTCCAAACATCAGCAAGGAAAAAATTCAAAGCGCGAATCGATTTTGAGCGATGAGACGATCAAGGAGCGAATCCGTACATGGATCAGCAAAGAAAAGGTCGAGCAGCGTAACCTCCCAGACCTATTGAAGTTTGTCAATGAAGTAGTACTACCTGACGTGCTCGGTGTTCCTGGGTCGGTGTCCCATACCACTTTATGGCGATTTATGCGTGAATGGGGCTATGTGTATCGCAAGAACAACAAGGATGTTTATTATGACGGACACGAACGAGATGATGTAGTCAAATATCGTCTAGAATGGGCTAAGAGAATGATGGAATATCAAAAGCGCATGGATACCTATCAAGTCGACACTGTTGAGAACGTGATCCCACCTACGTTGGAGTCTGGCCAAAAGAAACTTGCTCTTGTAACGCATGATGAGACAACGTTTTATGCTAACGACGGAAAGCAGACTCTTTGGCTGGGGAAAGGAGAAACGATCTTGCGCAACAAAACCCCGGGACAGTCTATCATGGTGTCTTAATTCCAATGTGCATGCCATGGAACGATGCGATCCGCAGCTTGGACATCTCAAACCTATTTCTATGCTGGAAGCAACAGAGAGGGCTATTGGACAAGCAAGGATATGATCAAACAGCTTACAGAGGATGCTATCTCTTTATTTGAGCTGATACATCCAGACGCTCAAGCTGTTTTTAATTTTGATCAAAGCAGCAATCATAATGCGTATCCTCGCAATGCATTGCTTGCTCAAAACATGTGTAAAACTCCTAAACGCTGCGGTGTAATTGATGACAAACACGATCCGGCAAATCACGAATTTCGTTCTGGCGCATACATTTGCAAGAAACTTAGTAAACAAGTTGAGCAGGATATGTACGAAAAGTTCCAAGAAAATGTCATCAAGCGAAAACGAGGAGTAGAAAATAAAATTGCTACCAAGCAATGGGTCTGTTAGTTTAAAGGCGTGGAAAAGATATTGAAGGAGCGTGGACTTTGGTGCGATGAGGATCCATACCGACCCGAAAAATCTTGGCAAAATGGAGCCCGAGATGGATAGAAGATGTTGCGCTAGACACTTCCTCGCAGTGCAACCTGATTTTCAGCAGCAAAAGACAGCATTTCATGAAGCAGTAGAAGAAGCAGGTCATATCTTCGAACTCTATCCAAAATTTTACTGCGAATGTAACTGGATTGAACGATACTGGGGTGCTGCCAAAAGGGAAGCGAGAATAAAGTGCGACTACACTTTTAAAGGCCTGAAGGCAAATCTACCAACAATCCTCGATGGATTATCATATCTCCAGCTAATCAAGAGCCTGTTCTCATTCGCCGGTTTTATAACAGAGCTTGGCGTTTTATCGATGCTTACTCTCAAGAGAAACTAACACAAGAAGCATTAGAAAATGTTACAAGATACTCTTCCAGAATATTAACTTCCCATCGTCGCGTGGGTCAGAATGATTTAGCACTATTACATGTATTACCAAATAAAGAAGCGGAATTTTAAAATTGAAAATTGAAACAAAATAAAAGTTTTGGCGATTACAGACGAAATGCACCATACTACTTTACTAGATTTAGCATGGCTTCTCTATCAGTTGGGTCAAGTTTGTGCATTCCAACTGAGATTGTGCATCCTAGGGCCGTTAAGAGAAGTATCTTACTCATTCACCCTTTGTCTTTCATGAGACACTATACACGCGTAGAGACACAGTAGCTGTGTGTACTACCAGTTGTGGTTCAATTCCTACAATATAATATGATATCATTGCTTTATGGTTCGTCACCGCTCACAGCACTTTTTTTCATAACGTACTATGCCTTGCCAATCGTAACACAGCTCATTCATGACCTACTACTATGAGATTTATCTTGTGGTTCCTAATTGACCCATCAATTAAGTTGGTACAATTCGAGCATGGTGCTTTTCTGTCATCCGCTTCCTCCCTTGCCTTCTATCAGACATAATATGCACCCATACATAACGCGGGTTGTAGTATTTTTTCCTACACTTAAAAAACGATCTTACTTTAAATACTATCCATCCTTTTACTATGAAATGCAGTTTGATTCTTTAACAGTGGAATGTTACAGCTATGTGAGAGTAGATTATATATTATTTTTTTGAGCTTGCTATTTGTACCAAGCATTGAAATCTTCTTTCTTTCCAAATAGCGTTCATATTTATTATTATATTTAGCTACATATTGAGTATCATCGAAGATACGGATTTTTTTTCTCTTTCATATGATATACCCGATTCGATTCTTCGATTCCCTCAAAGAACCGGTGGGAATCGTCTCGTGCGGAACCCTACGATGTAACAAACAACATCATCTCGTTGATAATTTTAAACGTTAATGAAAAAGTGGCTTTATGAGTGGATTGGTATGTACAATGTTGATAGGACAAACTAGAGACGAAAGAGGAAATGTGTACGAAAAGAATAAAAAATGGGGGAGGATAAACAGAGAGAGAGAGAGAACATAGTTGTAATAAAGAAAATAGCAATGGTAGTAATAAAAATATATAAGTCAAGTTTAGACCTCTTCGCTCCCTCTCAATACCATATTTTTCAAAAACTTTTGCAAAACATGGCGCATACGTTGAGGAGTCATTTTCGGCGAGTATCGTCGGACACGATATTCTAAGCATCGTGTAACAATGTCCTTGGGCACAAACGATCGTTGCATTTGTTCTGTAGTCATAATGTCATTCTCATGAATGCTACTACTGCTTTCACTGCCCTGTCGACGCCGAGTCGCAGTACTTGCGCTGCTGCCAGGAAACCCACGGGGTGGCTCGCGTTTGGGAAGCATCACAGAGGTCGCTGGACGACTATAGTAGAACGACGGAGACATCCAATTCGCATGTGCATTCTTTTGAGCCGAGGCAGAGTACCACGTTGGTGACATGGACATGCTTGGAAGAATGGTATTTGTAAACGAGGGCTGGTATATTGGTGGAGGCGGTGGAGGGATTGGATTTCTGCTGGAAGCAGCACCAAGCGGTAATGAGCTGAAGGAGGGAAGACTACGCACAGATTCACTGTCAGCTCCCACGGACGACTGTCTGTGATGGTGGCTATCGGCTGGTGCTGCTGTAGCTGTTGCTGCTGCTGCTGACGTCTGAGTAGTCATACCAGATGTGCTAATGCTTGGGTGCGCGTGTGGTGAAGAAACGGCGCCTAGCTGAGGCGAGGAAGGCACGGATCCCGCTTGAGATCCACCTGGAATGGACATGTGTCGATAGCTGCTCCGCAAAGCAAACTCGGGTGGAATGATATCCAGTGTCACCGTGTCCGATTCATGCAAGGATTGGATTGTTTGAAGAATCTCCGGGACTATTTCAAAAGCAGACAACAACAGACGTGATTAGCTTTACATAAACAAGAGGTAACGCGAGAAAAGAGAGAAGCTTAAAATTTACCATAAACATATTCCAAAAAGTCTCTGTTTTTGAATATTCGTCTTTCCTGCATGCGCTGGATGATCTTGTGCCAAAAGTTTGTCCGTGCGCTCCAGTAGGGCCATCCATACTGCATGAGGACAATTATGTTGCCAGCTTTCTCGTCCCATCGCATCGCCGAATCGATAGATGCCATTCCTCCTCGTTGTTCCGATTCGCTGTCGAGACTTACAATCAGGTGTTTAATGCAGCGAACAACAAGCCCTTCCTGCGTCACCCGCATCATGCCGAACTCGTGTCCGTTGAACACTGTTGCTACGGTACGACAATCAATCTCGTCCGCAATAAAATCTTTTTCGTTCAGGGCTGCTGGTATAGGAAACACTGAAAGAATAATGGCAATTTCAAGCGTGGATTGCTATATGATATTCTTTGTTAGTCTCCCCTGTTCTCAACAATAAATGAAAATTCCTTTGAATTACCTGAATGCTTCCAACAAGTAAGTAAATTACACCAATGTTGTATAATACACGAAAAGCAAACATGAATGGGATATCGAATTCGGGTGCTTTGCTTCCTTCTCCCTTTTCTTGTCGTCGCTGCACTTCGATACGATCACAAATGCTCTGTGACAGTTTGAGTGCTTTGGCCAAATTACCAGGTACTGAGGGCTATAACGTCAAACCTGTCACTTAGTGATATGTTTGGTCTACTTTTGAACAACACCGACATGAACAACATTTACCGAAGACAAAGCTAAATCACTCCGTACTAGCAGAACAGCGTTACAAACATCAAATGGCAGATTGTAAGCATCGATCACTCGGCACAATTCTATGCCAGAAAAAGATATTTCTTGGGTTAGAAACACAAAAAACAGGGAGCCTGCTCAGACTTGAACGGGAAAATATTTTATACCTTCTTCCCAACCACCAAATACCGTGTTCCAATTAGTTTTCGGTGAAGTCATGGACCCCCACTGCCAAAGATCCACAAGATGCCGCATGCAATCTGCAGCCTTGCTTAGGATTTGCAGTGCATCATCAACCCCTCGCATACAATACGCATTCAATCCTTCACCACGATCAGGTATATTATCCAGCTTGAGTTTTTTGGTATGTCGTTGCGGTGGCTCAACAAGACGCGTCAAGTTCATCGAGGTGCTATTGCTGTTGTTGTCGCCGTTCGTGGTATCCTCATTTTCGGGTGCGCTTCGTTTTCGTGATGATGATGATGATGATCCTTGTTGCTGTTGTAGCTGTTCATGCGATGATGCCGATGTCGATACATTTGTTGTCAAAGTCGCCTCTTGTTTGTCACGGTTTGAAGCCGATGAAGACGACGACGACGACGATGGGCGGGTATTATTATCTGTGCTGTTGTTTGGAAAACTCGGTCGGATGGCGCAAATTGGAATCAGACAGGATTTTTCTTGATGAGGGTCCTCGGCAGCACAAACAGCTCGATAATATTCGTACCCAAATTGAACAAATTGTGCTGATGCTGCCATGAATTCGCACATGAAGGCTACCAGCACATGCAAATCCTCCGGTTGTTCGCTACTATCCGGCCCATCTTTGGCTTGATCATCTAGATCAAGACGTACGTTGCCACGTTGTTCCTTCATGTATTGGAATCGATTCGTGTGCGACAAAAAGTCAAGTCGTCCTAAACCGGTGTAACTGTACAGGTACACAAGAATAGTGTTGTCGGTGTGTGTGTGTGGGAGGTTGTGAGTGGAAATTCACGGATGGGTTCAGCATTTTAAGTCTTTCTTTCCGTCACCCGTCTAGCTTGTCCAAGAAAAATCCCTCTCCCGAAATAACCCTTACCCGCAACAATCCAGCATGGCGCATGTGAACTTTACCAGCTCTCCCCAGTTGTGTTGCTGAATATAGTATCGCTGGCCAGTCATCATATACTGTTCAAACTTATTGTATGAGATGACAATGTAGTGTTTGCTGTCAGTGGACTTCACAGTTGGCGGCCTGTCCCGGCGTGTAAGCAGAATGCGCTGTTTCCAAAGTCGTTGTAAAAGCTCGGTAACTACGATATACCATAACGTATGGTCATTAATTTCTTCATCTTTCTCTTTGGAGCAGTAACCCACTAAACTATTTACCTAACACTTTGATGCATTTTTCGCTATGTTGCTTTTGGATTGTTTCCATGGACTGTGCGTAATGTGTCAATAGATCAATTGCCCGAATCTACAAAAACGATCGCATCGACAGACCCTGTGAGCTTCAAACAGCTTTATCCGTATATTCCAACCTTCCTTGATTTGGTGTCCCCCTTAAACTCACAAGGTACTTGTATGCATGTCGTGGATAAGCTTGAATATAGTCGAACAGCACTTGGAATGCCTGAAGACTATCGCTTTCTTCCAGGTACGCTATGAGAATGGTTTAGTCAGCCAAAACTCGCCCTTAACAATAGTTTTTTAGCCTTGGTCCTGTTCTCTCTATCCCTTGTATCCTTACCAGTTGCATTTTCCACGATCGTCGACTGAATCAAAGCGGGCAACGATGCAAAAAACTCTAACGTATATATGAAAAAATAAGGTTTTTGCACAATGACATAGGGTACCTTAAAAGTAGGATGAAGCAACGACTTACTGCTCATATCGGAGTCTCTCCCCGGATCAATATGATCTGCAAGCTCTACTAGATACTTTTGAAAAATATCGTTTTGCCCACTGTTTGTTTGCCTAACCCATTAACCAATTGCTCGTGTGAGTTCCATGACTCTCTCGAAGCTCTTTTTCCCCCACAGCCTCCAATAGCACTTACAACATAATGAAACTCTGTATCGCTTTCTCGGTGTTGCCCTCTTTGACGCTCTGGCTATGACTATTAAACTAGATGATCCTTATGTCAGCAAGGGCGTGTCCAATATCAAAAAGTGTGCTATCTTCACTTTACTTCAGCTTCAAACTGGTAAGCATATTCGTCACTCTCAGTGCCGCCTTCCGGCTCTTCATTGCTGTTGGCGCGAATATCTTTTGATGATGAATGGTCATTAGTTGTGGCGCTGGCGGTGGTAGCTTCACGATTGGAAGGCAAAGTAGAAGGAGAGGTTGTAGCTGCTGTTGCTGTTGTTGGCTCGAGGAGAGTCGTCGTGGCAGTTGTTGTCACGGGTGGAGAGGAATCGGTTGTTGCGCCTTCCTGTGGCGTAATCCTAGGTTGTGGCTGTTCTCCAGGATTGTCGGGCGGTTGCGACATTTGTGGTGAGGCGTGTGGTGCGGTGACAAAGTAATAATGAGAATAATGAATGGAAAAGTAAGAGCGAAAACTAAAGCGGGTGCTCTGGCTGTTGTTGCTGTCTGATACTGTGAATGGAAGAGTATCACTAGTCGGTCAAAGTAGAGATAAAAGAAGAAAGAGACGGTGTGTAAAAAAGAGAAAAACAGGAAAGAAGAAGAAGGAAAGAAAGGCAGTGTCCAATATGGGAGTGGTGTGCAAAAAAGCGGCGTGCGTGTGTGTGTTGTGTGTTGTGGTTGTGTGTGTGGGGGGAGGGGAGGGGGGGTGGGTTCTCCACTGTATTTACCCTCTTTCTAAGTAATCTCCATTTTTGAAACGCAGCAACAAAAACGAATAACCCTTTATTTCTTTCTTTCTTATGCTGTGGGGTTGCATGCTATGGTCCTTGTGCTGACGATGATACCAGCGAGTATCCGGTAAGTATACAGTACAAGGAGGGACGCTGGTGGATATACAAACCTCCGCGGAAAAAGGGCCAGCCCTTAAAAACAACCTAGAGCGCTCCTTGCTTTCATTACCTAAGCGAAAAGCTTAGTGCCGTGGTTGGGGCCAGCCTCGGGTTCCGCTAGCTTCCCATTCTGACTTGCTAAATGCTTCTTAGTTCCCGTCGTCCCTCTTATCATATTTACAACAGAGCCTGCATTCAAAATGGGGTGGTACAAGAGAGACGATAGACTACAGTCGCTCAGTGCAAGGAGAGCTCAGGAAAGTGGGGTTGTTGAACAATAGAGTGTGTATGTGAAAACAAAGGCCTGTTTTGTTTGAGTGTTTGTGGCGTAGATTACACCCACACAGGCCGACAGTAATGCCTCCCTCTCTCGCAAACGCCAATCCTTACTTCCATCCCTGAAGCAGGAATCTTCCGTGGTATTTCCATGTGTGAATGCACCAAAGTGTATGCTTCCGCGCCCACTGGTTTTTCTCAAAGGAAACTTTTTCCGGCCAAACAAGGTTTTGAACGACGTATAATGTAAAAAAAAGGGTGAAGAGGTAAACCCTCCCAAAAGCAAAAATGCGCTTGCTTACATAATCCCAGAGTTCCGCCTTCTTGCACCACATGAGCATTCTTTATTTGGTCTAGCATCTTTTCTTCCCTCCCCAAAAGAGCAGCGAATCTATTTTTTTTCTCATGGGTCAACAGCTACGAAGAGGATGATGCTTGTGCTGGTGGCGCTGATGTCGACGCGGATGCTAATGATGCTAATGATGCTGGTGATGCTGGTGATGCTGGTGATATGGCTGTTGATGAGGATAATGATTGCTGCTGCCGTTGCCGATTCAGCTGCTCTAGTACTGCACGGGTTAAGGATGAGTTGGCTCTACCGGTGGTCTTCATTGAAGGATATCCGGGAATCGTCGGTGGAGGTTGCGGCGGCTGTTGTGTTGCTACATACTGACCCTTGCTTTCATCTGGACGCATGATATAGGTCGCTGCCGGCGGTGGCGGAAACTTGCGATTGGGTTGCTGGAAATGCACTGCCGCCCATTTCGGATGCTCTCTCTCGATATCCATCAACGTATTTTCCAAAATCTTGATCCGCTCGTGCAGAGAGAAAGGAGGTATGGCATGGTCGTCGAATGTTACGTTCAGATGTTGTTCAATGTTGCGTATCCGCTCGTCACTCGCTGCTGTCTGATCCCCTGCTGCTGCTGCTGCTGCTGTCGATACTTGGACGTGCTCGTGCGACGACATGAGCGATCGTGCCAATGGTCCGTCTTCGTTGTTGACAATGTCAAACTTCATCTGGATATTGCGGTTGATTTCTCGCGCGTCCGCACGTGCACATGTTACATCCGCGCTGGTTGGATCCACACGGTTTAGGAATTCTGTGCGGTTGCTAGCATCCACTTCGGCTTGTTTGGCTTGAATAAACGTCTGTATCCGCTGTTGTATTTCATCGTTCGTTGCACGAATTTGGATTTGGTCACTGTCCATATGTTGTTGAATACGATCTTGTTCGTCTCTTTCGTCTGTGCCACTGCCGTCGTCGTCTTGTCGTTTCCGCTTCTTGGAGAATAAGAGCTTCGATTCTTGCTCATCAGAATGTTGCGCTGGTTCAGTTTTATTATCGTTTTTTGCTAAATTTGATTCTTCTTCTTCTTTTTCTTTGACATTGACATGTTGTTCAAGTGATTGGAGTAATCGTTCAACAAGTTTTTCAAGTTCCAGCGGTAATCGTTCAAGGTGGTTCCGTGACAGCACAATGAGTTCAGCATTGAAACATTTGCTGGTTTCCGTCAAGCCTATTCCATCGAAAAATTGTGTAAATTCATCATGCCAAGACACAGCAGCAGCTTGTGAATGTAAATGAGGTGGTGGAGTGGTCATTTAAGTATATGTATCCGGATTGGGAAACAAAACAGACAAGTAGGATCGGAGATACTGCACATGGCTGCTTCTGGCATTCCAATATATGCTTTTAGAATCCTATGTAATATGGGGTTAGATATACGATATTCACATTGCGTGGACAAGATCAGATCGAAATAGCATTGCAAAAATAAACGTGAAGAATGATTTGCTTATGAGGAATGGAACATAATCTCAAAGAAAACATATACAGCACTTTATGGCCGGAAGATACAAGGACTTTTAGTATTTAGTAACCACAAAAGCGGTATAAGGAAAATTCCTAAATTTGCTCGTCATTATGAAACACTTTGACGGTATGTCTGGTATATCCAAAAGGCATGTCGATCGGCTTAGCCGGGGCACCATACTTGCATTTGTCTTTTGCCTTTCACTTTGCCCAGAGATTATCAAAGGAAAGTTAGAGATTTTTTGACTCTCCTCCCGTCGCTAAATTTATGCTAATGTAGAAACAGCCAACGATGCTGTTTATAGACACTCGCCTCCAGCAGAAAAGACATCATCGAGTCATCTGTCGTGTCTACGTAATATCATACTCACCACAAAAGATCGTTCATACTCTATCTGGTTCATGGTGCAACTTGGTAGCACAACCAAAGTCATGATAGATCACTTCGCTTTTATGTGATTTGATCCAACTCTATATGCTGCTTACAGTATACGAACTTGAAAGTACATAGATACCCAGCAACTGATGCACGCTTAGCTGGATACGCCAGAGCGGATAGCCATGCCGATTTTCTCTAATTGTTTCATAGTCAAGTATGCTTGATGTGCGACATCTATTGTGAACTCTATTTGAAGGACAACCGTTGATGAACTCTTTGCGCGTGCGAGCATGTACTGTGACCCAAACCTCCCCAATACATGGTTCAGAGGGGAACTATTGCTATAGGTTTCCTTTAATCCTGGACGCAGGGTTCGTCCGTCTTCGCTTCAATAACCCTAGCGTGGGGACAGGAGTGAAAAGACAGGGACGGTTGATGCATCTGCGTGCTCGCTTTGTTCTGAATCTCCAGGCGTATCGGACCCTTTTATCCCCCTTTCCTCTCCTCTGCTTCTTCTCGATGAAGCAATGCAGCAATAACGGCATATGCGAGTCGGTTTGAAGCTCTGGAACATTGTTACCTTACTTTAACGAGACTTAGAATAATGCTGTGAGTAGAAAGAAGTAGCAAGATGGCATATCATAACCATTTTAGTACAACGTAATAAAAAAGTTGCAGCAAGGAGAAGTCTGTTCTGGGATCTACATTGATAATATCATATACAGGATGCTAGCAGTAGAACGACGAAAGAATCCGGCTTTTCCAGTCAACTTGATTATTCCGTACATACACCCGCTCAAAAAAATATTATGATATCGTCACATGAGGTTGTTGATGATAACGCCGTGTTCCCTAAAATGTATAAAGTGAAGGTGCTACTAAAGTGTACAATCACTCGTTAACTTTTCTCACATAAAATTGGTACATGTACGTGCCTTAGCAACAAAGTGCTTTCTAATGAATAGATTGGAAGAAGCACACGCTAATCATCTGTGCGACAATGGTAACAATCAAAAAGAAGTCAAGTCGTGCAGCAACAAGTTGGAAACTTGTAGAAGATCGCGTAACCCAACCCTCGATGCCGTAAAAACTTGTCTTGTCATATCATAATAATATCTTACATACTTTCATTTCTCATCATATGATTTGAAGTAGAATCTTCTCAAAAAAGTAAGACGATAGCGTACCGCATCAACAATGCCAGTCGAATCAATATGATATTTGTTGGAAGAGCTATGATATAAACTTTCATTCTGATTGCACTAACTACTATTATGATAAAAAAAATAGGGAGGAGCCATATTGTGTTGTACGCTTTTCTTGTCTAAACCATATATTCCATTTAAAGCATATATGTAAAGGTTTCATCTCTTACGACGATAATGCTGTCCCAGCGTAATGATCATTGGTATAATATACAACATACCGTCACCCTGATTTAACCGCCTCAAGCTTCTTGAATAGATAATGTAATGTAACTAGCGAAAGTGTCACCCTCGTTTTAGGTGATTTTTAAGCATAACCACCTAATGGTAAACCAGTACTATACTCTTCTTCACAAATAAATTCTTTGCTCCGCATGCTTACCAGCCAGTTACTGAAAGATGTACGTTAAACAGGAGTGGAACAAAAACAAGCGAAATCTAGGTATTATAGGTGTAGCTTAAAAAAAGCTAAATAATGAATGGAGTGGAAAGCTGTGATAGCGTGTTATGGTCAAAGAACAAGCAACCGTTTCTTAGTTTTGCCTATTCTCTTTTTCCATATAAGATGTCATAGGAAGTTTTTGGACTGGAAGTCCAGCATGTTCAGTTCCAGGGGCGTCTTGGACAATTTCACTCGCATCGTTAAAGAACCTAAGAGTATGAACACTTTTAAATACAAGATTCTCTTTCCTTTTCTACATGCGACCTAAATACAACTTATCAATGATATACTGCAAGTGACTATGTTAAATTTATTGAACAGAAGAACAGCTATGTATCGACGAAGCGACGCGACCGTTTAGAGTTGTGTGAACGATTTATGAATACAAAAAAAGAAAGTACAAGGCCAATGAGACGACGACCGTCGTCGCTGTCGTCTTGAAAAAGAGAAAACATAGACGTGACTCTGTATGGGCTAAGGGCACACCCCAAGTTGTATTAAGAGGAAACAGAAAAGAAGAAAAGAACGTTTAAAGAAGTACAACACAAAAGAATGTGATAATAATAAAGAAGAAGCAGAGACAGACTTGTCGTCAGTGCATCAATTGCTAAAAGTGTGCCCGTTTTCAGCGACCACCGCAATAAGGTGTGCGACGTCCTGCGGATTCAACGATGCAAGTGGCCTTCTGGATAGGCTCGGGCGTAGGCGCTGCGCTCGTCGTCGCGAAAAGTATGGTGCTAATAAAGGCAACAATGGCGATGGTGGTCTTGGTGCGGTATCCGGATGACAGCTTCATTCTTGTTTAAAAAGGTAGTGAAAGTTGCTGTTGTTTATGTTGGTGTAGTTCCTGTTTGTGGGTAGTAACGAGAGTGGTGGTTTGCGATGTGATTTTGGGTGGTTCTGTGTGCGTGTGTGTTGTTTACGAAGAAAAGAGAGCAAAAGGGAATACTGGGGCCGGATTTTGTACACGAAGAATCTTTCCCTTTTATATTCGATCTCCCACCTTTCCCTTCCCTTCCTTCCCCCCCCCCTCCTTCCCAAATAAAAATCCCGTTTGCTTAAAATAATCATCATCATCATTACCGCCTCCTTAAAATTTCTTGTTGGTTTCCTGGTGAAACCAAATTCAGCTATCTGGAGCGATATGCATGCGTGTCAAAGCGCCTTTTTACGACTATTGTTCTTACTACGATACGTTTGCGGAGTACATAGCTAGTCTTGCTATTGCTGTTACGGACTACTAACTAGTGCCAAGCAATTAGAAGCATACTATTCAGAAAAGCAGACAAGATACAATGAACTCTTTCGCGAGGATCGGGTTTAGACAATTTTTTGGCTGATATACGAGGCTCGGTTAATTGTTGATAAACAACAGCAACATCATCATTAGTAATAACGATAATTTAGTAATGAAATACCATTTATTAGCCGTTTCCAACGTTTATGGAACGGCGAGTATTTCCTGATGCTCGACTGGGTGTTCTTTTTGGCTCCCCCTCCGTTGTGTCGCAAGAGAAAAAAAAACCCCCTTGATTTTTAAATTCCCTTATACTTTGGTATTGTTCTCTTTTTTCCGCTATGGTAACTTTAAATGCATTGCTATAATGCGGTGTTTATTGACAGTACACGTAGCTGCAGTAGCCATACCTATTGTATCCATGCCCCGTACGCACAAGAAAAGTAAAAACAGTTGAAAAGGGGGTTGCGCTATAATATAAACAGAAACAGAGAGAGAATCAACTAACAAAAAGCCTCAGTTGTTTCTTTGGCTCATAATCCATTTTCAGTAAGGATTAGCAACCTGCATAACGCGAGGTCTTGTTTGCCACATGGCCTTTTGTTCGCTTCTCTTTTGTACAGTAACTTGTGGAGCACCATGCAATTTTATCTTTCGCATGTGTGTTTGTATACAACAGTTACCATGTGTTTGGCTAAATGCTATTCCCTCCACTGATAACCCCACATTTCATTTCTGTCATTTTCTTGTTATACAGTTTATACTTGCGTGTCGTCACCGTGTGTTGTGACCTTGTAGAGCATATGTAAGAAGGATTTGTGTACGGAAGTACGAGCAGGATAATAAACGTGTGAAAAAAAGGGAGTTGTTCTAGATCGCAGCAAAACGACTCTCTCCCAGGTGTGTATATAATATGCATATTCTGGTCCGACAGACAAAAACTGTAACGACGAGGGTACGATGATCAGCATGTGCGTGTACTTATAGGAGTCATCATGGCTGTGCGGCCACACACACCTCGTCGATTGATAATGGACCGACAATTGTATCGGCATATATACTTTTATAGAAACATTGGAGGCGCTTCACGGGTACAGTATCTCAATGGCATTGTAGTATTATTATTAGCTGTCATGCGTTTTATGTCATTGGTAGCACATGCTTAAAATATATAAAGTTAAGTTTAAAGCTGGTAAGTATGGTACACATATCGGCGATAATGCGGTGTTGGAGGGCGTTTTTGGTTGCCGTTGTTATCGTTTGTTCTCGTCCATTTGGTTTATTAAAAAGGAACCCAGCATCATTTAATTAATTAATCCGTGAAAAAGCTACACCTAGCACGGGGCACCCAGGCACTAGGTCATAAAACTTCGGAGAATCATGGTTGAACGGGCTGAAAGCGAATCTAGATCGTCGTAACATTGGACAAGGACGGTGTATCCACGGAAGCGAACATAATACATGGAAGCTTAGCAGGTTTTTCT